TTAGAGATCTAGCAACAGGCGAGGGTAATGACGACCTTGAAGATGCATGGGCCGAATCGCAAAAGGGCCTTGCGGAAGTATTGATCGGACTCCTCTCTGCATTTGGTGAGTTATTCGTTTTAGCATCAATGTCATTAGCCTATGCTAACATTCCATGCCTAGATCCGTCGTTCTATCCCGACATGCCATGGAGCATAACGATTGATCTTCTTGACCGCCAAATAAGGCAGATCAACGTTGACCATGTCCAAGACGTGACCGGCCTGTTCGCCACGCTTTCAATCCAAAGTAAAGGTGTTCAGCGGGCAGTCTATGATGTTTTGCATCGGATTATCCCTAAATCGCAGGAAGCACTGTCTTTCGATGTTGCTTTATCTGATGCTGTAGCCAATCTTCCCGATGAGCTAATTTCGCTTCTTCTTGACGCTCCGTCTGCGAGTATTCTGTCCGATTATTCCATTCAGGATGACATTTGGATGAGCATTCGTTGCTACCTGTTGAGCTGGAAGACAGTTTTTGACCATTTCGCCTTTTCGGTAAGCATTCTTCGTCGCTTTCTTTGCAGCTCTTCTCGATTAACGTATATTTTGCATCAGTCTTTACCTGTTCAAGAGAGCTACTCCGCCAATATTAAAAAAAACAATTGCCTAAACCCACTACTAGACTTCACATTTGACTTCTTACAGTTGGCGCAAGGCAAGCTCGTTGATGTGTCCAAGTTTAATGTTCGCTCGTTCGAGTTGGATGAATCGGAATCGCCAGAGAAAGAAATACAGTGGCTGCTAACTCATATCTATTACCTCTGCTTGAGATATTTACCCAACCTGACGAAAAACTGGTGGTTATACAGTCAAAATCGCGTAAAGGGACCAGTGGAGGCGTGGACACAAAAATATGTAAGTGCCGGTCAGTCTGAACATACGTCGATCCAGGCCCTAATATTGGACAGATTTCTCCTGTGGTGATAGAGGACTCGCTTCGAAGTGTGATGGAATGGCACAGTGCTCAAGATTGGACCAACGAGGAGCAAGCACTCCAAGTTCGAGTGTCTTACAAGGCCGCCGAAATCGTGGCAAGTATCGAAATAGACGAGGAATCTCCCACGACATCGATATCGATTTCTTTGCCGCCTACATACCCGCTGCTACAGGCCCTAGTGGTCGGTGGCTCTCGCGTAGCGGTCGACGACAAGAAATGGAAGAGCTGGCTATTGGCCATTCAAGGTGTCATCATGTTCTCCAACGGCAACCTAGTCGATGCTTTGCTTGCCTTCCGGAAGAATGTCCAGGGCGCTTTGAAAGGTCAAGGAGAATGTGCAATTTGCTATTCGGTCATTTCAACGAATATGGAAACGCCGAATAAGAAATGCGCAACGTGTAAGAACACGTTCCACTCAGACTGTCTGTTCCGGTGGTTTAGGAGTAGCAACTCAAGCAGCTGCCCATTGTGCAGGAACAATTTCCTTTACTCGTAAATGGATAGATGGGTGGGGATTGGTTGCATTTGGAGGTCATATGGGTGTTACAAGCATGACGGCTGATTAGACGTTAGAAATCGGGAAATGAAAAGCAATGGTTCTCAGGATCTTACCATTCATGGTTACGCTCTCATCTGATTTCCTTTCTTCCATCCAAAAAAATTTGACCAGGCCCTTTTGCCGAATTTGGATATTCGTCAATCCATCCGGCAGGGCTAATTATCCAATGAAGGAACTATGTAGTTGGCTCGCAGTGGATGTTCACAACTTGCAGATAACTTTGTCAATCCCCACACGCTGGCGCTCCCTGGGCCCATGGGGAATTGCTAATTACGCAATGCTCCGGATGGAGGTGCGGAAGGCAGCCATGGATATTGCAGCCACTAGGAATCCTTGTCACCATGAAGGACTGCTTGCATTTCAGCCGGTCGCAGTGAGGGGCAGGCGCTCTATTCGCCTGACAGGACGGTCCGTGCCTAAGGCGATGATGGGAATAACAAACTAGGATCCAACCACCCTTGAAATCGTTGGTGAGCACGAAAAACTCATGTCCCAGACCGAAATCCAACCCGTCATTTATACCATGTTGAGAAGAAACGAGGCTGGATGACAACTGCTTTCTTGCGATTGGATCCCTAGTAGAAACAAGGCAGCGAGAGGCTAAAGCAGAGGGACATCCTTAGAAGGTAGACCAGAGGAAGGACGGATATATAAGTGAGCCAAATTACCCATCCTCTGAGGTAAAAGATTCGTCTCTACAATCAAACGATCTTGCGAGTTCAGTGGATTCTTAAAGATAACAGAGCTGCGCCATCGACTTCAGAAATTTACCGGTCAGATACCTTTCTCTCCTTCATCTCCATCACAGTCATCTCGAGCTGACCATAAGTAGACCTTAACCATGGCTCAACATACCCTGTCCCTGCCAGTTGATCAAATTGCCTGCGATCACTGCAGTAAGCAACCCCTGCTACCCTTCACAGGGAGATTTAGCGAAGCTAATGCACCGGCTTGAGATTAGTGAATGAAGTATATGATCTTGGCTATTTCAATATGAAGCTGCCTGTTAAATTTTTTTTTACGTCAGTATTCCGTAAATTGAGATGTCAAATGTAATGCAGCAACGAGCGCAAAGTACGGAGCAGCCGACAACTGGGAGCGGGCTGATCGGATCTGATAAGATTAACAAACTGGTTAGGTAACCAAGTTGGATTGCGGGGCAGCTTTAGTCCAGGAGCTTAGCAGACGACGCACCCAAGCACGGCCAAGATACAGCTACACTTCCTCGGTAGGCAAACCTAAGAGGACTGAATACGCGTCCAGATATTCTACTAACATTTAACTGCTTCTCTACACATTCCCATGTCGGCATCCCAAATCCCGAACCTAAACACCCTCCTGAGAAATCGAGGTGGAGCTGGAAGAGGCCCTCGTCTCCGTGGGCGCGGAGCTCACACCGATAACACCAGTGGTCGCCATGGCCGATTCCCGCAAAAAGATAAAGTAATTCAACAAACGGACAATGATGCAAGTGTTTCCAGATTAAGCGCCGTTGAGCTGGGATACTTGGATGACCCATTTGCGCGGGCGTTGAGCGGGAATGGTGGGATGCAAGGTGCTGGCGCCGGGAGAAGGTATCCGATCATTAATCGCGGTGAGTGGGTTTGCATAGATGTGTTGTCGAAGGAGGTAGCGTTGGTCTGACTGAGCTCAATGACTGAATTATGTGTAGGAACGTATGTCCGGACGGTCGCTATAGATGCCTTAGTCTCATTCTTCCTAGAGTCGCAGCCGGAGCCGAAAAGTAAGAGAAGAAAAAGACAGGTAATATCACTCGGAGCAGGGTCAGACACACGGGTCTTTCGATTACTGGCCGAGAAACAAATACCGGGTTCGGGCGAAGACTACTCCTTTGTCTACCACGAATTGGACTTTCCAACGAACACCGCCGCAAAGATCAGAACCATCCAGGCCTCTCCATTACTCTCCAACACGCTTCGGAAACATTCTTCAAATACAGACGGAGATATAATAATATCAGAAGAAGGGGACGCCCTGCATTCCACATACCTCCACATCCACCCCATCGACCTCCGCTCCCTCTCCTCCCTACCATCATGCCAGACAAGATTCGAAGGAATCGACACCACTCTCCCCACCCTCATAATTTCCGAATGCTGCCTAGTATACCTTTCTCCAACCGATGCTTCAAATGTCCTTTCTTACTTCACGACCCTATTCTCTCCCCAAGCGACCACGCTTCCATCCGCTGAATCTGACTCACCAACGCCCCTAGGGCTGGTCCTCTACGAACCCATCCGTCCGCATGACCCGTTCGGCAAGACAATGGTCACGAACCTTGCTGCGCGTGGCATACACCTCCAGACTCTGAACCAATACGCGACTCTTGGCCTGCAAAGAGACCGATTGCGAGCCGCGGGATTCGTCACGGGTGAAGGGGCGGCGGATATTGATTTTATCTGGGAGAAGTGGGTAAGTCGGGAGGAGAAGGAAAGAGTGGCTAGGTTGGAGATGCTAGATGAAATTGAAGAATGGCGGTTGTTGGCGAGGCATTACTGCGTAGCATGGGGATGGAGGGACGGAGAGGATAGGGGCGAGAATGTGGAACATGTGTTTGAGGCGTGGAGAGGTGTAGAAAATCAGCAAGATGAGGGTGTGATATGAGTAGTCGCGCTGGGAGGCCTGTCCAAGCCGCCGTTAATGAAAAAAATAGCGGAGCCAAACCAGGCATGTATCCGGAGTGATCATCGGTTCATTTATTCCAATGCCGGTCCTCGAGACGATCAGGACAGGCCGCAGTCAGTGCCTGTCTCGGAAGACAACACCATGTTGTCAGTGAAAACTTACATGCGTTAGAAGCGGCAATAATGATATTCGTTTCTATCAACCGAAAAAAATATCTTTATTCCAAAGTTGTACTTTTAAAAGGATATGATAGTTCCCGAAAGAAGGACTCGACAACGGTCGATACGCCAAAAAATAAAAGAAAGGGTCATAAGGGCCTAAAGAACGCGCCTTATTCGCCCTTAATTTGGGCACTTCACTCCGATATATTGCTCCAAACAAAGCTTCCAACGGACAAACGTAGCCAAGCCAGCAAAGCAGAACAGAATAGGCGAATAGAAAAATCTCAACAACCAAAAAATACCTTCCAATCTTTTAAATTTTTTCAAAAGAAGGCAACATCAATCTCATAAACATCTGGAAGGTAAATTACAAAATATATACAAGAAGGTAGAAATGGGGGGTATCAGAAATTGGGTTAAAAAAATATATATAAGCATTGGGTGTGACCCTCAATCGTATAAGCCAGTCCAAAGACAAAGGTATAAAACATCCATCATAAACACCTAACACAGACATGAATCTCATATAGTTAAAAGAAAGTATATAAGAAGTGAAAGGGGGTTCCTGTACGGAGTACAGAGAAGGCTGAAAAAAAAAAAATAAAAATAAAAATAAAAAACAAAAAAAAAAAAAATTAAGGGGTGTGTAGAATTAACAAATAGGTAAAACAAAGTTGTGATGGAAGCCGATCTTATCCGATCTACCGCTGGTAGAAAGCTGCTGGAGTATCGGTCGCCCTAAATCTTTTCTAGAAACTGAGGAAAAGCGAAACAAGGATGAAACTAGCGGTCAGACTCATGATGGATAAGCTGGTCGCGGAGGCACCACCAACGGGCGGTGAGGAAGCGGTCGGGGGTAGAGTTGCTGATGAAATGGCGGTCGTCGAGTTCGAGGCCCTAAAGAATGTCGAACTCGGGTTTTCAACAAAGACGTGCGGTGAGACGGTGACGGCCTTATAATTATGTGCGGTTACAATACTAGACTTTGCAGAAGTTGTCGAAGCGATTGTCGACGTTGTTTCTTCAGAGGAGGAGGTTGAGCTTACGATGCTTGTGGTTGTTTGGGCGGGAGTCGACGATGTCGCCTCATCTGTTGTTGGCGTTGGCTCGGGAGCCGATGTGGTCGTCTCGGGCACTTCGTCGTCGTCGTCGTACTTGTCCCCGTCCTCACCTTCATCATCATCGTCGTCGTCATCATCTTCAGATCCTCCATTGCTACCCTTACCAGCTTCAAAGACGACGACGTTGGCTTTGCCACCCTTGGGGACAGTCACGACACAGAAGGAAGCTCCACCTGCGCCCTCTTCGGTGCTTCCGGTAACTTCATTGATACTGTTCTTAGCAGGGTCAATCTGACAAGGAAGTCCATTGCATCCGTCGCCATCACATTCGATTTTCACGCCAAACGACGGGCTCTCGTCACGGAAAGGAGTTTCGGGCTCCAAGTAGATTGGATTCCAGCCGATTTTAAGGAATGTCTGCCCTTTGCTGTCCATGTTGGCCCCGGCAACGTAGGGTGCCCAATTTCCCCAAGGGTGGTCCTTTGTACCCCATACACAGGCTGTCTCGGTGTCCTTTCCGGGCGGGTTGATGTAATAACTGTAGACACGGTGAGCAATAAAAGAGACTTCAAACTACAAAACACACTTACTGAGCCGCAGTAGAACACCAGTAGTCAGGGTCAGGGACCGCAAGCTTGGCAGAGCCGTCAACGCTAGTTGGGATCAACATGGCTTCATTTCCGGGGAGGACAGTCTGGCAAAACGACACGACACCGCCAGCATCGTTCTTTGCAACAACGGGGCCCGATGCCTCGACACAGTATGGCTTGCTGGGGAATGGTTTAGAAATCTTGCCATCGTCATCGCAATAGAGACCGCCATTCTAAGGAAAACTCAGTAAAAAGGGAAATTACCTGTGAAGCATAACTGTAAGATTTGCAATACGTACCATGGACTGCGGATAAGTGTAGGAGGTAGCCTTAGGATCCCACTGGGCCATGACCATTCCAGGTGGACAAGCATAAGGACAATAGTTTCCGGGTTCACATGGCTGGTCAGGGCTCATAGCCCAGCCGGCATTCTCCTCGTTGGGTGTAACAGCAACCAGACCAGCATCGGACGGAAACTCGCATTGTCCTCCGCGTTTCTTGAGCGGTTTGCTCCTGGCAACACCATGTGGTTTCTGGACAGGCGAGGTTGCCGCGCGATGGTGGAAATGATGATGCTTCAAGCCAAAGCCATCCTTCGGGGCGTTCACAACACCGCCATGGATATGGCTGTGACCATGGCCATGACCGTGGCGGTGTCCGGCCTGTGAGACCGAGGCGAAAAGAAGGATGAGCGTCCAAGCTCTCGAGAGAACGGAGTGCGATTTCATCGGCTCCCGTTTGCGAACAAACTTCAAGGGAAAGAAACTCCACCACCAATACCGCAACAAATGCCTTCGCGCTTAGCTTTTTTGGACGGAGGCGCAATTCTCGTTATAGCCAGCGACGCAATCGCAAGGGAGAGAATCGACAAGGAGCGAACGAGCGTATATACTCGAAAATCGAACGAAAATCGACAGAAAGAATGAAAGAAGAAAGAAAGGGCCGACGTTAAAGGAGCGATGGGGCCGAAGACGGAGATATGATGTGTTTTAAAGGAGAGACGAAATGAAACGAATCGCGACGGCGAGATTGACAGACAGAGAGCAAGAAGAAGCTCTCCCAAGGGGGTCGGAAAGGCAGGCTAAGCACTATTTTTTAGTAGCAGATGCCGGCAATGGGCTAACCAGACTATTAGGTCGGGTTCGGCAGCTGGCAGCCTATGATCGGCCTCCATGCTAGTGCGGATACAGCGTCTGCCCCGCGATGTGCACGCCCAACACGGCGCCAACACCTGCGCTGCTCCCGCCTGGTCTGGCAGCCATGGCTGTTGCTGGTGCATGCAGCACGGGGAGTGTCATGCATCGCTTCGTCCAGCACACTCTTGGAACAACAGTCAGATGATCAAGATCGTAACCGTACCTTTCCCTCCCTTCCACGATGCTGTGCGTGACCCCAATGCAATGCCTGCTGGCTTGTCGCCAACCTTGCGCTGGAAGCTGGGCAGTCGACCCCTCGAGTCCCGATTGGGTTAGCTCGCACCTCGCCAAGAATCAGACTCTACGATACCGTGGAAATTCTGGATTAATGCGGTATAGCGCCAGGGGTTGAGATTGGGATCATCTGTCCACTATCCAATCAGCTCCCTTTTCTGCACACGACATCCCTCGAGAGCTTTTTCCCCGATCTTGAATCAGGGCTAGGGTTAGGGCTAGGGTTAGGGCTGTACCCCCGGTCTTGCGCTTCTGGGGAGGTTGGAGTCTAGGTACCTGTCTGACAGAGAGCTCTCCACATCTCTCCATCTCAGCCATGCTTGTCCCCCAAATGCCGCCGCAGATCAGGCCTAGCCTTGAGAGCCCCTGTGGAGGTGGACTTGGAGGGTGCTAGATCGCATGCACTGGATGTTTTGAAAGTTGCCTGCCGCACAATGACAGCTTAGGAGTGAATTACACGGCGAAAAAAGCGCCTCTGTACTCCGTAGTGCTCCGACCAAGCAGCGCACTTGAATCGAGGACGTATGTAGAATTCTGTCGCTCAAAACAGGAGGACAGGAATTTGGAGAGAATGTGCCACCACCCCTCCCCCCCTTTTTTTTTGTTTTTTTTTTCCCCTGACCGTGTTGGCTAGTTGCATGATAGGGCCGCTGCTACTGCCCTTAGGCTGAGGGATGTGTGTCCTTATTAGGGTCAAGAATCGCCTGAAGTACAAACAAGATAAGCAATATAATGTTGAGCTTGGGGTACTAAACAAATTGTTATCCTCCATACTCCGTACTCAGCTACACTAATTATGGAGTAAATTGCAGTGATTTTCACAGCAACAGGGGCGCTGTCACAAGTAGTGTTGCAAACAATGGAAACAGCGGATGTTTCTTGTTGAGTGTTTTGTGTACAGCGGACAAAGGATGTTAGACACGTGTGGGGTACCATTGTAAGGGAGGCCAATTGAAGTTATATAGATGATAAACACATGTTAGCTAGGTCGACGAAAATTCCCGCTATGTTGAGTGATGCCAAGCGCTCATGAAAGATGGAACTTGCCAGAGCATATGTCCAGTATGTACGATAGCAACGGCACAGCTCTTTAAGGATCTCAACTACCTAACAGGAGCCATTCTATGTACGGAGTACTGCAGTATGGTCTTGTGACATGCGGATAGTAAATATCGCTGTATCCCAGGCTATGGTCATGGCATTGCCTGTACAATTCCGGGGAATTGGCATTGATAGGTCACAAAGCATAGCTCACACATACAAAGCCATTCAAAACCACTGAAGCAAAAGTTGCACAAATGCGATGAAGGGTACCAGAAAGAAGCGAAATCACTCTTCTAATTCCATAGAGTCTTCTGAGTACTCTGAGCCTTCCAAGCCCATCTCAATGATATTTGCCGAATCCGCCCATTCTACCGGGGCCAAGAGGTGATGTACATACAACGTACTTGCAGCTAGTCAGTTCGCTCATATCAAACCAACCTGTCGAATCAACCTTCAGATAGTAGACATATCGAGATTTACGTCAGTAGGAATGAGTGTCTTGAAACAAGAAATGGGGTCGTCCGTAATGTTGAAGGGGAAGAATTTTGATGTAGTACTTGACAGCAACAATGGAGATGTTGCGAGTAATGATGTTAGCTCGGAACAAGGCAATATCAAACGGGCAAAGAAAGAGACAAAGGCAAACAACTTGTCTTCAGATATGCTACTTGGCCTTGGAAGATAGCCTTAAAGCGAGTGCCTCTCCAGTGATTTGTGCCAGGTGCTTGTTGGAGATAGTTGGGCTAGTGAGGTAGCCACGGAGTACACGAGTTGTTTATGTCCCAAGAGTTGGACCTAACATCAAACTTGTTGGTAGGCCTTCTGTTTGACACAGCCTTTGTTTGAGATTATTTATCATATCTTCCAAATTTGGAACAAGGAGAAAAGCGAAAAACTTCATTCCTCAGAAGACCCTCATTAGCAACATGGAGCAGGATCTTGAAGTCTCTACATAATGCTGGGCTTTGCGGATGGAAAAGACGTATACGAAGTATGCTACCATGGCTTCCCAAATCGAGCCAGAATCTCCATAGGATCCTCGCTTTGAAGCCATATATCTAGAACATCTTTTGACGGTATCCAGATCATACCCACCATACCAGCTGCATTCACGATTTTTACCCCTTCCTGGCTTGCGCGAGACCGTGGTATAACCATCATCCACTCTCTCACCAGAACCAGGCTATGGGAATAATCAGGTTCGTCAACACCGGCGGCGGCTAGAAGTTCCCTGTAAATCGAAAAGATATCGTTTCCCGCAGGCGATGGAGATAGTTTCCTGGCAATGTGCTGGAACGGGATATTGGGAACTCTGCCTGAACCTCATGAAGAGCGACGCATTAGGCTTATTTTCGTCCCTCGCATCCAATAAATACGAAAGACAGGGAAAGTATGCGAACAAATAACCCACCATTCTCAATGCCATACGTATCCGGGAAAAGGTCATGGACATCTCTCGCGGGGCGTGGAAGCAATTGCAAATGTCGATGCGGCAACGACCAACCTCCCTGGACTCCACCGTTGTAGATAACTATGTACGGACTTTCCAACTTGCAGAGCACGCTCCATGCGGCCGCCAGGTCCGATGCGGAAAGAGGTTCGATCTGGGATTTGTATTCGTTCGTGTGCAAGACGAACTGCGGCCGGACAACGCAGAACTTGTTGAACCGCAACGTGTGTTCCGCGCCGACATGTTCGAGAACGAAGTCGGGAGGATCCCTAGCGAACGGACTGGGAGTGTCTTTTTGCCTGTCGGACTGCGCCTTGGCCTCCTTGATATCGACTTGTGGCTTCTTCGTTAGGCTAGAGGCAATGCGGAATTGAAGCTAGTAAAATCGTCGCAAATGATCGTTTACACTATGGTCAGTCTCTTTTTTCTTGTTCATCTTGTGTGGCAGGGCTGGAGCAGAGACATTGGCTATTTCCCGAAGAGAGGTTTTGGCCATGTCTTTTGATTTTCTCTTTTTGCCTTACATTGAATGGCTGGGCGGGAACATGGATGGGCGGCGCATCTTTGAAGATTATGCTACCACACTGAACAAGTTTGTCAAACTGTCGAAGGGCTCGAGATTCAAGGTCCTCCATTGTCCGTAGTTGAGGCATGAAGCGAAGTGTCCTGACGTGGACCACTATCCGAGGCCTAATTGGACAAAAGAAGTCTGGGACCAAGCTAATTATGGGTTAATTACTCCGTACAGCAACCTTGGTCAACTATTCAGAATTTGTTCACTGATGTTGCTTGTTCCCGACTGCACGCGCACAACAAACCGCACGTGCAGTGTGATATTACTCGCATTTTTGACGGTACTGTGGACGGAGTACTCTGTACTCCGTAGTCAAGCACTTAACTAACGCCAAGCCTCACTCCGTAATGCTCAATGACATCAAATGTCGTCATGAAAATGCAAGAGATCGTGTCCAATGACCCTGATGCTGCGAATCCGTCCTCCGAAGGGCCAGTCGTATTTGCCGGAGGGAGTCGCCTGTGCAAAGGCTTGTGTTTCTCGAGATCTAAAGTTGCATTTGGTGCTGGAACGCTGACCAGAAAGTCTACAGTATTTATTTGATTCTGGCCTGAACAGTGATAAGAGTGCAGCTTGAAGTAGTGTCAAGGCCTGTGAGCCCTAGGATTTATGCCAAGAGCTCTCTACATTCCTGTGCAATTATTATGGTCGTTTAGTTATGATTAGTGAAGGCGACGTACCAAAGCAAGCTTAATTCTTGAGTCTGGCGCCCTTCACTTCATCAACCAGCTAGATTCAGTTCCCTCTTTGGCTCCTCAGGGACTTCCTTTACACTGTTCTATGGGAAAGTGGATGCCCATGCACCTTCTCCCTGAATTCCTCTGATATATCCACGGGAGAATAGGTAAAGATGTGATTATGCCTTTATATACGAGGCTCCATCAGCATGCAGACTTTCGAGGTCGACCCAATTGACTTCATCCCTGGGGAACGGACATGAGGTGGAAATATATGGAATTTCCCCTACGGGGTGGCATGTCTGTTGTGCTTGGCAGCAATAACAACCTCCTGACCTTTTCTGAGCTCAAAAATTCCCTAGAAATTGGAGAGGTCATGTCATCATAACACGCTGAGGAAGAGAGTACAGTAGCATTTCAGATGTCACTGAAGTGTTTCCTATGCAATGATCGGAGCGAAAGATTGCCAAGAGCCCTACTATTCATAAGGGTCACAATCAAACCAGAACACTATTCTAGATGGGAGCTTCAGGCCCAAAATTAGCACAGGTGAGCTGCTAAGCTCACTGTGTCAGATGTCAATGCCACTTGGGTCCTGTTCAATGGCTCGAATGTCGATCGATACGCGACCATTCTCGGTTATCCATAGACCTTACTACCGAAGGCGTTCTATTTATGAAAAGTAAGTTGAATATATCATCTGGAGTATGTTGGATAAAATCAAGTGTCCTGCAAACCCATGTGATAGTTACATTCGGATTCTGTGCAAGCCATTCTGGGGAAGATATGGCCTTGTCTCCAAGTGCTAGTTGGTGTCATACTCTCAAGCTTAGAGAACAATGTTATTTTATTTCTCGAAGCAGGGAGCAACAATGGATGCTTGGATTGGGGATGTCTTAGCTGGGTCATGTTAAGGGGTTATTGAAGCCAAAGACGGAAATGGAAAAGATGTGACTGAATTGCTAAATAAGGGGCCGAAGGGGTGAGAGAGCGTCCGGTGGAGTTTTGCCGGATTGGAGGCCTTGCTTGAAAATCGCTTTCCTTTTCAAGGATCTTTCAGATCTCAGTAAGTCCTTCTGGCTAAATCTGGGTAGAAAGGTGCCTGCAAGATCCAATTATTAATAGTGCTGAAGGGTACATAAATTCGGCAAGTTGGCCGTACACTGAAGCATAGAGCAAGCTTGAGAGTTAAGGTGCCAAGAGCGATGTGGTCATTGGTGGAGTGAACCAACTAGTTAACTAATGCGCTCATCTACCTGCTCATTGTATCATTCAACTCCTATTTACTTCGCATCATTTGTTACTGCTCATCAATCTCTTGTCTCTGCATGTTTCGCCGCAGCTAGATCAAATGGCACTTCAGCAAGGAAGCTCTTCTCGTCGCCAGACCCTTCCTCCCAGCCAGGTGGATTGTATCTGGTGGAAGAAGGGCTACTGCTATCGGGGCACCAAATGCTACTTCCGTCATGACGCAGCTCTCGCGGGGATTGACAAGGATAAGGACAGCCCGCGGACTGCCAAATCCACAGAACCAGGTGAGAGACTGAACCATTATGAGTTCCTCAAGCATGCCAGTGCCGTCATGGGGCAGTCAAAATAACTGTAACGATTTACTTTAGGGGTATCTCGATGTCCAGAGCCCGCTTACCCCTCCACGGGACCCGCCCAGCCACGGGAATCATGTGCAATCTGTCTGGAGGTGCCGGTCACTTATGGGCTTCTGATCCATTGTGATCATGTTTTCTGCCTGGGTATGTAAATGTCATATATCAGTTATTACCTTTTGGATCGGAAATCTCGATTCATCGATCGTCATCATGAAGCTAATCTGCTATTTATAGATTGCATTCGCAGCTGGCGCTCCTCCTCGAGCAACGAACAACCCGAAGACCCTGATTACATGACAGACCAAGCCGCGCTTTCGAAAACTACAAAGACTTGTCCGTTATGCAGGAAAAAGAGTACCTTCATCGTCCCAAGTTCCATATTTCCCACTCCGCCGATTGCCGATAGTTCGGCAAGCACACAAGATAAGAAGCCTGCTAGCGGGCAAAACAACTTGGAAGGTGCGGAAGAAATTAAGAACCCCGTTAAAGAGGAAATCATACAAGGCTATCTCTCGAGATTAAAGAAAATACCCTGCCGATACTTCAACGAGGAAGTTAGACGCTGGCGCGAAGCTATAACTAGGTTTGAGACTGGGCACACAGCATCTCAGCCCCTGCCCGAGTTGAGCTTCCAGCCACAATGCTACTTTGCGAACGAGTGCCATTACGCCCACACTGATCCCCTCACGAACGAACCATATATTTTTTCTCAACTTGAAATTAGACGCATGAAGCGCAAAAGAGCCGAGGAGAGGAATCGACAGCTCAGAGCCCGATTCCATTATGGACCTGCCGAACAGTTGGAAATGTTGACACGCACCATCGAAGCGTTTTCCTTCAACGACGATGCCACAAGAGACTCGTCATTCCCCAACGGATCGGGGCATTCTTTGTCTCCCTTTTCAGAACCTGAAGATGAGTTGCAAGAGCTAGGTATTATGCTTTCATTGTCAAGGCTAAGACCTATCGGTCATCCCGGGCCTGTTGACGACCCATTCGATTCCGATTACGACGGTGTCCTTTTTATGGACTCTGGTCTCGATGACTGTGATAGCGACTTTGAAGATTATGAAACTGTGGCCTATTAGCTCGCCCTCGCATCGATGGCATTGACATTGAGTGGAAAACCTAAACTTTGAATAACAACCCAAATGTTCATTTTCCTTATTCACGTTGATGGGGTTAATTGGAGGATGGATATGGGTCTTCGTTTATGAATCCATGGTTTGCTTCAACGGCGTTTGTCGCGATGGAGTTATTTCTGGGTTATACATATGTAACTAGGTAGTTCGCTTTTTCCTCTTTTTTTTCAGCACAGGATGCTCACCAATCTGAGAATGTGAGTTTGCGGCCCTTAATAGTTTAGAGAAGTTAATGCTTACTGATTGAAGAAAAACCATCTCACTCCTGTCCAGAAGTGCACTATCTCGAAGGCCAAAGCTCCTCGAAACTTAAAAGGAGACGGAGATCCCATTAAAAGGATCGGCAGATCACCAGCTTCAGGTTTCCCAGAATCTCGGAGCATGTCGCGCAGAGAGAAACAACTGAGAAAGCCCTTTCGACTAAAGGTGAGAGAAATACTCTCGTTGCCGTGGCTCCAATTCCGCTCGGGCGATGGGTTGACCAGCCGGGCTGCGATGTGAGATGACATGCCTTACAATCTTCCAGGCAAAGGAGTTGACTCGATCTTATATATTATCGGTGTACTTTGCTCATCCAGCAGGCACCAGCTAGCCCGTTAAACTTGAGGATAGCAAGGTCTTGCGGATATTTCACGATAAAGTCTGCATCCCGGAACTTAATATAATGGCAGCGACTGCCTCCTTGTTTCTTTGCACTCGCAATTCTTCCTCCAGCAACAGCTTCGAGCTCCAACTTAACCTATGTATACCCACTAGACATAAAGCTTCATAAACTCCCTAAACGTATGCTTACTCTTGATGTGAGAAGTTTCCATGTTGCGATCGCGAACTGATATCTGGTCAAGGATGAAAGCTCGGGGAGGGTTAACTATCTGCCGCATCACGGAATCCGAGGAGCGCGGCAGATCAGCCTGGCGCGAAACGGAACAAATGTATATGGAGGACAGAGAAACCTAGAGGAGGTGATATGCACCAAGGAATGTGGCAAATAGCAACTGAGGCGGGATGAGTTTGATCAGGATTCTGAGTTCGTGCCCAACAGCGCGCTAAATAGGCACCCAACGATGTGGGTTGAGGCTGGCATCCCACTGTAAATCGGAGTATTCCGCAAGGGGTGAACAACGAAACAGGTTATGTCGACGGCAGCTGTCTGTTGAACTGTCGCTTTGCGAACTGGAAATCCAGCTAGTCCACCGTGCTTTGTCCCGAAGACGCACTGCTCTACACCCGGCCTCCGCGAAAAGACATTTGTTCGAAGATCTTTCAGCCTCTATTAATTCAGTCGGAGATGCAAGCATTTATGAGATGGCGACCTATGAGCCCAGGCGAATCGACGACCGGGGAACTTGAACGCTCTCATGCTCAGCATGAAAATTCACGCTTCTCAACTTCGATAATCTCACAGTTAGGGTCGAGCCGAGACCGCTCATGGAAGAGTGCAGGGTGCTTCTCACGGATCTTTGAGGTCAATGACGGCAATAAGAATGTTTTTGAAGCTGTTGTTGCACCCTCTCTTCCTCACGTTCTGAATGGTTTTGAATGGTTGCCGGGAATGCTATGTTCGAGAAGGGCCCGACGGACGAGTCCATGTTCGCGGCGAAACAGAGGTGCTAGAAGGCGGAAAAATCAGAGTCCGTCCAGTCGTTGTTCGGGACTGCTGGAGTTTCGAGGATTTGCGTCGTGAGCTGCAAGTTGGCCTTAAGCTCAGAGCAATTGGGTTATCCACCGTACATGACCAAAGTTCCCGTACTCATGCGGTTGTAGAGCTCGAGGTTGTGACCAAGTCGCTACTTGATGCGCGCGATGCCATTATTGATCGAGAGTCTAAGTTCGTCCCGGTTGCTAAGCGCGCTACAGATATTTATCTCGAGGAGGATGCAAATGCCTACATCAAAACTCCCGAAGGGAAATATGTTCCTAATCCAGATCGTCCGCCAAATCAGGAGCGCATTGACGCTGCGGAAAAGGAAAAAGAAAGGTTCGAGTCGTACATGAAACAGGCGGAAGCCCACGCATGCGATGTATTCGCATCTCATGACCAGAGATGCCATCTTTGTCGATTTGGCGGGATCCGAATACTATCATGAAAAGGCCACACCCTCAACATTCGCGACCAAAATGACGCCCCAGGAACGCCAGGAGGGTCGACAGATAAACACCGACCTGCTTGCCTTGAAAGAGGTCATCCGTGCGCGTGCTCTCAATCAAGCCCGTATCCCATTTAGGTCCCTCCCCACTGACAATGGTGCTCCGCGAGCACTTCTCGGCTTCCACGGACAGTCAGTCTGCAATGATTCTTACGGTTTCACCTTCCTTCGGGCAATTTGCAGCAACCATGAACACTCTAAAGTACGGGAACCTGGTGGGCGTTGCGGGTGATGAAAAGGCTACAAATGCCAAAGGATAACAAAGCCCCAGCCTCAACATCAGGAACGCCAGATTTATTAGTTCTTAAGTTTTTATTGTATTGAAGACGTACTAAGCTGCTCGATAAAGCGTGAATGGGCTCCCTCGACTTCGGCTTCACGCCATATTATATTATTCACCTACCTATGTAAGGAGTGTGTACGTCGCTTTGCCCCACGATTCCAATAAGCTATGCTGAGCAATTTGACCGCGTTGATCAAAGTGAACCGGCGGCTGTACCTCCTGTCCAGATAGTCAGCGGCGTCTACTCGGCGGTTCTTTCCTGGGCGGATAACGAAGGTACCTCCTACCTGAAGTTGCAAAAGGAAAGCGGCTTGCTGCCGGGTAGCTCCTGCTACGACGTCCAGTATTCTACTTCTAGTAGAACCACTGAAGTGAGTGGTCTTGTAGGCGATTTTGAGCCAGGATCTTCTCTCTTCAGCTTCTCCCTCCCAAAGGACTCGAGATCGATCACGGCGCTCTTCTGATTTCAACTGCCCTTGATCATCTCTGCAGTGGGTTTTTGACTGCTGTTGTTATCCACTGACTATACCGCGGTGGCTTCTTCGAAACCCCTATTGCTCACGATGTCCACCTCGGAAAATGACCCTCCGACCTATAACATCCTAGGGACGTCCGGTATGACCTTGGAAATGGCCCGATTGATCATCGGTATCCCGTGCTTGAACTGTCTTCCTGATTTGGATGTGGAGACATTTTGGTGCGTTACTCTGCCGGGGAGAATAGCGTGCCAGAAGTGCCATGATGGTAAAAGAAAATGCGAAGAGGTAGATATATCCATCCTTGGCAAACCGCATTATTGACATGAGCAGCTGATGACTGCACAGGTTTCCTTGACGCCAGATGTGGAGCATGCGCTTATCCTCCGCGGATACATATTTTATGCCTCCAGGCTTGGGTTCCCTACCCGCTGGCAAAAGGATGAGCTGGCGATGCTCATAGCCAAAATCATGAGACCGCAATTATCCCCAAGTCCAGGAACAGAGGCTGCTCGAGTGGCAGCTGAACCTCTGATCCCCTGTCTGCTAGACCTAAATCCGGCAACATAGGCAGAGATGATGACTGAAGACTCTCTGAATGTGGATCCATCTTAGTTATATTAGATTGATCGTACAAAATTTCAACCAGAGAAGCGGTCTATCCTTGCAGGGCAGGGTTGACGAATTGGAAGTGCGGTTGACAGTGTGGCCGCAGGGGGGGGGGGGGGGGGGAAGGAGAGCGACGCGCCGATAGCGATACTTCACTCTTGAGAATTTCAAATGACATTGGTACTCCAACTTGGTAGCTCGTTGAAATCGCGCAGAAGCAGTTGCTATTGCTGGAAAGTATGGAGAAACCATATAAGCAGGGTGTTATTTGGGATAGGCACTTCGTACGGGGTAACTAGTATGTATGCAATTGAATCATATCTTACAAGGGCGTCATTAGCAACATAACTATATGGGATAGGAACTAACTCCTAATAAGCTCTTTTTTGACTTGCGAATAATCAAAAGGTAATGGAGTCCGCAGAGAGTTGTTCGGGCGACTTGGGTTGAAAAATGCTCCGCAAGGTAGCAGTTAGAGTTGCAATGTCGGGGTGTGGAACAAGGTGCGGAGTTGAGGGCACCAGGCCAGTCACCACCATCGCCGACCAAACTCCTAACCAATCTCTGGGATAAATCGTCGCCCCAGGAAATACGGAGTAGAAAACATATCATTCTATGATTCCTACATGCTTTAATATGGGTGCTCTGGAGTAGCAATGCCACTACCAAAGCAAACAGTACGTTAGTCTACAAGACTTCAACTGCCTGTGCCTCATCCATTCAGGACTTATCTATGCCTCTTCCGCTAACATACTTCTCATATTCAACAGACAGATTTAATCTTCTCCCTGCAGGCCCTGATTTACCGCATCCGCCAACTCATCAAAGAACGACGTGGCTACTCCAAGACCAAGGCGCGCGAACTCGCCAAGCTTCTCAAGGAAGGCCGCGATGATTTTGCCCGCATCAAGACGGAAGATGTGATCGCGAACGACAACCTGATCTCTGCGTTGGAGATTATCGAGTTACATTGTGAGCAGTTGCATGTGCGGGCAAATATATTGGATCATCTTGCGTTTGGGCAGAAGAAGAAGGGGAAAACGTTGGCTGTAAGGAGGAGAGGGAACCACGCTGGGAACCACGCTAGGAGCGGGAGGGTGGCGCCCTCGACGATAGAAGGGAGCAGTGGAGGCGGCGGATGGGGATTTTGGAGTATTTTTGGCCTTGGTGATGGCTCGCAGACCCAACGACAGCGGTCAAATACCCGAGATGCTCAGAGTGTTGCGCGTCCCCCGACGCATGAAGCAACCGTCGATGATGGCGTTGCTGAAGATGTAGAGGTTAAAGACGGTGCTGAAACCGCTGAAGACAGGGAACCTGAAGTCTACATCGACCCGGAACTAGATCGTGCCGCTGCTGTGATATTCTACTCCTATCCACGCCTTCCTCGGGACATTACAGGGCTACCGGAACTCCGTGTAAAGCTAATACAAAGATGGGGAAATGAATTTGCAAGCAGAGCACAGGATGACGATGATTTGCCTGTCGATTTGCCGGAAGAACTGGTAGAGCGGTTACGAGTCCAGAAGGCATCACCAGTTTTGGTTGAGAAGTATCTAAAGGAAATTGCAAGGAGTCATGGGCTCCGGTGGCACCAGGATGAAGATGAAGATGGGGACGGGGAAGGGGGTCAGACCGTTGAAGAAGACAATCAGCTCCCGGAATTCGTCCAAGAAACAGACACACAAGCACCTGAGAAACGCGGGATAGAAGGTCCAAAGGGAAATATGAAAGGAGTCGATGCCCACTCGCCTGGCACGTTAGCTGACATTAAGCCATCGCCAGCACAAGTAGCAGAGGCCGAGAGCACCAAGATTGGTGGTGGCATACCTGAAGTGGATGAGTTGGCAAAAAGATTTGCGGCTCTGAAGAAATGACCAGGGGAAATTTCTTCAGCTTGACGAATGATATATCACAGGCTCCTGGGCAGGGAGTTGGCACTAGCAATATGCTTTCTCAACAGCGTCTATATCCGCGATTAATCTGAGCTCTGGGCGAAATCATTGTCTGAATGCGAGACAGAGACACGTAAATATTACGACAAGGTAATATTGTCATGAGCATGGTATTTTTAAATTCTATTTTTGTAAGCGATCTTCCTCATCAAGTTTGACTCTCTTGAGGTACTGTTCTATAAATCCACTGATACGTTTTACTTTGATGTGTTTCCAATCTGTATTTCGACCCAGGGGATAGTTAAGATGCAACGGAGCTCGAAGCCTCCTCTTCTCGGATTAACAATTGTTTCTTATCGAAACATTGGGTATCTAAGTCTAGTCTACGTATGTATGTATGTACATTAAGCTGTGCTGAAAATATATATATATATATATACCAGAAAAGCACCACTACGTCGATCCATGCAATCCCTTAAGTCCCGTCTCAACGAGGCTGAGGGTGTCTTTCGGCGTTCCAGCAGATGTATCATCAGTTTTATCGGAAGTGCTTGCTTGAATTAATCGTTGTTCTGGACAGGTCCAAGCTCTTTGATTTTCAGATCCATTGTGCTCCAAGGAAAGTATATACGGGACGAGAGGTACGGAGGATGGCCGTTGGCCACGCCACCTGGGAATTTCTTTCCATAACGCGTAGTAAAATGCAGCATTACCGACAATAGATGCACAAACGAGTTCTATCGACGCCCACTGTCAGGGGAGAACGAGAAGGTCAGCATTGTTGTAGGCTAAAATGGAGGCTTAAACGAAGCGGTGTGTGAAAGCATGACGTACCATGGTGCGAGTCGTCTGCGAGTTGGAATGCAAGAAGATGAGCGGTAAACGGATGATGGTTACTACAACCACAATAGTTCCCACAAGGAAGAGCAATGTCAACTGGACCTTTCTAGTGAAGGATTTAGTCAAAGCCTATGAGCGGTCAAAGAAGAGTGAGGCCGTGGCATACGTTTGGAAGCTGAGGGTGGACATCTTCCAGAGCATCGGAATCGGAAAGAGAATCAAGGCAAGGTCTGTGGCAATGTTGAGGATTGCCATCGTCAGAAGATTCTTTGTCCCCTTCTGGCATGCATCTAAACACGAAGAGCTGTGTTAGATAGTTGGCTTCAAGCTCCCTTTTGCGGAGATATAGGGACTTACGCTTCGTCGGTGCCCAATATCTGTGAGGAATGAGTCATTGGATGCTATTTCCAGTAAATCAAAGGCCGTAGGATTCTTACAGTGACAATGGCCTGCATTCAAGCAAAGTGGCCAGCACTATGACCAAAAAAGATACCACGATAAAGTACCAGAGCGCACGCCTGGCTCGATGGACCCTGTTTGAACCATTCTCGAGTCGCGAATAAAACTGGAGGAGGCATAGTTTCATGCACCAGAGGCTGGATCGGGGAGAAAATGCGTCCGGCATCAGCGAATATGTTATTTTTCAAGGGACCGTCTGTCAACGGGGTGTTCATAACACAGAACGTACAACAGAGCATAAGCCAGCCGAGAAGGTATAACTAGTTTCTTCGCCACAACGTCATGGTGATGGGTCTTCGCTGCGCGGAGATCGAAGTACCACGCTATGCAGGCTGTTCGGGAGACTAGGGGTACAAGTGAAAAGGCCATCCAGCTGTCATCTGAGTGCCATCTCTGGTGGATAGCAGGAAGCAATTTGAAAGTGCCGAGGAGCCTGTAGGTACAGCGAAAAATGATCTGTATGGCAACAATCGTGGCAGCGGCCACAATCAAAGAAGTTTCTGTCGTCCATTTCATTGAATAACAGGCAAGTCATCAAGAGCGCTGTCATGAGAGACGGAGAAGAAGTACAACATTGATGAATACAATCAACCATAATAAATGTGAAAAGAGAAGAGCGAAGTCAAACTGGCGGTAGCTTCTCCATAAACCAGGTCGGATGGAACCCAAGTATGCTGGCGGGGACAAGGGAAACTTTATGCTCAACTTAACGTGAAGGGATCCGGGCGCAGCGATCATACGAACTGACGATGCCCCGTCGGGTTATTCTCTGGTTGGCGAACTGGATTTAACGAGCGAATCAGTTGCTCGGTGGTGGCCATGACAGGGTAGCTGAAGGCAGAACGCTGCTGCGACAGAAACGTTGTCCAACCCTAGAAAGGCTGTCGTACGTTGTTTGCATACAGCTGGCTGGCTGCAGCATCCCAGCATCATCCTGCTCTTGCTCCTCCCCCCCAGAGGGTCAACTAATCCCCACCATTTCGGATGTTGCTGGCCATTCAAAGCAGTTCGTGTGAAGGACCCCGTACTCCATCGCTTCAGGCCCAGATTCGTATCCACCAGGGTCCGGGCCGACCAGCCGAAGCCCCGTCTCCTCGAAGCCAGGGGCAAGTTCTCAACCCTGAAGCTCAATACACAACGAAATAGACTCGCAAGCGCACTGACGGGCTGTTGGGCGGCGCAGAGGTGTCCTGTCCTGCGGATATTTTTATTTTAAGCTTGCTCAGACGTCCCGGCAATCCAATCCTGCAGCACCCACGGACCATCATGGATGAAGGTGCAGGGATAACCAGTTAATCTCCTTCCGTCCGGATGCCATGATGAGGATAGCTAGCCTAGAGCATGCAGCAAAAAGAGAAACGTTTTCGTTGAGCATTTATCAGTCTATGCCGCTCCCAACTTTCCATCTCTCTACTGAGACGACGCCTTCGCAATGGCCATGGACGGTAGAGGAAAGGGAACATTATTGAATTCTTTGTTTGCAAAACCACTCTAGCAAAAGAAAGATGCATTCGCAAGGACCAGAGCGTTGGATATGGATCTTTTGACCGCTGGAATCAAAGGACTTGGGGAGTTTCAATTCTTTTAACTCTTTGTCTAACCATTCTTTGCGTAAAAGGCAGATAACTTCCAGGTCGGGATTGCTGCCCGGCTATCTCTGGGTACGATGTATGCACTCTGGATAAGATAAAGCATTGCAACAGCCAGCATCTTTGCTTCCAGCCACCAAAAATTGAGCGGAGCCGGCAAAATTTTAGGATTCAACATTCAATCATTGCGACGACACGGGTTTCTGCATATGGTGTACTGTCACCTCAGGCAACAAATCGGCTACTATTTACTAGTTTCTCATTGGACTATCATCCTACGTCGCAAGATTTTCATATTTAATAAGCTGAGATCAGAATTTTACGTGTTTGCTGAAATCGCAGTTGCACAGGCCTAAGCGAGAGTCAAAGCCATGCGCACATAACATCCCATCCGCCCTTCGAGACGAAATAACCATTGCCAGGGTGGATCCTGTATGATTGTCGCAGTCGTGCATCTGATACATTCATGCAGGGAAGCCACCACACCATAGCCCATAGCCAAAACTGCAAACGGCCAAGATGAAGCTCGAAAGCAAAATTTCAGATTGCGTCAGGTGATATTGGCGTGAGGCCACTCATTCCTAGAAATCTGCTATGTCACTGGCGCATTGTAAAGCCACTCATTGTGTCAAACAGTGGTTATAAGCCCATCATCATGTCTCGCGGGAATTCAGTGCATCAATTGAAGCCCATTACAAGTTCCGTGGATGTATATGGCGTTCGTTGGATATTATATATCACTCGAGTTTGTCCAAATGCTCCAATCTCGTCAGAACAACTTGTTTACTTGTCTCTTCGATCTCGCCCGCAAGAAAGACCTCATCAAGAATTGCATAGACCTAAATTCCGAACCGCCTTAGCCTCTGAGAATCGAATAATAATATACCGTATTAGCTCACCTTGTAGAAATTGAACACCAAATCCAACTCACACACATTCCCAAAGAATTGATCTAGGACCTCAACGAAGAAGTGAATAGCCTCTAAATACGCTAACTCATTGTCATTTGCGTCAACACATGCGCAGAAAAAGAGGCCTGCGTAACGGCGGTAGACGATTTTTGTGCTTCGTCGGAATTCGACGAAATTAGATTGGTACTTTTGGTCGCGGGGTGCGATGAGGCGGTGAACCTGTGCTCAAGGACCGTTAGTTTTAATGGACAAATTATGAAGCATAACGAGAGGACCATGCGGAGGGTTCAATGGAGAGGACCGTGGAATGCGAGCTGATCAATTGTCTCATACCTCGCCCTTGAGTCTCACTTTCTCATCATCCTGAGAGAAAATCAGTTCAGGTTACTCCGAAACGTTAGATACGGATGTCAAAAAGCGTACTGTATACGGCGCGTACCACTTGGCCAACCGGGTCTTCCCTCTTGGTGCGAGTTAACCTCCGCTGCCACACGATGGGAAGGCGAACTTACTGTCGGTTCTGAACAAGGATAAAGGAGAGAACCATGTCTCTATAAACTTCCTGGGTACACCTTATACTGTCAACATTGGGACTGGGCTCAGCTCAAAAAGATGAGTGAAATACGATGAGTTGAGCCAGATCCCCCTGATGAGCATGTCGTCTCGGGGATAACTCACCTATTCTGCCTTTTGTCGCCGCTTTGTTCCTGAGCTTTCCATCCAATGATTCTCGACAACAATGTTCGGGGCTGATGTACGGAGTAGACAGGAATCTTCGCTCTATATGTCCTTTCGTCCATGAAATTGGTGAAATTACATTTTCGTTCCCCCACAACCCATGGAAATACCTCCGCCGATTCGTCTCCACCGGTGCTACGGGCATGACGCAGGTGCAAATATAATTGCGCCGCGAATGGAAATTGAAATTGTATCAAACGTCAATAGACCAAATGGAATGCCGAAGATTTAATCATAGTGTTCTACTCCGTGCACATTTCTCTTTCGCAGGATGATACTATTTCATGATCCAGTTTCTTCTTTAGATTCATCATCCCTTTCGCTATCTTCTTGCTCTACACTATCATCCTCGGTTGCACTATCGCCTTCATCAGACTTCGGGAACGCTCTCTCCGGATCCCCATTATATACTACCCACCACCCGATATTCTCTTCCGGCGCCAAAAAGTCCCTTAACCTCCTCAATGCCTCCGGGCCCCCAGGAGAAAGCTCGGGTCCCTTCTCGATAATCTCGCCGATATTCAAACTCAGCATTTGGCCGGGTCGTCCTTCGTCCGGCATAGTAATCACCTTAGCAGCAACAAATGCGTATGGTTGTCTCAACGCAGTATCACCAATGTCGTCGGGATCGTATTGCTCTATGATACGCAAGTCCGGCAGGTGATACGGAATGTTGGGATCGATGCGCCTGAAAGATTGGAGAATGGCACGACATGTCGCTGGCTCTTGGAGATATTCGGCCGCTGCGTCGAGGAGGTTGTAAGAAACGATGTGCGCACAGATTCCCGGTGCATTCAATGTGCCCACTCGGGGCCAGCGAAATCCGTGGACGACGTAGACGACCATGGCAAGCAAGGTTCAATGGCAAGGATTGACGGATTTGACAGTCTGTTCCGAATCAATTTTAGGTCTCATCAAAATTTCAGATAATAATGAAGGGATTGTTTCATTGAATAGCGTAAACATATAGGAATATTCTTGATGCCATAACTCAATTACGGGGACAGGTGAAGGCTTATTTACGCTATGTACGGAGTACGGAGTAGACTCGGAGCTATTTAAAAGAGCTGTGGAGGAGCTCCAGCCTGTGGTTCACCAACGGCACCCTTGCAAAGTCTATCCGCTTCGCACAGAGATAAAGTACATCCACTTGCCACATCGCAAAGAGAGCCCTCATCGAAAAAGTTGTTTCCGAATAATATTGGGATAATAGCGCTGTCTTATAGATATGGCCCTGTTTGATTTCCTGGTGGTCTTCTGTTCAACAGGGCCAGATATCCTTCCAGGCGGGGATAAATATCAAATCTTGCTCGCTCGTCTACGTGTGAATCGATAAATAGCAAGAAGCACTCTAGGTGTGTGACTCCGCATCTTCTAAGTTAGCTTGCAAGACGATCTTGAAGCTTTCTTTCTTGCTAACCTCCCCTGCTTGTTGACAAACTGCTGCCATTACAGCCGCTTCACATCCGATGCCGTTCATAGAGAAATGACATTCTACCATATTGTCATGAGGCGTCAAACGTCCTATATAGTTGATTCTTGGTGTCTCTTCCAGACTCTATCAAATGTTTCTGCGCAAATTGCGTATTCCCGAATGAAATCCCTCTCCAGGTCATGCGTTCTCTTGCCCAAGAGGATCAAACAATGCAAAGGCTCGCCCATATCTGTCTCAGTTAATTCTTTCAGGGTACCAACAGCCAATTTTTGATCTTCGGCGCCAACCCGCGCAGCGCCTATCGCAAGGCTATCAGGCCCATAAACCCCCTCCTTTCGTTCCTCTTCTATCTCAAGCATTTGGCCAGCGCACTGTGCGACAGTCATATACCGAGGAGGCTCATAAACCTTTCTGCCCCTAGCCATATTTTCCAAGGACTGCTCTTTCACTTTGATATCAAGTAGCACAAGCGTATGAAGGCCAATCTGGATGTTTTCCTTGATTCTGTCATAGAAAGACGATGGTTTCCAAGTTTCGGTGAAAAATACCATACTGACTGTTTGGCCAAAATTGTATAATTGTAACCCAGTACAGCCAATTGCCGACATGATTGACGCGTTCGGTATCGATTTCGTCTGAATGCCGAGCTCCCGAGCGCGAAGGACGAGGTCGGTGTGTGTTGTAGCACTGGGAATTTGAGCATTCGGGTTCTCCGAATCCCGGGCGGGATCGACTCACCCGAACGGATCACCGACGACTAAGAAAGCAATATCTACTTTGTCTGCTTCGGCTAGTATATCATCACTACCAGATTCAACAGCTTCGCGATCTGCTATTATCACTGGCCTGCCGTAGAAAGCTTCCTTGAAGACCAAAGACCGGGTATTAGCGTGCAATCGACAATGCTCAGTCATGGAGGCTCACCAATTTCTCCTTGTCAACGAGGAGTATACTGGTATATGCTTCTAGATATACTCGTTCCGCCTTCTTGACGACCTCTAGTCCTTTCACCGTAATATCCGTCTCATCAGCGAGACCCAGTCCCACCAGGTAGAGCATTATGGGAGTTAAACGTGATAATAATTTTAAGGCAGATTTTAAGAGGCATAAAAAGGTTGAGAAACAAAATCTGGTGTCTAGCACTACGCGGGAAAAGATGGGATACAGCGGGGTGTTTTCGTACCCAGCAAATTGTCCCGCTTGCTGATAAGATTGCGGAAAATCAATGATCCGAGATAAGATGGTTCCCGTCGGTCAACTTCCACGAGACATTACCGCATCTGGGAATAATCCACGTTCTCCGTAACCCCTGTGCCTCTCTCGCTGTTACAGGTTCCTTGTTGGCCCATTTATACTTATACTAGCCATTTTTCATTAAATTCCAAGTGAATACCGGTCTGTATCCCCATTCTGCGGCAGCATAACCGGAACCATGGCGGAAAGAACTCCGAAATACCGCCAGGAGATTCAACAGGTGTGTTTGCCCATACGTCACCCTGCTGTTCCTCTTCCATCTGCTATCTGTCTCATGGCATGGCATAGTTCAGCATGCCCTGGTATGTCCTGTTGGAGCCTTCCACTCCGCCTGCTGGTGAGCTCAAAGAATGTGTCTAGCAAAGTCGTAGGAGCAAGTCGGCCATTCTAGCCCTGGTGACTTCCGGCAGATGCCTTTTCTGACGGAATAATCCATGATGAAAAGCTTGTTATTCCCAAATATATACCCTTTATGTGCTTTTGGTTTCACACTACCCTTGCTATATGCTCTGTCTTGTCAAAAGGATCTTATCCGAAGCATACCCATCCAGAGTCTGATAACCAGGGCTATGAAGTGACAAGCTGAAAGGCTGAGTTCTTCATTTACAGACCTGGAAGTCCAGTGTTGCATCATTTAGGCTTGCGCCTATAGCAAATCTGCTCGAAAGCTCTTCGAATAGTTACCAAATGACAGATAGCCCAGCACTTTAGATGCAAGGTGTCTCGTGCACTGTGCACCATGCTATAAAAACAAAGCACGTGATATTTCCCTTTGAGATATCTTAGCTATCAACGATACATTGGATGCTCTCTTTAAGCCTCTGCTAATCAGCAAACACTTGAAGTCTTCTCCGCGGCCATTGTGCTTTCTGCAAAATGGATTCAAAGCGCGAGCGTGTCGATAAGTTATTGAACATCAAGTATATGAGGCAAGACTACAGCTTTGCAGCACATTCTTTGAGAGCTCGTCAGCGATTACTGGCACGTAATGGCAAACCTTCAGCAGAACCGAATCAGGACTATGAGGCAGACGGCTTTAGCTCGCATAAGGAGTTCATGACTGACGTTTTAGGAAAGATGATGTTTGTCTCTGGGGAGACTGCAGAACCATCTGTGGAGACCACGAGTTTGATTGAAGAAATCGTTCGCCAGCAAGTCATTGAAATGGTCAGAGAACATCTCCCGGTCTATGTCTGTTTATAAGCTAACCTCATACAGCTCATTCGAAGCACTGCTCTAGCGGCCCGTCGCGGCGTGAGATCTATTTCAACTGATGACCTTTTTTTTCTTATACGCCATGATAAAGCCAAGGTCTCGCGATTGAAGACTTTCCTGTCGTGGAAGGATGTTCGCAAGAATGTGAAAGATTCTGATGACAAAGGCGGAGCTGACGCAGCGGATTTTGGTGCCGGAGACGACCCGCTTGCGGGAGCTGCTCAAGACGTTGCTGCCAAACCGAAAACAAAACGCGCAAAAATCGGCCTTCCATGGGACCTTAATAACCTTTACTCTGTACAGGTTCCTGAACGTGAGGACGAAGAAGATGAGGAGGAAGAAGAACAGAATTATGCCACTCTTCAGCGTCTTGCGAATGCAGATGAACGGACTAAGAACATGACCCGCGAAGAATACGTTTTTTGGTCCGACTGCCGACAAGCATCTTTCACTTTCCGCAAAGCCAAGCGTTTTCGCGAATGGGCCGGGTTTGGTATCGTGACAGACTTTAAACCGAACGATGACATTGTTGATATTTTGGGCTTTCTCACCTTTGAAATTGTTCAGACATTGACAGAAGAGGCTTTAAAAGTCAAGGAACAGGAAGATCGTGGCAAGAAGGGACGTGGAGGTTCTGAAGATGGAGGAGAGAAAAGCAAGAAGCGCAAGCGAGAGACAGGGCTGTTTGATCCCCCTGAAGAGGGAAGAACCCCCATTGAGCCTAGACACGTCCACGAAGCGTTCCGCAAGCTTCAGGCCACCTCGAATAAGGCTGTCGCTATGTTATTGCATGGAGGCCGCGCCCCCGTTCGCACACCATTGAGATTGGTATGTTACTTTATCAACTGATCGCTTTCCTAACATGAATATGAAACTGAATCCATTTTTTTTAAAAAAAATAGATTTGATGCTACATGCGGAAAGGTTTAGGTTCTGGAGCCGGAGTTCAATGGGCGAGGATTACTTTTGACAGGTGGTCTACTAGAATTGGGAATGGGAGATACCCTCGGAGTTCGCGGATCGGTTAGTCCTACTGTAAACCGGATCGGTTGACTATGTGATTTGAATCAACAGTTTATCAGTTTAACCTCACTAGCAGCCTCGATGCCAGAAGCTAATAATTTATTACCATTCTTCTTCATTCTATTAATCTATCAACCATGGTATGTTGAGAGAATCATGTATTCCCAAGGTTAAAGGAAAAGAAGAACGCTAGGTATCCAAATATAGAGCTGTGATCGTTCTTTTCGCCTTCAATGCTATGACCTTCCGGCATAAATATTCCCAAGCACAACAGCTAGTTCACTCAGAAATCTCGACACTTCTGACTCTGTGCCGACTGTGATCCTCAAACACCCTTCGCATCCATATTCCCTGCCCCTGAATCGGACCACAACTCCTTTGCTCTCTGCAAGGGATTCGTATACAGCTAGAGCAGTCTTGTTACAAGGCCTACCGCCTTCTTGTGCAGGTTTGTCGAGAATTTCCACAAGTAAAAAGTTGGAATCAGTTCCACCAAGGAACCTACCCACGCCACGAACTGCAGGCAGCTCTTTCAACAATCTATCGCGTTGGATAAATATTTTCTCCCTGTTACTTCGCATAACCTTGAGGTTCGCCAGCGAGAGAGCAGCTGTTGCCAACGCGCTGGTAGGGCTTGAGATGTTATAGGGAGCCTTGAGGCTGTTCAACAGCCTCGCAATCTCCGGGCTCGTAAATGCAGCTCCCAACCTAATCCCAGCCAGGCCGAAAGCCTTGCTCAAAGTCTGCATGACAACCAGGTTCGGCCATTCAGTGACCCATTCTGCCAAACTCGACCCTTCAGGAGCAAAGTCTATATACGCCTCGTCAACCACGACGACACCATTCCAGGTAGGATGCTCTAGAACTTTCTGGATATCCGCCTTCCGAATTAAATTCGCTGTAGGATTTCCCGGAGAGCAGATATACACCAGTTTGATATCTGCTTGCTCTGAGAGTGTCGTATTGATGGCGTCTGGGCGCAATTGAAATCCGTTCTCCACGTCCAGAGGTACTTTGATAATACCAACATCGTTGACCTGTGCGCTGACAGAGTACATGCCATATGTAGGTGGGCATGTTAGGATCTTGTCCCTCCCCGGTGTGCAGAAGCATCGCAGCAGGGCGTCAATCGCTTCGTCGGAGCCCACGCCAACGAAGAGATTAGACGGGTCGAGGTTCTTTTGGGTGTGAGTATGCGTGTTTCGGAGATCGCAAAGGAGTTTCTTAAGCTCGACCTGGTGTCTTTGATATTAATTTCATTCAAGTCAGCTCACAAAGTTGCTCTCAATTACTAAGTAGGGTAGGTGTGGCATGCTCTCACGGATCAGGGTAGCGATTGAGACCTAAAAAGTCGAGATCCGGGGCATTTTCGGTTGCAGTCACATTTTCCAGCTTTCCGTCGTCTGTTAGGACCAAACTGGGACCGTATGCATTCTCGTTTGCGTCGAGAAGGACATTTGTTCCGTCATCCTTATAGTCACTGACTCATGTGAGCTGAGACTTGTTATCTTACACTGCGGGGTCAAGCTTACTCTCTTGCACATCTATATGGCTCTAGCTGAAGAATGTTGTGCCTTGCACATTTTGTTAAATCAAATGGGCTTTGTTTAGGCATGTTAACAATGCAATCAGGGCCAGTTGCAAAAAGGTGAACAAGGTTCGCTGGATTTGGTCAGAGACTGATTCTGTGTGCTGGTGGCGGAGTATGGTACGGAGTAACTACGGAGTGCTCAACTTTATAAAGATTGGGATGGTTATGTGGTTTTGACCCTACAAACGATGAGTCATTGGAAGAGTAAAAGGCAATCAAGACTGAATCTCAATTACTGTTGCTGTGATATATATATACAAAATCCACTGGCATTACCCTCTAGCTTGCCCGTTCTATGTTGATGCCCAAACGCCAGAATATGCTTGCCCCCAAGCTGGACTTTTCTCTTGCTTGAACGCGATATCAACATAATTTGAGGATTTCTCAACCCTCAATTGGTGTTATATAAGAATACGTAAGAAATGAATTAATTTTTTAATCTGGCTTGGATTTGTTCGTCGAGTCGTCATGATCGGTGCTAGACGACGCCTTGGACTTGGAGTATTTGTCTCTTTTCTCTTTCAGGTATCGGAACATCCTTCGAAAGCCGGCGGTCACGATTCCTTTGATGCTCTGACTTGTACTTGGCCAAGAGATGGTCTTTTTGATGGATTTAGCGACTTCCTCCTTCAAATGATCCTCGGCGGCAATCCTTCGGTCAAAAGCTGTTCCTTGACGGCGATGTATGCGTTCTGGGTCTTCATCCGTGGCTTGTTCCATCATCTTGTTGAACTCTGCTCGAGGTATTTGAAACCGGGACTGGTACTGGAAATAAAGCTTCTCCCGGAATGACTGCGGCAATCGGCGGACCATATTTCCTCGCTTGACCGGGTCCATGTCTTGTGCTAACTTAACATTGGCTTCCGGGTTATCTATCCAATCGGGATCACTGCAGCTTGGATCGTTGAAAGCAACGTTAGGCAGAGTATCAATTAACGGAGCATATAATCGGCGAAAGTTGGCCATTTGTGCAGACACAATATTCGTGATTTTTTTAGGATCTTCTGAGCCAAACGACATTCGCGGATCTCCCATATAGCTGATACCCGCAATAGTGGTATACAGTTGGGATTCAGTAAAATCGGGTGGAAGAAGCAATAGCGCAACACGGACGGCGGAGAGAAGATTCATTTGGTTTGCGAGCCGGACCCTGGGATGATCACGCAAAATTTTAACTGGTTTGTGTAGGCGTCCAGCTATGTAAAGGGTATCCCATTCGCTAAGGTCCTTGCACATGGTATCAATGTTGACAACTCCGTACTTTATCAGAGTCCCATTCACGGTCACGTAAGGGTTGAAATAGACGCCGGCACCCCATTTGTCCTGCACCTGAGAGACCACGTATGATCCTAGTGACCCGATAGCAGAATAATGATCGCGATGCTGGTTCAGATTAAGGGAGTGCCAATGCTGGCTGTAGGAGACTCCAAATATAAAATCAATCATCTTCCCTCCGCCTTGTTGCATCCTCTGAATGGTGGGTGGAGCAGCGGGGTGGCAGCTTTCACCCGTTGCTGTCCCCGACTGCGGGAAAACCCCAGAACCGTATGCAAAAGCATATCTAATCGGAGCCCGAAACTGCCATAGTATCTGACGCAATGCTTCTTTGAATTCCTGGTTGATGATCATGTGCTGATTGGACCCGAAGTCTCTTGTTGGCAGTTCAGCAAACGAAGAGATGGAAAAGTCCGGGTTTTCCTCCCAATCGGAATCCTTCCACGAACCGACAATCGACGAATTGGAAGAGTTGCTTGTCTGTGTAGAAGTATGCGGGACGTTATGGTGCTTTGCACTGTTGTATCCTGGGGGAAGCCCGCCATCTTGGCGCGGTGGATTGGGGGTTGGCTCTGTTGAAAGTGGCCGAGAAAATTTTGGAAATAAGGTGAAATAAGAAGAAGACCGTGAACAGGAAAGGACGGTGTATGCAGATGCGCCCAGCCTGGGACCTATGGTCTTTGTGAATCCCCTGTATTAGCATCTTGGAGTAGCTTGGGTTCCTTGGGGCTCGCTTACATAGAGCTGCCGCATAGCGATCGGAAGAGACGGAGGGTACAGCGAGAGCTGCAAATATATTGTGATATGGCGAACATGGGCATTCGCACTCAAAGCCTTGTATTCGCACCCGCCATACTGAACAGGATGATCAATCCAAGCGACAGGAAGGCGATGAACCCGGATTTCTCAGGACAGCCCGATCGCCGGAAGGCTTATATAATCAAAGTACAAATTATCACATGACATTCATTCTGGTCGCGGTACATTAGTCAGCGGCGCGCGTGTGGAAATCCAAACAAACGGCTGGGGTGTAAACACAGCACACTCAGCGATTCATCCACATAACGGCGGATCTCGGGTGCATTCGGGGTTTCTTGAATAGGTGTTTTGGATTCTACAAATGATTTTGATAAGATAAAGCCCCTTTTTACGCCATGGCACAAACTGGAATGGAGACGGTTTCGGCACGACTCGCAAGCTTCAAAACTGCGCATCGACCAATATCGAAGGGGAGGACCTCCGGCGCAAAGACAAAGCCCATTACCTGGCCTCATGTCAAACCATCTCCCGAAGAGGTATTCATCACTGTGCCGAAGGTTTCTATTCTTACCATTAACACGCTTTCAGTTAGCGGACGCAGGGTTCTACTACCAGCCAACGGAGATCAGCCCAGATAACACAGCTTGTTTCCTATGCCGATACGCGCTGGATGGTTGGGAGGAGGATGACGATCCAATTACAGAGCATTTAAGGCATTCTAGAGAATGCGGATGGGCGATTATTATGGATATAACTCGACGCTCTTCCAATCCAGCGGAGATCGTGGACCCAACAAGTCCCGAGATAGCCGAAGCACGGAGGGCCACGTTCGGCACATGGTGGCCTCACGATGGCAAAAAGGGATGGAAATGCAAGACTGAAAAGGTTGGTTTTAAAAGCGACCCCTTATTCTTCTTTGTCAATTGGACTGGTCTAACGTGGATGCTTTACCAGATGGTTGAGGCCGGGTGGTATTTATGTGCAACCGAAGAGAGCGATGATTTTGTTAGCTGTGCATATTGTAATCTATCATTGGATGGCTGGGAGCCTAAGGACGATCCATTGTACTACTATCGCTGACTTGCTCTTTTCTGGATGGTTTGCTAACTTGCGATTTAGTGACGAGCACTATCGTCGGTCTTCTGAGTGTTCCTTCTTCCATTTTGCGCCTATACCGGGGAAGAAAGGAAGAACCGGTCGTGGGAAGAACACTCGTTCATCGAAAGCTTCAAGGAGCTCCACGCAATCGACTCTAAGTACATTCTCAGAGGCCGAAACAGCAGATCTTGACAGCGAGGTGGAGCAAAGTTTGCTCTCTCAATCGGCAAAAGAGACATCAAAGAGGACTTCAAGGGCTGGAGCGAAAGGAAAGAAGATAAAAGCAAAGGTAAATGAAGCGGTTGTGGCTGGCAGCCGAGTAGAAGACGATGCAACAATGGTCGAAAGCCAACAACCAAAAAAACCTAGAGGAAGAAAGCGGAAAAGTAGTGAAATGATTGACAATGAGGGATTCCAAGAGACCTCAAATTCAGACGTTCGTCCAGAACCAGCAACTAAAAAACGCGCGACAGGAACCCGAAAGACCAGTACCGCCAAAACTCGAGCCATTTCTGATCTAACAGATGATGAATTGAACGGGCCCATTGAGCCAGTTAAAAGCGAAAAGCGATCAAACAAAAAGTTGACGAAAAAGAGGAGTACATCCAAAAATCGTGCTCAACCTGGTGCCTCTAAAGACCCATTAATTTCCCGGATTCCAAATGATGCGGAAATTGATGCGGAACTAGAAGCTGACTTGGAGAGAGATGGTATCGATGGGGTCGAAATAAAATCAGGGACAGGATATGAACATGATGCCCCTGTAGCGCCCATCTGCAGAGTGTCAAAGAGAGCGAGTGATACAGAGGAGATTGAAGGCTATGCTACTGAACCAATTCAAAAACCAGGCCGTAAAAAAGCCCAAGGGAAAAAGAAAACGGCAAAGATAAATGAAAGCCAACCTCAAGACGATACCGAAATGCGCGACGAAGTCCAACATCCTAGAATCACAACCGATGCTTGCATGGATTTGGACGATGATCAAATTTCACCTCACAGTCTTCCAGTGGACGAAGCGGTGGACGAAGTCTGTAACGATGCACAATCCTTGAAGAAGGCAAAACCAAGCCGGAAGCAGAAAAGATCGCGAAGCAAGGAAGAGGATGCCAGGGAAGAAGAGGCTTCTGATGGTCTGGCTCGAGATTCTGCCAATCTGAGGAGATTAGGAACGCAAAGCGTATCTGAAGACCATATTCCCTCGGAAAGAACTGCACCTAGTCCAGTCGATTCGACGCCTTTTCAAGCCCAGGAGCGTACGCCCTCCCCATCTCCGCAATCCTCAGATGCTGAAAATCGTCCTCCCTCATCGAGGCCCGAGGCCTTTTCTATACCGTTAGAACCGAGCACGCCTGCTACATCGGCACAAAAAATATTTGACCAGTCAATATGCTTATCAACTCCTGATCCTTGGGATCCGGTCGACCTGGATGATTTATTGCAACCTGATTCGGCTAATAAAGAGAACGTTAATCTGAGTGAAATGCTGTGTGCAGCTAAGGGCGACTTAACGAGCCCTGAGAAGCGTATGAGTGTTGCAGAGTGGATAGCATGGAATGCTAAGAAAGGAGAATCGAAGCTCCGGAACGAGTGCGAGAGGATGGTCAGCCTTTTCGAGAGAGAAGGCGGACGAGCAATGTCCGTACTCGAGGAGATCGAATGCATCGATTGAAAGTTATGGTTTTGGCGTTCTTGGATCATACCCCGGTGTCGATATTTAAAGTTAGCGTGGGAATTCATAGGCATATGACCTTAATCGTCGTAGAGTAATTAGTTCGAATATCATGCCTTCGGCTGCTTCTCGATTCCAACGTTCAAGATATAATTCCAAGCCGGCCCTCCCAAGAATCCTCTTGTTTAATCCCATTCTCTCCATTTTTTCCAGTTTTACGCCTCTTTTCATTCCGCTTCCTTCTCCTCTCCTCTCTCTCCCTTTCTTCTTCTTCCTCTCTGATCTTAAGTCTTTGGTTGAGGTCAAGCTCTCCTGCTTTTCTTTCCTCTTCAGCCTCCATTCTCCGTTTGTGTGACAGCATTCTCAGTCTCAGTCGAACATCTTCAACGCCGGCTCTTACAACCTCTCCACTTTGACCAGTCGCGATCAAGTGTTGCTTGCTATTCAAATGCTCCACCAGTTGTATATTGTCTTTGAACGTAAGGTCGCAGTCAGAACAGTAGAATCCAGCTCCACGGCCACGTTTGCCAACGGCTGCGCCCGCTGGTACAATGGTTGTCTTCCCTACCAGCGACGCGACATCGAGTCTCTGGGTACGCGACGTTGTAGCCTCGAGGGTGCTGTAGTCAACTGGCGCGTGGTATTTCTTGCCCAGAAGTTTGGCCTCATAACGAGCTTTGGATTCGGCTTTCGCTTTGGCTGCGTCAACAGCGGCTTTTTCGTTATACGCTTCACGATCCCAGGTCTTGCGAAAAGCAGTGTCGGAAGATGGAGTGCCGTAGGCGGACTTTTGAGCCTTGGAGTCGCTCATTTTTGCGAGGCGTGTGAGAGTATTTGAGGGGAAAGCGCGAGCTGCAAAACTATCACTGGATCAATGAAACTGATAAGGGTAGATCAAGCGAAAAAAGTGGGATCGCCCTGTGCACTCTCCGTCGAGTCTGGTGAGCTGCTGGAGCTGAAGTTCTTCCGCGCTTGTGGCGTTCGATAAGATAACAGATCGGTCACGTGATATTAAACTGGAGAAATGATAAACCGAATGGACAAGCTGGATTTGATCCAAGAGAGTCATAGAGATCATCTCACATTTATACATGCATAGTTGGGGTCACTATTTAGCTCTGGTAGATTTAAGTGGTCAAAGAGAGAAAGACAGGCACAAATGGGCTTGGTCGAGGAAAATAAGAGCTCAAGCCAGGATCTTTACCAAGTTGGTGGCCAAGGTCACAAGAACACCTATGTATGTTCGAATAGCGACATGGTGGACCTAGCATCCCTTACAGCGATGAAGCACGAGGTAAACGACTTTCGAATTTAACATACGCTTTTCAAAGACCTTACGGATTCCCTTGCACAATTGGTGCAGTGGAACATGGTTAGATAGAACCTTGCAGACCGGGCGATATCGTTCCAGATTACTCCGTAGAGAAAGACAAGAAATCTGAATCCAATTGCTTTCTCTTCGTACTCCAAGTTGAGAAATTCAGGGGATCGGCGAGCCAAAGCTGCAAGGGGGGTGTTTGTTGTGTTTGTTGTGTTTGTTCTGGTGTCGATCCACAAGCACGGGCGCCAAGTGAGCCTTGCGATGGGGGAAGGCAATTCCAGCAACAACAGTTTTAACCGCTTGATGTTTCAAAGCCCCATTTTCAGGAATTCTCGCAAAGGGTTTCCTGGTCCATAAGAATTCGCCAGCCTTGTGCAAGCGTTGCTTGGTGGAGACAGACAGAGTCTTAGGGCCTTGACTTGTTAGCTCGTGAAAATCAAGTGGCTGCGCCGCAGGCAGCATAATAAAGAGCGAAGAACTGTCCTCTGCCTCTATACTTACTAAAACACAGGAATATATAACAAGCTGTAGGATCACCTTGATTTTCTCATTTGTTCCCTGTCCTTCAACCATCTTCGTCACCACGAGCCCGGCTCCTTACAATGCTTCAGGACAAACCCTCAGCTCTTCCGCTAGCTTCAAAGCCGGCACAAAAGGGCAACAATTTCATGGATTTACCCCCAGAAATGCATCTTCACATCATTTCACACCTCTCCTATCCAGATGCGTTGGCTCTCAAACACACAAACAGCTACTTTTACTCCCTCGTCACAACCAATGTCCAATTCAGAGTGAATTGGATCATCGAACGTGTTTCTTCCGGTTTACCCATCCTATGGAGGAAGTGTGAATTACGCACCGACGAATCTTTTTGTAAGGGCGATGTTAAGCGCACCATGGAGAGGAGAAGGCGGCACAAGGAGTGCAAACCTGGTGATGGCGGATGTGCTGTCGTCGCGGGTTCAAACTGTGGTGGTGGTTCTTCGGAACTATATTGGCAATTCAGGAGGTGTAAAGTGCTGATGAGAAGAGCGACAAAAATTGCGTTGGAGCATCAGAGTGCGTTGTCCTTTGCCTACTAAAACATGCCTTAGAGCCTCACTGCTAATGTTGTGAATAGTGCTGGCCATTGGCTTATTGCTTTGCATTATTGCTGTCCTCTGGCAGATTCTATTTTAGGCACTCTAAATATACACCCCCAAACTGAATCTGACAACTATGTTGTTAGTGTCCTAACAATGACTCTGGTTCTCCCAACTATCTGTGCTCACGACGGTCTCTCAGAGTATGAAAAAGTGTATAGACCTGAATCTCAACAGCAAATTTGAACGACTTCGCAAATTGGGGAAATTCTGATGAAGAGCCGCCGTGTGAGGTCAGTGATGAACCAAAGATACTAGTTTCAGTGGGGTTATGATGAGGGTTCTGCTCCATTTAATAAACTCACAACGTCTTAGCGGTTACTGTCAACCAGATAACACCGGTGTTAAGGCGGATATACAGAAATTTGAACACAAAGGAAACAGAACGTTCATAGCCAGATATTGTCAATGTATTTGAAATATACCCCTGAAGTCTTATCAATCTCCTTCAACTGAGAGTGATTTCCATGCCCGGTTCACCAGGCCTGCCAAAATGACGGAGAAACAGATAGTTAGATATTGCTTTCCAGGAAGTTGAGCGCAGCATGTTGTGAGGATTCCGACAACAAATATTAAAGACTCCATCCCCTCCAAGCGATAGTGCGACCTCCAGGGTCACCAATCTCACTAAAATGGCCACCGAACATATTCGATGCCCGCCTCCGGAGGCCGATTCGCCTTACGATATTGTCCATTTCCTTTGCGGCGATAAGGATAAACCAGAGTTGTCCGTGATGTGCTACGACAAACGGTTCGAGATACTAGCATTAGCAAAAATTCTTGACAGCTGTCCGTGTATCAAAGCTGATTTCTTGCGCCTATTGGACGATCTTTTATCCATGGATGCTGACAACTTCGAATTCAACCTCGACAACACGGATACGATGGAGGAGATGTGCTACTAGATGGCAGAGGCATGCTTTTCGATGCTCCGATCTTTGGCGCCCTGTCTAACGGGCCTACGAGTGATAACACTGGAGGAATATTACAACGCTCAGACAATTCACTTGACCATTCAGGTGATTGATGGGAAGTTGACTGGAACACAGTCACCGCACGAGCCACAAGACCTCAAGCCGCACATCCAGCTTGCGGACGCTATTATGAGTGTCGAGGTCCGCTGTTTACCATCCTTCCAGAGTGAGATTGCCCTGGGATACAGAGAATAAACGACCCGCGCTACCGTCGAGAGTATTTCTCGATGACTGAGACAGGGAACTCTTCTTCAAGCCATCTTACCGTGGGAGTTCAAAGCATTTTGAATGTGAAATCAACATCTTCCTCCGCCTGCAGAAATCTGGACTTGGTCACCGCATCCGAGCACCCAGTCTCCACGATTTCGTTTCCTTAGGTAAAGACAACTCCGAAATCTCTGGTATTCTGCTCTCCTACGTCAAATTTCACCATACGCTGGCCAATCCTAAAGTTTTATTTGCAAGTCGTTCCCTTCGGGAACGGTGGGCCAGCCAACTGAAACTGATGGTCAACGCACTCCATCAAGCTGGCGTTGTCTGGGGGGGACATAAAACCGGACAACTTCCTTTTGGATACGGAAAACGATTCGTGGATTATTGACTTTGGGGGGTTCTTATACACCTGGCTGGGTGGATGAAGAACTGGTGGAAACAGTTCAAGGAGATATCCAAAGTCTTGCGAGAATTATCGACTACCTGAATGGACGATAGTGAGATCATGAACACATTTCTCAAGACCGCACATTAACAACTTCCACCCTCACTTGTACATCGCGGGATGAATCACGATCAACGGTAAAAAAGCTTATCCGTCTCCTTGCTCATTCCTGGTAATGTAACTGCCCTCCTCAGTAAGACCGAAGATCCCCGTCATTTTCTTTATGATAAGTTTTTCCTAGAATGTAAGCTATTGTAGCTGGAGTCAATTCCTTTTTATATTGAAGATTTGAGCTTATAGAAGTCAAAGCTCGTCATTCCATGACTCTAGGGGTGAATTTGGAATGTGTTGCTGGAGACACATTGAATTTCCAATTTACGTAGACTTGTTGCAAGGCACTGTACTCCGTAAATAACTATGGGTTATTTTGTAGTTAATGGTTCCTCGGCTTAAGAGAAGTAGCGCATCTCAGGTTCAAAGAGAGAAATCTGCCACTATCTTTGGCTGTGCGTATCTATTTCACTGCATTGATATTCTCAAGCTTCGCATGATGACTCTGGCACGCTCGTGACTTTTTGAGGGCAAACTGACACCTGCTTGACTGGCGGTGTGGAGAACTGACTTCGGTCTTGGTTGTAGTTAAATAATAGGCGCCGCCCGCGAATTACGCTCAGTGACGATGAAATCCGCAACCATGCAAGATTGCCCGAGGTATTTACCGCCGGGCCGTGTACCTGTCCCACGGCCATCGGCCGGCAGCATGACCAGTGCAGACGTTCAGTTAAAATACGCAATGAATCTCGGATTCGACTTCAAAATAAAATGACCATATATCGGATAACGCCGTGGTCCGCCGCTAGCTACCCCCCCAGATCAAGGCCAGCAGACCGAGGCCAAAGCCGTCGACAACAATGTCAGGAGACAACCAACAACCTCCTCTCTGGGTTTCTCCCGACGTGGGTAAACATCCCATCGACGATTACCGCCGACATGTAAATAAGAAATTCGGGCTCAGCCTTGAAAATTCTCACCATCTCCACCAGTGGAGCGTCACGAAGCCCCATGATTTCTGGATTGATTTATACAAGTACGTCGGGATAGTGCCGCCGCTTCCACCGCATATCACCCGCGCATACAATGATTCCGTGAAACTCAGTGATGTTCCCCGATTCTTTGAAGGCGTGGAGCTTAACTACACGGAAAATGTGCTGGAAGGCAAAGACCCCGATGCCATTGCGCTTATTGGACTGAGAGAGTTCGACTTCTTGCACGGCGAAAATGTGACCTGGAGAGAGCTGAGAGAAAGAGTTAGACGGGTCAGGAGTGCGTTGATTCGAAACGGGTTGAAGCAGGGCGATCGGGTGGCTGCCATTATGTCTACATCGGTTTGGGCGATTGTGATTTTGCTCGCGTCCGCGTCCATGGGGGCGATATTCTCGTCGATATCGCCTGATATGGGTGAGGCGGTATGTATACCCCATGATGCAAGATTTGGATAATTGGAAAAAGTTGCTAAGAAATGATTCACCAGGGTTGCGTAACAAGACTCCAACAGATTGAGCCTGCTATATTGTTCGCGGACAGTGACATGTCTTACAAGGGTAAGACCACATCTCTTGACAAAAAGATCACGTCTGTTGTGAAAAAGCTGCCCCAGACCATGAAGGTCTTCGTCATTCCGATCACTAGTCAGAGCACCACTTCCTTCCCGCTGGTGAATGAATTCCTTGCGAAAGCTCGAAGCTCGGACCACCTAGAATACAAGCGTGTTCCGTTCTCATACCCTGTATACATCCTTTATTCAAGTGGAACAACAGGCCAGCCGAAATGTTTGGTGCATCAGCATGGTGTCGTTATCCAACTTAAGAAGGTTGGGTTGCTGCACTATTCCCTCGGACCAAAAGAAGTTGTATTTCAGTATTCGAGCACCTCATGGGTACTTTTTAACATCATGAATGGCCATCTCTCGGTTGGCGCAACAGTAATCGCTTATGATGGCTCCCCATTATGGCCTGATGCAACAACTATGCTCAAGATTATTGAGAAATTCAGGTCAGTGTGACCATCGAAACCCCGAAATGTGGCTCATCGCTGAATTTATCCAGGGTAACGTATTTTGGCACGTCTCCACGCTACCTTTTGGAGCTGGAGGCCTCAAAGATCGTTCCACGCGATGAATATGACCTCAGTTCTCTGCGATTAGTAACGACTACCGGAGCGACGCTGACTGCGGATCAGTTCAGATGGTTTTATCAAGCATTCCCCCAGATCCACCTAAGCAGTGTCGCTGGGGGAACAGATATTGTCACCTCATGTTGGTCAACCTGCACCCAAAAAAAAAAAAAAAAAAAAAAAAAAAAAAAAGCGGACGGTCGAGTGCTAACTGTCTTTGATATAGGGATATCGTGTGACCCTTCAAGTCCAGTATACGCGGGAGAGATGCAGATGATCGCCCTTGGCATGAACGTATATGTTGCGGATGCCAATAGCGGAGAGGATATTACAAGAGTGAGGTGACCGCTCGCGAGTCTGTCTCAGCTTGGCTAACCTCTCTATAGACTGGGAAATCAGGAGAATTGGTCTGCCCGACTCCTTTCCCATCAATGCCCGTCTTCCTCTGGGGAGATAAGAATAATAAGAAATACAAATCTTCATACTTTGAAAGATTTGATAATATTTGCGTCTGGGCCCAGCATGACTGGATCAGCGTGAACCCAGCCACCCAGGGTATAACAATGCACGGCAGAAGGTATGCATGTCAGCTGAATGCCTTGAAACGCACTCACACTCATTCTTCTTTCCAACCAGTGACGGCGTCCTGAATCCCTCGGGGATCCGTTTTGGCAGCTCCGAAATCTACAACATCTCTGAAGGGCCTGCATTCAACTCCGAGATTCAAGACACCCTTTGTGTTGGTCGGCGCCGAAAACAAGACAAAGACGAAATTGTCTTCCTTTTCGTCAAAATGCGCTCCAATCAGCCTTTCACCACTGGCTTGGAGCAGCGCCTTCGTTCCGCGATACGAACGGGGTTATCACCGAGACATGTGCCGAAATTCATCCTTGAAGTGCCTGAGATTCCCGTGACGATTAATGGGAAGAAAGTTGAGACACCTGTGAAGAGGATAATAAGTGGGGACCAGGTGCAGGTAAGTTCAACAGTTGCAAATCCAATGTCGTTGGAATTTTTTGAGCAGTTTTCAAAGTTGGAAATCCAGTCAAGGGCAAAACTATAGATGATATCATACCATTTTTGGGAGCGCTCCGCACTCTGTGGATATGTATCTAGATTAAGCGTAGATTAGTACAAGTAGGTTCGGCAGCGGACAAGGATGCAAGTGAGCTTTCTGTATGCAATATCGAGGTGAGCTCATCGAGGCTCTGCATCGTCGTTGCCCCGGCAGATATTATGATCTGCAGCATTCGAATTCAAAACGGGAAACTGCTCAAGGGGTTGGTTGAGAGTTCACTTGGCAAGACTTCGCCCGTCTTTCAGGCGTTGGTTTCATCTTCTAGCTCTAAATGCCCGAACCACGAAAGTCTGGAGCTTGGACCCCTCGTCCATAGTGAGGAGAAGTTAGCCAACCTGCATGGCACAAGCAAGGAGGCCTTCATCCATAACACGCTCTTGAACTCCCCAGCTAAGATGTGCGCGCGAGATTATGCACGTGCATGCGAGACACACGATTAGTTCAACTGTTCCTTGTCATAGAAGCCTTAAGCCTGCGGTATCAACTATTTCGAGCGGGAATCCCGAAACAGCGAGTCGAATGCCTGTCGAATGAGGTCCTCGCCGTCTTGTGGGTGAACGTGCCGAAATAAGTTCCTTTTTCCCGTCTTTGGCTGTGAGTCGGATTTCAATTCGGACGTCCGCTTTCCTCACTTTCGGTTGAGAAAATTGGACTTTACGAGAAGTCAATGCGGGTGTGACATGGGGGAGTTGTGTTAGCAATATCCTTATGTGGTGATCAAAGCTTGAAGAGAAACATGGTTAGTCATAAAAGAGAGTAAAGACAGGGGAAGAGCGAAGCTCGTGTAAGGAGCTTGTAAATACCGAGATCCCGAAGCAGGGTTGAAATCGTCGCCTTGATCATTAGGTGCTGGGCAATTCAAAGGACGATGCTTTGGCGCCATGCAAGCTCATGATCATTCCTATGGAGGTGCCTTCGAGCTTCTTCTCAAACAACAGCCATTAGACGATGCAGGGATAAAATGCAAACTAATATGTACCTTCAAGGATTAACACTCAGCAAAAAGGAACGTTTGAAAGTTAGCCTTTAAGCAAAGGCACCCTTGTTTCCAGCGGGATCAGCTGAATTGCTTTTTCCTTAGGACTCGCCCTTAAGCTTGTTAGTTAGCTCTTGCTGCTGCTTAATCTGCTCCCTCTTGTGGGTGTCTCTTAAAGATAACACGTCGCTCATGAGGAGTAATTTCGGTATTGCAGCCCAGGAAGGAATATGGGGAGTTAGCCCGCCGACACTGCAACGTGCCCTTCAACAAAATGATGCCATAACAGGCAAAGGAAGCCACTGAAGTTCCATTCATATAGCTCTGGAGAGTCAAAGCGCTGAGACAATAGCTCTGCATGGGACCTTGAAGGTCATGTCCTTGGGTGTATCCTTCCCACCGCCGAAATTTTGAGGCAGGGTCATGGATGAAGATTGGGCATAGCATACCTTGAACCATTTTGTGATACCTCTCATCCTCTGATACATCGTGCGGCAGCGGAGAGCTTTCCCCAGGTTCCACTTTCTGGGGTGGACTGAGGTCACCGGATGATCGGGAGATCCGCAGTTGCGAGAACTCGTGGCAAGATGGAGAGGCCAAGATGGCATTTCTTTTGGGAGTTCGTTTATCTGTCTGGATCAGATTGGTGAGGGGCCGAGTTACAATGGGCCTGAAGGTGGCAAATCTCTCCCCCGCATCTCTGACCGCGCATCGATCTCTGGATCCGGGGCCGGTGGTTGCTGGACGATTGTTACTCTTTTATTCCCAGGTGTTAATTTTTAAATACAGCATCAGAACATACGCGTCCGGTTCAGTTCCTGCTAACCGCGCCACGTCTCTAAGGGCAGGTCAAGTCTCCCAAGCACGAGGCCGTCTTGCGTCTTCCAGACCTTCTCCAAAGGAATCAGAAGGATGAAGTTTTTGCGGCTGGACAGACGCCATTGACCGAATAGGAAGCGATCGACAATTTTGCGGAGAATTTAACAAATTTAAACTCGGGCGAGTTCTCAATTGCCGAAATGGCGAAACCACACACACACCCCAACCCGCCGAAGAGATGGGCTTGACACGTGCCGGCACTGTGACACTGTGGAAGAAGTTCATGTTTGAATGCCTAAAGGGACACATGAGCGCATCTACGAGCGGGAATGCAGTGCTTGACGCAACCAAGTTGTCATAATGCTGACAGAGTGAGTTAATAGCTGGTCAAGCTCCGGGAAAATCTGACATTCTATCTGGTCGAAAGGATTGGCCTTGTGCACATCCCTGTTGTTATTTGGCGTTGTTAAGAAGCCAGATTTCTTTTGTTTTTTTCGGTTGGCTTGAATGCGCAGAAAGACTAATTTAGTTTGCATAAGAGCTCAGCCAGACTCAATGTTGGCTCTGTTGAACCTGAAAAGGCTGCTCCTCTTCCTCCTCTTTGCGGGATGAAAATTATTCAAACATCATGTATAGAAAGTCTTAGTGTATGGAAAACCAGCGCGTCTTCGAGCCAAGGCCAGACTCGCGAGTCCTGTTACGAACCATGGTTGACAGCCTGTCAGGAGCCAGCAATCTAGCCGCGTCTGATCTGATTCCTGTACAAGCATGATTCATGTTCGATGAGTGAACCATGGTTGAGGCTCACAGAAAGGGGAGGTCTTCTGAGTGTTCACAAAAAGGGGCTGAGCGGCGACATTCTCGTCCCAAGTTTTTCCCTGTCGACAGGAGACGCTAAACAGTGACAGGGTTGATTAATGAAAAATAAGAGTCAAGACAAGAACCTCTCAGCGCCAGATGGCTCGTGACTTGTCGGCTTGGGTGACCAGGGTTGGACGCAGAGAGAGAAACCAACTCACACCGATACGGGGAGTTGCGGAGGCCTGCTGTATTTTATCTACCAACATCGGGGCTGGGAAGAACGGAACGATCTGCCGGATAAGACACGGAGGACCAACACACTGCCCAGCATCACCAGACTCCAGCCCAACATCTGCTGAGCAGCTGGTGGTGAAATCGACGATATCATGGCGCGGGAAGGCGAGCCGGTGTCGCTCGATGATGGGCACTGGGTGGCACAAGAGTCGCACCAGCCCGCCCCTCTGACAGTACGTAAACTTACACGGCCGGTTACATGACACGTGGAAATAGGCTTTTCAATGCCATACATCAGGACAGTTGTGCAGGGCCGTTTCTCAAGTGTTGCGGAGTGCATAAGGTCTTACGGGCCGCATACCGCGCTAGTAGTAACACTGGCGCCAACAAGTTTTCTCCCACCACACTCCCAAAGTCCCACTCCCACTTCCACGCAGCTGCCACTCGGCCGGCCCAACCAGAATTCACCCACCCGACGAATTTCCACCCAATCAGCACGCCGACTTTCCGCGTCCGCCCAGCATCCCGGTTTGGGCTGTTTGCGCTAGTAAGCTAGCGGTAAGTTATGTCGTAATGAGGTCAGAAGTTCCCAAAGCGCATTCGCCGGCCTGCCTCATCAGCACCGCCCGCAGGTCGCAGGTTTTGCCTCAATTCTCACGCTCACCGAAGCAGGAGTTCCTTCAAGATCCTCTTCGTTATCTTTTCGCGATCGCGCACTCTCACGGGATGAGTGACTGGGAGACAGCACAGATGATAGCGAAAAAATGGGCCGGGGTCCGCTCTAGAGCCAAGTAACCCCAGCCCACCGCCATCCTTTCCTAGCATCGCATCCCGGCTTTAGCTCCTCTTTGCTCTAGTGCCACCGATTAAATTAACGATGATACGGAGCATGGTCCTTATTTATTATCGAGGGTTGTCATGGTATTCACTAACGCCTCCGCCAATCGATTTCAATGTTTTCTCCACCTTTAAAACGTTCAAATACATTTCGATATCCCTGACCGTTCGAACGTACAGTACGGTGTTGGACCCATCTCTTCCTTGCCATTTCACCCATCCGCCGGCTGTGCGCTTCATCCACCTTGATGAACGCGCAAAGTCATCATCATTGACAATACCTGTAGATCCCACCCCGACTCCTTCGACTTCGCTTTGTTTTGTCCTCTTTTTTTGTCTTTTTTTTTTTCCCCTTTTCTTCTGCTACCCCAGTCGTTATCGATTCCATCGTCAGTGCAAAAGAAGCAGCAGCCATCAGTTTGCGGGGCCATTGCGGCCGAGGCTCTCTCTATCTTTATCTTGTCTTATCCACATGGTCCTTGCCGTTTATCGCCCCATTCGCGGAGTAGAATAGGGCGTTGGTTGGAATCTGAAGTGGGCTTATCTCGCGTGTCCTTCATGTTCCCGGTGATTGTGGAGGAAACGGCCGAATGTTGAACAGATCCGGGAGTGAAGAGCGCTGGAGACACCCAAACGTCGTCTATGATGACTACCCGAGCTACGTGAACACCTCTGCTGTCCTGAAGACAACCGTTTCAATTTCCTGACCCCTCCACGGAGGCGGTTCGGCGGCCATGGAGTCCACTCTGGCTCTCACTCGTCGTCTGTACTCAGATGCTCCTCCGGCCCAGTCCAGGAGAGAGACGAACCCGACGCTGCTGGTGAGCTGGTGGGCGACTGGTTTCTCCCTCACGATCATTCTCATCCGGGTTTGTGGTCGATATATCCGCACGGAGAGACTATTTCCAGAAGATCGAATTATGGCCTTGAGTATTATACCGCTGCTTATTCGCATGGGCTTTGTCCATATGGTTTTGCTTTGGGGAACAAATAATGCCGTAACCACGGGTTTTTCTGCTCAGGATGTATCGCACCGGGAGCTTGGGAGTAGGATGGTTCTGGGAGCCCGCATATTCTATGCTCTATTGTAAGCAAACCGCCACCCCCGACATTATTCAACAAATACTCGATGCCACCGTTCCTTTTGACGGAAATGAGCTGTGAAACTGACTCAACTACGCCTACAGCATTTGGACGGCCAAGTTCTCGGTTACGGCGTTTCTCAAACGCCTGACAGACCAGATATGGCGGCGTTCCTTTCAGCATGTCCTCCTAGCCATCCGCTATTTCTTGCTCGTCACATTCATCGCGGTTGTCCTTGCAACGCTGACTGAATGTCAGCCATTCGACCATTATTGGCAAGTTATTCCAGATCCTGGCCCCAAGTGCCGTCAGGGCTATGCGCAGCTGATCACCATGGGAACCTGTGATGTTATAACTGATCTCCTGCTCATCGGATTTCCCATACCCATCATTTTTCTTTCAGCCATGCCCACCAAGCGAAAAGTGTCGCTGATTCTTCTATTCGGGTTATCTTCGGTTCTGATTGCGATTACCTGCTACCGTGTACCATCCGTAATTTCACGACAGGGTTCGCAACAATATCGTTCTTTGCTTGCATCCCTCGAAATTCTCGCAGCGGCCGCGGTTTCCAATGCTATCGTCATTGGCTCCTTTGTTCGAGACAGAGGACTCAAAAAGCATAAATTCAAGGCCGGCTCCTTGAGCGAGAGTGTCGAGCAGGCATCTTCACGACGAGCAACTATAACCCACCACCACTGGGGTAGCGACGCCGACCTTGTCGGAGATCTCGGCATCCGCTTGGACCCAGAGCTTCGTTCCCCAAGCTACCAAAAGATCCGACCGGCTCCCGTAGCCATTCCGTCTGCCTGTTTGGCAAAGCGCGGGTCGATTGATCCGAACTGGCAATTTTCATATTCTCAAGCTCATGCCGATGACGATCGTACGTCTGCAACTGATAGCATGGGTGGTCTGAAGGTATATCCTCACGAGTATATAGAAACCAACGCCCACCCGTCCCCCAAAGACACGACCATGCCTCCTGCCTACATGTCACTGTCCAAAGTCTCCCTAAACGATGTCGGTGGTCTTCTCGATCCTCCCACCCCACCAGGGATGAGCGGCGCCCACGCTTCGCCACAACATCTACACCCCGACGCCCAGGATTCACGGCTGCCTCGCAGTCGGTCTCTTTTAAACGCCGTAAGCGGTCTACTATCCCCCGCCCCTACCTACTCCGGATCTTCAGAATCCTCGCTCCAGCGACCGTCGCCTCCCAGCGTCCGAAATTTTTCTCGCCCAACCACGGCAAATGGCACACCCAACGGTGCACGAGTCAATAGCCCAGCAAATTCACCACGATCTGGCTCTCCAGGCACTCCGCCGCGGAATCGACGTGCACAACTCACCCCATCCCGTGCTGGTCCCCTGCCAGAGCTCCAAGATCTGGGCGGACTCCTTAAGCAAAACGACGATGTTGAACGTAAGCCGCGTAGCTAACCGCTGTACCCTGATCCTTTTTATCCGACACATCCTTATCTATATATGCGACTCGATCTCCTTGCCTATTGTTGCCTTTTTCTTGGTTTTTTTTTTTTTTTTTTGTTTTTTGTTTTAAAGCTCGCTCACTGAGCAGCCCTAGCATGAGATATCACGTGTTATGGATCCCTTTTTGTTCGAATGGTCTGGTTTGGCGACGGTGTTGGGGGATCAGGTCGGTTATCGTACCATTCATCTGTACTATTATGAGGTTATTCACGGGCTGGTCACGGATTAATGATCTCCGTGACTATTACGCTTTTGTTCTTCGAAGCCCCTTTCTTTTGCACATCTGAACAGAAGGGGTAATTGCTATCTTGGTGGCAATCTGCACATACTACATTTATGGCATATATATCCCTCGATTGGATGCATATTTGTCAGCGAATATACCTCCTTACGCACAATGCCGTGGTTTCCCTTGAACGGCCTGGTTGGTTGGTGGCGCGGTTCGGGAACGGAGTTGATGGGTATCTGTCTACCGGCTAAGGTGGACTCGAGGCGTTGGATATTCCCACTGCACGGCTTGCATTATTTTGGCGGTTTATTTTTGGTCCAGAGCATTTGCATTCTTGGGATTCTTGTTGGTCTTACTCTATTAATCCTTTCGGCTTCAGCATGCTTGCCTGCAGCGCGACATATATTCATATGTTTCATACGCGAAAGGAAAGATTTTTTTTTTATCTCTGCTGCAAAGCACTGGGCCAGGACCCGAGGGCACCGACACTCTGGTTCTCCGTTGGGTGGAAATTTTACAAACAGCTTACAGTTAATGTACGTACATACACATACATATATGTACTTCCGTATGGAGTACAGCACCTTGCATATCTATGGAAATGCATTGGTATTAAATGGCACCCAGTCCTGAACTTATTCATACATACAAATTCATACCAGGGTAAACAACATGGTAGTCATCACTGTCCTCGAATCCCTTGTTTTCCTTTCTGTTTGGTTTCATTGCGTGTTTTGCCCATCCCTGGAAACTTAGCTAATGAGTGTTCCATTTTCTCTGATTCAAGAAAAGAAAAAGAGGGGAGAATATTCAGCCCAGCAGCGCGACTATGTTGTAGTGGTGCCGGGGTGTGATTGGAATCACAAATTACAAAACGTGTCTTATCTTTTTGCCTGGGGCCCCAGAAGGGGGTTTAGCTACCCGACTAGGGCCGCCCTCCGGTGCTTGCGCCTTTGTGTGTTGGTGAACCACGCGGCGGCCGCGATAACAACAAGGGGCTGTGGATGTGTAATCTGAGACAGGCAAAACCACTGAAATAGGCCTTGATGGGCAGAGGGCATCCAGGGGAGGCCGAATACTGAATTTCCCTTTTGTTTTAACTCAGGAGATTTGCCGCCTCCCTTTTGGCCTTTTTTTTTTTTTTTCCTTCGATACATTGCGTCGGGCGTTTCATGATTGACAGACAAGATGATTGCCATGCTTAATCGTGCCTTGGTCCTTACGAACGAGGTATCGAGTCCCAAGGACTGCGAATGGGTTTTGCGATCTTACGAAAAAGCCTATCTTAATTGAACTAATAATCCTCCTTCTTGTACACTGGACTGGGCGCAGCATGCGAAGAAACAATACAGTTCGTGTCCAATACTCCAGGGGAGGTACTGCACAGGCATTCACATTACCACCTATCTCGGCACGGAAATTAATGTCTCTGTCTTCACCTTTAGTTAAATAGGGGGTCTCATGTCCTTCCAGCAAGACGTTGCGCAACTTGGGATTTTGAATCTTGGCTGTGAATGGCGGACCAGTCTGACTGTCGTGAACCTTGACTATGTGCAAACGATATGATCTACGGGCAAGAGCTCAAATAGAAGGCTGTGGTGAGCGGCGGTCGTAAGGGATACGACATCGAAGCCTTTGGTTGTCCACCACGGTAAGCCCTTCGGCAATAGATCACTGGGGCCTCCACAGCTTCATCTAATCCGAAGTTGGAATCTATGTTGATGTGAAGCTTGCCAGACACTTCTGCAACATTTCACTCTTATTAAAGGGCAATGAGGGAACTGTGCAGAACCGTGCAGAGGTCATCATTATATCTTGCTGATAACAGATTTTCCACTCGTGTGCATATTCTTCACAGAAGAATCAAATTAGGAGATTGTGAGAGCGGCCCCCAAGCCAGCACCCACCCAGATGATGTTAGAATTCGTCCGCAACTCGCAATTTTAGGAATTTCGTGCAGACTCGAAGGATTTGCATCCGTATTTTCGTTCGGAAAACTCCACGAGGCCAGGACAAGTCAGCAAAACATAACCCCGATTTCCAGGATATTGCAACTAAATCTCCGCCAGCACGGTGCACCTCCAGTTTGCTTTCGGCTCCCCTGTGTTTCGCTGACTGCCCCCTTATTTGAGCTTTGACGCGTTGCCTGTTTCCCAAGAATAAATTATCCCTGCGTCGTGAAAGAGACCAAGACGCTCGTGCGGCATTCGAGACCTGGGCTGCTTTGAAATCCACACATCGTGCCCCGTAAGTTGGCCTTATCCCTGCAAGAAACATCACGAGAATTACCCGGGCCCAAGACATTAGCTTCTCCCGGTGAGCCATTGGAAGTAGGCGCTTTGATGTCAAGAGTTTACGGAAGTTGATTTATTAGTATCGTCCTTGACGGCCTTTCAGAGCACAAGTTATCAAGAAGTTAACCTTGAAGAAAGCAGTTAATATGTAAGCCTCCCTTCCATGAGTTCCTATGGGTTCCTATGAGTCCCCTTGTTGGATATAGCTTGAATGTTGGCTGTGCTGGGATTCTGGTGGTTTCAACTCATCCACTTTGCCTATAAGAGAATCCAGTAAGAGTCCAACTGCCTTCCAGAGGTGAGAGCAGAAGCTGCATGCGCTTCCTATTGGCCCGCACCAAATTCCTGCTAAAACCATGTGACTATAACTTCGACGCCCGCAACTTGGTGCTATCTACTCGACGTCCCTCGTCATCTTGTTCTGCTACCGTTAGGTCTGGCAGTTGGGCGGGCATGATCCTTCGCGGGTTGCTTCCGGGCACGACACTGTACTTTGAGAAGTCGGAAACACCCTTTTTACGAAGGAAGTCTTCATCAAGCTCGAGGCAACCGTTGACCTCCTCAGCGGGCGAGCGGAGCATAGCCAAAATCGCATCAGAGAAAATAGTCTGTCATATTTCTTTAGTTGAGTTGCGTCAACGAATATTAGGGCTCAAACTCCTACCGGTTTTCTCAGATCCCGTATGAAGTTTTGATCAGGTGTAGCAGCTGATTGGATTGCCTAATTTCGTGTGAGTATGGCCATACTATGGTTTTTGCCCAGAAGGTTTCAGGGAAAGGCTTACAACTGCTGGCCAAATGCTTGTAATTGCCATATCCTTTTTGCCTTCTCTTACCCAATCCATGGATAGACCCTTAGCCAACACAGACATCGCTACTTTGCCCATCGCATAGGCAGTCTTTCCTCGGAAAAATCTCGAATAGATCGGCGGGCTGACGACGATTATCCTGCCTTCCCAGCCATTATTCCTGAAATGCGGCAGGGCAGCCTGAACAGTGCCATATAAGCCCTCCACGTTCACCTTTTGCATAAGCTGAAACCGTTTCATAGGTGTGTTTTCCACCGATGCCCACCAGATTGCCCCAGAATTGTAAATTATTACATCCAAACGGCCGTATAACTCCACAGTAGAATCAACCATACGTGTCACACTGTCGAAATCCCTGGTGTCGACCTGGATGGCTTTGGCTTCTCCGCCATTCTCTTGGATTTCACGCTGCACGGTGCTGATGGTGGATGCAGGGGAGTTTGGGTCTGGCGGGAATGGCGAGGTCTTGGAAGCATCCGACGTGCTCTTAGCTGCCACAACCACTTAAGATTTATCAGCTCGTGGCTCCTGTGCTTTATATAACTGTACGGCATATGCTGCACGATGGGGAGTACAGTACCTCTGTAACCGTCCTTGGCCAGATCTATGGCAACCTGTCGTCCGATGCCCCGAGATGCACCTACGACTAGAGCAACTGGCCGCGAACCTATTTCTGCCATAGCTGGTGATGATAAGGATTGATATACCACATGTCTCTAAAGACGGAAATGAATCAATGGCATCAACTGGCATGTTTTAAATTCTGGCCTCGAAGATAATGCTTGCAGTGAAGCTAGAAGTTGCTGTAGCTTGAAATGCCTCGGCACATCACGTCATTGGCAACCATCCACGATCGACTTATTATCTGATTATTAAACAGTTGCACATAAACCGCTTTTGTGGAGGTTGTGATGATCTTTTGTACCTCCTGTCAAGCTTTGTGCCGTGTAGCTTGAACTTGGTTCCGGTCCTAAAAAGAGCCTCGGCAACTCTAACTACTATCCACGATGCGTCCCCGACGGTGTTATAGAAACGACCAGTTTCCCCGACTTCTCGATCAAATTGAATGGTAGCACTGAGTAAAACGCTTGGAAAGATGAGCCAAAAGAAGATCGAATGCTACATCGACTGCGGTAAGTTGAAACCAGAGCAAATAACTAGTTAATGGCGACCGGAAAACTTATCGTTGCCCCAGTGTCTCCTTTTAGCTTTTTCGCCCTTTCTTATCTCCGCCAGAATAGAAAGGCCCTGACAGACTCGGATGTATCTGTCGAGTAAGTGGCTTATCTACAGCCCTCCCAGTGAATCGAGTGCGTTAATCGTGGCCCTTCTTAGATTTATTCCGGTATTCCTAGGGGGGATTAACGTAGGCAGTGGTGCGTCTTTCTGATGAAGAGATACATACACCCTTCATACCTATTGTTCAGAGCAAGCTGATCAAACTGTGTGAGATTAAAGGAAATAAACCGCCATGGACGCTCCCAGCTAAAGCGCTCTACGCCAAGTACGACGGCCCAAGGGCCCAAAAGTACTTTGGAAAAAGCTTCAAAATCCCACCCTTTTTCCCTATACTCTCGCTACTGGTATACTCGCGGATTTTTCCTCCTCATATTGCTCAGTTAGACCATGCTAACCCAATTTTAGCCCCAACGTTGTCTTGTATATGCCAAGAAGCAATACCCAGAGAAATATGAAGACTTCTTCGAATCATGTTTTGAAACTATGTGGAATGGGCAGCTTGATATTTCAAAGCCCGAAAATCTCCTGATTGCAGCACGCAAGGTGTTTGACGAGGCGCAAGCGCAGGAGATCCTAAAAGGTGGAAATGATCCCGGGATAAAGAAAACTCTGGCGGACAATACTGAGCACGCCGTAAAAGCTCTTGGGGCATTTGGCTGTCCGTGGTTCTGGGTGCATGACGGGAAGGGGAATGCTGAACCATTTTTTGGAAGTGACCGGTTCCATTTTATGTGGGATTACCTCGATATCCCTCATCGAGACCTGGAGCTCATGTCAGCCCCTGCAAAATTATGAAAACTCGAGATATTGCCTAGGACGATATGCGCAAGAAATATCCTCGAATTTGACTTTTATTTAGACCCCGTTGACGCGAAGAATTAGCTGAAATGATGCTACCAATTCGAGAGACATAATTCCGGCAGGAGGGCTCAAGGTTGCCAATGCAACATCTTCCTAGCGAAGTACGCACGAGGTCCCAAGTTAGAAGAGTTCTTTTTGCTTCGCGCTGTGAAATGGGTGACATGAAGGAGGAGCGCCTTTGGCTGGCTTAGTCTTCCCTGCGACTGGTTAGCGAACCTCAAGAATATCTATACGCAAGCCCTGATATGTAACTAGGAATAAATAGAACTGCTAAAAATCCTTCCATGGGTCTCATCATCCTCTGATATCAAGTGGGAAATGTGTACTCCGTATATACATCATAGGAGGTGGGGAAGGTCACCTCCATGGTAACTAATGGAATTTAGAATAGCCGACTCCGAGGCCGCCATCCATGGCGCTGTCGCGTAACTAGTGAATCGCGACAATTAAAAGCCATACCCAATAGAAATGGGTAGCTATTATCAATCCGGACTTTGGGCCCGAGCGAATTCAATTATATCAGTTATCCCCTTGTCCGTAGGTTGAGGCACAATTAGCGCGGTTTTGTTTGAATACAACACTAGCGACGAGCATTGACCCAAAAGCCAATGAAACATCATACTACTTACATAGAGTTCACTGCAAATCAAAATGCAAATCTATTGGCTAGAGCATCTGGAACCATCAATGAAGTTGCAACGCGTTGGTGCAAGAAACATGTCTCTCCATGGAAACCTGCATCTTGTTCTCCATACGGCACTCTCTAATGCCTCCACCATGGTCAAAAAAGCTCTTTTGAAAGGTATTTCTGGCCAATATGCCTCTGACTTAAACATTTATGCTGGCTTGATTTTCATACTCTTGCTCGGCCAGGTGGTTAGGCGGTGAGACAGGGCAATATACTTTTTAGACTTTCTGTGTTGGCCAATAGAACATGGTCGTAGTCACTGAAACCTTGGCATACAGTAATAAGTCCATATCAACCAATTATGACGTGTAGTTCTCTGTATTATATTACACACTAGAAACCACGCTAATTGTGCCTCAACCTACGGACAAGGGGTTGCTCTTTGATGGAAATACATAGCGACCACAGTTTTCTTGAAAAGCCGATCGGTTCGCTGCCTAGCGTTTCCCCGCCGTCCTCGACAAGGACGAGAGACCGAGATCCGACATGATTGATGAGGGGAAAACCGCTCTTTTGACACTGGCTTCTGCGTTGGAAGCAAGCTAACCAACAGTGTTGCTCTGATGGTTCGATCGATTGCATGATATTGCAACCGACCAATCCCATGATATCCATTTCTCTAGTGTAACCGGCCTCCAAAAGGGCACGTCGCTTGTCCCGCCCAAGAGCTTCAACTCCGCATGCTGAGCAATTCGGCCTTGCAGCTAGGGCATCATGGGTGATATGAAGCTTGGGCTTAGGAAGCTTTTTCTTGCGGGGCCAGCTGTGTTCCTGGGAACATTCAATATAAACTATCCCTTGGCTTCTGTTTTGACTGTTTTCTTCCACAGCATGATTTCTCATCGGAAATCCACCTTTTGATTCCTATATCCATTTTCTTTTACCACAGATAACCCCATAAGGCAATTATGGTTTTCAAGTCTCTTAATCCTCCCCTTGACAGTAAGGGTCCCTCATACCAATTCCATGTGTATATCTACTACGCGACACCTGGTGTGCGGATCAGCTGCCAGTTCTAACCATGCGTTTACTCATAGTCCCAACGGATGTCACGGTTTGGGATTGGCTCTTTGATCCTTATTCTCCCCATTGCCCATTGTCCAAATATCCAGCTTCCGAGATTGCCGGGTACACAAATGCCTCTACACGGGAGCGCGTCAGCTTTGCGCAGGTCAAGGAGTACACCACATTCCTCTCGACCGCTCTAGTAAGGATGTTTGACTTTAATGAAGGAGATACGGTGGCATTGTTTAGCCAGAACACAATATGGTACCCAGTTGCCATGCTGGGGGCCATCAGAGTGGGTTCGTTACACCTCCCTGTTGACCCATTCCAACCCCCCCCTACAAGGGGAATATTTTCGTTAATGTGATTATGGCTTACGCTGTCCGGTTTGAGCCATTTAGGAGGCGTTGTGTCTGGTGCTTCACCTGCATATAATGTGGATGAGATGACATATGCGTTGAAGACAGCTCAAGCGAAGATCTTGATGACTATGCCATCTTCAATGACTGTTGCTGTTGAGGCTGCCAAGAATGCCGGCATCCCGCAGAACAGGATATTTCTGCTTGAAGGCGAAGTGGAAGGGTATACAACAATGAAACAGCTCTTGGATATCGGGAGGAGCTACGGCTCTGAAGGACAGGTAAAAGCATTTAAGATACCCCCTGGGAAAAAGAACAAGGACGTATGCGGCTTCTTGAGCTTTAGCAGCGGGACAACAGGGTTGCCAAAAGCAGTAAGGCAACTAACTCTTAGTTTTATTTCATCTTGTTGTTTGATACTGATACATTATCATAGGTGATGATTGCACACCAAAATGTCATCGCCCAGTGCTTGCAGGTCCAGCAGGTAACGCCAGAATCGCACAAGAAGGTTCTCGCTGTGCTACCTTTATTTCACAGTAAGCTAGAGCCAGATTTATCCCTTAGCATGGAAAGGAGTCTTATTTTTTAACACTTAGTCACTGGGCTTGTCCATCAACTCCATTTGCCTGTTCTTCTCAACGCGGAAATATACATGCTCCCGTCATTTACCATGGAGGCTATGCTCGATGCGGTCTCCACGTTTAAGATCAAAGAGATGTTGCTTGTCCCACCCATCTTAATTCGATTGGTCCGTGATCCCGTTGTTGATAAGTATGACTTATCACATGTTGAACGCTTCTCCTCCGGCGCCGCTCCTCTAAGCGCAGAGATCCTAGCGTTTTTGGAAAAGAAGTTCCCCGGAACCGGCTTCAAACAAGGGTACGGCATGACCGAATCTTGCAGCTGCATAACCACGCACCCCATTGGCAAAATGGGTTATGAGTATGCGTTCCGTGTTGGCACCATTGTTGCCAACACTGAGGTCAAAATCATCGATCCGGACACTGGTGCCGAACTTGGATACAACCAACCGGGAGAAATTCTTGCCCGCGGGCCTCAAGTGGTAATGGGCTACTTGAACAACCCCAAAGCAACTCGCGAGACCTTTGATGAAGATGGCTGGCTACATACTGGTGACGTCGGCAAGATCGATGAAGAAGGCTTTATCACTATTACGGACCGGATCAAGGAAATGATTAAAGTCAAAGGTATCGGTGTTGCTCCAGCTGAACTGGAAGATTTGCTTCTGGGTCATCCGGATGTCGAGGATGCAGCCGTCCTCGCTGTCCCGGATGAATATTCTGGGGAAAGACCTAAGGCATATGTGGTATTGAAACCAGCACGAAAGGACGACGACCTTGTGGCAACTGGAAGAAAGCTTATTAAGTATGTCCAGGAAAAGAAGGTGAGACATAAGTGGCTTGTGGAGGTAGAGTTTACGGAGGAGATTCCAAAGAGTGCGAGTGGGAAGATTTTGAGGCGAGTGCTAAGGGAGCAACAGAAAAACGGTGGTAAAAAGGGCACTGTCGTGAGAAATGATGAGAGTGCAGCGAAGGCGAGACTGTAGATACATCATGTTTATTTCGCTATAAAAACTGATTGTTACATAAAATTTTGATCTTTCGATTCTTTGGCCGGTCTCGAGTTACCAAAATCTCGCCCAAAGCAAACTCCTTAATAAACAATAAAGGTTCAAGGGGGCGGAAAAAAAGCCCCAAAAAGCCCATACGCCATCATGCTAGTCAAGATCAAGAAAAAATTACAAGCCCCTTCTGCCTTAAGATCGACGCGAATGGAAACAACGGCTTATCTTTAAAATAGAGCTCTAGCGTCCTGCAATCTGCCTGAATTTGCTTTCTGCAACATTGCACTCATGCAGAGGGGGGCGAAGTTTCCTCAGAATTTGTCAGTTCACCGTAGGCTTGATTTAAGTAACCCATCGGTAACTGGCATATCGTCCAGCTGTTTCACTCTTTCTGATGATTTTGACAACCTGCCCTCGTCTCAAACCCAAATACTTCGCCACTGGATCACCAATTTGAATTCTGGGTAGCTGAGATTCCTTCAGCCTGTATCTCTGCAGCAGTCTTTTCTTCTCTTCCGCGCTCAACAATACATGTTTTGGCACCAGCTCATGATGCGTGATATTGACCAATAACTCCTGCTCCAAAAAATGTTCGCAGAAGCGTCCGGGAATACCGGTCAATAGGCGGATCGCGGAGGGAGAAATGGGAGATTGTGTTATAAAGATGCCGGTGTGGTAGTTTTGTTCGTCGACGAAGTGGTTAAAAGCGCGGACCTGCTTGGTTCCTACACCTTGGGCGTCGGCGCAGAACTCGACGTAGATGGTGCCGCATTCGGGAACAGGATTGGGTTTGGCGGGCGAAGCGAGAGGAGTATACTTTTCAATCATGGTTTGTGAGGGGCGGGCACTGATGCGCATCTTGTTGCGGCTGCGTATACTGGTCAGATCAGGAAACAGACGAAGTGAACATGATCATGCTTAGGGCATATACGTACTCGGGAAAGCCAAGCGCATCGGAATACTTTGTTCGAAACTCGGCTAGAGGAACGTTTACTTCTTCCTCAGTAACTTCATAACCCTAGAAGATATGACTTGATTAGCAAACTCTTTCACGGCATATCACACCCCCGCCCATGCACGCGAGTTACTGGGACGGCATACCCTGTCAAGTAACATCTCAAAGACTGTTCTCCATGTGCGCCATAACCGCGTCATCTCGCGATCTGCCTCCGCGGAAGCCTTTGAGAAATCCTCGTCCGCCATCGTCGCCAGCGCTGACGCCTCCGCGGGTCGCAATCGAGTCTTTCAAAGAAAGGAAGAAAGCAAGCTGTAGGGCCACTAAAAATACTGCTGATAGAACCTCAAAGAAGTTATCATCACAGTTCTTCCTTTTTTGAATCGCCGCCTAAGCACAGATGCCAGCCAGTAAACAGGTTAGCAAGAAAGATGTTCTCGAAAAATCCATCTCCCATCGCAGCTCTCAGATTGGTTGGCGCACGGGCCACCGACTCACGCTTGTTTCCCCCAAAAGCAAAAAATTGACCCTGAAAAGTCAAAACTGTGAACAACACAACCTTGGCTGACAATCAGGCCAAGTGGTTCAATTGCTGACCTGGTGTGGATATCACTCTAACATCTACCTGTTGGTTGAGCATTAAATATATTTCATTGTTATCCTGCCGCACTCCGGGCTTTTCCTTTGATTAGTCGTCGTCTACATGGCTGCTGTCGTCGCTAACCCAACCCCGGCTGCTGAGCCAAAGGTTCAGCAGCCAGAGAAGCCAACAACTAGACCTGAGAGGCCAAATGAAGAAGCCTACAAAGAAAATCTTGCAAAGGCTGAAAAAGAGCTTGCATCTGTTCAGCAGAAATTGGTGCGTTTGATTATTGTCTCAGCGCTATCTACACATGGCGGTGACATCTAGTTTCAAATAGTCGCTAACCAGAGTAATTTGCATATATTTAGGAGGCAGTGAAGTCAAAGCTCGATCTCGGAACCCCGCGCAACCAAGACTCGCCAGTTGCAAAGAAACAGCAGGAACTGCGCTCCCAACTTGCATCCATCCGCCAACAACAGCAAGGGTTCAAAGCATCTCGCGCCAGCTTGCAGGAGAAGATTAATGCCCTCGATAATTCAATCAAGTCTCGTATCGCCGAGCAAAAGGCTGCCCGAGGCCGAGTGGGCTTCAAAAATGTCGAAGAAATCGACCGCGAAATCCAGCGTCTCGAGAGACAGGTCGATTCTGGTACCATGAAGCTCGTCGATGAAAAGAAGGCTCTTGCGGAAATTTCCAGCCTCCGGAAGCAACGAAAGGGTTTCTCCGGGTTTGAAGAAACCCAGAAGCATATTGATGATCTCAAATCTCAATTGACTACCTTGAAAAAGGGCCTTGATAACCCCGAACAAAGGGCTCTCAGTGACAAATATACGGCCATTCAAAAAGAGTTGGACGAAATCAAAGCTGAACAGGATGGTGTATTCAAAAACATTAAAGCTCTTAGAGATGAAAGAAGCCAGCTCCAGGGCCAGGTGCAAAAAGCTCGTGCTTCAGTGAGGGAGATCAAGGATACTTACTACACCGCTCGAAAAGCTTACAGAGAGTATGAGCAAGAGTTAGAGCGAATCCGCAGGGAACGCCAAAGAGCCGAAAGAGAGAAATATGAGCGGGAGAGAAAGAAGAAGATCGCCGATAAGAAGTTGGAGGAAGCTTCCCGACCAGCCTACACGGACGAGATTCTCACCGCTCAAGGCCTCATTCGTCACTTTGATCCCAACTACGACCTTTCATCCCTTGGCTTGGCCGAGGATAAAAAGACCCAGTCTGGCAACTTCCGTGCTGAAATTGGCAGAACAGTTGACGATGCCGACATGAAAGGAGTCCGCGTCGTGAGAAAAGAAGACCGTGACGATGACTACTTCGTTGGTGGTGGAGGAAAGAAGAATAAGAAGGGAAAGAAAGGAGCAGCGACCAGCGAAACTAAGTCACAATTTAACCTTAGTTTCGGCGTCATCGAAGAATTTTCCCGCGTCAAGGTGGATCCCCCAATGAATCAGTCCGACGTTCCAGCTGTGATCGAAAAGCTTGTCGAGAAACTGCGCGATTGGAAGAAGAATCAAGCTGCCAAGACTGACGAGGTATGTAGCACATGTCTTCATTCAATAGTTCTTGGAATCCAGATACTTACAGCCGATTAGAACATAAAGAAGGCAAAGGAAGAGCTTGCCAAGCTCGAGGAAGAAGAGACATCTGTCAACGGTTCGACTGACCATGCGAAGAAGCAAGCCATCAAAAATGCAGGTGTCAACGGCCATGTCTCTGCTGAAGCTGAACTCAAGCAAGAAACCGATGCTGTTGCCGACGTCGCCGAAGAACTTAAGGAGGCTAAGATTGAATATAAAAACTAGACACTCCCAATCCACCGGGCTTCATGCCCAGCAGATAAAAATGTTCTTTAAAGATAGAACTTTACCGCAGAACTGATGACTACCCCCTTACATATCACTCTCCTATCCCTTTCATTATATGGCCACTTTCGCCTTCTCTGTTAATTATTTTTAGGCCACCCTAGTTCACACCCTCTAGAGCAGCTTTTTCCTCTGGGCTGTTTCAAATTTTTCCGTGTTATTAACATTTAACCCCCTTTGTTATTTCCTGTTCTTTGCTTTAATGATGGAAATGACCTAAGCGATGTTTGGTATCTAGCTAGTACTGCAAAATATACCAGATATTGATTGTTTATCCTCCAGGTTTATGAACCAAAGTGGCACCACCTCACCATAATACTCTCAGTCAAGGCCAATACAATATATGGCAATGTTGTGCTTTGAATAACAAAGACTTCAACATGGCTTCACTGTCAGCAAGCAGTGTACGGCGTACAATCTGTATTTATGATGGCAAGGTGGTTCTGTTTACATGATAAGTCAACATCTGTGGCCGGTTGTTCTTGGGGACCACTCTGGTACATTTTCCCATGAATGAGAACCACAACCATTAGACTAGAGCTTTGGCATGGGAAAAGAGAAGTTTGGGGTAAATAGCACAAAAAAAAAAAAAATAGAAATTAAAATAAAAATAAAAGTAAAAAATAAATGCTGACATTTGCAAAACAAAAATATTAGCTCTGTAAAGGAAGTCTAGGAAGAATCCATGTCTAGATGAGAATTGTCTCATCTATATTGAAGTACCTAGTCAGTGCAATTCAAAGAACACAGCAGATAACCATCTCACAGAAACATCTGCCCACTACGACCTGCAGAGACAAAAAAATGCATGCTAAGCTCAATGTAAAGCACTTCCAAACAGCCAAACCAGATAATAATATCTCCAGTGAACAAGAGAAAAACTCATAGCACATACTCTAAAGCAAGAACCCTCAGCGAATAATGGAGCACAAGCTAGAAGTTTGAGAAGCTAACCACCAAAACACCACCGGCTGCCCGGGAAAAAACAGAGGAGAAAAGGTAAAGGTCTGTCCCCACACAAGCTGCTCCCAAGTCTGCCCGATGCTGAGCACTCAGAAGATGATATCGAGACAGCAGCAGCACGCCAAGGCACCTAATATACCAGCACATATGCCAGTTCCCATATCTTTTCTTCGATCTTCGACATACTGTCCCTGTGGCGGCGGGTATCCTTGCTGAGGGGGCCCGTAATACATTCCTTGCTGTGGATAGCCCTGCTGAGGAGGAGGATAGTAGCCTTGCTGTGGCGGAGGATATTGCGGTTGCTGGCCGCCATAGTAGTCTTGTGAAGCACCTTGAGGCGGGTAGTTTCCCGTATGGGCCGGTGGAGGATAGGCTGGAGGTGGAGAGCTCTAGTGGAAAGGTTAGTATAGGAGTATTTAGCAGCAGGTAGGCGATGAAAAGTTGATAGGGCAGGGGGATCGTTACAAGTTTGTCCGCCATTGTGGTTGATGCTATTCGGGCTAGTAACTAAGCTCCAGAAGTGGTTCCCGGCGGGTTTACGGAGTACCAGGAAAGATAATGATAGAATTTCTATGTGCAGTAAGCGCAAAGCAGGTTCGAGAGAACCAGGTGCCTCTAGTTTTGACGAAATGTCTCCGTTGCGGGATTGAAGACTTGCACGGCTGCTGATTCGGTTCGATGACTCGAGTCGCTGGTGTCTGGGCTTTTGTATGGGGCGAATTGATCAGCACTCGTCAGCACCAACTTAATATTACAGCCACGGCGTCACTGGCGATAGGGCAGTGGCTGAGTAACTACAGTAACCAAGCTAGTTAAACCAGGGCTCGGCTCTCTTGCAATTAATTTTTGAGACCAAGATTCTCTGTACTCCGGAATGTTCCAAGGAAAATCCAAAACTTCCAAGAAGGAGAGAATTTTTGGAGTAAAGATAAATTTTAATCATACCAGCAGAAAAGATGGCGGCAAGTTGCAACAAACCAAAATCCTCCCTTCTTCACAAATTAGAATATTAAGCATAAGAGATTCCATTCAATTGAATTCTACTCCGGAGTTCTGCCCATATTAGCATTTTCGAGTCATGGATAACATACAACTGATATTGGGCCAATAAAAGGTTGCAAAATTGGCACCATCTTCTCCGCCCAGGAGGTTTCAGTATTTCCTCCAAGCTTCCACTTGCCACGGGGGGTTAACAAAAAAAATGCTGGCAGGCATAAAACCTTGTGACCAACGTCAACCCCCATTGAATTGTCCAACTGGCCCGTCGTTATACAATAAATTACAGCCTAACTGATACTCACAATGAACAATGAAACTTAACCCAGGAAAAGCTATCGAAGACAATCCCCATTGGGAGAATCTATGAGATGGACAATATGTCGGCTGCTGATGTCCTTTGCTTCCCGCATGTATTTGCCATGTGGTAATAACAGAGTTTGTGGCCTCTTGATCGTGACGAAGGCGCCCCCTTCAAGGATTGTTCAAGTTGAAGACATTTGTGTCTCCCATCACTCCTCTGGAACTTTAAGATACAGCTGCACTGAACACTGCAATTTCTTTGCAATATATATGATGCTGCCTGGATGATTGCAAGTGGTATAACTTCAACTTTATTGTCACTTTCCCCTCTCAGTTTATTCTTCAAGAGGGTTATCGTGTCTGTCTTGCGCATTGAATCAGAGTCTCAGGCCATAAAAATGGCAAAATACGTAATCCCCACCAACGGTTGTATCATCACTTCCGTCTTCTAAGATCTCAATAATTATACTTTTCTTTTCTGTGGTGACGCATGCATTGACGCATGCATTGATGTATGCATTGATTCCTGGAGTTCCTGACCGTCTATTTTGCGGGAGAGGGTGAAGCGTGTCTTAGGCTCTCATGAATCTCGGTCCAATTTCCTGATAGGTCTGGAATGCTCCTATCTGAGTGTTCATACCCATCTTGGTATATGCCATGATCAGTGAGATTTTGCTCGAAATTATGACTATAAGTCCCACTACTAGATAGCTGATCTTTGATGGATCGATTGTTCATGGATTCGGTATTATGTGACGAAGTCCGGCGTTTCTTTATCCAGCTCAAAAACAATTCTCAAGGAGTATGGTCAGAAGAAACGTAAATAAGCTTAGTAAAGTGCTATTGACACATTATAATGGCCGTAGACATACATTTTTAAGATCGCAAAGATTCGGCCATCGTGTCTGGCAAGTTGTTTTGCGCGCTTCAAAAGGCCCGGCCCACATCGAATACTAAGTCCGGGAGCGTAATAGAGACATTCTCTTTAAGTGCGCCTCGACACCATCGAGTCGTAAGCTTTGGCTGTCTTTCTCAGTAGGAAGGATGGTTAGTCCTTGTAACATTCCTCCGGTTCAGTTCCCCCAATACAAACTCCGTTCATTAGAACTTCGAAATATTTCCCTCAGAGGTCGGCGCATCGCTATTGAGCGCTCATTTGACCGGAATGCCCGGTTTTGAATCCTTTTTGGTTTAGGCTCAAGACTTAAGCTCAATGGCCTCGGCAAGAATCTGACCGTTAATTTGGGAATATGTGTTGAGAAGCAAAAAACATCTCTGCTGGCAACGGCTTGCTGAGTTCATTGCCTGCCGCCGCTTGGCTCTGGCTTCGGAGAAATCGTGACCTTCAGCCACTCGCTACCTTAATTAGCGGGGGTTAGTTACTAGGCATCGCTTTTAACACTGGAGGAACTCTCATTTGTGAAATTGGTCTCTCGTGGATGGTGATTGCGCGCAAGCTTGGAAGCTCCCGACATTCATATCCCCATTCGAACCAGGGGCAGCCAACTGTACCCGGCTAATTTGATTTTCCGTCCCGGACCGATCCGCTTGGAACCTTCCAATTCCAAGGTTGGAACCTGAAAGTGGTTCCAACTCAACTCCCGTGTTGAATGGGATCCCGACTCTACTTTTCTTCTCTCCCAAGGGCAACACTCACGAAGTCCAACACCCGAGTTTCTTCAAGAATTCAAAAGCTCGCTAGCATGCAACGTCGGCAAGGCGGGCCATTCTTGGGGTCTTTAGAGAGGCGTTTTCTGATTCCCAAGCTATAGTGCCTGTCCAACACCTAGTTTCCGGAAAATGGAAATCAAGCGCCGCTGTCTATCCCCTTGGAACTTCGATATGGATACTGATGATGGTACCTATATGCCATCCAAAGGTTGCGGGATAGCATCCTTCAAAGTTTTCTAACAGATATTCGACGGCGTTTATCTTATGTGGCTAGATAATTCCCTTTTTTGGCGGCTGTGGAACATCTCGCAACCTTTGGCGAGTGATTAGCTGCTTAAATATACTCAAGGTCCAGGTCTATCTTGACCCTGAAGCGGAAGGGCCTAGAACCAAGAATTAGCCGGAAAATGGGACAGGCACCGCCGGCGATGAATACCGCTCTATTCAAAATTACAACTCTATCGAGGTGACCTCTACTCCGTATGCATCTTTCTCCTACAGGGTGATGTAAACCAGCTTGAATCTAACTCTGAGCCGGACTGTGTGAAAAGAACTGAGAAATTACATATTCAAATTAAATATAGGAGCTGAATATTCCCGTACTCCGGAATTACTAACTTAAACGGACGCAGCACAGTAATTAAACGCTGTGCTTACGGAGAAATATTGATCATTGGATTTACATCCTTCAATGTGGGCACGGAAGAGACCCCCTTTTTGGAAAACTATTCAATGGGAAGTGCAAGCATTGAAGGCATTCTATTACGGAATTTGATACCAAGCCGTCCGGGATACTGGCTTCCTACTTGGCTGCATTAGTTACAAGCTCTTCAAGGACCCAACCGCCGGCCAGCAATGTCTTGATGGTAGAGGCGGAATCTTTGAAGCAGTAAAAAGTCGGGGAAGGATGATTATTTAGCTCGACGACCACCGCAAGATGGAACTATCATTTGGCAAACATGCGTGGATTCAATGAGACTGTGTGGCTAAAGGGAGACGAGAAGTTGAAGTTGGCGGAGGATGGGCCGGCAAGGAGACCTCTTTTTATTTTGGGGCGGGGGATTATAAAAAAGCAAGAGCCAGTTCGCAAGTAGGACATTCTAAGCGTGGTCTCTTCTATTCGGCTAACTGTCAACTAAAGTACTTTTATAAGGTCTTTTTCTATGAAATTTCATTCCCCTTTGCGCTTCTCTTTAGCGCAGGTTGGACATAATGTCAACGCTGGAACCCCGTTGTTCATCAGGTAATCGAGCAGCGGGGCTACTTGGCTGGAGAATGTTGGCGAACGGATTCTGCATAGAGAGTACTACCAAACCGAATTGACTTTATATCGTAGATTATCTGGGAGCCGTCCGAGAATTTGTTTCTTGAGGGGGGATACAACGAGGTATCATGCTTTTCTCCGATACCGGCGATACCTTCTGGCCCTCAGCTCTAGCTAATATAGGAACAGTGGAAGACCTGCTGAAGAGCCATCGACGTTAGTGATGCCTTTAATAGTGTTGGGAGCTCCATAGTTTCAAAATAATCACCTACTTCGGTAATCTAAGTAAGATTCTCTCAATCCGCTTGACCATATATCTAGAGATTGAATCCCGCACCGCATCGATCGAGAGGTTGTTGGGATCCGCTTCCATATTTCACATTGTTGGGAGCATTTTTGATGAACTCGAATAAAAAATGGATCAAGATAAGAGCGGGGCATTCGCATGCTTATGCCTTCTTGCGCATTCCATAAAACAATTTCCTATAAATCCACAATGAAGCCGTGGCGCCGGTGACGTGGCAAATCGATTGGGCGTGCAGCAGGCAAATTTGATAGGGCATCTTTGGTGCCAAGGGGTGGGATGCTCCTACGATCCGGCAGGGAAATAAACCATCCTAACGGAATTTCAGCCGCAGGGCTACCTCATATGCCTGCGGCCACGACCATATTCCCCTGGATCCACAGATCTCCAGCGGCTTGTATATCGATCTCTTCTAGGCGAATCAACAAACGAATCGTCCTCCTCGTACACATCAATGTAATCCTCCTCCGTCATCGAAGCGGTTACACTCTCCCGTGGCTCAACAATCTCTGGTGTCCTTCGTCGATAGGAGCGCGCATTCGAGTGCCGCGATCGAGTGGCTTCGGATGTCACTACAGACTCCGATTCGCTAATCCTTCTGCGGTTTAACGAAAAAAGAAGAATGCCTAAGATCAAAACGAAGCTTCCCACCGCGCCGATCAGGGCGCCTATAACAATCCCCGAAGATGGATGCGGGCCTGTGTATGTGTTGGGAATGGATATCATAGTGGTTCGCCGCCTTAATGTCAAAGCAAGCCCATTATCCGGGCTTGCCTCCGATCGAATCTTGGTAAACATGGACACCGCTCCGCCATGGTGTTTGAGGCCATTTTTACCCGTTATTGAACGGAAAGCATCGACTTTTGGAGGACCTGAAGTGATGAGACTGGGTTTGGGGGGCATTGGAGCGAATATGGGTTGATCAAGAAGAGAGGCTGGGCAAGGATAGTTGGCAAATTGACAAACACAATGTAGCAAAGTGAACTTTTCCAATCGAGTTGTAGAAAAATGGTCGTCGAGGACAGGATTCGGCAACACTTAAAAAGAAAAGCGAGTTCGATTGCGAGAGCGAACCGTAGCACGTCAATGTCGAAGCATTCTCTGATGTATCCTCAAAAAAATGGAGGAAAGGTACAAGAAAACTCAGAAGTCCAACTCGACATCTAACTAAGTTGACTATCATACGCGAAACCCTCCGTCCTGCGTTTTGGCAGCGCTCCGAAGGTTTTCCACTGAGACGAGACGACGCCGGTTGTGACGTGCATTTTAATTGGGATGGCGGGGAATGCTCTACATGTAATCCGTGAGACGGTGGCTGGGGACTTCCCGCCCTGCCAAGCCTCGCGGGTGGGGCACTGTAAGCTTGATTTGGGCCAGGTTGGCGAATGGAGCTCAGGAACCCATCAATCAGGCTATGGAGGTGAGACTCCAGTGATCTGAAATGTTCAAAAAGAATTCTTTATCCAGAAGGAGACTGACTCCAAAGTACCGTACATGCTCTAATATTCTACAATATGCAACACAGATCACGCAGCTTTCCAACGGCCTCCCATTCATTTAAACAGCATCCCCCTTCAACAGCCTGGCAGGTCTCCTTTGCATTCGGCACATTCTGTCGCTCTTGCCCCATTATAAAATGGCCTCTTGTTTGATAACATCCTCGCTCTCCCGACCGTCTTCACCCAATGCCTGCGACGTCTCAAGACTTTCCTCTTCCTTCTTAGCGGTGGCTGCATCCCGTTTGTGGGTCGTGTTGACCAAAGGAGTTTCGTCATTAAACAGACGCAGAAGCATAGCGCGACGCTCTTCCTTGGGTAGCATCAAGTTCAACGAGTAAAGACTCCTCCATAATGGCAAAACCATGTGCTCACTGTCGCGAATGTTAGTCTGAACCAAGCAGTCTCATGTTGCTTTTATAAAACTTACTGGAATCCATCTTCCTCGTTAGTGGGGATGAGTTTTAGGACACAACATCCCATATCAACGTCCCTTGCCCACTCGCCAAGCTCACCCAACTCTTTCCAACCACCATCATTAACTTTGGGGAACATTTCAACCAGCAGCTTGCGCAATGTTGTCTTTTTGTAGATCTTAACTGTGCGGCCCGTACCAATCCAAGGCTCAAGAAGTGTAAGACCATCTTTTTGAATTCTCCAGGGACAAACATCCGGGCGTTGCACGTCTTGTTTCACGAACATTTTCACACCACAGTGGACAAACTTCATTCCGGTGCCTTCGTTTTCGGTTAGGATGTCCCGAGCCAAAGCCGTAGTGTAGTAAATAGTTTTGTGAGGACGTCCATCGGCGTTCCGTACCATGAACCTGTCCTTCGGGAACTGGGGAGATAGATCATAGAACTTGAAGATTGTGTCAAACTCTTTGAGTTGAGAATCTAGATACTTAAAGGGCTCCTCAAATTGTTGTCCCGATTTCTGTTTTATCGGCCGCGAGAGAGCGGTTTCAGGTTTGGATGCCGGCGCCACGGCGCCGGTTGTGAGACTACTAGCTTCAGCACAAGCCTCATCCGACACTTTAGCGCGTTTCGTTTCGGGCTCCTCGTCAAGGTGATCGGAGTTTCTTTTAGCTGGAGACAGCGCACTCTGGGCTGAGGCGTTTGGATCGGTATTGCCAACATTTTCAGTGGTGTCAGGAAAAGCTAGGGCATTTTCAGTTGCCATTGGAATATGTGTGCTATGAGAGTCACCGGTTTCACCCCCTACAGGCTTCAGCGCATTCATTTTTGAGTTCTCTGGTTTCGCCCTGATCTCTCCCTTCTTCTCCAAGACGGTGATGAAAAACCCGCCTGTATCTTGCTGATGAGGATACACGCGCATGCAACGTGAGAGATTGGCTGCCTCACTTTGCTCAGACGGTGGAAACATTCCTTCGACAATTCTTTTGAGCGTCTCATCTCCGCCATCCGCTCCCTTTTCGACGTCTTGCCAGGTGTTCCAGATCCTGCCTTGCTTATCCATTACCGTCCAGGATGTAAGCCCAGGAGACCTCCGTAAACCTTGCAACTCGTTGCTGCAATCAACAATCTCGACCTTTTCAGGTCCTCCACACCGGTCGATTGCACTTGCAATCACAGCTTCGTTTTCGATTGGGTTCATGCTGCAGGTGGAGTACACCACACGACCCCCAGGTTTGAGCATTTGCAGGGCACGAACAAGGATTCTGGCCTGGGTTGGATGTAAACCGATGCCGTTAGCTGGATTCCAATCCTTCCAGACGTTAACATTCTTTCTAGCCGTGCCGTCACCCGAACAAGGCACATCAGCGAGGATCCGATCGAATTTTAAGTACCGGTTCGGTGAGCGCTTTCCGTCCGCGACAGGGAGGGAAGGCAATCTGATTGACGGATACATGGTAGCATCATGATTAGTGACCAATAAATTAGGGGAATTAAGTCGCTTCATCTGATGAATTAACATGTGGGCACGTTTATAGTCGCTATCGTTGGCAATCAGTAACCCGGTTGACCTTCCATCATCTTCGAAGCCGTCCAATTCGGCTTCCCCGTTCAGTAGGTCAGCAATCTCCACTCTGCCTTGCTGACGAGCCACCTGAGCATCCTTATTCTCAAGCCTATCAGTCATGCTTTTCATCTGTTCCTCCTCGCCCGCATGGATCATCTCCATCAGCTGCGCGGATTTGCTTCCCGGAGCTGCACACATGTCCAGGACAACCATTCCGGGTCGCACATCCAGCAATAATGGGGGAATCATGCTGACAACTTCTTGGCGGCTAATGTTTCCAACTTCTGTTTCTGAAACAAGGAATTTGTGAAAAGATGCAAATGGAGGGAAGCGCCTGACTACCTGCTTCGGAGTCGTCATGGACCAGGCCAACTGGTCTGGATACCACGGAACAGGCTTGGGTGGCTCGACAAGTTCGCCTTCATATCGAATTGAGGTAATGTTGGGAATGTAAAAGTCCTTGAGGCGTTCTTGGACTGCGAGAGCGTGTCTATCAAGAGAAAGCAGAAATGTTAAAGCAGAACACCAACTAGAGAAGGGTGTGGAGCATACTTTCGTGAGCCGGTAAATCGAAAACTGTTGGGAAGGTCGCGTCGCAACGCTTCCCAGAACTGCTCTTTTTCATCCTCAGGGACAACTTTGAGGCCATTGTAATAGCTCTCAAATTTCTCGTTGCTCTTTTCTATAGCGGCATAATTTGTCGGACGGGTTCCGCGCTTACCACCACCACCAAACTTGCAAACAATGCGATACGTCAGCTATATTCAAGAACTGGAAAGTTCGCAAAAGACATTAAGAAAGAATTTACCTTTTTGCTACGTCTCCCCATGATGATTGAGTCAATTTGAAATCCTCTCCATCTCGGCGGGGGGGTTTTTCAGACCTTATCAGCAGAAATGTTCGGAAAAACTCCCATCCCGATTGCCGCAATGCCGCCCGCCTGTGCCCATCGCCAAAAGTTCGCAAGTGTTTGAGATGACCAATTATATGACTCGGGCTTTCGGAATGGAATAACGATATTGCGTAAACTTAATCACTCGATTTACATGAGCCGCCTTGCCAAGACGAGAAGAGACTCGCGTTCAGGGGCGCCTCAGATAGCACATCGGACCTTGAGGTGCAAGATGACATGGCACCCGGCTTCGAGGCCCACTTAGAAACGAGCCAGGAGCGCAAAATTAAGGTTGGCCGCTGTATTTTCGGTGAGCCAAGGACCCAAGCTACGGAACCATCCTCGCGATGTTGGGATTGAGCCTCAGCTGGGTCGACAACTCGAACGCGTCCACCCCCGTATCACATTCCGCAATGATTGGCGCTGGCTTACATCAAATAAGGACTAACTGTGGGGGATGCATGAAGCACATATTGGTGGAAAAAGCCTGTTTAGGGTGAGACAATGTACGGAGGACACCAATCGCCAAAGCGATTGTCGGATTAGACTCAAGCCCAGCGAAGCAAGAATTTCAATTTCCAAACTAAAAAGGAAGGCTGTTGAAGCACGACCCTTGCCCGTTGGCGGCCGTAATACGGAGTTGCTACTCAGCTCTAAGCAGCCGATCCTAGATGGCTATCAGCTTGGAAGTTTACCATGCAGTGTGACGGGTACAAAAGTACCAGCTGGCCCGCCCCAGTCGCCATACTTCCACCTCGTCTTTCCTCCGTCACTCTCAGGGTTGAAGCATACCAAAAAGTTGCAGGCGGTTAACGACATCGAACCCCCACACTGTTTGTCAAAGGCGAAACATTTCCACGATCACAATGGCAGACAAAGCACCTGGTGTCCCCGCTGCGGCTTCGAGCTCCGAGTGGTCTCATTCATTCTGGGCTTGCTGCTCGCCTGTTGATAAATGTTCGTTCTCATCACTAGGCGATTTGCCGCATTCCTAATTTCCTGAACCTCCTAACCGTTTGTTTCGGTAGGCTTGTGCGCCTGTCTGCTTCCATGCTGTCTCTTCGGTCGAACTCAATCTCGCTTGCAAAACCCGGCTGAGAAGCCTTCAAGTTTCAATGGCATGGTATGTCTGACGAACGCTCTGCCGTGATCCATTAATCTAGTTGCTAAACAGACACGAATTTAGTGCTGCGGATGGTGCTGTCTTTCCATGGTCGGCTGTTCCTGTATCCTACAGGGCCTGCAACGAGGCAGAATGAGAGATCAGTACGGCATCAACGGTTCTACTTTTATGGATTTCTTTGCATCGTGCTGCTGCCCTTGCTGTGGCTTGTTGCAAGAGGAAAAGGAAGCTGTTGCAAGAATAGAATCGTCGGGTTATCAGCCGCCACAGGGAATGGTATACTCTTAGGGCCTCACGCCTGCGGCGGAGCCTCCATCGATGGCTTGGTCTGAAAAATGGTCCGTTGCTAGGGATTGAAACGGCTCTGACCATAGATCAAACGAGCTACATGGATCACCCAAAGCGGTCCGTCTTAAAGTGAAGTTTCTTTTGGGTTCTTAGACACTTTTTTTGTGTGTCTCGATTTGTGCATGATACCAGATCTATAATTACTTTCGTTTAATTTTGCTCTGTTTAATGAAGAGGTTGGTGCCAGTCGCGAGTTCTTTTGAGGAACTTGAATCTCTAGCCTCATGCATATTAATAAATTTGAGACTATTATGCCCCCATGCAAGGACGAGGATGTTCTGGTGATAACGGTCCATCATTTTGGGGAAGTCCACCAATTTTGAAAGAGTGGAGATTTAAGGCTAGTTTAAAAGACCTGGGGGCCTTAATCTGCACACGAGAACCATATGTACGAAGAACTCTGGCAGAGCACAATATTATTGAACCAGCTAGCAACGCCCCCGAAATCTAAAATAAGCATGAATTCCCCTTTTTGCAGTCGGGTAAATCTGCATGCATGTCGTCCGAGAAGTGAAGAGCGAGATTGGTATTCATCCCCAGCACAGCCCTGATTCTCTCCAGAGCAGTATCTATCAATTTCGTGATTCAGTGATAACTACGGAGTAGTTGGTTCGCCCATGAGACGAGTGACCCCACTGCTGTCCTTCCTGGAACTAAATAAGCAGCTTCGAGAAAAAGCTATGCTTAGTATGAAGTTATCGAAAGGATGAGTTATAATTTTCGGATTCTACCCTTGAATACTTAATTTGGAGGAGTGGAATAAATGTACTGTACATACTCTGGAAGTCGACCCCAAAAACAGGCTCGCATTCAACTCCCCCTCGTCGGCGCTTCAGGATCGCGGAACAAATCCGGTGTTTGGTGTTATCAAGCCCACGCCGAATTCACAACACTTCCGCCAATGCAACCAAACTCGCCGGCGGATCCCTTTTGGGCCTTTGTCACCACATCAGTGTTGCAGCACGGAATTCCAGATCTGATTGACGATATTGGGCCAATCATCTCCTTTGTTCAGCTTTCAATTTCCGATGATGTCTTTCGAAACCGGCTAGAAGCCTCGGTGGTGGAAACTACGCGCGCCCTTCCCCGCAATGTCAGGGAGGCCACCCCACGATTTGCAGGTTTCGTGGACAAAGACTATAAAGAAGCTACCAGCTGCCCCTCCGGGACCAAAGATTTTCTTTTGGTGGAAAGGTCTTAACTGAGATATCTATCGCCAACCTATTTGGCCCGTTGTTTCTCGTGAAAATGTCCTCGACAGCTACAGCTACAGAAACCCAAACGGCCACAAAGCCGGCTAGTGCAGCCAGAGACAATCTCACCATAACCTCGGGAAAACCGGAATTCAAGGCGTTCCCGAAGCCGCCAGCCTTCGAAGATAAATATAAAGAGCGGGAGTATCTCAAAGGAAGACTGGCCGCCGCATTCCGGATCTTCGGCAAGAACGGTTACGACGAAGGAGTGGCAGGCCATATCACAATCAGAGACCCTGTTGACACGACTACATTCTGGGTTAACCCGTTCGGGGTAGCATTCTCCCTTATCAAAGCATCCGATTTGATCCATGTTGATCATGAGGGAAATGTTATTGGCGGTGGGGAGGTCCGATTGCTGAACACCGCCGCGTATGCAATTCATTCCGCCATCCACACAGCGCGACCCGATGTTATGTGTGCGGCTCATAGCCATAGTATCTACGGTCGCTCATTCTGTGCCCTTGGGAAGCCACTGGACATCATAACACAAGACTCTTGCGCTTTTTACAATGTGAGATTAGACCATGAATTCCGATTGAAGTCCAAGCTCTGTGACGAGACTAACTCCTGACACCAGGACCTTGCCGTCTACAAACAATTCAACGGGATTGTCCTAGCTGCAGAAGAAGGGAAGAATATCGCGTCCGCCTTGGGAAATAAAAAGGCGGCTCTTCTTCAAAACCATGGGCTTCTCACGGTGGGGAAGACTATCGAAGAGGCCGTATTCTGGTTTGTCAGCCTGGAAAAGTGTTGTCATGCTCAATTGATGGCCGACGCCGCTGCCATCGGAAAAGGAGGAGAGACAATCAAGATTCCCGACGAGGACGCCGCGTTCACGTATAAGTCAGTTGGAACACCGTTTGCGGGGTATTTCAGCGCAAAACCGCTTTTTGACGTGATCCACAAGGAGACGAACGGCGACTATCTGCAGTAACCCGGGGTGGGGGGTCATCAGCAAGAATGGGTTGGGGAGGCGTCAATCACCGGTAGTGTCAGCTACGCAAGTGTTGCGCAAAGTTTGTTCCTTGTACAGAGGATTCTTGTGCTCTCGACCGTGGGAGCTCTGGGAGTCTATGGGAAGCGTCTAGAGGGACCGAGCGATGTAGATATATACGGAGTACATATGCCGTAGTTATGCACACACAAATGCATAAAGTCCCAAAGCGTCAAAGTGGCGATATATATAATAAGGTTTAAATATTTGCCGGTGACCGACATGACTAATCATCTTGCCACAATTCAGGACCCGGGCTTGGCCCGTGCACCCGCTAGTTGAAATTTGCAGGCGGCGCTGCTCGACCTTTTCTTTTAAAAAAAAAAAAAAAAAAAAAGCTTTTGAATAAAACAGCGACTCGGAATGGGCTGTGTCTGAGTTTTTCTTTCGCTCTCATCTTCTTCACTTCTTCATCCTTCCTCTTTCTTTTATATACTCTACCCGGACGCGTTTAGTTTTCTCGCTTTCATAGTTTTACACAATATTTGTCGGGAAAGCTGCGATGTTTGGTACTCTTCGCGGGGGACGGGTCCTCGTTCGCAACCTTCAAAGATGTGTTCGCCGGCCCAATCCTCTGTCGCTCGTTAATCGGACGCTTCCCCTACCTCACCGGGCAATTACATTTCCAGTTAGAACATTTTATGTATCGCCGTTGCTTCGGAACAGCGCTGGGGAAGCAGTGAGCCCCGTCGCCAGCGCAGATGTCCCAACACCACCCGAAGGGGAGACGAAGAAATTGCTGAAATTTGCCGACCTGCATGGCCCAGGGCTGGTGGATAAGAAAATCGTGGATGCTATTCTAAAAATGGGCATTACAGACATGACCGAAATTCAAGCCCAAACCATCAATCACACGCTAAACGGAAAAGATGTGTATGTTGACGAGAAGCTATACTCTCATTGCCTACGTGACTAATTATTGAATTTAACAGGCTCGCCCAGGCTAAGACCGGCACCGGCAAGACCCTTGCTTTCCTCGTTCCTGTCATCCAGAAGATAATTCGCGACGATCCGTCGTTGCGGACTGGTCAAAAATTTCGGCAGCGTGGCGGTTCCAATATTCGCGCCGTTGTCATCTCGCCGACTCGTGAACTTGCGGAGCAAATCGCCGAAGAGGCCCAGAAAATAGCCAGATTTACAGGAGTCCAAGTACGAACGGCGGTTGGCGGGACCAGGAAAATTGAAGGACTTCGAAAAATCCAGCGTGAAGGCTGCCATCTTCTTGTTGGCACTCCGGGTCGCCTTATAGATATTTTCAGCGACCCAAGGAGTGGGATTGCGGCGCCGAACCTGAAAGCATTCGTCTTGGACGAGGCAGATCGTTTGCTCGACGACGGGTTTGCCCCTTCTATTATGGACCTGCAGACCTATTTCCCAAAGCGAAGCGAGGTGGACCGTCAGACTCTGATGTTCTCGGCCACCATCGCACCCGAAATTCTAAGCATGGTTCGACGTACATTGAAGCAAGATTTTTCCTTCGTGAAAACCGTCAGAGATGACGAAGCACCAACACATTTGAAAGTTCCACAGAGGGCTGTGTTCCTTGATTGTCGATCGAACCAGATGCCAGCTATCATGGAAATCTTGACGCAGGCGATTAGAAGACATGAAACGGATCCCGTTCAAAACAGCCCATTCAAAGCCATCGTCTATTACAACTCCACAAACGAGGTTTCCATAGCGGCCGCTGCGTTTAACGCATTACTTACCGACCCAGAAAGCCGTTTCTCGCCGCATCCCTTTGGTATCAAGGGGATTGAAATCCATTCTAAATTAACTCAGGCCCAAAGAACGAGGAATTCGGATATGTTCCGTAGAGCAAAATCCGCTATCCTGTTCTCTTCTGATGTGACTGCTCGCGGAATGGATTTCCCAAACGTGACACACGTTATCCAAGTCGGTGTTCCACAAAGCAGAGAGACATACATTCACCGCCTAGGGCGTACGGCTCGTGCAAACAAAACTGGTGAAGGATGGATTCTGCTCACGGATCCTGAGTATCGTGAGTTCAAGACTACACTCAGGGGCCTGCCTATCCAGGAAGATGAGGCGCTCCTCAAGACTGCTATGATAGACATGTCACGAGAGAACCCTGATGCCCCTGAGCCCACAGCTTCTATCATTTCCCAGGCCAAGCAAGCATATAGCGGCCTTGATTATACATTAAAAGAGAAGGCATATATGTCCTCCTTAGGCTTAATCCGCTCACGAGACCAGTTTCGTCAACTAAATAATATGACGAAACATCTCTGGAGCCTTGACTCACCTCCTCCTATCTCTCTCGCATTGGCAAGAAGATTGAATATTCGTCATTATCCTGGTATTGTTATCGAATCCGCACGAAGGGAGCCGTCGGCGCTAGGATCGCCCCTCAGCGATGAATCTAGACGCCGTAGAACGACCGATTTCGGAGACGAGGGGCCATACCAACAATCGTTCCAGCGGAACGACCGTCGAAGCCGTAGAACGAACGGTTTCGGTGGCGAGGGGCGGTACGAACCATCCTTCCGGCGGAACGACCGTCGAGGCCGTAGAACGAGCGGTTTCGGTGGCGAGGAGCCATATGAACCGTCGTTCCGGCGAAACGACCGTCGAAGCCGTGGAAAGACTGATTTCCATCACGACGAACCACTTGATCCATTGTCCATGGGGGACGAACATGGAGGCAGTGGAAGCAGCGGAAGAACCGACTTCCAACGTTCCGAGACAAGAACCCGCCGATGGAGATGAATGCCAGTTGGCCTTTATTAATCGCCACTCTGTTTTAACCAGCTCGATTTACAGTATTCAAAATTGTTGAACAGTTTCATTTTTTCTGAATGGACTCATCTAGGCGGTTTGGCGTACGACTGTTTATTTGCTGCTACGATTTCGATTGTTCGACTGTTATATTTGCATGAGGTATCATGTTCGGAAACTGGGTCCTGTCTACATTCTTAAAGGTCCACGGAGTTGAAGGCGTCGAGTTACCACACGTAAAAGCAATTCTCTACGGATAGATCGGCGACCGTCCGATCTGTTTTTTACGCATGCGCTTGTATCCCTCCCTCTGAACATGGCTTTAATACTTTTGTTGACGTGTATTATTAACAATTTCATGGCGTGGTATGCTATACTTCTTGGAAGATTTACTATTGGCGGAGCAGCCCTATCATGCAGCTTTGTCCTTCCTTGGACTTTGTGTATTACTTTCTTTCGTCCCTCGGGCTCTGGTCATGGCGGCGTTGACGTATATGGGCATTGGTTGGTTGCGAAACTATTCTACTCCTCAGACCGTGATACCGAACACACATGTTAGCACTGATATGTATTTTATTGTTGATATTATCTTATACAGGAGTTCATGTATGTCATCTTCGTAAATAACTGTTAACAGGACGATGCCATACCTGCTTCAACATTAAGAGAAACAAGACCAGAAGATATTTCCTCGATGATATCCTTTCTCTGTAGTCCTTCGAGCCATTCTGCGGGGATAGACTCAAACCCGTAGAATGCTCCTGCCAGCCCTCCATACACGGCACCTACAGTATCAGCATCATGTCCCAAATTCACCGCTCTTAATGCGCCCTCCTGGAACGAACTTGTAGTGAAGAAACTCCACAACGCTGCCTCCAATGTCGAAATCACGAATCCGGTAGACTCTATAGTGCGCTCTTCTGTGGCCATCCAATCTGTAAGGCCGGTGTACTTCAGGAACCGCAGCCGCACATTTTGATCGTTGAACGGAGTGCTGGCGAATTCTTGGGCAATATCCTCCTTGGTGCCACCATTCACGGCACACACGATGAGTTTGGTGTATAGCATACAGCATTCTGCGCAAGTCGGGTAAGGGTGAGTCACCATAGAAGAACGCAAGGCTACAGAGAGAGCCTGATCGAGATCGTGCGAATAAACAAGCCCGACGGGCGACACCCGCATCAGTGACCCATTACCGCAAAATATCTGGGGAAATGTCAGATCCATCCGTTCATCCACCATCAGAAATAAGCACAGAAATTGGATAGGCTTTCCCGTACCTCGCGCTTGAGTGCGCGATCGATTTCTGGCTGTTCATCATTGTCTGCGTCTGGATCATCTTCACGAATGCTAGCTCGTCTCCGTTGGAAAAATCTTAACCATATCCCAAGCGCAGATGCCGTTCCTGCACCAATATCAAAGCAGTACCCCGTTGATGATAAGTACCCTTCTTTCCACCATTTTATATAGTTTCGGATAGCTGCCTGGGAAACAAAAGTGCCTTTGGAATCAATGAGTGCCTGTGCAAGGCACAGGGTCATTGAGGTATCATCGGTCCAAGTGCTGTCATTTGTTAACTGCGATATCTGTATACTTCGATAAAGGCGCCAATGCTTACCCTGGAGGTACGCCGAAGTTTGCATTGTGCCGATAGCCGGTAACCTTCGCGAAGCTTCCTCTCCGGTGAAACTCTACTGGTCCTCCAAGAGCGTCGACTACGGCCACACCGAAAATCGAGCCTTTGATTTTAGAATGCTTTCTTGGGGGTGCCATGCCGGGTACTCCTGATGGGAACGTTGGCACAAGTCTAAGGCTCAACTTGTTATTTTGTACTCCGTACAGAGTATGCTGAACAATTGGCTGTTTATTTAAGTTGGCGCCAGGGGACTGGTAGCAAGCTTGTGTTGTTTTTTGGGGGAGAGGGGAAGGGAGGCTTCATTGGAGAGCGCCCGGAGACGCCGAATTTATGCGAATCTATACGGAGTACATTGGAATCGTCATTATGGGCATCAGCAACAGACCTGAGATCGCCTCGTGTTGCGGACTCACCCACCCGTTGCGGAGTATCTGCCTGTGTTGAGAAGTTAGCGCGAATCTTATCCGCCGTTCCTGATTGGATGTAAGTAAGTGACTAATAGAATCAATTAGTATCACTCCTAACACAACAACAAGGTGGTATGGTCTAGTGGTATGACGTCGCGTTGTGGCCGCGCCAGCCTGGGTTCGATTCCCAGTACCGCCAATTTCTTTTTTGCCGCTGTTCCCTTCAACTGACCTCCTCATTCACCCGCCATCGTCGATTTTTTGGCAACTGGCGAGGCAATTCTTTTCTTTTCTCTTTTTTTAACTATCAGGCTTCAACATCCTATTGTGGTAATTGGACCCTAAATTCATCATGCATGAATTCATTGAAATGGTGGCCTCTGGGTGATTGAGAGCCAATCTCGACCCTATTGACCACCCCTCGATATCACTTAATCTTTACAGTCGCACAATCAATTGAAAATGATTTCCTCAAGGCGCGGAGATAACCTTCAGGGTGCCTAGAAATCATTTGTGAAACAGCTATTTTAGGTTTATTCACCAGCGCTTACACTGATAGATTGAAAGGGCACCTTCACAAGCGCCCAATGCCTTCATCCATGTCAATTGGATGATGTGAATGGCACTGGCGCCAATTGTAAAATTGGCGAGCGATGGTCCTTCTCACACACTCTTCCATGCACCGAGTTGGATCTTGTATTATCGCCAAATGTTGCCAACCATTTGAAATTTGGGAGGCCCAGGGCTGATTAAGAAGGCGATGGAGGTAAGGCAATCTATACCTGGATATGAGGACGGGAGTTGCATTTCACCAGCTGAACTCCCCCATAGATGAATAATCATACGTTTTCCAGCCGTAAGCGCCTCGAGGAATTGGCTGCAAGCGTGGGTGTTTCTATGAGCAATTATCTCCCAATCCTCAAGAGAAACGCCATTTCTTCTTTTAGCCATCAGGATAAGGAAGCGGCTGAGAGCCTTGCAACACGCAAAAGATTGGAAACTTTCTCGTCGAAGTCACATATCTTCCGACGCACCCCAAGCCAACGCAATTTCAAGAAACAGGAGCTCTATGTCGCGATCGAGACCGTCATCAGGGAAAACGGACCCGTCGGTGTTCTGGAATGTTTAGTGACGCAAGCCAAAGATGCAAAGTCTAAAAAGAACATATTCAAAACCGATACCCAGGAGTTCCACGTGGGCCCGCTTCTGGAGCTTGCAATAGGACATCGACGGGCCGATATGGTATCAATACTGGCTCCTCAAGCGGATCCGGCGTCTGTGAATAGTTGCCTTCGATGTGCAACCGCATCTGCCAATCTAGATTGTGTCAAGGCCCTTCTTGAAAACGGGGCAGATCCAAATTCTTGCCAAGAAGAGTTCATTGAAAATATAACCAGTGGAAACATTCCTCTCGTGAAACTTTTACTAAGAGCAGAGAAACGGCTTAACATTTCGTGTCTTGATGAAGCCCTTCCGATAGTGGTATCGAAAGGACCGCTTCAGCTTGTTATTATCCTTCTTCAGCAAGGTGCCAATGCGGATTCAGCTGGACTCTTCGAATCTGTTGTTGAGGGTGGAAGGATTGATCTTATCGCCGCCTTTGTCTCAGCTAAGCGGCCTCCGTCACCAGCATCTCTCAGCCGCGCTCTCGGAGTCGTTCTCCGTGGGTCAACAGTAGTGACGGAAGAACAACGTTTGATCATCGAAATGCTTCTTTGCGCCGGCGCATCTGGAGAGAACGTCAACAAGATCCTAATGCGATCAATCTCTACGAATGATGGGAACCTCGCTTCCACGGTGGTTTCGTATCGCGAGGTGATCTCATATGATCCTTCGGACGCAATAATTGAAGCCGTAAAGAAGAATGACATGGAGATCTTAAGCATTATTTTCAATGGAAAACTTGACAGCGACTGCGCGTCTGCTCTATTGGCCAAGTTTTCTAAAGTGTCGGTGACTTTGGCGTCATCGAGAAAGCTTTGGATAGTGTCAACCTTAGTTAAATACGGGGCTACTGGCAGTCCGCTGCATGAGTATTTGGTTAATTCCGTCCAACGAAATGACGAACTGTTGGTCAGATTTCTAGTGGATCACGGAGCATCCGTTGACTACCAGGATGCAAAGGCACTTCGTCTTGCCATGTCCTCAAAAAAAATCTTCAAATCTTCAAGAAACTCCTTGGCGGGAAACCATCTCAACCCTCCTTTTCGCTATGCTTTCGCTTGTTACCAACATTACCCCCAAATTTACAGCTGGATTTGGCGTCAGAACTATTAGCTGCTGGGGCCCAAGGTCAAGAGGTCGACAAGACGCTCGCAAGGGTGTTTTCTGACAACGTTACACTCGAACGACACCAGTTCCTTGAGTTACTCGTGAGACATGGCGCGGATGTTAACATCAAGGATGGTTATTGTTTCCAAGAAGCAGCAAGATTGGGAGACATCGTTTCTCTAAGCATCTTACTCAAAGGCAGTCTAAGCGAGTTATCACTTTGCAGAGCTCTCACTCCGGCAAGCAAACTATCTCCCAAAGAACTACGGTTCACTATCGTGGATTTGCTTCTGTCAGCAGGCGCTCGTGGACCAATAGTGGATGCGCAATTGGTTGAGCTAGTTCAGGAAATTCCTGTCGATATCGTTTTGATTAGTCTAGTTCTCGAGAAAGGGGAAGCAAATATCAACATGGATGGTGGTAAGCCTGTGCATCATGCGTGCCGGAAGGCAGATTATAAACTCCTGGAGCTTCTGCTGCAGTATCGGCCGACAACAAAGACCCTGGACGCGGCTTTCCTTACAGCGACCTCTTTGGAAGACCCTGCCGTTCGTTATGAGATATGTCATAAGCTCCTCAATGCTGGTGTAAAAGGAGCAATGCTGGACAAGTCATTAATCTGTGAACAGCAATCTCCGTCAAGCAACATGAGTTTACTGGAGCTACTCATCGATCATGGGGCGAATATTAATTTTAACAACGGTGCTGCTATTCGAAATGCTATAAAGCAGTCTGATGAGCAGCAGCTTGTGCTTTTCGCATCTAGAATGCCTTCACGCCAGACAGTAATGGGTGGCCTGGAATTATTGCTCCGTACTAATACCGTCAAGAGGTACGAGATGGCCAATATTTTGTTGAATGCAACAGATATCTCCGTATCCGAGGCTTTGAATCCCATGCTCCCGGAAGTGATCAGATTAGATATTCGGAATCATCGCCTTCTGAAGCTTTTTATTCAGCACGGGGCTTCGGTAGATTATCAGCAGGGTATGGCGATACGCAAATCGATCGACAATGATTATATCGATGCTTGTGAATTATTACTGGGTCAACCTGTCTCTTCGGACACACTTGAAACTGTTTTTGGGTCTTGTTTGGCGATTGAAGGTCCACGACGTGTTCAATACACAAAGTTGGTCCTCCAAGCCGGTTTTGATGGACGATGTGTAGATGAAGCACTCCTTAAGATTGTCCAAGAAAAGCCCTGTGACATGGATATGGTCATACTTCTCTTAGCGCATGGCGCTTCGGTCCACTTTGCGAATAGTCAATGCATTGTTCACGCGGCTCTGTCTCGGGATGATTTAATCCTGAGAATCATTCTAGAATCCGTTTCAGATAAAATAGCTGTGACATATGCGTTTGGAAAGACAATATCGGCCGGTATAACTTGGCTTTCAGCTTCTGGTTTACCAACCATCGAATTGTTACTACGCCATGGTGCAACCGGGGAGGCACTCAATCTGGCCCTAATCGCGGCAGTTGGAAATGCAGCAATGAACCCCGAGGTGGCAAAGTTTGTAGACCTTTTCCTTGAATTTGGAGCTAGGGCCGATTACCATGATGGTCGTGCACTGAGAGCTGCGATTTCAAAAGGCCAAATTTCGCTGACCAAAAAGATTATGGATACATGCCCTTCGAGCAAGAGTCTTGCAATCGGACTCACATGTGTTTTTAGTTCTGACCTCTCTGAGGATGTGAGTTTGAAATTGATTGAAATTCTCACTCAAAATCAGGCCGACGTTGATGCCGTGGACACTTTGTGGTGTTCTGATGGATTGCAAAAAGAATCTCCCGTTCTTCTATGCCTTCAAAAATGGCCACGGGGAACGAAGATCCTGGAAAAGCTTCTGCAGAGCGGCATGAACGTAAACCAGATAACCTCTTATACGATTGAGAATGATCATGGACTGGAACATGTTTCTCTTCTTTTATGGGCGTTGTTGCAACCAAAACAGCGTATAAGTTCATACGCGATTGAGTGTCTACTGAAGCATGGAGGTAAGCCCCTTTAGGGTACAACCTTTGCGGTTTCTCTGACGTGTTATTAGCGGACCCCAACTTTCAATCTACAGGGTCTTGGAAGTCCCCTCTCCTCATAGCATCAATCGAAAGAACCCCTGATGTTGTTTTACAGCTTATCCATCATGGCGCAGATGTTTCGAGGGGCGACGCGGCTGGAAAGACTCCACTCTTTTACGCTAGTAGACGTAACCAGATTGATATAATACGCCATCTTATCGACGCTGGCGCTACTGTCGATGATGGGAGTCTCCATGAAGCGGCACAGGCCTTGAGCCCCGATGCTGTTCAACTCCTTATTTCTTATGGACATGATCCCAACTTTCCATCAATGTTACACGATGGTCGATGTGCACTAGCAAACTTGAGTCTCCACGCCTCTGATGCTAGGTTGCCTGTTTCTGGAATCAGGAAGACCATTGACGCTCTAATTGCTGGCAAAGCAGACCTAAGAGCACAGAGTCAGGGAAAATCTCTCCTTTTCCATGCATTGGATAATCTAGGAGCCTGTGTCCATGTCACGACGGCCCTGCTGGCAAGTGGAATGTGGAAACTAATTAATGACAGCTGCAATATCTTTACCAGCAATAACTATGTCTACTCACCCTCGATGTACATCAAGAAGAACCTCCAAAGCAGCCCAAGAGAGCTTGGTCCACAGCTTCTTCATATCCTGAAGGCCCACAATTGTAGGGATGTGTACTATCGGCTCACTAGCCCTCAACCGCCAGACATGGTTAACGCCCCGCCAGAAATTATGGCAGAGGAAAGCCGAAGACAGGCCCGAGTCAAACGTCTCCAGGATCAAGAAGAAGAACACCAAATGCAGCTCAGACAAAATGAGGACCTTGCAAATCAGCAAGACATACTGATGACGCGAACACACAATCTGCGGATTCAACACGATCGCGAGCTTGCAGACGAACGAGAGGCAAACGCTGAGCGCTTTGCAAAACAACAGCTTCGTCTTGATGCCGAATCTGCAGCGCAACGGTCTCGCCTTGCACAACAAAATCGTATGCTAGAATTTGAACACACGAAGACCCTTAGCCAACTTCGCCTGCAGGCACTCGAACAGCAAGGCCGGCTGCAAATTGCGAATGCGCAAGAAGTTGCACGGATAGAACAGGAACTGGTCGATAAGAAACTGACCACGGAGATTCAACGAATTAGAGAGCTCGAAGCTGCTAATGACAGGCAGTACAAGAGAGATGCTGATATTCTTTGTAGGCAGGAAAGGCTATGGGCAGAAAGGAAAGGGATAATGAGTGAAGATAGGGGAATCACTCCTGGGAATGCGAGTGGCACGATGTCCCCAGTGAAGGGGCTAACCTATCAGGGTGCAGAATTGGATTAGCTGAGCAAACTCCAGGCAGCATCCTTGTTTCAATGGTGATATCGTATTGAGCAGGTTTCCTAGAAGTGGTAATTTAGTGCGGAATACGGAGTACTTTCGTTGATCTTGCAGCCATTGAACATTATTGATCATATCAACAAGCAGCATAGGGTCTTGCTCCCTTTTCGTGGGGCAGCGTGCAAATTTTGTATTGTTTATGTAGCTATTGGTTTTACTACTCCGTACATATTCGGGAGAAAGTGACCAAAAAAAAAAAAAAAAAAGGAAAAGTGGGATCTTCCGGACTCGAACGCAGGAGGTTCATTCCTCTTACATCAACAGAGACATCGCACCTCAACGCGGATCCGGCAAAAAAACTTGGAGCTTCTCTTTGATTGAGCGTGTCATCCTTAGTGCAGGGGCCATGCTAATCTTCTCTGTATCGTTTCAATAAGACCAAATGCCCGAAGGCAGAAAGGCTGCCTCTTCTACTATCTTATGTTGTGATTTTCTGCGATACCTCGCTCCGATTGGCTGTGTTTAGGTTTAAAATTATATAAGCATATTAAATGGACGGATTTATATTATTCCAGAGAAAATAGAAGCGGGCAACGGTGATTGGCTGGATCCCGGCAACCCAAAGCAACCAGTTGCTTGGCGTTCGGCTTCCACAAAGATTCACCCCCTTTTCCAAGGCTCCTTTCGTTCCATCAGAAACTTGACCCGAGTAGGCTCAAGTCTACATCTAGATTTTGATTCTATACCAAGGGATGACGGATTCAACCGCCCCATTGGTCTTTAGGTTGGTCCAAAGGCAAATAGTCAAAGTACAACAGTCAAGAAACACATGTGCACAAGTTATATGAAAGGGGATAGAAGCGTGTATCCCAGGAAATTCGGCAGGTGGTGGTATACAACACGCGGCTCTCAGTAAAAGTTTGTGTTGCAAGGGATTAAGGGGCATGCTATAACCGCTCAATCATGTGCGATCTCGCTGGTCCTGTGCCAATCCATCTAACTGGGACACCGAGATCCTTTTCGATATATTCGATATATTTCTGGGCGTTTGGCGGCAAGTCTTCCCATTTCGTAGCACCCATGGTATTTACCTTCCAACCTGGCAGCGTTTCATACACAACCTCCACCTTCTCCAGCTCTTCCGCATCGGCGGGGAAGGACTCAACCTCCTTTCCGTTCAAACGATAAGCCACGGCGACCTTGATTTCGTCAAAGTCATCTAGGATGTCTAGCTTTGTCAGATTAAGAGCAGTGTAGTGGTTGATCGAGGTGCTGTATCGGCACATAACCAGGTCAAGCCAGCCGCAGCGCCGCTTTCGGCCGGTGGTGACACCGAACTCACGGCCAGTGGCTTGCAGTTTCTCACCAATTTCGTTAATTTGTTCGCTAGGGAAAGGGCCGGAGCCAACTCGTGTGCTATATGCTTTCACAACGCCGACAATGGACTTGATCTCCGTTGGGTTAAGGCAGAGACTTTGGATGGTGCCGCCCAAGCCAGTGCACGATGAGGTGACGTATGGATACGTGCCGTGATCGATGTCAAGCATGAGTGCGTTAGCTCCCTCGATGAGAATGGATGCGTCTTTGTATTTCCGAAGCAGAGTAAATTGGTCAACCACAAAAGGTTGGAGCAGCGTACGATACTCCTAGACGGCTATAAGTAACGAAGGACCGGTGTCAACAAGCTGAGAGACATACCTTGAACCGCTTAATCTCCTCTTCAAGGTCATAGCTCAGGTCTCCGAATCGTCGTCGGTAACCAGCCTCGAGATTTCTCAACTTTCTTTCTACAATGCCTTCGTCTAAAACTTCTCCGATTCTAACGCCCGTTCTTGAAGCCTTATCACTGTAGCATGGACCGATTCCCTTCCCAGTTGTTCCGACTTTTCGCCCGCCAAGGCTTGCTTCCTCAAGTCCGTCTACTACGGAATGCAAATCGAAGCAGACATGAGCGCGATCACTAATGAACACGCGCTTATTTGCGTCTTTGAGGCCCTTTTCCTCCAAAGCTTTGAGTTCTTTGAAAAATGAGGGAACATGGACGACTGTTCCGGAACCGATTAGGTTGACGCATTTCGGCGATATCAGGCCGGACGGAAGGATATGGAAATCGTATGTGATATTGTCGTGGATAATTGTGTGTCCCGCATCTAGTTGATTGGAAACTTCTGTAAGTATAGATCCCATTCCACCAGCATCTAGGGGTGGTGATAGGCCACAAGCTCGTTGCAATAGGGCTAAGAACGAAAGACAAAACTCACTATGACCACCAGCGGAACGGCAGCAGAGATCTGCAGTTTGAGAGAGGAGGTCTGTAATTTTTCCCTTTCCTAGCGATGAAAGATGTTAGTTTATCGTGCCAGCGCAACTTATCACGCAACCTATGGCTTTCTTCTATCGGACTCAAAAGATCACGAGGGCCGCCGGAAGTTCTCACCTTCGTCCCCAAACTGGGCACCTAAAACCAGCGTCACCATGGTTCTCTTTTCTTTACTAACAACCGGAATTCGAATGTAGATGGATTCCACAAAAGAAGGACAAGTCCTCGTTTCTTTCCTTATTTCAATTTTGGTATGTTCTTAAGTGTATCGGGCACAATCCCACAATGCCGAGGGGTAGTAAAAGCGGGCACGAGAGGTCCAATGACGACTGCGCTAATGCGGAGACTCAATTGAGGAGAAGAAGTGCAAATATTGCTATCTCTAATCGGACCGGAAAAAACTTTTGCTCGGATATGCGATTTCAAAATCTAGAGATCAAATTCCAAGAAATTCTTTCGGAGTATGCGCTCAATCTTTTCGGCCTGAGTCACCCTTTTGGCGCGGGGCGGGATTATGTAATCGGCGGGACCGGGAACGAAGAAACGAAATTCCGTGAGCCCTTTGTCTGCCTGGAGTTGGGGAGGAACCATCCATCACAGCGATAGATTTGTTCTCTGTAGATGTGAAAGGATTATAACATGGTGGAGAACACTCTATATATAGCAGAAGGAAGTGTGTATGCACTGGCATTGTATTATGCAATCCTTGATTGTTGTCTCAATACTGAACGGAATGGCTGGCAGCCTTGTTTCCCATCAAACAAACATAAAACTGCCGCAGATCATAGTGGTACACACGACGGTTTAAAAAAGAACAGGACAAAAAAAGCCAACTGCCAATCCGGTTGGAAAGATAACAACAACTCCTTACCAAATGCGCCTAGCCAATGATGTATCCACGTCTCTTACGCCTTGATAGTAACTTGCCACCCTATGCAACAACAAAACGGGCCTCAAATCAGTGACTCAGCACAGGGAACCGGTTGCGCCTTTCGGCATTCTTGAATCCAGGTACGTAGGCGTCCGAGGTCCAAAATACACTGACGATGCCGCTCCCACGCGACTTCCCAGTGCTGGCGTACCACAAAGTCCTCTTCCATTCCACGTACATAGGCACCGAACCCATACTTCCCAGGGTTACCTATAGCCTTCGCATCGTCGCTTTCATCATCGTCATTGGCGGCGTCCCCATTGGCTGAAGCCTGATATCCACCTAAATTTAAACGGGTACCATCCCCTCTTGCGCTCATCCAGTTCGGTGATAGCAGAGTGTCGACAAAATTCTGTCGTGCATTGAAATGGGAAAGCATGGTTCTGTTAAACTTGTTCCATTCGTTCATGTAAGCCGCCATGTCGGTCATGTACCGGTCCCACATGCCTCGAGCGAGAACTTGTTCTGGCTTCATGGCTGAAAGGCCCGGATTAGCAGTGAAATTCGGAAGAGTGGGTGGTTTTGGCGGTTTTGGAAGAGCAAGATCCCTTGGTTTGATACGCGACCGATTCAAATCTGGCTGAGAGTCGAATGGAAGGGCGTTATTCAAATTCCTCAAGTCATTGATACCACCATTATTAGTAGCAGAGAAAGGATTGACAAGGCCCATATCAGTTAAATTGAGCAGGTCGGGCGCTGTGTCGAAAGTATTAGGGATTTTGGTCTTCGAGGAATTTGCGGATTCCTTTGAAGGCGTAGCTTGCGCATTTTGGGCACCTCCAGAAGGTATCGGCTCGTCGATATCCATGGCTTCAGCGCTTCCAGAAGGGGCAGCATTCGAGCTTTCGTTCGTAGTGGGAGCGAATGTATTCTCTGCCTCTTCGGCCTCTGTAGTCACTGTGGCTGGGCGTGGAGCAGTAGAACGCTTTGGCGCTGGCTTACTCTGCTTTCGAGGGCTTTTTTGACGACGAGGATCCATTGATGGCTGCGGAAATGCATCGCCACGCGGAGTTGTCCACGTGTTATCTCTGAGGAGTTCTGCCCAACGATCAGCTGAAAATTTCGCTTCTGCAAACGGCGGAAGTGGCTGGGAAGAAGCACGATCCGCACTGGGATTGGCTGCGTTCTGTGAAGAACCCGACGGTTGAAAATGAGAAGATGTGTCAGATTTATTCAGAGTTCTACCTCGTGTTGGTACTGGCTTTGTGGCAAATGGAACACTGCCAGACGGCCCTGGGGCGAAAAGGTCAGCGTCATTCCCAAATGTGCCACTCCATTCTTTCGCTGAAAAGGTGGGACTAATGTAATCATGGCTTTTGCTTTTAGGGGGAGTTTTGTGGGTTCCGTCCCCTTTTGGAGTGGTGTTTGTCGCATTGAAACTAGAAATATCCTCTAAGTCAGTTCCCATAATTAACAAAGAAACGGATAGTGACAAAGATAGTATAGCAAAGATAATATAGCATCAGGTCAATATGAATGATTTTGTTCTCTTTTTCGCCCATGAGCCAGTCCTCTGATGACACCACCATTTATGGCTCCTTCTGCCAAGGGTAGGACACTAAGGGCTTGGGCTTAAAGGAAGGGAATGTGTGACCATTGACGCCTGTTTCAGATCAATCAAACAGCAGGAGACTTGTGGGTACCATACATATTAGGTGTTGAAGAGCAGCGAGGTTCACCGTTTGTGGGAGTCATTTTCTCGCTTTGGAGGCTACCATCCACATTGACATTAGTCGAGAGCGGAATTGACGATTTTGAAAAATTTGAAGATAAAGGGGTGCGGCCAGCGGTTTTTCTGTGGCTTCCCTTGTCTGATTCCACTCCCTCGCCAACATTAGGACTCTCCCAGTCATCGAATTTGGAACGGTTGGCTTTGGTGAACTCTTTCTGACGGCCATTGATCGTTTCGCCAAACAGCCACGAGTCGGGATGCATCGCCCACGCCGACGTATCACCAGACATGTTCTCGTTGCCATAATGCGTAGGTCTGTTAACCTTTGCCCTGGTACTACGAACTCTGCTGCGCGGCATGGCTTTTGGGCGAAAGCTAGGAAGAATTTCGTCTGAATCACTCGAAGTGGGGGAAGAGAATGGTTGATTGCGTTTGGGACTCAGCTTAGGGCTCGCACTATGACGTCTTCCACGAGCCTGCAGAGGGGTTGGGCTTGGTGGATTTGTTCGTGGTTGGGATCCAGAGTCCTCGAAAGGAGTTGAGCGGGCACTCCGCGTAAATGCAAAACCTGCACTCGACACATAAGTTTTCTCGCCGCCTGACGTAGCGTACCGACTGCTGGTTCTTTCTAGGTTAGGCATAGATGTACCGGAGTCCCCAGCTCCCGCGGGTTTCTTTTTAGCAGTAGGGGATGGTGCTGGTTCAAAAAAGGGGTTCGATGCTTGCGCCCTTTCACCCTTTGAGATGGTCGCATAGGCAGACGTATTTTTTGCCATAGGTTCGTCACCACCAGGCGTGCCAGGTGCAAAGCTATTTCTTTTCTTAGTTGTTTGGGATCTTTGGGGTCCAGCGCCGGCCTGTTTTTGAGTTGTGAAATAAGCTTCATATGCGGAATGTGGCCTTTGTGATTGTTGTTGTTTCGCAGTCGGTGGCTTGTCGGTCCGCCCTGTCTCATGCGATGAACGGCCTGTTCGAGGGTCGAAATTCGTCCATCCACCAGCTGGATGATTGCTAGGTTTCATGTTTTGAAACGCACGGTATGCTTCAGCTCGCGTTCGTACATCTTCATATACCTTATCCCATTTTGGAACACCAGCCTTAGCATAGCTGTTCCACTGGTGCGGCGGATGGGGAAATGACGATGCAGACGGATAACTGGCCTTATTCGGAGGGGCCGTAGGGGGTCTTGGGGGAGGTTTATGAGAAAATGGAGATCCGGTATTGTGGGATCTTGAGGTGGGAGTTGCGCGCGAAGAACCGTAATGCTTGCCGTAACCAGCTCGAAGCCTATCGGCATCGTATTTTAATCGTAGTTGGGAATCATTAAGAACTTCATATGCAGTCTGAAGCCCTTGAAATTTGGAATTGAATTCGACCTCTCTTCCTGGATTTCGATCGGGATGATATTTGAAAGCTACCGTCATGCGAGGTCAATGAGTTTCTGCTGGAACGCAAACAGCAATTTAGGCTCGTGCCCTCTTACCTAGCTTTCGGTATTGTTTTCTAATTTCCTCTGGCTCCGCACGGCTGTCAATCCCCAGCTCCGCATAATAATCCCTCTTTATATCCACTTTCACCATTCTCGAAAGGAGCACGCTCCCTGACCAGAAGTGCCAGGGGATCGGTGGCGGAAGCGGCTAATGGGTTTAGATTTGGCAAAAGTCTCCTCGGTCAACAGAATTGCATATTTTTGCGCGGGAAATGCGAATTTTCGCGATCGTCAATTTGTGTTTATTTTCGAAACGAAGTCGATCTGCCGAGTTTTCACGAAATTCGACTCGAAATTAGTCAGGAGAACGAATGGCCGCAAAGAAAACAGCCTGCATATTCAAATTCACAATTACTACACCAATTCCGGTGAAATTTCAATCGATGAACAATGTCACCAAGATCAGTCAGGGCTGGGAAGGAAAAATGAAAAAAAGCAAAAACTGGCCAGCTCAATCGTGCACACACTTGCAGCAAACTCATGCCCAACAGCAAAAGGTGAGGCAAACTGGGGGAAGCAAAGTCTGATGTTCAGATGCTGCATGCAAGAGACTCACCCTATTAACTGTGAAGTATGGGCAGTGCACAATAGAGAGGCGTGGTTGGTTTATTGGGCAGTTGTTAGGTAGCAGTACACCAGAAACACCTCATTAATGCAGGTTGAACCCTATCAGATCGCAATCGATTAGATGAGAACAAGGGTAAGCCAGAGATTTTGCCAGGAGAGGACGAAGAAGCATACAAATGAGTGACTGTGCAAGAACCAGACCTTCCAACCTGCTTTTCCCCAAGACTTCAACGCCACGGCAGTGAGCTGAGATGATGAGTGACTAGTGTCAAGTCGAACGCGTTTACCAAATCACAATCAGTACAGAGTATATGTAGAAAGTTCGTACAACAAAGCAGATGGTAGTTAGAAAAGAGCGCAATACAAGGCCATCTTTAAAACCATGCAAAGCAAAGTACACATTGAAAGGCATGAAACATGAACAAACCCATTCCAGCATAGGCTGCAGGGCAAACATCGAAACAATACCCTTGTCAGGCGTCCTGATTCTGACAGTGGTCACCGCCCTCACCGTTCCGCCCGCCTGATTATGTCACCAATCACTTAGCCGCCCGCTTCTTGGCTGGTTGACTAACCATATACGGTAATGATGACCGCACTTGAAAGGCTTTCTTTCGCTTCTCCCGCATTGATGCACTTTTCACCAACGCCGGGATCTGTCGCCTGTAGAATGGCCTCTCTTGATGTACAGGGTGCACCCTTCACACATCATGTTTTTATTTCCTCGATCTTGCAGCTGTGAGCTTCTTGTGAACTACGCTCCAATCACACAGATCCTTCCCCGGCTCCAGGCCGCCTTCCTGATATCCAACTCCACCACTTAGGCCATGTTGACCGTATGCCCTTCAGTGTATCCTATGCAATACTCACTATCGTTTTCCACTCTGCTCTCGCAGGGGACCTCCCTTGTACTGGGTTACGGGTGACGAAAAACCGTGAATCTAACCTTGCTTCTTTCCCGCGCATATGCTTATTTTCTGTTTCCACTTTCATGTGAAGCATCCGGGTGGCCAATCGGTATTATAATAAGAGATACTAGAAAGGACATAGAGAACATCAAGTTGTCAGAGCCTTTCTACTGCGTTCTTAGTCAAAATCAAGCGACATTGCCGTTGGGATAGCGGAGCTGGCTGGGCAAGCCAACCGTGTTTCTCCAATTTGATTCTCCGCATAACCACGTTGCCTGAAACAAAGTTTTGAGCTTCTTTATATTCTTATGGCCAGTTGGCTGGGCTTGCCTTATGCAAATACTTACTATGATTTGGTTCCGGCATCGCCAGCTTTTGTGCGGCAGGGGGATGATCGAGCACCTCTTGAGCTAATTGAAAAGTCTGACGTGTTAGAAATTTATGCCAAATCACCGCTGGCTGAGAGGTGATGCTCATGTGCAATCAGTTATATAAATATATATTCGGGGTAGTCAGTCCTTGCTGGGTGGTATCGAAAGCGCTTTCAACCCTGAACTTTCGATCCGCCGGGCCGCCCTACTCTCAGCTACTCTACGTTGTCCTAATTCGAACGACGAACTCGCATCCAAATGGAAACCCGCGCTGAAAGGAGGGGTGGACTGAGAGCTATCCCACCTTTGCGGCAATCCTGAGAGTGTGTATCAGAGAGGCCATACCTAATGACAACTGAGTTAGCAAGGTACATATCAGGCCAGAATTGTTGAATCGGAATCAAGTTGCGAGCTACAGGCCTAAAACGAATGGAGAAAGGAAAAGATGGCTACTGAAGCTGAAATAGAATTTGGTATGTGATATGCTTTGATAATTGTTGTATATGCCTTGGTGAGTCAGACAACTAACTTTGATGGGAAAGGGTAAGGGATCTGGTAGGAGACAAGGCCCGGGGGGAGGAGGATGCAGACGAAGGAGGGTGAGAGGGAAGAAGAAAAATGAAGCCATGGGCACCACAAGAGGAGGGAAGCGAGGAAAATGAAAATCATGAAGTCGATGCAAACAAAGCAACTAAATTTAAACTTATAACGGGCAGTCAGGTCCGTTTCTTTCGCAGGGAAGGTCTGGTGGTGCAGTCGGGTCAATCCAGCATCCGGAGGCTGGTGGCGCTCACCACGAGGCCTTCCCGGGTTCGAACCCTCGAGCGAGCGAACGAATTTCGACGGCGTAAAATCCCACCGGGGGTTTTCATAGCATTGAACTGCCCTGACACGCGGGGATTTCAATGTGAACTTTTTGCAATTTTTTCCTCGTTACATATAGCATTTTCTTCTGTCTTCTGACGCCTCCTTCCACCCGAGTTTCGTGTTTCTAAGCAGCCGCCATGATAAATATTGGCTGATCAGAATTTCCCTGGTGTTTAACGCGCCGCCGCATCTCTACCCCAACCAAACAAACTCAACTTCGACTGGAAAATAATATATTTTCTCTAAAAGGGCTCATTGAAAATTCAAGAGTGAGGAATAATTACGACGATGCCGAACGCCTCTTTCCATATTTTTCCGTATGCCAATTATATATGTTGTTGTCGAGTTCATCTAGAAGGAACAAGGCACAAATCGCCAGAAGACCAAAAGATCTTGAAGCTAGTCTGATGCCTCAGTTACTCTGCTAAGAGATGACTGACTATATTTCATATATCGACTTTCTTTTCCATTAGTGACATCCGGACCCGGTCGTCAAGACTCCAGGGCTGATTCAAATAGGAAATCCAGGAGACCGCAATCCACCAAAGCACCAAAACCAGTCAATGCAATATCTCGGTGCATGTACTTCTTAAACCCGTTGACTCTGGTTACAACAAGCACCTGATAGTTGAAAGGCAGAACGAGTCGAAGAAACCAACGACCGCTCTAATATCCAATTTTTAAAAGCATTGAGGCGTTAATCAATTCGGTAGATCCATTGGTATATATGTACCCATTTATTGATATCTACCACTTAGCCCAATTATTGTTCAGAATACGTATTAGGCCCTAAAAAACCCTCGGCGATGCTCAAGGAAATTTAGAAAACCCAAGTGTCCATGCAGGCGTCATTCCGCATTCAATGCAACGCCTAACTTCCCCCAGTGCCATTGCCGAAAAAGAAGTCTCCAAAAAAGGGGTATCCAGAGCCATTACTCCAATCGTGTTGCAACCCAAGCGTCATTCCGAAGCCAAGATCAACAGCCGTATCAGGCGGGTCATCACTATTTGGAAACGGTGATGGTAATGAGAACGTGTCAGTCTCTTGCCCCGTTGAGGCACTATAAAGTTGCTCATGGTCCGCGCGCGGAGCACAATTGAGAAAATCAAATTCAGGATGATAAAGTAGGCTCTGCTCAGGACATGACGGGAGACTCGTATGAGAAGCGGCGGTAGAGGCTTGCTGAGGAGATTGCGTTAGGAAAGGGTTGCCGAAACCGGGCTGTTGCTGAAGAGAATGGGGAGAAGAGGAAGCAGTGTTGTAAATAGATTGCTGCGCGTTGATGAATGAATTTCCAGCTGCAATGGGAGAACTCGATTGGCCCATAGGGTAATTGCCCGGAAAATCCGATGGACCCATGTGATTTAAGGCGGGTGTACGGTTAAGGGGAGCTTGTCGGCTCTGGTTACTATCCGGCTGATATCCGGGGCGCATTCTTCCATCCAAGACTATTTCTGATGATGAGGACGCAGGATGAATATTTAAAGATGAGAGAGGATTTGAGTTTTGGCCACCAGGAGCCTGAAGCAATGGTCTATCATCCTGACGGGCTTTCCCTGGCAAGGCTGGTCGAGTCCCGTTCGTGCCAGATGACGAGCCAAATCCAGTTGTGGATAAACACACCTGAACAGTTGCCTTGCTCATCATTTCAAAGGCATCTCGACATGCTTCAGCAGGGGGGCATTTTCCCATCAAGTCTTCCAGGACAGAAGTCGCTCCTAGGACGGTAAAATCGACGTCATCAAGGGCCTTACGCCAGTCAATAAATTTTTCCAAATATTGGGCTGGAGACTTATACTCACAAGATGGCTTCGAACAACAGGTGAATGCCATATTGCACATAGGAATGAGATACCTATCTTGTTAGTAGTGCTGAGATGATCCAGGAAGCAGAGGAAATATTTACCGGCCATGAAAAGATGGTGGGTTGCAAGGTAGGTATAGTTAACTAGCCTGACACGATGCAGCTGACGATATAACCTAAGCGTCATCTTTCCTGCTTCAGCAACTTTAAGGTATATGTCATCTTGGTCCTCATCTTCCATATTCGTAAGTGTTGGGCTCATAGCATGCCCTGTCTGACCCAGATCCGCCGCCAACCGTGCAGGGACCACTAGACTCTGCCTATAGAGCATGGTAAGAGCCTGCCAGTAGTTTAGCTCCAAGAATTCGATGGAAAATTGAACCCCGATATTTCGTTGAGTAGGTGAAGACTGAATCCAGGCATCGAGTCTGCTGTGGACATCCCGTCGCCACGAGCGAAAAGAATCAAACTTCTGGAGAAAAGGTGACGGAACGTCCATCCGCATAGAGTCACTGCTGCGATCTGTGCCTGACTTTCGTGCAATTCTTGCCTGCTGATACTGGAGCACTTGTTGGATTTCCGACTGCAGCAGACGCAGTTTAAAATAATGATATGACACGTGTTTATAACTGGGAGTTTCCCCAGAAGGAGGCGTGAGAAAGCCTCCTCTAGTAATATATTTGTCGTCAAGGAGGGAAGGAAATTCCGTCGTGATAACCTCATCCGATATTCCAAACGGTCTTCCAACACATGTACTGACGAGACGATCAAAGGAGTATACACTCCACCACAAACGGCGACGTAGGTCTCGTACCCATTCCCGCCTTCCACGCTCTCGTGCATGGATTCCGGGCTTCTCTTTGGAGCCTTCGCCATTCCCGCCTTTTGCGGTTTCTCTCCCGGTCACCTTGCGGCCCGTTATGCTTTCATCAACGAAATCAAGCCCGGTGCCATCTTCATGGTGTAATCCCAGGTCAATTGCCAGTCGCATTGCCACTCCTACTATATACCATAGCCCCGGTGCAACGGGCCTAAGGAGCGCAAAGCTAGCTAATAATAATACGGCCTGGAGCTCCTCGAGACCGCCAACGAATCCATCGGCAGTAGAGGACGAACTGAAAGACGCTTCGAGATGCACAATCGCAGATGCATGGTATTCTTCTGGCTGAGATTGATTACTAGATGGTACACTCGGTTTCCCAGGATGTAGCGAATAAGATGGGTCATATTCTCTCCGGTCCCCATGCTCTGAAGACGTTATATCTCTTTTGACTTCAAAGATAATTCCGGCTCCAATTGCGCAGACAATATTTAAGGCGTAAAGGTCGCCCGGCGAGCGATTTTCCTCGTCCGTTGCATATACACGTTCGAACAATTCCATGAACTCGCCTCTGTGGAGGATTGGAGCTTGTGGGTTCGCGTACTCAAAATAGAGATCCACAAGACGCCGTGCGATTGCACGATCGGGAAACGGCGCACGGTTCATGGATGGTCTAACCTGCAAGCCAAAGAAAGAATCTCTCATTGAGCTTGGTGCATTTCCTTGACCTGTGGACGCCCGCCGTGAGCTTGGGCGCACTGTGCCACGGTCTGATGTGCTGGTCGTAATTGAACTTCTAACCGCTGCAAAGACCACACGAGCAAACGAAATGCCAGATGTGGAACCGAGATATCTGGAATCGGAAGCGCCATGGACCGGTACCAGGCCTATCTTTGAAACTAAACTGTCCAATCCTTTGCTGGAATCCGGCGCCGGCCGCTTTCGATCTATCCCACGACTAGTGGCATCTTCTTGTGCCACGTTAGCATCCACGGCATCATCGCGATTTTCATTTTGCCTTCCCTCGTCTTTGATTTGAACATCGGCCCCGTACTTTGCCACCTCAGGACCCTCAGTGTCCGAGGACCCATATCGCTTGGGCGGCTGCGACTCCCCGCCAGCCGTAAAATCGGAGCTCAGAGCGCCGCCTTCTGCAGGGTCGCTTCTCGCTTCCCCCTCATGTGGCTCTGGAGGTGAGAATTCAATTCCATTATCGGACAAGACTTTTTCCAGGTATATTACCCGCGACTCAAGAAAATATACATAGCTCCTTGGGATCTCACGCTTCGTTATCGGATCAAATCCGACACAAGGAACCCCCGCCTTCTCACATTGGTGGCAACGCGGGAGACGTTGATCGCATCGATTTTTGCGAGAGCGGCAGCGATGACATGCAGTTACGCTGCGAAACGAAGGGAATATGTCTGAGGCGTTTCGGGGAGCTTTCTTTTGCTCTTTTACAGGTGATGAGTCCACGGGGGAAGTTTGAGTTGGGCGATCAATGTGAGAAAAGGCTTTTTGGCATGGACGGGCGACATCTGTCTCGTCAGAGGGATAAGGTCGCTTTGTGCCACTGTGGATGCGCGTCGGAGACGTGGACAACTGGGTCCTCGCGGTGTTCAGCATATCTTAAGATCGGCATCACCATGCCACTCGCAAATGGCTCATGAATGTACTCTGTAAAAGCGTCGAACAAAACCATTCCTTTACGGAGTAGTTATCTTGGATCTCGCGGTCTGGTGAGGTCACAATTGTAGATCGTCATAGAACTGAGACCACCATCGGCTACTCGAGATACGAAACTTTACTGCTTTGCTCGTCACGCAGCTATTTCGCCCGTGAGAACGGACTCAGGGCCGCTCGCTTCTGTAATATCGACCGATAAATGGGTGAAACCAAGAAGAACATGGGCTTTCCGTCGGCTTCCAGTTGGGTTTCTTATGAGAATGTAGCCGGATTTACCTGTGAGCTGCTCTGGAATATGTTAGGCCTCTGGTCCAGCCAATTGATCACTTGAATTTCGCAGCCTCGCAACGGGCCGGGGTGTCTGTAAAGCTAAAGGCGCAACCGGGCTGCTTGGGTCCTCGGTAGGATTGCACCGTTCTCTAGAGATGCGAACGTGGAGGAGGATGGAGCGACTTATTTTTACAAGTCATCAGCGGATGGGCCTGTTGACGATTTCGCAAGGCCTAGGAAGAACAGTGGAACGGAAAAGTGCTGGCAGTGACAAGGATCCGGTCATCGCCTTTCGTTGCCTTCTCCGCACCCGTCCGCCAGATCGACTCTGATTTGCGGCTGCGGATCTTGGGACGGATCACGAAAAAAATCTCTACTTCGTACTTCGATAATCTCTCACAAAACAAATTCAGTTGCTATCATTGAGCAGATGGCCGAATGCTGAGGTGTAATTAGATGACATCTTACGATTTTTATCTATTTTCAAAAATGTTCCAGTGCCTTTTGGCATAAACGCTCCATGTTACACGGCAAGAGAGGGAATGTATGTATGTACGTAGATGGGTACGGAGTACTATCTGCGGGAATAGCTAACGGGCAGTAAACATAAAAAGGTTGCAAACAAAAAATCGCGCCTCTATCGTCGTTTAATTCTCATCTAGCAATCGAACGACAGTGTGCGGAATAGCAGTTACACCTCCAGCATTTATAGCGCTCACGGGAATAGAATATATACGTTTTCGCCACGCGTTTTGTCGACGAGAAGGGTGGTCAGCTACACCTTTCTCAACATCAGAGAGGTAAGTGCGAAGAGCAGAGAAATTTTCCTGGGTTTTCGGTAGGTCAGCTTTTGTGCCGACAACGAACCAGGGCTTTGTATAAACGGGTTGAAACTCAAGCTCCGGGAGATCCCTTCGGTGTATTTGGAGAGAAGATGGGAAATCTATTTCAAAGTCATCCGAGTACGCATCAATAACTCGTGGTTCGTTCCCGAGATTTCGGTACCTGTTTCCCGTATGCATGTTCAGCTGTTTTTCTCGAAGAAGCTGATATTCATCGAGCTCCCGCCATAAACCCTTGAGTGCTTTTACGGCATCACCAGCGCTCAAGTCTACCACAAAAGCAATGATTCCTGCGCGTTCAATGTGTCGGAGGAAGCCGAGACCCAGGCCTTTATCAAGATGAGCGTTTTCAACCAACCCGGGTATATCAGCAATGGTAAAGCGAGAACGCTGTTTGCCTCCCGGTTTGGAGTGGGTGAGGGGACGTCCCGTAAGATCATCCAGGACAACGGTTCCAATATTCGGCGACAGAGTAGTAAAAGCCCAATTCCCTATCCTCGCGCGACTATTGGTGATTGATCGAAGCAGAGTGCTCTTCCCAGCATTCGGCAAGCCGACCAGGCCAACATCAGCAAGTAGCTTTAGCTCCAGCTCCAGTTCAACCGCCATCCCACCTTCACCCTTTGTGGCGAATGCCGGTCGCGGGTTTTCCTTTGAAACAAAATGAGGATTCCCACGACCACCGACTGCGCCGGCTACCAGCAACATTGGTTTATCCATGTGTTGGGAAAGATCAAGATTTATGGGCGCTGGCGGCTCCATTGCCGCAATGCTCGGCCGTCGTGGAGGGGGTAAGATTGGAAATTCCATCGTCAAGTAATCAGATGCCTTTGCACCTGGATAAAGGACCCACTGTTCCCGTTTCGAAGATGCAACACGCAATGCGTCTTCCTCTCGCATTCGTCCCTTGAGCAGGCGTAATTCGAACTCTTTTTCTGCCATTGGGTCGTGGCGCCCAATTTCGCGGACGACGGTCCCAACAGGAACCTGTAGAAGCACGTCATTTCCACGCTGCCCCCCCTGAAGCTTCCCTTTCCCATTTCGTCCACGGCCAGCCCTTATTACTCCCCTTCTTGCAAGCTTGTGAAGACTAGTATGTCCATCAATGGCTTGAATGTATACACTTCCTCCAGTTCCTCCATCTCCACCGTTGGCGGGCCCTTCCGAGATATATTTCTCCCGGAGAAACGAGACGCACCCATTCCCGCCAGAGCCAGTGTGAAGCCTGAGGGTGCATCGATCCTGAAAGATAAACCGGCCATAATCGGACGGCGAGGGATTAAGACGGTCTGATGCTATCGGATTTTCGTGGATGTGGGAGTCCGGCGAAAAAGAAGAACTTCGGGTGAACTGCTTTTGTTTCAGCAAAGGACTGAAAGCTTTTCGGGCTTTCAAGACAGCGGCCGCAGTATTTTTCGATGGGCCGTGGAATAAACAAGGGTAAAGGAACGGCATTAACGTTGTGCTTGCCATGGACTTCATTCTCTTTAGCTATAGACGCAGTGTACGCAGCCCTTCTGTGTATCTGCTGCTGTTCCTTTCCCATCTTTCCTCCAGCACCGCGTCAAACCCAAAATTTTTGACCTCAAGAATACGGCGGAGCGGAATATAAAAACACCGAGCCTACCAAACCTTCCGTTATGAACCAGTTGTTGAACCACTCATTGTTATTGTTATTGAGCACCCCAGCCTCGCTGCAGCAGCTTTTTCTAGCGATCAATTGAGTTTTTTTAACTTGCGTATGATCCTTCGTCCACTGTGCTATAGAATCTGAAGCCCAGTTTGAGAATGATGGCCTACGAATTTTGTTGGCTCTCAATCCGTGATAAATGGCCGAAGCCGTTTCCTCCAAATACAAATGGCACCATGGTCAGAATCTGGTTCGGATTATCAAGTGTCGCTGGGACTTAGTCTTGAATTTGGGAGATTATGTTTTGCCGTTAAGATTCGATTAGTTGAAAACGGCGAAAAGAAAGGAGTTAACTACTGATCCAACAGCCAGGTGCTAATTACCATCTAGAACAAACTACGGCTCGGCACCGCCCCAGCTTTCTCCGCGGACGACGCAACTAGAGCCCTAGCTACATCAGAAAACATCCACTGATGTTCCTCCAATTTCAATGCATTGAGGAAAAAGATGGTGGCCTGTTCTTGATTTACCATTCATATTCCAAATTCCTCGATGTTCAAGGCTGCAATCGCAAGGTAAGCAACTGACAAACATGGTTAGCCGGATAACACTGCAGCATCTCAAAGGTGCCGGGATGTGCTATGTTGATGGCCAGAAGAATATGGAGTCAATGACTCCATATGCTGTTTAACCTCGATTGTAAATAAATTTCTTTTCCTTATTCAAATGGTGCCCGCTCAGGGCTGCTTCGGACGTTACTCGTTGCCTATGATCAGGCATCAACAGTCTAGGTTCCAAGCGCGAACGTCCCTCTTTGGTTGCCCATCAAAACGCGGAGCCGATGGGGGAAATGCCTATGTATCATCTGACCTCTTACATATCTTGCGCGGGGAAAGGGATTTGGAAGCGCGGCTATTGGAAGTCCAGTCTGCAGGATGATGTCAAACCATCTGGCAGAACTGTCGAAGCTGAACCATTCGACTGACGCGCAGGGTAACTTTGAACGTCAGGCTCAGGCTCAAACCAGATCGAATGCAGTAAGCCTTCAAGGATTGATCTCTGGCGTGGCTGGACGGAATAGGGAACCCGTCGTTTCGGCGCTGCAGCCTTTCCGATACAAAAATAGTTTCGGGAAACTAGCTGTCGAAAGAGATCGAACATCAAGAGAATCGGAGGCCCGTAACCTAGCCGCGGAGGACGAGTGGGTTCCACAGATCCGCGGAAGATTTATCTCACTCGTCTGTATCGCGTTGCCAATTGGCAGCACTTTCAGCCGCTGCGTTGTGTAACGTCAGGAGCATCGTAATTTTGGCCGGACCCGGATAAGAATGTCAATGCTCACTGTCAAACACCTCAGCCTGATTCGCCGATTCATCAGAGGCTGTCGTGCAGAGCAGGGCCCGTGCTCTGGAAATAAGTTGCTCTGTCCCTCGGGCTGGCGAGTCCTGAGATAGAGGAACCGTTGGCCGGAAATCGCTCGTTAGGCACGAACGCGCCAAACTGTTCTCAAGGTCACAGTCACTCAGGTGGCCGCAAGCATGCAAGCTCGGAGGTTTTGGAAGGACAAACGAACCAATGGGACAGAGTCGGTGGTGTTTGACAAGGACAGGGAATCGATCTTACCGCAGAGTATGCAAATCTCGGCCACTTTACATGCAGGACATGTCGAGATGTGAGTGACGGAGGTCGAACACTTTGCAGGGCGCTGACGAGTTGTACTGTACTTCCGGGCCAGCGAGTGGGGGATATGCATGGTGTTCGTAAAACTTGCGGCACAGCAACTATGCATGCAAAAACGGCTATGCATGCAAGATGTGCAGCATTGTTCCCCCCCCCCCCAGGCTGTCGAGGCTGGGCCGTTTGGACGAGCCAGCGCTGCCAGGGAGGTGAAAGCCGTTTGAGTCCCTTCGCATATGGACTGCCAGGAATCAAGGAATTGGAGACGGAGGAATGGGCAACCAGGCATGATACGGACGGAGGATCGCGGACCTACCGCTTCCCGCTTCGCTCATTGGGCTACATCAAATTCAGTGCGTTTTGTCTCGTCGATCAGCTTGCTCGGTCTCGAACCTCGAATCTGGGTTCGGGCGACCCCGGGACAAGGATCGAGGATTCCGCCGCATCTCAAGAACAAATATGGTACACGATGTATGGCAGCAAGTAAGTAAGGCATTGACCCAACCCAGAAGCATTGAAGGAATAGGGTCTCTTGCTTTTTGATCTCTCCGCAGCATCCCGCTAGCAGAGGTGAGTAGAGAACACACGTATCCCAGAGTTACATGTAATGATGAGCTGGTAACGCCAGCGAAAGGCCGTAACTATATTAACCGCTTTAGGCCTAAAGCAGAGTTAAAAACCACATGACGGACTCGCTGCTACTGGCTGGTTGTCGCGTGGGGCAGGCTGGCCCGGTGGCCCAGTGGCCCGTGGATCCTCGCCCCGAGAACCCGACCCAGAGTTGCCAGTTAGCGCTAAAATAACTCTAAAGTCAACCTGACATCAACCACGGAGGACGTGGGCCGGGCCCCAGGCCCCCTGCCGGCGGGAGGAGGTCGGTAAACTAGCTGGAGATATGTTTGTCCGACAATTCCAATCCGTCCCGACAGGAAACAGGCATCTTCTGTGTTAAGACTGCGGCAAAATATTAATTGGGCAGAAACGACATCATGTCTTCTCCCCCGCGGTTCGTCCAAAATGGGCGGCCACTTGGTGCTGATTCCCGCCTATGCTCGGTCATCCGTGTCTTCCATACCTTCTATGTGGATAGGAGCACGGCCTCGCGGTCACTTTCGGCAGCGCGCGCGATGAGTTGTTAGTTTGTCTACGGAGTACGGAGTCCGCAATAGTTCTCTGCAAGAGCAATGTTTCCGCGAGACGGTGCTCGGGCCAATCAGTTGTCCCCCAGCCAAGCGTCAGGCTAGTTTCAAATATTGAAAACGACCGTACGCATTGTCCTCCCCACGCAAGTCCGGCAAAAAATAATTACTGAAACATTCAACGGCTTTTGGTTGCGTCTGTCGACTGGACGGAGGCTCCCTCGAAGCTCCTGGTGAAACGCTAATTGCCATACCTGAAAATACGTTGTCCACGGCATAGTTATTGAACCTGCGGGCAGCCAATCGATTCCAGCTTTGCCTTGATTCTTTTTTCCAAATCTCTGGCTGGGATTAAGTATGTGCAGTCACTAGTACATGCTTACAGTACATACATTGGGCATCTGAGTGGGAAAGCATTGGATTATATGTCCCGTCTCTCTGACCTTGGATCTATACATATGTGCCGAATTCTGTCCGCTCGTCGATGTCCCAACAAATGGTCAGCCGATCCATGCGGTAGCGCAGGATCCTGATCGGCTGGCGAGTGTTTGGATTTGTGGAACAGTCGCGCCACGAAAAGTCTGCCTCCCATGTGTCGACAATGATTGTCAGGCTTTCAAAAAAAAAAAAAAAAAAAAAAAAAAAAAAAAAAAAAAAAGAGCCGAGATCTGCCCACCAGGCTCGTGACCAGCCAGAAAAAGGCACCTGCAGGAATTGCTGGCGCCTTGTCTCCATTTTTCGAGCACACTCATGCGCATCAATTCCCAGATTGGTAATGACCCAATCGTTTCCGCTGACGGCCCTGTACGTCATTTGATGCAGCAGCGGGTTGCAAGTGGCATTGAACGCGACCAGCTGTCCAATGAGTCCGATCTCTGCCGAGCCCAGGTCGCTTACAGGCGCGTGTTTGAAAATTGTACCAGTTTCCTGGGTTTTTGAATGAGCATGACAGCGGCATCATCAAGGATTTCCGGCATCTATCAGGATAATCTTGTCCAACGACAAGGAGATCGGCGAGTTACTCCATTTGGGCATTAAAAACACAGTCTGCTAAAACCAGAGCTGAGGCTAAATTATTACCTGTAGCAACCCTTGCATTAGTTCTTCACTGTGTAATGGCTGAACATGATGAGCCACAGTAGCAGATATTCAGATCTCATTGTAAATTGGCCTTGTGTTGCCGGGTAAGCATTCCTGACCATGCACAAGAAGATCCTGCACCCCTGATATCAGTCATGAATACAAACTTTGGTGATGCTTTGGTGATTCGCGCTTCGCGCAATAAACAAGGCTTTAAGCTGACACAAGCAGGGAGGGAAAAAAAAGAGATGATTGGGTTCTCAGGCAGCATCCACCCCAGTCAGCAACAGCATGTGGGTTATCCAAAAAGTCAGGAGAATTTGTTCTCAGAACATTCTTTTTTAGTGGATAATTTTTGGTCCTCAAGGGCAGGAAAAAAAAGAAATTTTTCTTTCGTCTGTGATTCATCAGATTCTGTTTATGCTCGGGTCTTGTGTTAAAACACCTTTCGGCAGCAGAGTCACACCCGATGCCAGAGAGTTATTGCAACTCCACTGCCTCCCTGTACGGAATGTCGGCTTCTTTTCCCGACCGGATAGCGACAGTACGGAGACTCTGCTTGATAAACCATCTGTGTGTCTTCACGTTTTCACTGATTTCCAGCTGTAATGTTCACTGTTTAGCCCTTGGTCCAGATCGACGATTATCATATCATTACACACTGTTATTTAGGATGATACCCCGTACAGAGCAGTTACTAGCTCATCATTCCTTTTTGAATTCTTTGCATTTTCCGTGAATGAGAAGCATTTCTCACCGACTTTCCTGGCTGGAACTTTATCCCTCCCGTCCAACCACGTTGCTTCTCAAGAAATTGAAGACTCCTCTGAGAACAACATCTCGAAAAGCTTGATTTGTGAAATATCCATGAAGGAATTTCCGCGGCTCATTAGCAAAAGAGGGAGGCAACAGAGGGTGCGCTGGGATTGGTCGTATCGTAAATTAAGTTGGAACCCCAGAATTCTTGGAGGAAGTTCTTCACGAGTCAATCTCATATTATGTGCAGACTTTTCTCGTATGGCAAAGGCAAATGCGGAACTCTGAAACACTTAACTGTGTATTTTGTACTATCTCAGAGCCATCCTCACGCGGAAGGTGAACGACGGAGGAGACGTTGGAAGATGATGCTACTTCGACTGCTCTGTACCCGGAGCCTATGACATCACCCTCTCCGCTGTTCCCCCCCCAGGGCCAATCAGCACCCACGGAGCCCACCGGCGAATCTTAGACCCAGCCACCCCCTGATGCATGAGCGTGACTTCGTATTGGATACTCCGCAGGTACCTTTCCTTTGGGTTCACAACCGAGCACCAGGTTTGCCAGGTGTTTTTGTGTTTCCCCAAAAAGAAAAAAAAAGAAGGGTCCTCAAGGACACCTGGCTGCGGCATTGAAGTGCAGAATTTGAAGTCACGACATTGAGCCTGATGAGCCAGGCTGCGGAATCAAGGCGTCCGTCTTCGTGACTCGAGACTTAGCTTGGTTTTGGCCTCAACAGAGTTTTGACGCCCCGGCGGGATTAAGGGGCTTTATCTTCGAGTTAACTTTTCCTCCCTCGACGTAGTACCCCTTTCTGGAGATACATCCCATCACTCACGCGTCGTTGACAAACGGATATCCGAGCTCATCCCTTGCCGGATTGGTTGGCGGTATTAAAATACACTTTCCTGGTGGGATTACAGAACGAACCAGTCCAGTGAAGATAAATTACTAGTGGGCTTGTCAACACGCTTGATCCAAGCGACCAAGATCCACGCTGCTGGCGAACTCTGCCCAAGCTGTCGGTACTGTACCTTGGATTAACCTCGAGGCTCGACTCAACATCAGGTTGAGACACTTGCGCTTTTGTCTCTCTTTGTCTTTTTTTCCCCTTCCTTCTTCCATTTAAGTCTGTAGAGTCCTGATCTCCGAGAACGTCTACTTGCGTTAACCTCACCCGCAGCACATCCTCTTCAGCTTGACAAGGTGACGGCTCTCAAGTCGTGACGCAAGGCTTCTCAGCCCCCTGCGACACGTTCCCCTCTCGGATCCAAAGTACCCCTCTTCCAGGGTCTCTCGCTCTTTTGAAGAAGTCCTTGCTAGATTGCGTCAAATTTGGATATGAAGCGCCTTGCATCCATCTGTAAGCCTTGCATGTCTCATCGGAACTTACCGTGCGTACAGTAGTACTATTCATCCATCGTACCTCTCTTGAGTGGACGACGTACTTCGTGTGTCCTCCCATATCTGCATGTAATTCATGCATCCGTTCTAAAGTTCTCTCCCGATAAAGTATGTACAGAGACGTTACTCCGTACACGGAGCTGCATATGTATTCAGCTGAGTACTTACGTCGTGCTTGGTGGCAGAGCGTCCTTGGCGGCAGCCAAAAAGAGAGAACCCATTCGTGCATAGGCTTTTTCCGCAGAATGGGACGGAGTCCAGTCCTCTGTCCCGTCATAGCCTCCTCTCTCCCTCGTTCCGCGTTTCTCGCTCCAATTCCCACCTCCTATTGATTGACCGATAATAATGCTGTCTGACATTGTTCGCATAATGCCTGCGTCGCTATGTTTGCTTTTTCCATTAGCCTGCCTCCAAAGGCGATCGACTGCCCTAATATTCTTTTCGTTCTCTGATCCTTGTTAGCATCGTTGAATAGTTTGTTTGTGCCAGGATGTGCTCGGCCAGCGTCCCATATCATCCGATGAAAGGATGACAAAAACACAGACCCACCCGATATTGGTCTGTAACTCTCCCACACTTACGCGGTGAAAACGCTCTTTTTTGATGCCTTACGCCTCTCATCCCAGAAAAGGCAAGCAAAGTTCAAGAATCCAAGTCGCAGCCGTCAACCAACCACTAGGAACTCTAGCGACACCTAAACCGCTCCTGCAGCGATTGGTCCTGTTTTCCTTTTGGCTTCCTGAAATCGTTCCAGGATCTAATACCGTCGCAATTAAGTTGGGATTACCCACTCCAATAACCCTTCACTAATTCAGGCGTCTCTTTCAGTCTGGATCGACCGTTCCCCTTAGGAACGCCACATAGCGGTTGTCCTTCTGGTTTCGAAAAGAAGAAACCGTTCCCTCTTCCCCGGCTCCACCATCTCTGCGGTCATGGGTCCAGGTTTGGTGGAGACGGCGCACAATTATTACTGTATTTCTTGAAGCAGCAGCTGTTCCCTTTTTGCTTCCGGGCAGCAAACCCGAGAATTCGAGCAGTCGTTTTCTATTCTTGTCCGCTCAACAATCGAGTGGCCACGCCAGGTTTCTGATGCCTTAGCGCATCAGGCTGATTTACAGATACATGCGTGTAATCACCTGGCTAATGACGTGATAAGCCCATCGTGGATAGGAAGCCGCTGGCTGCGGTCTGCTGCGTCGATTCCCACTGCCGACTGATTGCTTCCAATCGTGGCCCGTTCTTTTCGATTCCGCTGCTCCCTTATTCCCCACACACCCTATAATATGCCCGCCCCATCTCCGAGCTGCGCTGAGTTTGGAGCTCAATCCTTGCTATTGGTGGACCGTTTCATCAGACTGTGGCCCTGTCCCAGCTCTCTGGGAAGCTTTAAAAGGTTGCCATGTGCTTCTCTAAATCCTAGCTCATCGCTGTCTTGACTTGGGATCTTCGCGTCCCAACTTTGACTTATACATTCTGTGATCCAATTCTTTATCCCCTTAATGCACGGAGTCGGTACTCCAACCTTCGAGCTCTTCCCAGTCAAGAAAGCTCTAAACGTGGTACTAATATCGCCCTTTCCAAACGCAAGAGAAACAGCTTCCTTGCTTGCTTGTTGATGGGCCTGGTTTGCCTTCAGCAAGCTTCCGAGACACGCATATTTTTCTCTTTATCCTCTCCACGCTAGATGCTACCTTCCATGGGCAGATGACAATATATTCAGTTGCTACTGGCCTTTTTTTTTCTTTCTTTTTTTCTTTTTCTTCTCATGAGTTATCCTTCCATCCGCCGCACTTCTTAAGCACCAAGTGCTGCCAGCATCACACTCCATAGTATTGATCTCGCCGCACCTGACGAAGCTTGGTCAAAGGACATGGCTTTAAGAAGCATGCCTCGACCACTTCCCTTCAAGCATCAAGGCCGGCAGCATGGAAAGTCAACTTTTCCCTCCCGGCAACTCTTCATTCTGGGTAAGCGACAACCCCTTGGGCATGTTTTCAACGCAAACCGCGTTTGATTACAGGGTTATTCTTTACTCCAGTTTTGGACTGACCTAGTGCAGGGCTATGTCGAATTTGTGAGCCCATCGCGTTCATGTCAATTTTTCCTTATGTTTATCACATGGTTTCTTCGTTCCATGTCACCGAGGACAATCGTAAAATTGCTCTGTACGCAGGTGCAGTGACGTCGGCATTTACATTTGCGGAGTTTTGCGCCGGTGTTTTCTGGGGCCGGATGAGTGACGCCCTGGGCAGGAAACCAGTGCTGCTGATGGGGCTTGTAGGTACTGCGATAAGCATGCTACTATTTGGACTTGCCTCTTCCTTGCCGGTTGCCCTTCTTGCTCGAGCTCTTGGAGGACTCCTAAACGGCAACATCGGCGTTTTACAAACCACCGTCGCTGAACTCGTTACGGAGAAGGAGCATCAGGCTCGAGCGTATTCCATCATGCCATTTGTCTGGTGTCTTGGCTCGATCATTGGACCGGCCTTGGGAGGAGCATTGGCACAGCCATGCCAGAACTATCCTGCTCTCTTCTCGGGTAACTCCATTTTTGCGCAATATCCGTTCTTGCTACCAAATTTAGTGTGCGTTGCCATATTGGTGGTTGGAATCACCATAGGTATTCTTTTCCTTGAAGAGACTCACGGAGAGAAAAAGCACCAACGCGACAGAGGTCTCGAAGCAGGCGAGTGGTTGATGAGAAAAATTAGAGATGGGAAGGATATAGCAGCGGACGAAACGGACGGGCGGTCTAGGGACTCTACACATTTCTTACTTGATGGGTCATCTTTCGGATACGAAGGTACCGAAAGTCGTCCCGGCACCAGTTCCTCGAAAGCGACGAAATCGGATAACTGCTTTGGAAAGCAGAATAAATCGATTCTCAAAATATTTACACCTCGAGTCATTTATATCATTCTGGGATATGGCATTCTTGCTTAGTATGTTTTCAACATCCAGAATGTTATCTCCAAAAATAATAGCGCTAACAGTTACGTAGCCACAGCGTTTCTTTTGATCAGTTGATGCCCATATTTCTAAGCTCGCCAATTTCTAATGCGACCGTGGATCCGCCCTTCAAGTTCCAAGGTGGACTGGGGCTCTCGACAAAGGTGATAGGGTTTATGATGGCTGTTCAAGGCGTGTACGCGATGATCGCCCAGCTGTGGTTCTTCCCGTTCATTGTCCGCGTACTCGGAACACTCAAGACATATCGACTTGTCATGTGTATTTGGCCACCGCTTTATCTCCTCGTTCCATACTTGGTCCTTTTGCCTTCTGCGATGCAAATCCCCGCTGTCTATATGGCTTTGATCAGCAAGATCACGCTGCATGTAATTGCATTTCCTTCGAATTCGATGCTTCTTGCGGATGCAGCTGCCTCCAAGAGTGTCCTGGGCTCGATTAATGGAGTGGGAGCATCAGTAGCAAGTCTAAGCAGATGCCTTGGGCCAACTTTCACCGGATTCTTACACTCTCGAGGGCTGGAATCGGGCTATTCGATACTGTCCTGGTGGGTTTGTGGAGCGATATGTTTGATTGGTGCGATTGAAAGCTTTTGGATCGAGGACGACGAGCCAGACCAACCTCAGTTATCCGAAAAGATTCCGATCGAAGATTACGAGGCTGGCGTACATGTTATTGAACCAGTCGAATCACAGGAGGAACTACTCTTTATACCCCCATCCTCGAGCGGACGATACGACTTCTTCAATGAATCGTCTGACACTGATGATATCCTAGCCCTTGACCCTAATGATGACCAGTGATCGTTTTTTATGCCCTTGCCATTTTCTTTCCTTTTCCTTTGAGGCTTCGTTTATTCACGTTCCAAAACATTTCACATTACTTTTGTAATAAAATATTGCTAATCATGCTCAATGTTTTTTTGTTGTCACTGTAAGTCTTTGACCTTTGCTTTGATACCCTCATTTACATTGCCTCAGTTTTGTTATGTTTTTCAGTGAAAAGAATTCTTTTTTTTTCCTTCTACAACATTTAATCATGGGTATTGATATGTGATAGACTGATGCGAATCGGCTCAAGGTTTCCGATCAATCATTCTTCCTTTTTTTGTCTCCCTTATGTGTTACGGGCTTGCGGTTCAAGACAAGGTGTTGCATTGTGTTTTCGTGTCATTGTCTGGGGTTTGGGAATAAAGGTGGTATCTTCATTTTATGGTATCATGGTAGTTTCTCGGATAGCTATGCCGGTCGTTATTGATTTAGGATAGAAAAGCCTGATGGTATCAACCAACAGCAAGCAGAAGGTCATTTCCGTCCTCCATATTGTCCTTCGTCGGGATCTGCTGATTAGTTAATAAAAACCACGTGATCTTGTTGGCGGCGCTTTATCGGCCCGGTGGCAGCGGATATCATGGATAAAGCTTCATGAAGACGGAGCACTCCAGACAATCTCACCCTGGTCCTTCGGTTATCCTCTGATTCAATGCACCAGTTACATTCTGTTGTTAGTAAGGTTCTCTCTGCCGTCCAATGTATATCTGATGATGACCCTATTACCGAATGCTACAATGACAATTGCAAACTTAGCGCCCTGCTGAAGGATCACCCCGACGAAGCACTATCACTTGCCGATAAGAACCTCCGTGTTTTCCCGTTCAAGGATGTGAAAGATTGCTGGAGAAGACTTTTCACAGATGCAAGTGTTGTGAAGGCCTGCTATATGATACAGGCTCAGTTGGGGAACCACAATGTTGAAAAAGCCTGCCTCAGCACTGAGAACGACGAGTGCCGGCTTGACAAGAAAAACACAGAAGAGCTCCGTGCGAAGAAAGAAGTTGGTGATAAGATACATCCTTCGGCTCCTTGGCTATATTCCGTCATCCATATTCTGGACAAGGCACTTATAATGACCGGCGCTCCGGGCCGTGAGTCGTGCATCGAAAATCTAATATCATCCATGCAAGAGGCTACAGGTCCTGAAGAAATGGCCTTTGAATCCTATACGTCGTCTATATTTCGTGCGTCTGACGAACCGCAAGCTAAACGTAGAAAGCTGGGGGCGGAGCCGCCCTTGTTTCCGTCTGATTCTGTTGCAAGTCCGACCCTGACTTGTTCCGTTCCGCGTGTCTCCGCTCTGTCGTTCGAGGAATTCACAGAGCATATGTGGAATCACCGCTCCCCCATTGTTATTAATGATGCGGTGAGCCATTGGCCCGCACTTTCGGATCGGCCCTGGTCGTCCAGTGAATACTGGTCTCAGAGGACTTTTGGCGGCCGAAGATTGGTTCCTGTTGAGATTGGTCGGTCCTACACGGATGAGGGTTGGGGACAGCGTATTATTCCGTTTGGAAAATTCGTAAAGGATTACATCCGCAGGGAGGAGGGAAAGGAGACTCTAGACACTTCGGAGAACGGGGAGCTAACCAGTCAAGAATCCACCGAAGATCAGACTGGATATCTGGCACAACATGACCTGCTCGCGCAGATCCCTGCCTTGAGAAAAGATATTTCCGTTCCAGACTACTGCTATGCTGAGCCTCCTGGCCCTGAACGGGGCACACCCGTCTACGAGAAGAAATTGCAGAAAAGGGAGGCTATTGATAAAAAGGCCACGCGGCTCAACCCTCATAGGGAGTCCACCGTTCGACATGAAGATGATAACGAGGAAGACAGTGAACAAACCGATCCGATAATCAATACTTGGATCGGACCAGCATGGACTATATCTCCGCTCCACCACGATCCATATCATAATATTCTGGTACAGGTCGTTGGGGCGAAATACATACGCCTCTACTCCCCTCACACTCCCGCCTCGCAGATTTACCCTCGCGGGATGGAAATTGTCAATGGCTCGTCAAAATCAAAGGAGATGTATGGTGAATCGCAGCAGAGTGATCGAGATCAATGGCCAGCTTCCTCCGGGGATCAAGCGATCGACATGTCCAATACCTCGAAAGTGGATATCGCGGCCATTGAGCTTTCTCCCGCTGAAGCAGAGACTTGGGATTCGCTCTGGCCCGGATTTGCGGAAGCAAAGTACGTTGAGACCGTCCTCCGGGAGGGGGAGTGTTTGTACATTCCCGTCGGCTGGTGGCATTACGTACGTAGCCTACAAGCTGGAATCAGCGTTAGTTTCTGGTGGAATTAACGATCTGTCCGGATTCTTTGTTTGGCACTATCGATTTGATGGGAAGTATTTTGGATACTTCCTCTCTCCATGTCATATGATGGATTTCGGGGACTTTGATTCATGACCACTTCCAGATCGGTTGAAAGCCGAGTCTAACCTTGGACGAGGGGTTAGCGACAGCTACCTGGGCTGCGAGTAGGCTGGAGACAATCCTGAGTAACTAAAAGGTATTCGGAGAGATGATATCAATCATGATCATAAACGACTGTAGCGACGAATCATATCCCTCCACACCAGACCCCATGCTGTGGGCATTTGTAGCTCTCTCGGTTATAATCGGATGTTGCCAGCTTTGCCGAAAGACAAGTTGGTTAATGGAGCACTCCAGCCTTTCCCCAAAAAGAAACATCTCCCTTGCTCATACATGCTGCTTTATGGCGAAAGTGACCGCACTTTCCAGCACAGCGGATCAACGAGTTTCTTGGCTCGACCCATGGATCATATTTGATAAGCAAGACCAATTGCACAAGCGACTGTGCTAGTATTGGAATTCAAACTGCCACTCGACATGTAACGGAGAGGGCTTTGCCCAGAGGTATTCCACAATGCGATCCAAGTCAAGGAAAAAAAAGGTTGCTAGAGTGAAACTGTCCACTCGGAAAATACACTTGTCGTAACTCTTTTTCCCGGGACTTGAATCCTTGCACGCTGTCTTTATCGGCAGCCAGTTAATATCTGTAAAAGATACCGATCTTGCCGAGCGGCTCTGTCAGCTAATAAGGTCGCCGCAAGTGTCCCTGCACATCCTTCGTTTGCATCTAAGCCACCGATTGCCGAATGTCTTGAAATCGTCAAAGCTGGTGTATGAGCGTTGTAGAGTTATACTGCTTCCCGGGTCCAACCCACGATTTGGAAATTCTTCCCGACACTGGGGGTTGAAAGCTGACAGTGGTTGCTTCTTGTCCCTCCAACCCCAGTGCCAGATTGGAAGACAACTCGATCGCATTACAGCAGCTCTCGTGCCCTAGCCACGGGAAGACATCCTCTTTGGACCTAAGGGTCTACGATTCCTCCTTTTTTTTTTTTTTTTTTTTTTTTTTTTTTTGGTGATGGGCGTTGACTCTCAGACCTCTTGGTCTTGAATGCAGTCATGTGCGGGTAACCAGCCATCGTTTGCGACGTGTCCATCTGTAATCCCGTGGTCTGGATGAGTAAGATCGAAGCAATGCGAATTCAACTCGCAGCATTGTCTTTTGGTGCTGTAAATTGCATGGGAAAGCGATAACATCCAAATGTTCGAAAATCCAAGGAGATGTTCTTGGACCAGCATAGCATTAAAACAGCAAAGCATGTGTATAAATCCTGCGATGAATATCCAGTTGTTCCAAAAAGGAAAGACTTTGTCGTGTGTTGTTGCAACTTTCCCTTTCCCCGCATGATTTCCATGGTCACGGGCTGAGCGTTATGAAGATGGGGAAACACTGAGCGTTTCGGGGGAAAGAGAATGGGCGAGACAAAGTTGTGTTCTCGAGTTCAACCCCGGAGGTTTTGGAAGGGGATTTTTCTGGAAGGCTCACCGCATGTTTGAATTCCGCAGAGTCATATTTGAAATCCGAGCTACTCGAGCGAATCCCGTATTCTTTGGTTGATCTTCAAGTATGATCGGAGTTTGAATCCAATGTTGATACGGCGGCGATCGTCATCACTGCCCTCGCATGTGTCGTTCGGCAGGACGTTCCGCATTAAGGTTCCCAGAGCCGGACTAGAGGTCAGAAGAGCGAATCAAAGTGCAAGAGAATGTCGACGGCGTCTGTGCAGGGCACGGGTATGCGACCGTTGAGCATGAAACAGGGTCTGGCCAGACACCATCTCAGTGAACAGTCACAGTCGTGCACACGTTGCATGGCATCGCCCATTTCCCACTTGAACCCAAAACAATAAGCAATCCTTTCAAGGTTGTTGGGAGCTTTTCCGTCATGACGATCGTGTTTCCCTCACACTGGCGTAAGGACCCTCCCCCAGTAAGCACCACCGAAGGTGTTCAGGGACGGATTCCGAGCGATTGCTCGCATTTGGTATCACTAATGTTGCTCTCTGCCTCGATGTTGACTCTCTTTATAGGCAGGAGGCCGGCGTCCTTAACGACGGTTCAACCGAGGTTGGACTGGGCAATCGCTTCTCTTGGGCAGATGGGTTATATTTAGCATATGACGTTGAGCTTCCACTCTCTCGTATCGGCAATCACAAGCTGCGCGGATTTGAGGGAAGGGAATGAGAGTTGCTCGTGGACGGGGTGTGTTCCTCTTTGTGCTCCAAGGGTAGAGAGAGCTGCAGTCACTCAAAATCTAGCAATGTTCCCTCCTCAGCACCGGCAGCGCATCGATCAGTCGATCAACTATATGTAGAGGAAACCAGCAACTCCGGAGCAAAATAGCCCAATCAAAGGGATTCACCCCGACATCGGGGCGCATCACGGTGCTGAATAATGGGCAAGTTATCGCTGTGGCCCAGACTAGCGCATCCAGAGAATACCTCACCTTGGAGAGGATTCTCGTGAGCATCAAGGCGAGTCCCTGCGATCCCCACAGGCTTATCTTGAAAGTCACGACAGCAGTGGAGCGAGCCCGAATCAAATTCATTCTAGAAGTAGCCGTATCGGGCTAGCACAGAATGCCTTAGCGCGCAGAATGTCAAAGGGCGTGAGGCGGGTGGGGTTTCGCACACCAAAGTAGCCAACCAGGTCTCTGTGACGTAAGCCGGCCGCAAACTCAATTCCGCCGCTCGTCATTATCTAATCGGCTTTTCCCCACCGGTCCGCTGCCCACCACCGCACCTGGGACTCCCCGGCAGCGAGCCACCCCACGTCAATCCGGCGACCGTCCTCCTCGCGAATCAGCGCGTGTCACGCGCTCCGGGAGTAAGTGCGTGCGTGTCGCAGCAAACACGAGAATGACCCAGAGTCTCAGGTGGAAGACAATTCCGTCGAGCTTCCCGCGCATCGCCTTGCCGTAGCTACCGCCACGCTCATGGCTTCCCAGATACCGGGGGGGGTCGTCAGCTGCATCAGGCTGGGCTGCTTGGGATCTGGCGTCGGGGAGGCATAGCCCTGATAGGAGGCCTCGAATCTCTCTGCCTGAATTTTCCTGCGCTTTGGGGTTAGTCCCTTAAAGCCGACTTGGCCGGGATACATGGGCGGGTGGTTCCGTGGGCTCGAGAAAGTCAACCGGCTCCGCCATCGACAAGGTTTGTTGGCTGCGACCAGTAACCACCTGCGCACATGACAGACAATATCAGCTTGCCCGATACTTGGTGCTTTGTTGATGCAGTTTGCTCTTAGCGGCGCTGCTCTTGCAGGAGCAACCGCCAGGGGACTCTGGCATCCCATCACCCTCTGGTTGGAACGAGCCCCAATTCCCCAATATTTAGGCTATGGGGAAAGCGGAGATTCATAAGAGAAGCCAAGCGACTGAAAAAGAAAGCTAGTCGGTGACTCAAAGAGGTCCTTGCTCGCCCTCTTCATGTTTCTTTCTCTTTTCTCATTCATTTTGTCATCGTTCTCGTTTCAATCTCATGCCTTTACCTTTTTTTTTTACATCCGCCATTTCCACATTCAAGAAGTGACGTGTAGCCGAAAGGACTTCCCCGTCCATTGGTTGCAATTGCTGACATATCTCCGTGGCCCTCCAAGCTCGAGTCATCTCGGCCTAGCCAATCCCATCTGGGACCTTGGACGGAAGAAAGTATATAAAACTTCCACCCCGGTGCCATGGAATACTTTGATTTTGACCAAGCGGCCCGTGATATCGATACGGCTTCCAACTGTCCGGAGATCGACCACCAGGATTTTGATGCTTTGATGAATGATGATAACGTCGTTGTCTCTGCCACCGATGCCCTAAACGACGTCGCTGAGGGTGAAAAAGGATGGGAGCCTTCGTTTAAGTTAGGCGGACCTTGGCCCATGTATCGAGCTCCAGAACCGTGTTTCTTCTGTCGTTCTATGGGCTTGGACTGCTTTGTGGCTCAGAGAGGTGTGTTGCAGAACAGGTGCACCTGTTGCATTGCGCTATATCGACAGTGCAGCTTTACCAACGCCGAGCCGCAACAAAAGTGCTTGGAGACATTACACGTGGTGGGAGAGGACTCTTATGTTCCAACCGGAAGCTTAACAGGGAAGAGAGCTTTGAAATCATATCGTGGACCATCCACAGGCACATTACTCGAAGAGCCAGAGCAAAGGGGGAGAAAAAGTGGTGCCAGATTCCCAAAGGAAGCCGTCCGAGTGCTAAAGTCGTGGCTATCGGAACACACCGCTCATCCGTACCCAACGGATGAAGAAAAAGACGCCCTGAAAGCGAAAACTGGTCTGAGACGAAGCCAAATCAGCAATTGGCTTGCGAATGCTCGTCGCCGCGGGAAAGTCCGACCTTCCCCACGTCATCCTTCTCCTCACCCTACCGGCGTTCCAATTCCGGGTAAGGAGCTTCCTCCTGGCGTTGATTTCGCAGACCTGAACCCTTTGGAGCGATGGAAGCATTCTCCACCTGAAAACGAAGCTGCTTCAGCCCGTGATATTATCCAAGCCATGGCTACTGCTCCCTTCCATCCCAACGGTTCGAATGACACCTCGGGCCCTGTGCGATCAAATTCCCGAAGAACTGGATCCAGCAATGGTGATTCAAGCTTTTCCAACGTCCGGCCTGCGGGATCTTGGAGCAGCTATAGTTTGGATACGACTCAATCTAGTGTTTCCGATATGTCTTTTGCTTCTGTTTTCTCTCATCGCTCATCACGTGCCTCTTTCGGCTCGATGGACACGAGAGAGCGCCGACGCCGCCGGCACAAATCCGCAATTGGCCAAAACCCTTTCCAGAAATCTCGCGCCGCGCGCATATACCAGTGCACCTTTTGCACTGATTCTTTCGCCACGAAGTATGACTGGCAACGCCATGAGAAATCTTTGCATCTTGCCCTGGACAAATGGACCTGTGCACCCCAAGGTGGGGTGATATTGGAAAATGGCGAATCCGTATGTGCATTCTGCCGATACCTGAACCCAGACGAAACTCATTTAGAGTCGCACAATTATACCACTTGTCAAGAGAAGTCTATACAGGAGCGAACATTTTACCGCAAGGACCACCTTAACCAGCACCTGCGCCTCATGCATAATGTAAAGCTCGGGTCTTGGATGGACCAGTGGAAGAGTGCTACAACTGAGGTTAAGTCTCGTTGTGGCTTCTGCTCGGCTACCTTTACCACGTGGAAAGATCGCGTTGACCATCTTGCGGCGCATTTCAAAGCTGGAGCGGAAATGCGACAATGGAAAGGGGACTGGGGCTTCGAATCTTGTATCCAGCGTTGCGTCGAGAACTCCATGCCCCCTTATCTTATTGGTGAGGAACGTAACACTCTCAACCCATGGGTCGCCCAAGTACCCAGTCTATCTGCTGCAAAGAAGCCCAATGCGTCCACTGCAGGAACCTCCGCGGCACAGATTCCTGTTCCGACTGATGCTAGTTGTTTCAAGCGATTGGAAGTCGAACTCTCGGCATATATTGGCCGCCTGGCAGCTCAAGGTACCGTGCCAACCGACGCAATGATACAGGCAGAAGCGCGTAATACCATATATGGAAGTGATGACCCATGGAATCAGACTTGTGCTGATAACCCGACGTGGCTGGCTCTTCTGAAGCGTGATACCGGCATCTATGATCTACCGGGAACCCAAAACATTCAACTAGATGACTTAGGCATGCAACCACCCTTCGCTGCAAACGGAGGTCTTCGTCAGGCCCCGAAACACTCTTTGAGAACTACTCCGCCTTGCAGCGGTTCTTCGGGGTTCCAGAGCCCAGCATTACCCAGCTCAGGATTCCATTCTTCTGGACCTAGCCATAGAGGCAGCCATGCAGGCAGCTTGGCTGGCAGTGTTGATTTCTCAGCTGGAGGCCTCGGTCAAGGGAGCTTGGGAGGTTTGCCAAGTTCCACACTGGGTGGCACTCTTTCTTCCTCGGCACCAGTCTCCATGGACAATGACCCTTTCATACAAATGGGTTTCGATGCAGACTTTCTTCAGCGTCTAGATGATGATTATGAAGACATCGGTCATGATTTGGATGATCTACACCTCGAAAAGTTTGGGCTGGGGGATTCGGCTGGTTTTCATGATCTTGGGTTTAATGATACGACTTTCAACATGACTGCGACCTCCGCACCGGACCAGAATCCACTTGCATCTAAATTACCAACCTCTATGTCTTATGAAGCACGATATCAGAATGTATTCGATCACTCGGTAGCGTTTTCTGAGCCTAGGGCATCGGAGTTCCGGGACTTTGGGCGCTAAAAAAAAAAAAAAAAAAAACAATACAAGACCCACTGCGACAAGCCATCCTATAATATAATGAAGAAGATAAATTCTAGATTTGGTATAGCGGTCACGATACCCGTTTGCAGTGTTGGATTGAAGCTGGGGAGTTGATACATGGGCTTTTGATTTTTTGTGGCAGCTTGAAATCCATGCTTGGCTTCAACATCGCGTGGATTGCAAAGCATTAGGTAATAACATGTCATGAAATAGTTAGTTATTTCAGAAAAAAAAGAGTTGGTTAAGAATCAATAAAGAAAAGAAAAAAAGGCAAAATGGTTTCATCTATCAGTTTTTGCTTTAGTCTTTGCTTTGCTTGAGTTCTATACCCCTTTCTTTCAGTCATGCCTGGGAAAGGGGAGCATAAAACTCCTTTCTAACAGGAGCTGTTTTTGGTGCGTTTTGGCAATGATACTACTTTGGGATGGAAATGTAATGATAAATGGAAGCAATGGTAGGGATGTCACGGCTATCACTTCCGTCATTATTCACATGTGCCGAATCTCTGAGGAGTGATTCCACACAATTATTCCGTAGAGTGGAAGATTTCTGGTTTATTCAGCTGCCCTTTTCGCGGCCAACGGCTATCTCGACACCGACTAAGTTTGCGTAGGCTCTACCTATCTCACTGACTTCATCTCCAGTAATATCGCTACTGATTGACAGCGATGCTTTACCACCGGAATCCACCGTGGCAAAAAAATGATACGATTATCCTTTGGCCATGAAGGCCGGAGAGGATACTAGCTTACCGTACAAAGTAGTTTACAAAAATGGTCGCACGAATACTTTATACTCAGCCTTAACTCCTACTTCGCTGAAGTTCATCGAAGTTTATCACGAAGGCACGTATGTCACGAAATGCCAAAGCGGATAACTCCATGGCCTCCCACAGATGCAATTGTCTGCCCGGACGTTCCTTGAAGTGGTAAAATGGGAGGAAACATCTGCCCGAACCGACTCTCTCTGCCTGCTAGACGCGCTTACGGAGCTACACCCGTAGGAAGTCACAAAATGAAACACCCGCGACAGTTCATAGTCCAGCTTGCAATGGCACAAAGCCTCTTCGGATACTTAGCAGTCACCCATGTACCCCTTATGTTAGAGCTGTGCAGAATAATTAACGTTCAAAAATCTTCAGGATGCGAGCTTCTCGACAAAGCACGGAGAGCCGGAAACCTAGAGCAGATGCATATTTCACCCGTCTCGGCATATATCAGAGGGGTCGAGAACCTCCTTGACGGGCTTCCGGCAAACATAACAGCCGACGAAGTCAGGTTCATTCAAATGAAGCTCCCTGAGAAGTTAAGAGATCCGCCAGACAAAATGGAAGCAACTCGTGTACGGGATGGCCTCGCAACAAACAACGGCCATGGTGTCCGGGAGGATGGTCGTCACTGCAAGTCACCGTCAGCATATTCGGCAATGATTCATCAGATCGTCACTTTGACTATCATTTGGTTTTGCTGCCTCATGTCAGGTCTCTTTGCGCTTGGTTTCGTCAGTCGCAGATTGCGAAGCAGGCGGTCAAAGCCATGCTAACTGCGAGTGCGGTCGTCACGGCAAAGCTGCGAGAAGGACTGGAGTTTGTGGGATCTAAACTGGCGAAGACGGGCCTCTTCGAAGCATTAGTCAATATGTGAATGTCATGATGCGCTGTAGTGCTAAGTGGGGATACCTGAAAGTGTGATAGAAGTGTTTTTCATTCTCTCAGTGAAATCAGTCATTGAAGATAACTATCTGGTCTGGCGGAGTTGGCGTTTGCAATGAGTAGTAATAGCAAGATGTGAAATCAGGAAAAGGATAATATTTATTGGTTAATTTCAGGGAGCTTTGTTTGCTGTTTGAGTATGAGCCAGTACGGAGTAATGTACGGAGTATATAAATATTTAAAATGCTCCGTACTGACTTGGCGACTATGGCTGTTGTAGAAGCTCCAAGCCAGGGGTTTCCACGAACCAAAACGGGTCCCAACACTCAAATAACCAGCAAAGGACAATGTCGAGCTTCAGGCTCCCCAACATCCCTTCTCTCCGCGCACAACAGCTCCATCTTGAATTGTGAGTCCATCGCTAATCCATGATCTTTTCGTTAAGTTCGATCATCTACAGCTGCTAACTCCTGCAACAGTGCAAGTCTGCAGGCGGCTCCTCCGAAGGGTGTCTATGTAACGATATCTCCGACAGACCCTACTCTCTGGTCGGGAGTGTTGTTTGTCCAGAATGGTAATAAAGTGACTTCAATTTCTACATCTTCTTTGAATTTAAAAGGTGCTAACCACTAGTTACTGTCGGCCAGGCCCCTATGCCTCTGCCATACTCCGCTTCCAAATCCGATTCCCACCAACCTATCCTGATCTTCCCCCGCTCGTGACTTTCAATACAGACATTTTCCATCCACTCGTAGTTCCATTAACAACATACACTTTTACAACTGGCTCTTCAGATACAGACACTGTGAGTGCAACGGACGATGAGCGATTGCCCCCGGGCGGGTTCAGTCTGCGACATGGATTCCCGCATTGGTTCGGAAGGGCCAAAAGGAGTGCTGTGAATTCCGCAGCTTCGTCTAGGAATACCAGCGGTAACGCATCTACAACTACACAGGATGTTGATAAAGACGGCCATCAGTTGAAACAGAGTCGGCCATTGAGTCCAAATGCCGATGCTGAATCTGAGACCGCTAGTGAGGCTCTTCTATCGGCACCAGTTCCACAAGTCGGTGAAATTCGCAAAAGCCCGGTTCCCGCGGGTGAGATTTATCAGCATGGGGAAATGGATGTTCCGGTTGTCGCGCTGTTGGACTACATACGGTCAACGTTTGACAGTGAGGAGATACTTGACTCCATCTCGCTGGAAGCCGCAGGTAACCCCGGAGCCTGGCACGCATGGCGAACTCACCGTCGCACTGTTAAAAGCAGGGGAGGTGGGCCCAGAACTGGAGAAGAAAGCCGCTCGGGTGCATTAAACCTAGATCTCAAACCGAGAAAGGGAACCCCGCAATCTCGACCGCCTGGGGAATGGAATTGGGCGGGAGTGTGGGAGAAGAGGGTCCAGAACGGAATCCAGAATAGCTATCTAGAGTCCGTTCTATTTGGAAGCTCACCGCGGAATACAGCAGATAACTGGGTACGCCATTTACACCCCCCACCCCCCGCGGGACTTCATTTTCTCAGGGCCTTTTGACTGTGTTGATTACTAACTTCACTCTCCTCAGATTCGATTTCAGAAGCTCGATAACGACGTATTAACGAAACTCAAGGAGGAAATGATTGGCCCAGCTACTAATTGATATATGACCAATATAGTCACAGAGCCGGAGCTTTCGGCGCTATACCTTCGCTATTCAGCTTGACACGCCGGTGTGGTTTGGTATGCTTTTTTTGGACGTCAATGCCTGTTGATTTCAGCCGCATATACCCATTGTAGCTTCCAAATTTTCCCCATTAGCCGAGTGAGAACCGTGGTTGTTCCTGCCGTTCTCCTTTCCAAGTTCGCGATGATTTTGTGTCTCAAAAACAAGACCGTGCTGTGCTCCGATTCCAGCTGCCTGTGGTTTAGTTCCCTGAGACATCGCTTGATAGATTCGCGCCGACATGCCCAGCAGCGAAACGCGCAGGACACTTATCTTGATTGCCCTGATCCTTGTACCTATCTTCCTGCTGTTCACCATTCTGGCCATCGCCCTTGCGTGTGCTGAGTATTGGAGTCTTCGTAACCAGCGTCGTTGTATTCGTGGACGAGGAAGAAAAACGCACAAAAGAAGCCGTTCAGATCCCTCTTGGTACTTTTCTTCGTCTAAAGGCTCTGATTCCAGTGGGGGGGATACAGAGATGTACAAAAAAGCCACCGAGAGAGAGCACGTGTGAAACGGGTGCTCGTCAGTTATCTACATTGTTTGTTTATTGATAGATATCAATGAGATATGGAGTATCGCGAAGGAAACCGGCATGTTCCCACCCCTAAACCCTTACGGATCCTTAAGACGCGTCCAAGAGAAGACCAAGGCCTAAGCTCTTCAGTTAACCTTAACTCTCCAATTCCTATACCGCGAAGACGCTCGTCATATGCTATTCCTGGTTCGTCCTTTTCTGATATTTCTCCGTTGCCACGGCTGGAAAAGGAAAACCGCAAATCACAACCACCAAGGCAGAAGCAAAGATATTGGCGCTCGCCTTTGAGGACGCCATCAACTAGCGGCAATTTCTCTCACTTGATACACTCATCAGTATGGTCCCTACATTTACCCATTCCCGTGTTTTATGCCAATGAATGCTCTGGCTTCGACTGATTCTAATGAGAGACTTTTCTATAGGAAAATAAGAAGCAACGTGACGTCCTTACCAGTGGGAACCATCGATATCCCGTTCTGATGTCTAGGAATGGCTTTCTTTCTCGCGTTACTCAGGTATTTGATTTCAGGAGCCGCCACCCCGGCAGCAATGCGATTAGTTCTGATACTATATCCACGCTTCCTCAACCTTTAACATATTCCAAGAAGTCCATTATTGATGCGAAAAGGGATAATACATCGGGGGATAATCCTCCGTTGAAAGAAGCAGAGGAAAGACAGAATAGGCAATATACCCCGCGTCTACTGACCGAGCAGCTACGTATTCCCAGGGCTCGCGGGAATTGCAAGGGACGGTCGCCGTGCAATGCTTCTATCACAACTGCCCTGGTAGAGTTGACTGCAGATGCTCTTAGAACGCACGCCGGGAAGGAATTGTCCACATGGCTATCAATAGACATCTTCGCACGAGTCGATGATTTGGAAAGCAATTTAGACGACCAATGCTACGCTGATATTCCCCTAGATGTTATGATTGTCGTTGATAATTCGTATGTGTTTTATTGAGAATCTCCGAAGCTCATCTAACTTTATCATAGTGCGAGAGTAGCGCCGGATATTCTAAAAGGAGCTTCTCGAACCGCGTTCCACGTTGCATCGTCGTTGGATATGCTAATTGACCGAGCCGCAATTGGCTGCATATCGCCCGACGGTCAGGAAAATTTTAACCTTATGTTGCCCCTGGGGACACACAGCCTGGATGTGGTTCGAAACGTATCTCGAGCTTTGTCATCGTTTCAGCTTCTTTACGATCTAGATCAGTCGCGGCTCTCGGGAGCGCTGAAAGAAGCCTCTGACTTGCTGATCCAACATTCGGCTAAGTCCGCTCTTTGCCATCTGTTTTTCATCACTACTCGCTCGAAAATATCTATTCCGGGTGTCTGGGACGAACGCCTGCGATTTCATACCATATCTCCAGAAAATTCCGTTACGATAAACGCTCCCACTATGGTGGGTGGTTGGCACTTATCCGCGAGTTTGGATCACGATGCGGTCGAATCTGCTTTAAGGTCAAACCTGAAGTTGCTGATCAGACATCTTCGTACGGGAATCGATTCTGGTGTACTTTCTAACCTCTCCATTAAACTTTCTGCCGCCAAAGAGTATGAACTGATCGCTCTTCTTGGGGATACAAAACGCAAATTCCTAAGGCCAGGCGAGTCTTGGACCATGTTAGCTAAAGTTAGGGAGCGTGGAAAGGTTGAAAATGTCGACCAAGCCAGTTCTCTCTACTCTACAAGCCCAGATTCCCTTTTGATAAAGGATTCAATGAACACTGAGGAACTTGACGATATGATTAACCAACTGCACGGAATGCTCGAACCAAGTGCCAGAGACACTGAAGCCCGTACCATTGTCACCGCAATTGTTGAATACGGCAATCCCTGTTTGCCTAACACCACAAGTCTTAGATCGGAAGGGAGATGCGAACTAGGTTGGATTGGTGTTCCAATTCTGGCAGATGGGATGTCGAATGCGAGATACAGACAGGTCAATGCTACAAGCTGCCAAGGTCAAACTACAGGACATGGAACTCACGAGGCAAGCATTGTTAAAGCCCGTTCGGATTCATGGGGTCTTGGTGTCAAGTTAATAGAATTTGATAACCACGACCTTGAGGATCAGCAACCAACAAAACCCGATGCCACTGCACCTTGCTTCGATCCTTATATTTGATTTTAGCTCAAAGGATGAGATGCAAGCATGCGTTATTACTTCTTGGTAGTTGGATGGGGTGGTGTTTCTAGCAATTCTAGTGTTTCAATTTGTTTTGCAGAGCGGGGGCTCGGGGGTCACCATGCAGATTTACTACGATCTGGACATCAACGATTTGACAGAGTGCCCTTATGCACCTGCCAGATGTCAGTACGATTTTGTTGGTGTGTTCTAGATGGAATTGGGAGAAGTTTTGAAAATGTCATTTGGTCATTAGCTATGTCATTAAGTCATGTCTATCATGAATACAGCAAACAGAATATAAAAGGGTACTCCTGAAAACCATATTTCAAATCATATGGAGCAGTTTGGAATTCATTCCCAAATTGGCTCTCCATTATCATCAAAAGCAGCCCATTGGAAAAATGCACATGTTTTTTTTCCTGGAGCGTAGCCAGCATAGCACATCCACATATATCTGCCCCGATTTTCTTTTTTTTTCTGGACACATCGAAGGACGCATGGCATGCCACACCGGCAACGAGGGGTGTTCTTGGGATGCAAAGAGGCCCGATACCAGCGATATGTGACATTTATCCTTTTATTCCTGGAAACAGGGTGGGGAGAAATCGTCTGTGAGGGAGCAATGCTGTGTTTCCACTCTTCTTGCATTTCAGCATGCATGACAAGGAGGGAATTGTGCGGTAGGTGGATAGAGATCTGTCCTTGTATATCTGCACGGGAGGTTGGGTGAGTATCTGACGACGACGATGAACCGTCAACATTTGCTTCATCGGGAGGAACCATCTTTCGCACTCGGAACTCCCTGGCAACCCCCAAACTCAGGCTGGCGATGACAGCACGGGGTCCAAGATAGGTCAGTTCGTCTGAGTGGTATCCGACGCTTTCGGATGGGCCATCGTAACAGTTCACGAAGGCAGCGTTGGGAACCCACTCCAGTGGTGACTGGTACTGTAGTTTCTTCCCATTTGGGTAATGGTCTCGAATACGTTTTTGGATTTCCTCGTTCACTGCTTTTTGCACACTTTTAGAGATCCTACGTAATTCTGGAGTTAGCTGCCTCACATCGGTGCGGTAGTTGCCGTTGTATGCGTATTCGGACTTTTGCTGGTGCTGTTCTTCGGAACTTGAGACGTAGAATCCTGTGCTGTGTGGGCTTTCAACAACATTCTCGAAGAGCTGGAACCGTTGGCGGGAGAATGTTTCGGATTCGTATAGGAGCTCTTTAAGCAGAGAAGTTGCATCTTCGGCGGACAGAAAATTGTGGATTATGGTGCAGGGCGTGTGTTTTGAGATGTCTTGGGGAGAGAAGAGATGAAGTGTTTGTCCTCTTTTGGTCACGGTCTTCGAGGACGCAGCTGGGCCATCTGATGCCATTCCATATGAAGACAGGGAGCTTTGGATTCCGAGATTCCCATTGATCGACCGCTTGATCTTCTTTCGGGATGATAATTCTGCGTTCACAGCAGAGCAAGTTAAAGGGATGGAACCATCGTTTGCAATTAGGAGGTCCAATAAGATGTCCTGGGATATATCTGCATATAGGGACGCTAATGTTGCCAGTTTGACATCTGTAGACTCTTCATCGTCTTCCATTCCACCTCGCGTCTCTTTTGTCTTGACCTCCACCTCCGCCTTACGTTCGCCGGAATTCGCGGCCGGTGGAGAGAGGGATGGGGCGTGAGAGAATAAATCCCGTGGGCGTTTTCGAAGGAGATACTTATCCATGATCGTCACCCGGTGCAGCCTCTGCGCGGTGCCATGATCATCGGGGATGTCGGCCGCCAGGCTGAGAGCCAAGACTCCCAGACGCGAACCTCGTCGTCGCGATAATTTAGTAGTTAACCATACCCCGTTTAGTTAACCAAATCAAGTAACCTTCTCGCGATCTCACGTGACTAAGACGGATTTCCAAGCTGGGTACTCCGTACTTGGGCATGCCATGATGATCTCGGCTGCATCATCTGTCGAATAACGCGCAGACAAAGATGCTCCACTGTGCAACCTGGTCGCCCCAGCGCCACCACCAGCTGATGACCCGCGCCTTTCCCTTCTCCCCTGGAAGGGTACAAATCTGGCAACATCACAATTCGGCCGCGAAGAGGACGTCTTTCTGACCTGCAAGGCTCGCTTTTATCTGATGCTCGAATTTGAGTACGAAGCCTTAACAAACTAAAGTCTCTTGCCAAAGCAATTATTCCCTGTTGCTCGGCCATCCACAGCCATGCTCAGGCTGGGACTAGCCCTCTTAAGCTTGTATCAATTGACATCGATGCCACTCTACCCCTCAACAAAGGAAGTGGAACATACCCGTCGATACTTCTACGTGGGTGGGCGCTATGAGGACAATGGCAAAGGAGAACATGTCTTCAAGGACCAGATGTATGTTGAGCATCTAAGTCCCACAGGTGGAGTACGCCGACAATATCCTATTGTATTTCTTCATGGCCATGGCCAGACGGGAACAGTGAGTGGCTCATTTCGATCATTCCCACTAAATGCCGGGTCCAACGCATTTACACCCATCATTGGCTATACCTCTCTGGCGTAAATTGATAGGTTCAGCAGAATTGGCTTAACAAGCCTGACGGTGGACGTGGCTGGGCCTCTTATTTCCTTGAACAGGGCTATGAATGCTATATCGTTGATCAGACATTTCGCGGTCGGAGTCCTTGGATTCCTGGAAATGGGACCATGGACATTCTGAGTGCGGAAAGGCTGCAGGATTATTTTACGGCAACTCGAAGGCATAACTTGTGGCCGCAAGCAAAGCTCCATACCAAGTGGCCTGGCTCCGGCCTGATGGGCGACCCTGTCTTCGATGCGTACTATGCCTCAACAGTCCAATCCCTTACTTCAGACCTGTACCAGCAATCCACGATCCGCGAGGCAAGCGCCGCTTTGCTAGACAGAATTGGAAGACCCATTATTCTCATATCCCATTCACAGGGCGGAATTCTGGGATGGCAGTTCGTTGATGCACGGCCTGATCTTGTACATTCGGTTGTTGCGCTTGAACCGGGAGGGCCTCCGTTTGAAGCAAAGATTATTGGGTCCGGCCCAGCAAGGAAGTACGGTCTAACGGACGTTCCTCTCGCATACGCCCCTCCTGTTGTGGAGCCAGAAGTCGATTTGATCAAGCAAAATATAGAGCACAACTTGACAGGCGTTTCCTGCGCAATTCAGGCGGAATCGCCTCCCCCACGAAGGTTGGCCAACTTCGCGAAGGTCCAGGTGCTCGTTGTTACGTCTGAGTCTGGATATCATTCCGTGTACGACTGGTGTACGGTTAAATTTTTACAGCAGGCCGGCGTTGCGGTAAGGCACCTGGAACTTGGAAACGTGGGAATTCACGGAAACGGCCACATGATGTTTCTGGAGTCGAATAGCGATGTCTTGGCAAAAAAAATGCAGGAGTGGATGGAGGGCGATTCTCAGCAGTTCTCTAGCAGCTAAACCGAGAGATAGATACAATATGCAGGTTGCTTCCGCCATATATCGTATCGAGATTGTAGAACCGGCTTGTCGGGCGCCATTTTCATGTGGATTACATAACTAAGGTACTTAACTAGTTAATACGCCGCCGAATAACTTAGCTCCGCAGGTGGGCTGGCCAGGACTAACTACCTCGGTGTTTCTTGCTTGATCATTCAGATACCCCTGCAGCAGCGACGACACTGGAGAATGGGATTCCGGGCATAATCTCCTGGAGAAATACTGTAGAAGACAATCGGATGTCAGCATCACTACACGATGAACGGCCCTTGATCCTCAATTTTTCCCGTGACCGTCGCATAAGCCTGTGATTGCCCCACCGACCGCCCTCCACCGACAATATGCTCGAGTTTCGCACTGAGGGATTCAATGGATGCGCTGTGAAATACTCTCCCTTTTTCGACTCACGGCTAGCTGTTGCGGCTTCGGCAAACTTTGGACTCGTTGGAAATGGGCGATTTTACATCCTTGATCTTACCCCGCAGGGGATCGTCCCTTTGAAATGGTAATACTCCTAAGGCGCATCCTCGTCCACTGTTGAATGACTCCCTGTGCTGAGCATCTACTGAAATTTTTGTTTTACTTCTCTAGGTATACAACGCAAGATGCGTTGTACGATCTGGCCTGGTCCGAGATTCATGAAAACCAGGCCCTCGTGGCATCTGGCGACGGAAGTATAAAGCTGTTCGATTTAACCGTAGATGAATTCCCCGTTCAGGCGTGGAAGGAACACACAAGAGAGGTCTTCTCCGTACACTGGAATCTGGTGGCCAAAGATCGATTTTGCTCGAGTAGCTGGGATGGCACAGTCAAGATCTGGGCTCCAGACAGGCCGACTTCTCTGCTCACTCTTCCAACGCACAGTTGCACCTACTCTGCTGCGTTCTCGCCTCATTCTCCTGATATTATATCCTGTGTGACTTCCGATTCATATGTCCGTGTCTTTGATCTACGGACCCCCGCATCGGCCTCGAACCATCTTACCGTTCAGATACCAATCCATGGAGCTGGTCAAACACCCGTCCCTACGAATCCCGGTCTACCAATGGCTCCAGCATCGTCTCCGCCGTCAGAGGCTCTTACCCATGATTGGAATAAATATCGACCTTCAGTCCTTGCAACTGGTGGTGTTGACAGGACAATTCGCACATTTGATATCCGGGCCCCCCAACAAGGGCCTCTTTGCGCTATGATTGGCCATGAATATGCCGTTCGAAAGTTAACATGGTCCCCTCACCTTTCTCACGTTCTCCTCAGTGCCAGCTACGATATGACGTGTCGTGTTTGGACCGACGGAACTGACGTCGCACCTCCCGGAGATGCAGACCCAATGAGAGCTGGACCGATGGCTACAATGGGCAGAGAGTTAGGCCGAATGGGTAGGCATACAGAATTCGTCACTGGTGTCGATTGGTGTCTTTTCGGTAGCGAAGGCTGGTGTGCAAGCTGCGGCTGGGACGAAAGACTGTGTGTTTGGGATGCACGGGCCGTTATGGCATAGTCCCACCGTCCTTCGCTCCCCTCAGTCTTCTCTCGCCGTGGCCTGTCACGTTTTGGACTTCCAATTTTTGCTTTTACTGGTATATGCCTTTTACACAAAAGTGGGAACTGCATTGGACCCTTCTGAAACGCAGATTTTTGAGCTGCGACAAAACGTAGCTTACACAATTTTTTTTGTTTTTTGGATATAGGAAGCTTTTCGATACCCAGGATAAGAGCTGTTCCCAGCTAGGAGGGCGGATAGCACATATCCGATGGTTCGCGGTTCTTCGAGGTCCTGGAGAGCTGCTCCTTGTATTTAGCTAACCACTTGCGTTAAGGTCGGCATTTGCATTCTTGGTATTGGCATTAGGTCTTGCTGCATAGATATGTCTTGAATAATTACTCTACATGAATAAATCAATTTTTGGCAGGTGGTAGAGCCCATTCTTCGACTTAATAGCAAAGCGACCGAGGCCATTTGGTTTGCCAGTTTAAGAAGATCTATGTTAATCGAGACAATTTCGTTCGTATTAGCAAAGCAAAACGAGACGAGCGGTTTCAACAGTTCAGTATTTTGTCATGCATCATGTCGGTCATGTCGAAGCATTATCATCCCGTCATCCCGACGGCACTCATTATACCCAAAAGGCTCCGGAAGCGCTTAATGTGACACCTGTATCATATCTGGAAGCGCCATATAAAAGGGTGATTTGAAGATAGCGAACAAGCCAACGCCCTTATCGGGGCCCAAAATTCCATGCTCTGGGCCATATTTACCTCGCTGCCAACCGAGACTCGATCTTCGCTTTCTCAGCGGCCTTGACTTTCGCAATCTCCTCTTTGCTCGCATCGTACGCCACGTTAACCTTATTGAACGGATTGTCTTCGCTCTTCTCGAACTCTTTCTTGACAATCTCAATCCTCTGTTGTCTTCTCAGTCCCGGTTGTTCCTTTTCGATCTCGGGTAACCGTCGTGCCTCGAAAGCGGCATATGCCGCTTTGAATCTGCGCTCCGGATGACGATCTATCTTAGTGCTTTCGGAATTCGACGTTAACGACAGCGCGTCGAGTGCGTTATCGATGCCGGAGGCGTTGAGCGCAGCTGCTTTCTTGGATCCAGAGGTAGACACGCCAAGCGCCGCGTCGAGGTGGGAGAAATCTAATGTGCCCCGAGTCTTTTTCGCCGCAGATTTAGCACCTGCACCTTTGGGTTTGGAAGGCTGCGAGGCTTCTTCTGCGGCGAGAAGGGCATCACGCTCCGCTTTCTTGCGGGCTGCGTCCGCTCGTTTAGATTCCTCTGACTCTCTATAGATGGTTCCCGTTAAGTCAGTGACCTGTAACTTTCTTTCTCCTTCTCCATCACATTTGCCATCAACTGCGTGAATATATATATATATACCCGGGGGTGCTTTTTCTTGACCCCAAAATAGAACCAACTTACTTCTTCGCATTCGATTTCGCACCTTGTTGCCACTTGCGATCTTCGTCCGCAGCCTTCTTCGCATCGGATACGGCTTGCTTCTGGGCCGCAACTTCGGCTTTCTGCATTTTCAGAGCAAATCAGTTTTCATTTCAAATTTCGATTGGTATTTCCTCCCCCCCCCCCCCAAAAGGGGAGTCTGAGCTTGAGATCTCAAGGTGGACTACTTACGCGAGCCATGCCCGCCGCTTTCTTGGAGTTCTCGCCCTTCTTTCCACCCATAATTAAATAGATAGTCGTGATCAGCCGACAGACAAAGAAGTGGTATTAAGGAGGGCAAAATGCGATGCTGTTGTGTTTGACCGATCTATGAGTTGTTTCCCTCGACTGATAAGATAGCAAAGCGGGCTAACAGGTTGTGAGTCAGCACGGAGTGCGGATAATCCTTACACCGGCGATCAGCGGGCCGACCGTTCGTGGTACGAAGAGAGAGAACGCTTCCAATTCATCAATGGGCCTCAAATAGTTGTGTCACTCAGGTGTTCCCTTAGCGAAACTGCCCTTACAGCTGTTCACAAAATGGGTTCGTTATCTCGTAAGTACATATATGGGGCATTCGACGGTCTTTCGCTCCGTTTCTAAGCAGAACAGGACAATCTAAAACACGTGAAGGGGTTCTCAGGGGCTTAGGTGCAGGAATGTGATGTCTTGGGTCAAGTAGTAAGAATGAGAACGTCACAAAATCGAGTAAAATATCTCCTTCCCCCAAATTTTAATTCCGCGAATCTCATGAAGATCTACCGAATCCACCACCATCTGGTTATATGGAGAAAGCTCGTCATCACTATCATCCGCAAAATGAGTGGCTTTAAGCGAATTTTCAGCTTGAGAACTTTGGGAGGTTCCAGCCGACACGTCGTTCTCAGAGATCCTCAAAGCGGCAATCCCCAACATCTTCGAAATAGCTTCCATTTTCACGTCATTCAGCTTTGGATCTTTCTTGACTCGAAAGCTTCTCGAAATGCGTGACACTTTCGTGGCCACTGGGCCGCTCGCCATGTGGCTAACAGCAATATACTGGACCTTAAGCGATGGAAAGTGGAGGACGCTGTCCACAGCGCAGAGGCGTATCTCGCGCAATGACATCGCACAATATTCGAGACTGTTTAGTAAAATGTGTAAGGCGACAAGAGACCGCATGCAACGAATGTAGTGCATCATAAGGTGCTAAAAAGTAAACTTATTAGTGGATGCGCTTCCTGGTAAGGAAAGCTTGCCAAATGACTCACAAAAGCCGAAAGATCCACGACTACAAGAAGTTCAACAAGTTGTAAACCCATCCTTGTGATATATAGAACCGACCGCCGGTCTAGATTCCAACTTGAATCGACATCGTTTCGAATCATAAGACGTTTCAAGTGTTTGATATGTTTTCTTAACACTATTTCACGAATATCCTCGATGCGGACGGCCGATTTTGAATCGGGTGGATCTGACTGTGCGCTCGTGCTTCGTTCTATAAGAAACAAGTCTTCAACATATGGAAGGGTCCCTAGAAACGTTAAAAGCGCCTGTGTCACATTGTCTGTATGAATTGAAGTTATCTGAAGAGGACTGGACGTATGTAGTGCGGTAAGCATCGCCCAGAATGCTCGCTGCGGACCAACGTTTAAAAGTGAAATATGCTTTAATGACCAAACGTTAACAGCCCGGCAAATAACTGAAGCTTTAAGTGGAATCAGTTGGATTGAAAGCTCTTCCAATGCAATTCCATGGTTTAGACGGATATATTCCTGCACCGCCCGCTCTCCAGAAATTTCGCCATAATCTGGCTGGCTGCCATTCCTCTGCCCTTTGTCCTTATTTGAAGTAGATATGTGTGTATCCCTAATCGGTTCCTTGCCTTTTGAAGAGGCAGTGGGTTGCATCACTACCCCAGCGTGAGGAGGAACAACGGTAGTATCAACTAGTGCAGCGAAACCACCTTCGTGGGATTCAGGGCCCTCTGGTTCAATAAATTCTTGGTCTTCTCCTTCGCTTAACTCGTCTGGATGCTCCATATCGACAATGTCCACTAGTTGCTTTTCAAGATCACTGTTCATGGGATTCATAGGATCTGAGGGGTCCGCTTCGCCTTGCTGTTCAATTGCAGGAGAGGAAGACGCTGATTCAGTGGAGTTCGGTAGCGTGGCGGGAATATCTGCGCCTTTGATGGTATCGCCAACAGGATCCGCTGTTGAGCTTTGGAGGGGTTGAGTATTATCATCTGCATTGCCGCCACCAACCGGGGCATCTGAATCGGTGCCGGAATCCAGGCCATCTTCTTTACTTAAGCATGGTGAATTCTCGGCACAAATACCTGCGCAGGCATTTGGCAAGTTATGAGGCAAATTCGTTTGCACATTTGCCCACCTCACAAGAAATTTGGATGTGGCCTTCTGTAACCTTTCGACCGTCTGAATCGCACTTGGGCCGGGTGTAAGAGTAGCCGTACCTTGGGCAAGGTCGCACGCAATACCGTATAACTCATGTATAAAGACGCGATCGGGTTCTTGGCTTGCACGATGAAGGACACACTCCTTTTTATGCTCAGTAGTTGCCAAACCAGTTTCAACTACTCTCTGCACTAGTAGTTTTTGCATCGTTGTTTCCCTTTCTAAACCAAAAAGCCGTGCAAGGGCTTTTTCTTGTGCGATACGTTCACTTCGGACAGTTGCATCATTATTTGGATTTGATGTGGCGGTAGTTCCAAATGCCGGAGATGGCGTAACGTCGTCGTCGTATATATCTTCATTGTCTTCCGTATCGGTATCGGGATCGGGATCTTCTTGGACGGTCTTTTTCTGAGCTTTTGAGGCGAACTTCTCAGAGAACGACAATTTCAGCCACTTAAGTGACGTCGCCGACCCAGAAATACATTGAGCAATTTCGTCTACGTACTCGAGGGAATCCATATCTAGAACAGCTAAGTTTGTGAGTTTCTGAATATGCGAAAATGTCCGTCGAGGCCGAGGCAAGTCCTGGCTTGCGGTGACCTTAGAAGTAGAGGCCGCATATGGAGTGGTAGCCGCTGCTGGGGGTGGAGGGCCATGGTGATGAGGATGAGTATGCTGGCTCGGCTGAGGTGGCAATGTCGGCTGTAGGGTTGGCAAAGGAGCCGGGGCCCACGAGGGTGATGAAGCGCTATTGATCGGGGGATGCGACCGACCAGCGTGCAGTCGAACGTGCAAGCTCTGCAAGCTCGAAAGCTTCCCCAGGGCTGCGAAGATTGACGGATTGAGCTGCACCTTAATATCCCAGCTACAAGGATGTTAGAATATAGTTCTCTTGGTCTTTTGTAGGCTTACCGTCGCGAGGGCTTACCGGAATGTCTCCAGGGCCGATGTTTGCTTGACTATTGCTAAAATAAGTGTATTGAAAAATCTTCCGCACTCCGTATCGTACTTGAATTGGAGGGCAATCTTCTCCTGAACCCTTTTATAGGTTACATCGTTGTTCCATAGGATGTTTAACGCGATGCGTTTGAGGTAGGCAGCATAATTAAAGTCGCTCGTTGCCAACGTTTCCAGGATATCAGCGCAGGAACCTAAATAAATACGGGTATCTCTTTGGTCAGCGGCCTCAGAGAATCGGTGGCTTAGGCTGTGGTAGAGTTCAGCAGCGGCGAGGTCACGGAAGGCTCGCGAAACACGCATTAACTGGACTAGGTCCTTGAGTCCCAGCTGAAATAAGCTTAGAGATCAGTAAGCTGTCAGAAGACCTCTGCATTAGAGGTAGAGGTAGAGGCATTTGGCAGGCCTGCTCACATATTTTAGTATTTCGCGGAGCGTCCCTGCTGGAAGAATAGACAACTGAGGCTTGACCATGCGCGAGGGACATCTCGATGGCAGTCTTGCGGTAAGTGAAGGTTCAGTATTCATCTTGAGAAGTGATCCTTAAGTCAGGGCGGATGTGTAAACTCAGAGGCACGAAGTGCTCTCTCTTATAAGGGCTCTTGTCTCTACCCTGGCAGATGACCAAGCGAGGGAAGCCAGCATGAATTAGGATTCGAATATCAGCGATGCAGTTATCTATGAAGGACGCAAAAGAATATGGATCGAGAATGAAATGGGAGAAACCAAGATAACGGTAGGAGAATTGCAACGGCCGAAGGAGCCTGCAGGGAGCACGACCGCTAGAAATCTGTTAGAGCCTCCAGACTGCGTTTTTCTGGGACTTGTCCTTCGTGCTTGGTTGAAGTAAGCCAACAGGCAGCAGGCAGGCAGCAGAATCGCAGGATCAAGGTGCCAGGCAGACGGCCGTCAACGAGTGATGGATGAAGATGAAGAAGGGCAATCTCACAGCGCTGCCGGGATTGTTGACATTGACGGGGAGTTCATTTCCTGATTGGGTTACGCTCTCGGGAGCCTCATTTGGGGCAGGCAGGAGCAACGGCTGATTGGATGGAGCAGGTGCAGTTGACTCAAAGGCTTGCCCCAGATTTCGGATCCGCCCCACACTAGCCTCACCGCGGCGAAGGGACCTTGCCATATCAGGTCTAGCGCATGAAACGGCGTACCGTACAAACGCAGTGGGACGCTGGCGTACGGAGTATGTACAGGTACTCCGTACATACATACATACATACATACAAACGCGGAACAGCTGATGGTCAAGCGACGGTTCTTTGTGCCCTTTTTTTCCCGATTCTTCAACAGATTCACGGCACGCAGAGCACAATTAGCCCAACAGAAAAAGTTCCCCCAAAAATTTTAAAGGTGGAAAAATTCAAATGCCCACAGGCGGGATTGAACCGCCCACCTCTTGATTACAAGTCAAGCGCTCTACCACTGAGCTATGCGGGCTTGCGACAGTCGGCGGAAATTTACCCACAGATCGGAGTGCACCCAGGTCACTGTTAGACAAGTGACGTAACCAAAACTTGTATGGTAATTACGCGCTCCTCTCCCAATCCGTTCCACTGTTGGCCGGGAGGTAGTAAGTCACGGTAAAACTTTCCTCCGAAACACAGGGCTCGCTCCAAGGTGGACGGGTTTGGGCCACTGTGAGGGAGTCTAGGAAGCTCTGAGGGAGCCCGCGTTCAGACAATTGATATGGGGCACTTGCGCGCCGAACGCTTGATAATTCGAATGCACTGATTCCGTCATGAATCTGCTACTGGCTTTCGTCTATATCCTCACCCTTGGCCTTCTCCTCGCAAATGGCTCCGCCTTCGTCGCTGCGACCCATACTTCTAATTGGGCTGTCCTGGTGTCAACATCGCGATTCTGGTTTAACTATCGCCATCTCGCCAATGTCCTTTCCCTCTACCGAACGGTAAAGCGCTTGGGCATCCCCGACTCTCAGATCATCCTCATGCTGCCCGATGACATGGCGTGCAATCCACGAAACGCATTTCCAGGAACCGTTTACAACAATGCGGATAGAGCGCTGGATCTATATGGTGATAACATCGAGGTGGATTATCGAGGCTACGAAGTGACTGTCGAGAGTTTTATTCGCCTTCTCACTGATCGCCTGGGAGAGGACGTGCCCCGCAGCAAACGGCTAGGCTCCGACGCCGGAAGCAACGTCCTGGTTTACATGACGGGTCACGGGGGGGATCAGTTCCTGAAATTCCAAGACTCTGAAGAAATCGGTGCATGGGATCTGGCCGACGCATTTGGTCAAATGTGGGAGAAGAAACGTTATAATGAATTACTATTTATGATCGACACCTGCCAGGCAAACACCATGTTCACACATTTTTATTCCCCAAACATCATCGCGACCGGTTCAAGTGCATTGGACCAGTCTTCCTACTCCCATCATGCGGACAGCGACGTTGGAGTTGCCGTTATCGATCGCTGGACTTACTACATTCTCGAATTCCTTGAAACGCAGGTGACTTCACCGAGCTCTAAGCTCACACTCGGCGACCTATTCGATTCATACGACGAGTCAAAGATTCACTCGCAGCCAGGTGTGCGATGGGATCTTTTTCCCGGTGGTGAGCAGGCTGGGCGGTTACGCAAAGTTATGGACTTCTTCGGCAACGTCCAAGATGTTGAAATTGAAGCTGGGCAAAATGTCACCGCTGATATCCGTGAAGACTTGGCAGCTGTTGCGAAGTTGGTCGAGGAGTGGAAACAGCGAGAACGCGCTTATTTCTCAAATGCGAGCAGCACCGAATCTGTGTCGGAGCAGCTGTCCAGCACTGCCCAGAAAAATCGTGTTACCCTCTCTCCAGTGCAAATACCCACTGGTGCCGTGAGAATGAAGGACGTGAATACCTGGAACAAACAAGCCGTCGGCGTATCTTTGTTGGCTGGCCTGGGGGCTGTGTGGCTCGCTGGATCTTTAACGGCAAAATCATAACATTTGCGTCTGTTGACTGCTATCATTTACTTCCCTTGTATATATCTGACGCATGGGTAGGTTTCGGAGTTTCGATACCCGTTTTTAGAGCAGTTAGATGTGCTCTTCATGTCTTTTGCTTCTAGGATGGTGAGCGGAATGGTCATGGGGTTAAATTTGAATCAGTTCAAGTGTACAATAGTAGGATTTTATCTCATATTTCATCATTAATTATCGCCAATTTCCAATCATGATATCAAACCATGCTTAATTTCGTATATACATAAAAAAGGGGGCCCTGAAGCAATAAACAACGTATGCTCATGATGAAAAGCTACCGGAGGCAGAAGTGCTCAGGCACTTCAATAGTTATTATGTCCGACCAACGCATTCGAAAGGGTATCGTCACGGCAACCAGAATAATGAAAGAGCGGCGCTGTTCAATGCTGCGAATCACTAGTAACAAAGAGGTATTGATGAATTTGTAGGTGGGCATCGCATCAATCTACAACGCTTCTGAAACTCAGCGCCTCTAAAAATCCACCCAGATCCTCCTTTTGCACCTCTACCACGCAATGCTCAAAGCTATCAATGCGAACACGCGCATTTGTCTCACGTACCACTTCTTGGAATGCAATCCCAAAGCGATTTTTGAGAAACTTGTGCCCTGTAAATCTTGCCTGCTCATCATCTGACTCGGAATCAGAACTTGAAGACGACGAATCCTCCTCTTCATTTTCCGAACCATCTGGCTCGTCCTCTCCTTGCTCTGCACGCTCGGCAGCACGTTTGGCACGGCGTTCTTCGCACTCAGCACGTTTTCTCTCGTGAGCTTCTTTCTTCTTTTTCCGGTCTTCTCTGCGCTGGGCTGCAGCAGCAAAGTCAATCACCCCACCCCCTCCGCCGGTTCCGACGACAACATAAACATTTCTATCTTCGTCCAATCCTGCCAAAACAAGTGGAGTTCCCATTCCTCGTTTACCTGCAATCTTATATCCGTCCGCCTTGTCTTTCTCTTGAATGCGGACAGCCTCACCCACCCATAAAGCTAGCTTGGTCAATGCGCCGGGATTCGTAAACAGTTTGACATCTGGTCCATCTTTCACGACAGCAATGCGAAACGCGCGCAAATGTCGAATCTGCCTTTTGGATAGCAGTGACGTCCCAGTGCGTAAGATTGCACGATGCAAGTGTTGAGCCAGAGGGAGGAACTTAAGGAGTTCAGTAGGTGATTCGGAGGATGTGGGTGAAAGGGCATCATAAGCATCCCAGAATCGGGCAAGAATACTGGGCGAATCTTGGTTGGAGGAAGAATTAGTATTTTCCTTCTCGTCCGACTCTTTGAGAGGATCTTGTTTAGCAGCAGTGGATACGTCAGATTGGAGTGAGCCGACTTCCAGGATTGCACCAATAATTACGCCAATGTCGGTCGCAGAGAGGCAGGCCTTCCATCCCCAATTGCGAACAAAGCCCCATCCTTCCCGAGTCCCTGAAAAGCCTCCTGATGAGGGAGGAGGCACCAATCCTTCCAACCCATACATCGGCGCGTACTTCAACATCTTTTGTCGTAGATCGCGCTTTAAATCCATGTCCATATGGGTATAATTTTGGTGGCATTGGGTGAGACTCACACCCATCTTAGCAAGGAGCTTACGAAGCCTTCTTCGCCCTGTTTCGTTCCAGACGTGTAACCTGGGCGCTAAGTAGGGACTATGAAGCATGCTCTCATAGAGAGACCAATGTCGTAGTAATAAAAGCCGTGGTTCAGGCGATAGCAAGATGGAAGTGTCTGTGGGTGATCGTCCAGTGGTGGGTATGACGCCATTGACTTCACTTCGCATAGCTTCACGCCCATTTTCACTGTCGCCCGGGGGGTTCAGACGTCGAACTTCGTCTCGTAGAAGCTGACGTATTCGTTCACCCCTTCCTCCACCCCAACCTGCTGATCCGCCAGACTCGGATGAGTCCGATATTCCCACCCCCGACATGGTACGGCCGGATAGCTCCAGGCTACAGACCCCAATAATTGCAAGCCACAAAATGTCATTATCTTCACGGCCAAGTTCCGACGCTAATGAGTAAAGGATGGAGGAGATGGGTTCGGAATATGATGTCCCGAGAGAGTAGTAAGCTCGAAGTACATCTTCATGTTTTCGCTTAAGTCGAATTAACCGTCGTCGTAGGGTACGTGCGGATGGCGCCGTTGGTGTTTCAGGAGAGACAGAGCGTGAACGCGGGGAGGGAGAACGCGATGACTGCGATGAGTCTCGCTGTGACGTTAGATAGGGGTTGAGGGTGGACACCGAGGATCCCTTGGCCAGAATATTAGTTAACATCCCACGAGACGATTTTGTGAGCCAACATACTGAATTACTCCTTCTACGCTGTCGTGGTGGTCCGTCCTCGTCACCAGAGTCTTCGTCCTCTCGACTGGACCATGATTTTCTTTTCTTCGTAGGTCTTCCCGCCTCCTCCTCCGAATCTCCATCGCTGTCAGATCCATCACTCTCGTCGGTATCATCGTCAATTTCCGGCATTGCCTCCAAGCTACAATAAGCGTCTCTTTGTGCGGCAAGATCGTCTTCGATATCACCATCGTCATAAACAATGATCCCGCCTTTCCCGGGTTTATATGACTCTGTTATGCGACCTCTATCCACACCAGCAGCACGCGTTTTCGACATCTCGTTGGTTTCTTCCGGTTGGGCACATTCTGGATGTCCTCCAAAAACATTCCCCAGATTCCACGGTCTTCTCGCGTCAATAACCCAGACCTCCACACCACCCATATCTCCCGCCTCGCCATCGGTTTCAAGGCCAAGAATCTCGCCTAAATCTACAAGCCCGCCCACGCCCATGCAAATCACAATGCCTCCACTACCGCCCATTGTCGTTTGCATCGGCTGAACAAGTTCCTCGCCAGCACGAGCGAGATCCCCATAGCCACCAATTGGTTGTATTTTATGAGGAATATAATCCCTTTTTAGCAAGGCAGTAAGAATTCGGCACGCGCATAGTGCATCTGGCTCGAGCGCCGCAAGGATTAGGACTGGCGGAGAAAGAGGGTGGTGAGATCGGAGCAAATGAGAATAAAGAAGAGATATAAGAGACCTAGGCAGATACATTGTAGGTCTCAATTTTTAAATCGTCGCTAATCTGGTGGGTAAACGGCGGCATTCGAATCGTATGTTGATGTTGGTTGACGCGGTATTGACTTCCGTTCTTCAACACGCGTTTTGGCCGCCAAGACCTTTCTCGACCTGCCACGTATCACGTGAGATAACCATAATTTTGCCTTGCTCTATTATGGTTAGCGTTTAAATCACATGATTTATATGCCAAGAGATTTGATAAGATAAAGCTGTCCTTCCAAGCCTCGGCATTCTCGGCTCCTCCCGCAGCTTGCCAGCTCCTCGTCAAGCAAATGGCGCGGAGTGCTTCTTAAATAAAGGGTGAGGTAGACCTCCCTCGTGGGATCTGTACGGAGTAGATGTATTCATTTGCTACAGGACGGAATACATAGTCATCATGCCTCTTCTCACCCTTCACCTCCTCCGCCTGCAGCCAAACACGGACGTCAAGGACTTCGTGCACTCAGTGCGAAGCTCTCCAGATGTCGAAGTTGTAGTGGCCTCTCGACCGCGGCGATATGTCATTCGCCCTGAGATAATCGATGTCCATCATCTAACCAATCAACAGTGGGATCTTATGCTGCTGCTCCGCTCAGCTGGAAATGGGATCCCCCCAGCCCTGCGGTCTGCTGTCAGCGCAGAGTATTCAGTGAACGCTGGAATCCCATCCAAACTCCTCAAAACGTATCCGCAGCTTGACGCAAAGCTAAAACGAGAGGCCTCATCAGCGCCTTTAACTGGTTCGCTGGAAAAGGCTCGCAATAGATCATCGTCTCAATCCTTGGAGCTATCGGCAGATCTTCTGGCATTTATGGATGAGCTGGTCAAGGAGCATGACAAGCCGGTCACCATGCTCAACCTTCTTCATTTTCATCCCAACGGAAAGCCAGACTACTTCAAATACGGACAGGTAATCTTGTATCGCAACTTAGGAGCCATGTTCTCTTCTAAACGTCCGTCACAGGGGTTTATTTCAGTTGCCGGAAAGCGTGGGGGAAACGCGAAAATCGTCGGTAACGTGGTAAAGCCCCCTAGTGGCCAAACCGACTCAAGAGGGGAGGCAGATAGACCCGAGAATGAATGGTGGAATGAGATATCTATCGTCCATTACCCTTCCATCCGTCATTTCTGCGATATGTTAGCAGGCGAAGACTACCAGGAGATCAATTCAAAACATAGGCTTGGGGTAAGTTGCTCTATGTTTTTCATCCAAGGACCCTGGCATACGAATTTAACTGCATATTAGGCACTTCGAGATACGATACTTCTCTGCACCACAGAAATTGATGTTGAAGACGCGCAGCCAAATTCGAAACTCTAACGTTATCCCACACAAGCACTCTAGAGCGCCTTTTCTCCTTATGTATATACAATAGGCGCTTGATTCCGACGTAGAATGGACCGTCCAATTTAACAGCCATTTTGCTTGATTCCTGTGTGGGCCTCATCAAGCTCAAAATGTGTTGTTTTCGGGCTTTTCTTCATTATTGAATATTCAATATCCCACTTCCCCATTGTTAGCCTGCACCGAATTTTCTCATGAAACCCTTGCCGGACATAGAGGCTATGAGCTGTGGTAGAGGCCTCAAGCCATACTGGGAGCATCATGTGGTCCGCAAGTCCAACGCCCCATTTCACGAGCCGGGTGGCAATGCCTTGTCCGCGATACTCCGGGTCGACAAAAAGGGACTCAAGTACTGAATGAAAGAAAATTAGAAATCGTTATAGATTTCCCAATATTTTAAATAGCATATTACTTCTGGAGGCGCAGTGATAAAAAGTAGCTGAAGGTAGCTAACCACTTACGGATATGCGGACCCTTAATATGCCTGGCCAAGCGATCAACCACATCCTGAAGGATCAAAGCGGCAATGTCCCTATCCTCTGGGTCCTCCAACCAAACGAAGGAGCTCGGATCAATGTCCACAGGCGCACGAGGGATGTACGTTGCGCAGATCGTATATTTGGCTACGCCCAGTATTTTCTTTCGAGGATCGCTGGCGGAAATGGCTTTGAGCCAGATAACTTCCCTTTGCTTGGTTCGTTGATCCGCATATTGCTCTTTGCATTTAGCACGGTTCTCAATGGTATTTCCTCCACGGACCAACTCGCAAAACCTCTCCTTTGAGAAGGCACGGAACTGTACCTCTATCACTTCATCCCAGTCTCTGTCATCGATTGGCATCAGTATGCAATGAACCATGCTGGATCCTCAAAATTCCGTATCGTCGAAGTGCGGGGTAATAGTGAAGGCGTAACAAAGAGTAAACCGTTGAAGTTTTAGAGCTTGGCCAGGGCAAGCTGAGGATAAGAATTGTCCCTCTCACACGCGTTCTTGAAGTGGCTTGCTAATAAAAACATTTTGAGCCCGAGTTTGAGCCTGTGCAGCCGCCTTCAATTCGGCGATTAACGAGTTTGGCATCCCTGTTCCTTGGCCAGTCTTTGGAGATTTAAAAGGCCCCGGCAAGGCAGCGCTCAGGCATTGCGGAAGCAAACCTTGTAAAAAATGTATCTCTGGGCTTTCAGAGGGCAAAATCGATTTTCTTTTTCTCTTTTTTTTTTTTTTTTTTTGGGTATCACCACCATTCTCCTGTTGACATTTGAGTGATTGGTCACTTTTTTTGTTTTCCAGGATGAAAGGATATCGACTCGGCAGCCGGCCCGTGAGCTTGCCAGGGCCAGTCACAGTAAATCACCATATCACAAGAGGCCCATGACCGCCGATCTGACCATGTTTCACTTGGGGCCCTGTTCTTCCGAGGGAAAAAAAAAATAGGAAAGGACAGGAAGTTGTTGAACCGCGTGTGAATGTGGAAATTCGCTCAGTATCGTGCTTTTTCACCAATTCCCATCGGAAGCCAAAGTCTCCTGAATCAATGTCGTTAGGATAGAGTTACACGAGACCACAGAACATTTGCTTTTTCTTTCTCCTGCCTAAACTCAATCCGGAAAATGTAGTTCCTCCATCCTCCGGACCGAACCTTAGCGTAAACTACGGTGTAATAAACTTTCATTGTACTCCGTACTCCGTATTATGAAGTGGACGCTGTACGGAGTACTCCGTACCGCTAACATGTTTATACAATACCAATACATGTATTCCGTAACCAACATACATATGGATGAAGCACGGTATTTCCTAGAGCCTTAAGATATCTACATACGAAATTGTCAGGTTCCTTGGATCTATTGCATAGACATTGTAGCACTTTGGGTTTGGAGAAACAAACTCTCTGTGCATTATCCGCGATGTGGCCTGGACAAGGGTAACTTGAAGTCTCGGATATCAGCGGGAAAGAGACAACAGGGTATAAGGAGAATTTATCATGCGCTCGTAATGGAGCTGATCAATATTTTGAGATTTGAGAGAAGAGACATCGGGTTGCAGTTGAGCAGAGAGGTTCATTATGGCTGTATGTGCCAACGGAAGGATATTGCTTCATTTCGTAACTCTCGTGATAAATTATCCAGCATCGGGTGTCTTCACTTATCGTTCTCCGTTGTCTCTCACTCTCGACAGTGCCGGGGCCGATCCTCAACTTGCTCACAATTTGTTTGACACGTTGTCTCAATGGCATGTGCATACGTGTCGTCTTGTAAGGGCGCGACAGTGACATTTACCCAGCGCAGAGTTCGAGAATGTCGCTTGCCAGTTTCAGCGGATGAATTCGGAGGGGCGTAATTGCACCCTTTCCCTTGTCCCTGGCTCCATACGGTATTGAATGCAATCAAAAAAAGGTGAAGGCACGGGATCATTGCAGTCATGAGACTGTGGTCAAAGATAACCTAGGTATGGAGTACATATGCTAGGATCAATGCTTTGTAAAGTCGGATCGATCGGGGTAACGGCGCCGTCAATTCTGATTAGCTATGTTCCTAAAGAGTATATTAGGACACAAAGTACTCCGTATGGAGTAGAGGCGAATCCGACATTCGGCACATTTCCCGAACCCTGCATCCAAAAGCAGCGACAGCAATTACTTTGCATGCCCATGGCAACCGTAAACCCCATACAAGTTTTATCTCAGCACCAATAATCAGAGATGCACTAACAACATCGAAAAACAGCTATAACATGCCATCTGAGTTTCTAGTCTCAATTAGCGTAGAGTAAGGATGATTTGAATGAAAAACAAATGGATGATGCGAGGATTGTACTTACCGTTCTAGTGCAGGAATCAGCAATACATCACGGTTTCAAAACGAAGCCCAATATCGCTATTGTAACTATGAGGCCAAGGCAGATTTGTCGATATAACCGTTCTTGACCCAGCCGCCCTACCAGTAGAGTAACCGATATTTTCGCGGCATATCGTCCAAGAGGAAAACGTCGCTGACGTGGAGAGCCTAGATGACCGTCTTTAGCAAGTACTGCCGATAGAAAATTTCACCTGTCACCAATTTACCTTTTCCGGGGTGGTTATTTCTGCCGCATCGGGCATGGACTTGGATCTTCCCGATCCCTGCGTTATGAGGTTAAGCAAGACGCTGACATGGACCACTCAAAAAATCCGAAATCGACAGTGTATTGTATCCTAGATTCAACGGGTTTTCTTAGTCGGTATGTATATATCGTACGTACAATAAGCAAAACGCAAGAGGAAAATGCGGAGTACCCAGTGTCCGAATTCCGGCTGCAAAATCATCCATACCAAAAGGCCCATTGATGTGCATCCGAGTAGATGTCCGAGATATAAAACAAAGACCCATCCACGACATCAAGATAGCCCTGGCAATGACCAATAGTAACGAAGGAACGATAACCTCCCGAAGCTACAGCCATTGCTTTTGTGGGGGTAAATGTAAATTAGATATTTCAGGACCCCTTGACGAATCCGGACCGCAAGACTTCCATATGGGTGCTTCTCACAATCATCTAAAGAAAATTAAAGCTCCTTGCAATGAAATATCATAACTTCAATCAAAATGCTCCTGGGCTCAACCATGAATGGACTTTAATATCCCTCAGGGGTAGTTAAGAGTTGATGAACCTCAAGAGTCTTTCCTTGTGCGTCCACGCTTCAGATGCTATGGCTATTGATAAAATAGCAGCAAAAGGACACAGGAAGAAGAAAAAGGAGATTAGACATTTGTTTCGCATCCAAATCCAGACCAAAGATGGACATGAGTATTTGAAGACGAGGTGTGACCTGTCCACGGTATGAACAAGACAAAGCAAGGGCCAATTCACAGTGAACACAGAGTAGTTAAATTAAGCCATGCAATGATGTATTGGAGCACAACTACACCAGCTTCGTTCAACTCATTGACAATTTTGCTTTTTCAGAAGCCGATCAGTTGCTCAAGAAAGAGAGCTTCGTGTATGAAAGAAGTTTGTTCGGGGAATGGAAAGCACCCGAACAGGTTCTCAGTAGGTATTGTAACTAAATGTGTAGATTCTCGGGCTTTCATCTGTGCATCTTCTTCCGAGAACAAGCATGGCGCGTGGCCATGTTTTGATAGGGCTGAGGCGAACAATGTTTGGATGTTGGCCGCTGCGTGGAAGACCGTCAGTTATATTTCACTAGAAATATAACTACTCGTAATCCGCTGAAATTTCATGCGCCGGTAATTACAGGCCACTACTCTGTATTCACCGGACAAAGTCACCTTCGTAGGAACTACGTGCCACGCCAATGCCATTCCGAGAACGGGCAAAAAATGAGCGAGCAAGCTCAGAAGACCCTTTTCCCGCCGCGAATCCGATTAATGTTCTGTCCCTGAAAATTCCCCCGACCCCCACCATGGCGCATGGAGCACACCGACTCCGAGGTCCTGTCCGGGCATACATTTATGCTATGTCTATCAGGTCGCTCTCCTGCCTTTCCGCTTGATCTTGACCCGGCGAAGAGGGTCCTCCATATATATGTGGCACGTGTCTGTATATACAAGAACATATCCAGCTCCTGCTCTGGCTCCTTTTCCATCGAGCTCTGCACAGCCTTTCCTGTCTCTTCCAAGCAACCATTATTGCATCACTTGAGCTTTACTACACCTGTTTCCATGGGAGTGTGGTTTCAGATGCGAAAGCCAGAAGCCAAATTTGACCTTTCAAACACCTTGTGAGCATGAGCCAAAAACTTGAATTGAATTCAGGCCATGATGCATCCAATTCCGCAGGAGAGCTCCTTGGTTGATGCAGCCGTCAATGGGACGGTCAGCCCAATAGGAGGGACAATCCAAGACAAACAAGATATGTGGAGAATTGGAACAGACCAGCAATTGAACGGAAAAAAAAAGGAGTGAAGAAGAAATATGGAGGATTTCTGACTTGGTTGTTAACCATTGCTCCACTAAAACCTTAGATTCCTGTCTGTGTTGAGATTAATTTTTTCCTGTGTTTGGATTCTTCGCTGTGCTCATTCCTTTTGTGTGTTGGCACTTAGGAACAGTGCTATGGAGGTTTTCCAGATGTTTGAAGATCGCGGCAGATGGGGGAGTAATGATCTTGCATATCTCATTGGGCTTGTTGCACAGATATACGCCTTGATTGATAAAGAATGACCTGCGCAGACCCTCCAGTGATAGTTCCACGGCTGTCATTACCTCGGACTGAATCCTGCAGTCCATATATGGACGACTTCAACTCATGATTCATGTAGATACGCGTCAGGACTCTAACCGACGAAAATAGCAGAAGAAATCAAAGATACTCCCGGCGTTTTACCACCCGTGATGAATCTGGACCCACAGTCTCAACAGCCTGACTGGGTTGATCGCGCTAATCACGATCTCATTTTCGTGTCTACAGCATTGATGAGCCTTTGACGTCTCATGACGTCTCCGATGGGGTTCGGCTTCCCGTTTATTTTAAGTTTGGTACAGGCAATCAGGTCAGTATCCGGCGCAACGGTGTTGTCACTCGGTGTCGTATCGCCCTATCCTCTTACATCGTTTCCATCTCTTGCATTCGGCTCAAACGGTAGCGTAGCGAACCACTTCCCCCAGCACGCTGGAGTATGTGGAAGTGGTCCAGCACCGTTGAACCGGTTGCCATTTTGTTCATCTTGATTATTTGAATATTTGCTTTCTTCCCACTGACGAGAGAAGTCCGCGTCCAAACAATGAATGGGAGCTGTGCAAATGGCGCAGTGCTAATATTTTCACTGGTGTATCATTTCTCCCAGACGAAGAATGTGAATAGGGGACCTGCGACGTGGATTAGACCTTGATAGAACTGGTTAGTCCTCACTAAGGCATCTAATATGCGATATTTTAATCATGATAAAATGAGTTGGTGAATGGGTTTTAGGATGTATCTGCGTTCATAATCAGAATGAAGATAAAACATTTCAAAACGCGAAAAGCGGAGAAACTCGAGCCATCCTACTTTACAAACTAGTTAACCATGCAACTCCAAAGCGAAGTACGAGGCGGGGTGACATTCTAGTAAACAACTCCCAGCCGAGTCCTAACGATATGACTCATCTCGGAATAAAAAAGGGCATCAGCTAAATCCCGGATGTTATTTAATCAGGATGAAGAAGATACAAGACCAAAGCGATCAATCCTTTCCCTTTCCGCAGGGCATATATCGTGATCAAAATCCCTCTGACGAACAATGCCGCCCCAACTCCAATTCAACCCCACCACCAACGAACCCTTCCTCTCAGTCCCCATCCCATCTTCCCCCAATGGCCCGGATACCACGAGTCATATAATCATCACCCCCTACCGCCCTGACCAAGATGTAGAACCTATACTCACATCTCTAAACGATCCCATCATCTACAAGTGGTTAAGAACTCCACCGGTGCCATATACGCGCGAACACGCGGAAGAGTGGATCAGATTGTGCAAAGGGAGCTCAGACAAGCTCATTCCGGAGATCGAGGAATGGCAACGCGGCGAGAGGAAATGGCTGAGCGGGTGTCCCGTCAGAGCGATCAGGGAGGTTCGACAGACCAAAGACGGACAGGTTGAGGAGGTGTTGCTGGGAGATGTCGGCCTTATCAGATATACATTTGACGACACCCTGGACGAGAGCGAAAGAGAAGAGATGAAGCGAATTAATGACGAGAGAGAAGTAGGAGACGAGAGAACCATCTGGACTCTTGGAGGTGGGTAACTTTTGCTATTTGCGGTAGTCTGCCCAACGCCGTTGTCGGTTTATTTCAATACCAGCTCATACCTACTTACCTGATACAGATTGGCTTGCGTCAACGCACCACGGGAAAGGAATCATGAGTGCTGCCGTTAGAGTCATAATGGACTGGGCCATGGCGAACCTGAACGTCCACTATATGAAAGTCCATGCTAGTGTTGGGAATATCGGCAGCTGTAGGGTGTTTGAGAAGAATGGATTTACGCTCACCGACACAGTCCACGATGCCTTTGCACTTCCGGAAATCAAGGGTGGTGGGAAGGCAAGCTTCTACACTTTGCGGTGGGCCAGAAGCACAGAGTGATCGTGTGGGTTTGCAGCATTAGTATATAGAATAACGCGCGATCTGGGTATACTTTTAAGAGCATGATCGAGGATTCATGGTTGAGAAGGGCGATTAGATAGATGTAGATCAAGCAATTAGGAGAGCCTGTACAATTTGATCATGTATACGCAGTACAATAGTATGTACGCTGGCGTAAGAGCTAAAAAAAATAAATAAAAATAAAAATAATAAAAATAAAAAAATAAAACCACAAAAAGAAAAAGATGGGTATATGAAATTGACTTTGTGATTGCATATGCGCTCGTTCCGTTTTAAAAAATTCGAATATAAAACTTAACATTCGAGTCAAGAGTTCCCAAGTAGAAACGGCACGAAAAATCAATGCGGTCGGGGATCTTCTAAAGGGGTTCCATGACAGCACAAAACTCAATCGACATCAAAGGTGGGCTTAAGCAGGAGCCCTACAATATAAACGTGGACTGCAAGCACGGTAAGAATTTAGTGGGATAGCATAGACTACGCAGCAAAGTGGACACAGGCTGTCGTGGTTCGACCCAGTCGTGATTATATTTGTGAAGTCCGGATTTAGCGGCGCTGACGAGAGGTTCGAAGGTTGCGGCCGACGATGGGCTGGGCTGAAGAAAATTGGCCCACTGTGCCCTCCGAAGATCTTCAAGCTTGGAGCTAAGACGTGACCACGGCTCGAAAGGCGGCGAACCGGCGAAACACCCGCATCCCCTGTCACCATCCATAACTGTGCTCTGGGCACTTTTCGACATCATCCGGGAAAGTGATAGCGCTCGTATCATCTTTATCGTAGCGATATTTTGGGCAATACGAACACCTCAAGAAGGTAAATTCCATATAAAATTCAGATTCGATCCTTCGAAGCCAGACCAGAGCTGATTTCCACCATCTCCAAATGGCGCCATTGACGGATCGAAAGGCAACGAAAGCCAATCATCTGCGTTGATATCGTTCAGCGACAGTATCTGATCGTCAAACACCGGGTTTGAAATTTCCATTTGTCCACCGCCATTCCCCGTCATATGGCCTACGTCGGGCTGGCCCGCTGAACTGTGGAGATCCGCCGGCGGTCGTACAGACGATGGTCTTGTGGTGCCCCGACTAGTTCTCTTGTTGGACAGGACAAAACTACGCCGAAGCCGGGTAATGAGAGATTCAAGGAGCGTCGCATATCTGGATCCAAGGTGGATGTCATCAAGAGAGCTGGACCTTAACGCTTGAATACTTCTAGTTAATATCTCGAGGGACTCCTGTAGTTTTGCGTTGCGTACACCCAGGCTGAGAGCCTTAAGGAGGAAGATGGAAGAGCTTGTTACTCGAAGGAATATCCTGACAGGTGAAAACCGCAGCGCCCCCGTTTCCGCAAGCGTAATGACTTTCTGGAGGATGTGGCATGAACCATCGATGACTTCTTGGATAAACTCGTAATCAATGTCGTCCACGTTCGTTTGGCGGACTTCATCCAGGGCGGAGTCTGGGTCTGATTCAGCGAGGAGTCGTTCTACAACTGCTTGCATGCCAATTGAATTCGTGTATACTCGGGTAAACTGGTATTCTATGAAAATCATGTCACGGAAAGGCGGGGACAAATCTGTGCCACCATCAGTTTAGCCCATAATAGTAACACAAGAAACCAAGAGTCACTCACGTCGCGTATCCAGATGCTTCTGCCGCCACTGTGATAGTAATGGGCGAAAATGATCCAAAAGCCCAATATATCGACCGCTGTGGAACTGCTGGCGCGTCAAAGACGCAGACGGAAAGAACATATCCGTAACGGACTTTGAAAGCTTCGTAAGTTCGATCCAAGAATTCATAAACGAATGCCATTCGTCACCCATCTGAAGAGCAGGTTGAGAAAACGGTGCCAGGACAGCATGATTCAGACTCTGTGGCATGAGCGACATGCATCCGAGCCGTGAAGCTAGCTGATTAATGAAAACATAGAGCAGTTGTTGGATGCGGTATCGGCGAAGATTGATATCGACGCCCTGGCTTTCCATTTCCGGGCTTGATATCATGCTCCTGGCTCGAGAGTCATCCGCGTCGAATATTCCAAGCTCGTGTGCTAACGTCAGCCCAGAACCGAGGAGCATCCACGACATCCGATCGGACCGCCTTGCCGGCTCAATAACATCTTCAAGCCAACGATTCGGAGCCGATACGGACATGTCGGGACTGATAGCAGAGGTAATATGATCTGGGGATGTCATCATCAGGTCCGAATCCCAGCCGTCACTCTCGGGTGGAAAGTGCAGAGATCGGGGGTGCCACTCGGACATCAACAGGAGCGCTTCGATCGTGCCAACTGTCCGAGTCTTCGCCTTCGATCCCTTCTCCTGGCCGAGCATGACTCGCATGATTAAATGCTGACAGTGCTGCCACAGCCGTTGATGAATGAAGAACCCTCTCGAAGCCCCACCCACACCTGGCAGCGTGTGATACCGGGACGAGATCATTAAGATGGTGCAGCAGAGGACGGGCTCCTGAGTGATCAGCCAGTAGTGGTTACGATGGTGCGAATAGAAGTTCGACAATATCGGCGACAGCGGCGCCATGTTCTTGAAGAATCTGCATTACGCACCGTGTTAGCTCTCTCCAACAACGGCATTCCCTCATGTCGTCCAGAGACATCCGGGAGAAGAGGGGGGGGAGGAGAGGATCTGAACATACAGATCGATATACGTCACGGCCTCCCTCGACGAGAACCAGCCCATCTTGACAAACCGGCAAGAATCCCAAACCGCCACAACCTCAGGTTCCGCAGGCGACAAGTGTGCAGGATCGGACACCGTCGTCGCCATCCCCAGGGATGTCGTCGACCCGGGGGTCCCGTGGGTCTGCTGCATGGGCTGAGCAGTCTGGCCCAAAGCAGCAGCCCTCGTGTTCGTCGTCGACATGTCCCCGATACTGGCCCCTTGCTCTTGGGCCGCGGCCTGGAAGAGGATGTTCAGCGCATCGTTCCCGCTGGAGACCACGGTACGCATGACGGAGCTCGCGAGACCGCTGGAGGCACCAGGGTCCGACGCAGGGTCCGGACGAGGGGGCATCGTGGAAGTTAAGGGCGAGGTGCTGCTGGTGCTCATGTTGGCCGGAGTACTTGCCGCGCCGGTGGGCTCATATTGCATCGGCAGCGGAGCAGCTGCGTTGGAAGGGTGCGTTGACGTTGATGCGGGTGTTTCGGCGTCCGTGATGGCTGATGAGTGAAGCGATGCGCTGCCCGGAGTGCCTGCCGCGCTGGCGGGAACGCCGGGTATTTGGGGCGAGCCTGTCAGGGACGGCTGTTGCTCGCCGGAAGTTGTACTAATGACATTGTTTGCTGCTTGCTCCGTCAGTATATAGTCTTTTATTTTTATTTTTATTTTTTATTTTTTAAAAAAAAGAACAGGGTAGGATAATATTTTGTCTTTTTTTAATTAATTACTTACTCTTCTTTTTCCGTGACCACGCGCGATCTTCGCTGAATAGACAGTTCCGCTGTTCGCGTCGGCATCTTAGACACGGTGGACCGGGCGGGATCCCGCGCTCCCTGTTCCCGCCGAGTTCGCATTTTGCCTTGCGCTGCCGGCAAGAGATGCAAGCCTTGTACGTCCGCAGGAACTCGCGGTTGCCGGAAGCTCTGCTCCATGGTGGTCTCTCCATTGCTTGTCTTCGGGAAAAGGAGGTGGTCGGGGTGGGGGCGCTCAACTGGGTAAATTCTGGCGGTTCTTTCGATTCATCTCCGCGTCAGACTTTCGCAACCGAAGAGCACCGCATTATGCGGAGTCGAAAAGGACAAGGCCAGGCAAAACTTCCGCCGCTCGCTGATCCGCAACGCGGTTTGGACCTGTGCGGCTGGCGAATCGCAAGCGCCGCAGTGGCTGTTGTTGCCGCGTCTAGCCGCGATGCCGGTTGCTGACTCATCAGGTCTCGGCTAGTTCGACTTTTTGCCGAAACCGTATTAGTCCCGGAGAAAGAACGAGTCGGGGAACAGAACAGCTGCTGCGATGTATGTATTGTACAGATGTGCTTGACACACTTTTCATTCATAGGGTGGATTTTGCTGTGGGCTGGCTACGGAGTACTACGTCCAAAACACACTCGCCAGGCTCCTACAGAGCAATTTGCTCGACCTCATCAACTAACTACTCTCCATCGCAAAAAAAAGGTCCAGCAAGTCGTCACGAAACTTCCGCATCTCCGCGCGCCATGACAGAACGCAGTATCAACACCCCCTGCTGAAGACCTTCACCGGATGTGCTTCGGTGTTGAATACGTATGCATTCGTTCCTCCGGGACCGGCTACCTGCCAGTCTGCTTCTGTTTTTACGCAATCGTCAGTCAGTCACTTGCAACCCCTAGTCCCTGGGCGGGCATGAAGGCCGGATATTTATTATACCTGGTGAGTGGATGAGATAGGAGTACTTCATCACTTCAGCAAAGAGGAAGCTCTCCTGGTTGTCATACTTTCGACCTCCGTCTGGCGTATTGACGTCCCCAATGGCGGTGAAACCGGTGCTTGTGCGCGTCGTTGCGTTGATCGCCACGAAGGCATCCCATGCCCACTCTTGATACTGCAGGGGCGAAGGTGTCAGACCACTTGACGCTTTGAGGCCGACGTATCCGATACACTTACCTTAGGATCTTTCGTCATTCGGTAAGCATAATAGATGCTCTCGATGACCTCCGGTCGGAGGTTATAGTAGCTGGTTGTGATATAGAACCCGGCCTCTTTGTAGAATTCTGCTTGGGCCTCAGGGACCTTCGTGTCATCCCAGCCGAATCCCTCGGGGCCGATTTTCGTTGCGGTCGCAGCATACGTAGCGTAGCAGCCTTCAACAAGCTCGAGCCCAAACTTGGTGAAGTCGTCTCGGTCAAGTATCTGGCCTCCCAGGAGGAAATTACCGCCATCAAAGCATGTCAAATGACCAGAGTTGAGACCGAGTCTCCCCCCGGAATACGTCGCCACAAATGTCAAGTCCTTTCTAGTAGACGGCGAAGATTTTAAGTGTTTAATGGTGGATTCGGCGGCAGTCACCCACCTGGTACTTAATTTTAGCCCACATAACCACGCCGATCAGGAGTCGAACAGTGTATAACTCACCTCTCCTTGTACTTTCCAAACCGGTCCTTGTCATAGACGTACATCTTGATAAGATACTCGTAAAACGAATCCGATCCTCCTCCCCAACTGACATAATCATCGCGGAATAGGCCCGTCTCAATGTCAATAGTGCGACCGACCAGGCCGGGAAATGGCTCGCTCGATGACGGTTGTGGGTTGAGGAGGTACGATTCCCCCTTCTGTGCTAGCCTGCCGTACTCCGGGTCGCCAGTTATGTCCGAGAGACGAGTCCCTGTATGCATGTTAGGGCCGTCGACGAACCAGTAAGTGAATAGTGCACTAACACTCCAAGACTAGGGTGCCAGTTGTGGCGAGCCCGTTAGTTGTCGAACCGTCCTATATGTATGGTCATGACTGATTAGCTTTCACCCCTCTCAAGGGTTCGGGCAAGAGACCGAAATGAAGGGGGTTCCGCCTCACCGTAGACTTATCCGTGATATTCAACTCGTTTGCCGGTATGCCAGTCTTTGTATCGAAGGCGAACTTCAGTACATCGGCCAGTTTCAGCGATTGCGCAAGCAGCACGTCGACTTTTGCAGGCTGATGCACATCAGTATTGCTCCAAAGAGCGGTGTTGCTTCTGAGCGGGAGCAAATACATCCGACACAAGATGTGAACCAGGTCCCTTCAGCAGATCATAGGCGGATATCATGCCTCCTAGGTAGCGAATGGTGGTTTCAAACAGGCTACACATGGTATCTGTTTGGGAGTAGTCGATGTTGGAGATATGGTCGAGAATCTTCTCGACGACGTCTGGCATGTCCATGATGATCGCGGTCGAGAGCGCATCGACGGCAGAAGCGCCCCAGCCGTTCCTGTGTCAGGGTAAGAGCTTTGATCTCATGCAGCAAAACCGGGCATCGGGCAATACCGAGAATTGCCGGGCGTATTGGACACCGGATGTAACTCGTCGTTTGGGAATGCATGTTCCAAATACCCATTCCAGGCAAATCTGAAGGCATCTTTGACGGCTTCGGCTCGTTCTCGACTCGTCTTGTAGGAAGATTGACCGATGGAGCTTGGGAGGTGCTTATCAATCATGGGAAGGGCAACGACAGATGGAATGAGCGTCAGCGCTGCAGCGCATACGGCGAGTACGGGGGATCCCTTCATCTTTATTATTATAATTTTTTTTTGTTTTTTTCCCTCTTCAAAGGATCGACTCCGTACTCCGTAGGTACGTCTAAAGAGGAGAGAGTATATACTTATGTATGGAGTACAGTATATAACGAGAGACTCCGCCAAGCAGATATAGCCCTGGCCAGGAGGGGAAGAAAAGATGCGCATTGGGGGGGAAAAAGGATCCAAGCAGGCGTCCCGGGCCCGCTCGAACGAAGACAGACCGTCGGCATTGGACAGCAGAGACTCACTTCACATCTCTGCCAGGACGCGGGGCGCGAGGCGCCAGCCGTGGAAACCACGAACTTGCTTGTTTGTTTGCTCTGCCAAGGCCAGAGCTGCCGTGGGTCCGGAGAAACAGCGATCGACACGCCCGCGTCCGGCTCCCGACTGGCCATTGCCCCTGTTGATGCGCATCCGATGTGTCGGTCATGCAGCCAGAGGGGAGACTATTAGGTGACTACGTCGACTATCCTCGAAGCCATGTCCGGGTGATCAGATGGGCTGACTTGTTGTCCAGCTGGTGCGCATGGATGGCGAGGGAAGAGGGTTAACGGCTATGGAGTCTAGCCCCCAGTGCAGAGGCTTCCAAAGTGTCGAGATTTCCTGTGGCATATTAGTTGGAGGGTACCAGTTGTAGAATTCTTCAGACAAAAATGGAAACGATCTGTATGTTGCTTTTTGGAATGCAAGCTTCCCACGGACCGCACTTTAAACTAGCTCACACAGGAATGATTGGCCATGATGAAAATTCAACAATGGCCTTGATCGGACGAGACCCCAACACTGGTCAGCCACCGTCCAGTTTTCCGGCATCTTCCTCTGTTAACAGAACCATTATGGTTGTACCTGGAGCTTCGGGTGGCTTGTTGAGTGATTTGACGACTTTATCTGTTCCACTCTTGGCCCACTGTTTTTGTAGTAGTTATCGAATGACATCACCACATCAGGTGCCACCACGTCTCAACATGGATTGTCCAGAGTACATGTGGGGTCCTCCATGGGTGTGTTTCTTTTTTTTTTTTTTCCCAGTTAAACTTGGGTTTTATGGAGGAGTAATCCCAATTTAGGAGCTGTTTTTGTGTTGTTGCTTGGAACGTCAAGGATAACCAGGGAATGCTGTCGGCATAACCCCTCACACCCACAACGTGGAATACCTGTCCTCCATAACTGCGTAAACAAATTTGCTATCATAGACCCTGTACTCCGCACAAGATGGCGTATACCATTCGGCAGAGAATACCCTGCTCCTGCTATCATCGCTGTCGATGCAGCCCTTGAGAGTCCTGTGCCTTGGAATTGTCAAATATTTCCAGTTTCGTTATGAAGTCCAGCATATAGGAATGCATCGAGCAGTGCCATCAAAGACACCTCAAGACTAAGAGCCCCATCCCATTAACTCAGGGCATAAAGCGCAGGCCTTTTCGTTGCAGAGAGATCTGGCGCTACTGCTCAACGATGGATCTCAACGATGGATCATGCTCGAAGTCACACAAGAAGGAGGTCCAGCGGCTGGCGAGGTGTACTCCGTACAGAGAATCTGATTGTAGTTGATGAGGTAGTTGACTTGTTCAGCCCCTGAAAAATTAAAAAAAAATAAATAAATAAATAAATAAATAAATAAGGAAACATGATTAATACATGACAAACTCTGTGCTGTCAGGGATGTAAGAATTGAGATGCACCGCAGCAAACGGTGAAGTTTTGTTTCTCCCTCCAAGCTTGGTAACTATCCGCCCAGCTCTCCGATAACGGGCTTTGGCCTGAGGGGCAACGCGGAAATATAATTCTCCGTGGAGAATATGGCCTTGGGACGGGAGAACCTTATGGATTCAACTTTTGGGTGACTCAATTGCGCAGGGGGCTGGAATCTTCGCATCGACTTTGCTGCTTGCTTGAATGCTTGAATCCCCTCAATCGGGCTATACCTCTGATCAAGGTCTTTCGACTTTCGTTTGTTCTGGGCTCAACTTGAGCCGCAAGGCCACCCTGCAATGTCTTTACCATTCCTTATCTCCGTCGATGCGGACTCGATATCCTCTCCCTCTCCCAGTGGCCTCACCCTAAAACAAGTTTCATATTTCGGCTGCGTGCTTCTCAAGTCACCTAGCTTGGAACAGGCTCTCTCGTTTATCAACGCGAATTTCACCACTTTCGAGATATGCGTCGACGCTACTGCTATTGAGTCTGTGGGAGATGTTGTGGACATTCTCAATGCCGGAGCATCGAATGTGTTTGTGACGCTGGGACAATTGACATCATTGTTGAAAGAACAATCCGTCCCCTCGTCTCGATTGGTCGTTTCGATCTCATCCGCAGACGAGGTCGCCCAACTGAAAACTTGGATTTTAGAGGATAAGGAGAGACGCGAAATATGTGTTCACAGCGCAGGATCCTCCCCCATTGACGCTATTCTATCCGAACTTGATGACAATTCCTTGGTAAGAACCGTATACCGCTCCTCGATCGGCGAGACGACACAGACAAACTTCCTCCTGAACGAACAGGAAAGGGTTATTAGCATAATCCCGTCTACATCATTAACGGTTGACGATGAAGGGAACTCTGCTGTCAAGCTGCTGGTTACCGGTGCTATCCCGGATAACAACACTGGTCTCTATGCTACGATAGTCACGGATGAGCGTGGAGTGGCGTTGGGGCTTGTCTGGAGTAGCGAGAAGAGTATTTCAGAGGCATTGAAAACTGGAACAGGAGTGTACCAAAGCCGGAAGCGTGGTTTATGGTATAAAGGCCAATCCAGCGGGGATATACAGGAATTGGTCAGAGTTGGGCTTGACTGCGACAGTGATTGCTTGATTTTCGTCGTCAAGCAGAAAGGCAGAGGTTCGTTCAATGGTAAAACCTGTATCGTGACTTGGTTCACCCCGCTGACACTGTGTTCAGGATTTTGTCATTTGGGAACTGCCAGTTGCTTTGGCTCCTACACGGGGCTTTCTCGTCTCCAAAAAACATTACAAGCACGGAGGCAGGACGCCCCGCCGGGATCGTATACATCGCGGCTCTTCAACGACGCAAAACTATTGGACGCAAAAATTATGGAAGAAGCCGAAGAATTGTGCAAAGCATCGACAAAGGAAGAAACTGCTTTTGAAGCCGCTGATCTTATTTACTTTGCTTTAACAAAGTGCATCTCAGCTGGCGTAAGCCTAGAAGATGTTGAAAGGAACCTTGATTTGAAGAGCATGAAGGTGAAGCGAAGAAAAGGCGACGCGAAGCCAGACTGGGCTGCTAAGGTTGGCCTTGCTGCTCCCACGGGGGTTCAGAAGACGGCTGGATCGGTCGAGACGGACAAACCGGTCGATCAGAGAATTCGGATGAAACGGTATAACACCGCCTCAGCTTCACAGAAGGACATCAAAGATGCTCTCCAGCGCCCATCGCAAAAGTCCAATGAAGCTATTGTGGGTCTGGTGAAGCCTATTATTCAAGACGTGCGAGAGAATGGAGATGCCGCCGTTCTGAAATACACCCACAAATTCGAGAAGGCAACGTCCCTCACGTCGCCTGTTCTTCGCGCTCCATTTTCTGAAGATCTCATGAAACTTACACCAGAGACCAAAGAGGCGATTGACATTAGTTTCGAAAACATTAGGCGTTTCCATGCTGCACAGAAAGAAGATAAACCCCTCCAGGTGGAGACAATGCCGGGGGTCGTCTGCTCTCGTTTTGTCCGCCCTATCGAAAGAGTTGGTCTCTATGTCCCCGGCGGTACAGCTGTGTTACCTTCTACTGCGCTAATGCTGGGAGTTCCTGCCATGGTTGCTGGGTGTAAGAAGATTGTCCTGGCTTCTCCACCACGTTCGGATGGCAGTATCTCACCCGAGATCGTTTACATTGCACAAAAGGTTGGAGCTGAAAGTATTGTGCTTGCCGGAGGCGCTCAGGCGGTGGCCGCGATGGCGTATGGCACGGAGAGCGTTACCAAGGTCGACAAGATCCTTGGACCTGGAAATCAATTTGTGACAGCTGCTAAGATGCTTGTTTCCAATGACACCTCGGCCGGCGTGAGCATCGATATGCCTGCGGGTCCCAGCGAGGTCTTGGCCATTGCTGATAAGCACGCAAATCCTGCATTTGTTGCATCGGACTTACTCAGCCAGGCTGAACATGGCGTTGATTCCCAGGTTATCCTGATCGCTGTTGATCTGAATGATGCAGAACTGGCTGCCATCGAGGATGAATTGCATCGACAAGCCAGTGAGCTTCCTCGCGTCGATATTGTGAGAGGTTCTATCGAACACTCGGTCACTTTCGTCGTGAGAGATATCGAAGAGGCCCTTGCCCTAAGCAATGAATATGCCCCTGAGCACCTTATCCTTCAGATCCGGGACGCCGCAAATGTAGTATCTATGGTAGAAAATGCTGGTAGTGTCTTCATCGGCGAATGGACTCCAGAGAGCGTTGGTGATTACTCTGCTGGAGTGAATCATTCACTACGTAAGTCTAACTACTGTTTTTGTGAATCTTAGCTGCTGGTTAACATCCTCCCCTTCTAGCAACTTATGGCTATGCAAAGCAATACTCCGGCGTTAACCTTGCTTCCTTCGTAAAACACATCACCAGCTCCAACCTTACGGCTGAAGGACTAAGGAATGTTTCACAGGCTGTTATGCAACTTGCATCTGTGGAGGGTCTCGATGCCCATCGCCGGGCCGTCAGCATCCGTGTCGATTGGATGAAGCAAAATAAGGGCTAGAGTTTATTACTCGTCCTTTGAGATCTTTTATATATGCACTGGAGGGCTACCTTGATCGTGTAGTGTGTACTTTGTCCCTCGACGATATTTCGGAGTAGTCCGGTTTTGTTTCTAAAAGTAACATGGCTATGTAAAATTAGAAAAGTGAATACTTTTATGAAATAATGAATGCTAGATATGACCCACCTCAGATCTCCTCATTGCAATACATCTGAAAAGATCCGCGTCTATATAACGCCGAAGAATGCGGAGTAGATCATAGAAAAACCAAAAGGAAACATCAAAGAGGTATCATCGTGTCATAAAATCAAAGACAGAGCACAAGCAGATTATCTTTTGCGCTCTCTGACCTTCCACTTGACGCCGTACTTGTTCACACCACCGACTGAATTTTCCATCTTTGCTCGTTGCAGATCCAGCTCCTGCTCTGCAGCCACAATATCCTGGTACTGCTTCTTCAACGCTTCAAGCTTTCTCAACCTTGATTCAGCGGCTCGTTTTTTCAGCTTTTTAGCAGCTTGAATTTCCCGTCGCATCCGTGCTTCCGCTTCGAGCTGCTTCTTGGATTTTCTTTGCGCAGTCGCCTGATCCTTTTGCACGGTCTCATCCTCGCTTTGGTCCCCATCGTCTTCGTTGATCCCGTCGACGAAATTCTTCTGCTCGTCGACAGAATTTACAAAAACGACCTTCCGCCCAGTTTTTTTCGCAGTAATCCCACCAAGGGCCCCATCCTCATCCTCATCCTCATCATCTAGCCCATCCCCGGGTTTACCCTTGCCCAGGGCTGCTTTCACTCCATTTTGTAATCTAACCTCCTTCTCCACCTGCTCCATCTGCCTTCGCACTTTTTCACCCACAACCCGCAGGTAACCCGCATCCTGCGTCTTCAGTAACTTTACTGTCTCCAGACTCAGCGTAGACTGCGTGGCATCTCTCGCACCATGACGCCCTTGGGTCCGCGAACCCGCGGACACCATTCCGAAAGCAAATTCATCGGGGTTTCGATCGCGCACCTTTTCGCGCAGACGTTGGAGTTTAGCCTTTTTGAGGTTGTAATCGGCCGCACGGAGGGAGTAGTCCTGTTGCATGGGCGTGTTAGTATTTAAGCGTTGGAACTTTTTCATATATTTTTTTTATTTTTTAATTTTCTTTGTTAAAGCATGTTATGTCCTTGCCTTGTGCTTTTCGAGGATCCCCCATTTTTCGCGTGCGACGGGCTGTGCTCGCTCACGGTGTTGCCGTCGCTGGACGGCGTTCCGGAGGGAAGACATTGGATTAGATTTTCGCCAAACGAGTTAAGGGTGCAATAGATAGCTCCTTTATAAAGAGAAAAAAAATGAGAAATATCCGATTAAATAACCAAATTACCTAGGAACACGTATAACAGGGAGCGGAAAAAGGTAGGGTAGGCTGAAGAGTTGAGCGGGCGCGTAGGCGGGTTGATTTCTTGGTGATCTCAAAATTTCTCTAACTTAGCGTTTTTCGAAGCTCAGCTTCGGAGTAACTAACTTAACTAACTACATAAGTACATGGTTCAACACAAATTGGCTCGCCCACTCCACACCAAACATCCCGTCCGATCTGATAACAAAACGCAAACCTTCCCACTACACCAGCTCCCGACAACTTTCCAATTGGAAAGCCAATTATTTTCGTACGAAGTTATTATACATATATTAGCAGCCCGCTTATCTCCTCAGCGCTCTCTGCTGGTCGCATTGAGCGCTAATAATGATGGCAGCAGCCACATCCTCCCCCGAAACCGCGAGCAATCCTCCGCCCGGCTCCGCTCCTTCGACCATAAATCTCCGGAACCCAACCCCCCTCTCGGCAACGCAAGAGGCTGAAGTCAAAGCTATATATTACAAGCGTGTTCGAGGCTACTGTGCGGCGGAAATAAAAGGTTCCTCCCCACGTTTACGCTCACACTTCTGCCCATCTCGTTGACTAACCCCGACTCATTTAACAGAATTTGCGGCTTGCGCGCTTAATCGCACGGTCACTGCTACATGGGTATGCCGAAAAGAAAGACTAGCGATGAACGCCTGTATGGTTGAGCATGCCAAACCCGAGGAAGAAGATCGAGCGCGAGAGGAATGGTTTGCGGGGCGAGAAGAACGAAGAAAAGCTCGTGAGCATGAAGATCGGATGGTCGAAGAACGGAGGAAAGAGGTCATTGCGATGATGAGAGAGGGTGAGAAGAGACGAAAAGCACAGACAGGTGAGCAGAAGGCTGCCGATGGGGGTAGTGGAGGCTGGCTTGGCAGGGGGAAAAGATGATGGCGGCCACGAGGTTCAGCAAGCAGTAGGTTACTCGATTGAAAAGAGTAGGAAGTACGTTTGGATACTTGGTTTGGATGGAATGAGGCCGTTTGAGGACAGGCTGCCCATGAGAGCCCCAGGGTTTGAAGCTACTGGGGGGTGTACAATCTCCCTTACACCTAGGATATTTACGCATTTCGCGGCGTCACAGGAGTTGAGTCATGGTTGGGTTATGATACTTTTTCATTTTCTTCTAGAATATAGTGTACAATACAGATATAACCATAGTATATCTCCGCTAGTCCAGACCTCCATGGAAATGCCTCTCTCCTTAATGACCTAAACACACCAAAGACACCAGCTATGAAACCGCCAAACCAGACCTAATCCCATTCGAAAAAGGCAGCGTAACTCCGGAAAAAAAATAAAAGAAAACGAGCAACAATAGATTTTGCCCACATCGCCCAGTGGAAATTTGGAAAAATATTCGGAGGAAGAAAGGGAAAATGGATTAAACACCCGTCATGGTTTTGTCTCCATCCGGATTATCCTCGTCCATAGGGTCTTCGCCAAAGATATCTTCCATTTTCCCGTCGATATCATCGTCCTCGGCGCCGCCCTCTTCCTCGCCGGCGCCCGCGGCTGGAGGAGCTCCTTGCTGTGCGGCGGCATCAATCTCCATCTCTTCCTCGCCTTCGCTTTCCCATTCTTCTCGTAAGCCCCAGCCCACACCGGTTTGGCAAAACCTCTCTGGTGGAAGCCTCATACCACCCATGACTACACCAGGTGCAGCCACATTGGACGCTCCACCCTCTGCACCCCTAGAAAGTCCAGGAAGCATAATCCGATTTCGCTCCGCAGCAATATCCATTAAAAATTCTTTTGGCAAACCAGGTTGAAACTGATAATGCAATCGCGACGCAATGCTCAATCGTAGCGCCTGAAGGCTCACGGACGAAACCTCCAACGACGACTGCTGCGTTTTTCCGCCGTCGGTGCCCTTGGGGCCTGGTACCTCACCAGCATAGCCCTCTGTTGCAAGATATACAGCATCTTGCAGGACGCTAGAGGTATAACGATATGCGAAATCGAGGAGCTGAAGGGGCACTCGTTCTTGATACGCGTTGACGCCAGAAGAGGCAAGGAGCATATGTATCAAACGGGCATCGCGAGGTCGCCTTGACTTTCCGTTATCTTGGAGAGAAGTTCCAGGAACTTGCGGAGGATTAGCCGTAGCTGAGGTTAATGCGGCGTTGGATGGATTTCCGGAAGCTGGATTGCTAGACGAGGAGGGGCGTTCTGCAGGAGGGGTGAGAGGTTGGGTGGGCGCAGCTGATAACCCGGCAGCTGGCGTCGCAGTAGGCCGTGGTGAAGCCATCGCGAATGGGTGCTGAATCAAAATCTAAGAGCTTTTGAGCTGGGAATGCTGCTCAGCAGCATTACCCCCGTCGAATGGGGAAACTAATGAGATAATTTGTATCGGTCCCTGGAAACTTGTATGCGAAGCGATCTTTCACGAAACAGCAAATGAGATATCTGTTACCGGAAAATAGCTAGTAGTGAAATGTAGAAGGGAATTATATCAGCCGCTTTTCAGTTGATACCTTGAGAGTGAGTGAGCAACTTCAGGATGAAGAGCTTCGACGAGCTGTGCAATCGGGGCGGGAAGCTCAATGGTCACGTGAACCCAACGGTCAGCCGAACGTATTGTTGAACGGCGTCCACAATGACGATGCTAAATCAACATTTCTCAAATAATAGAGAAAATAGAGGCTTTTTGCGTGTGCCAATGGATTTCTGATGATGGAGAGAGGTTTGTGAATTATAGGGTCATTCGTAGCTTTCTATAATCTCTTCATGATACTGCACCTTGGGGAATAGGTAGAAAATACATATACACCTCCAAGAATCGCTGCCAATTGCAATAAGCATCTTTTTCCTATTACTTATTACCTCTTCGCCCCCCCTTTTTGGATCGTTCTTTGTGTGCGCGAAGAACAGCTCTCGTTTCGACCAGACTCCGTTTATTCTTGCTCTTCGCTTTTCCAAGGGTCATGAGGAAGTTTTTCTTCCTTGCCTTCTCCTTATTAGTCGTGCTCTTGCCCTCAGTTTCCTTCTTTTCTTTCTTGCGTGCCATCCTGCTCTTGAATTCGGATCTGTCTGTCTTATTCTCATTCATCCGAGCAATCTTCTCTTCTCGAGTCGCTTTGCCAGCCGACAGAGAAGCGAGGCCCTCTATTTCAGCGGCTGTAAGCGGATCATCGATGTGTCTGGCCGCATTTGCAGCAGCCTGCTTTTGTGCACGGGATTTATTTCCAACCAAAGCGGACACAGTCGCTGTGGCACGCAGCTCCGCAAGTTTTGCAAGGTCAGCAGGAGTTAACACTTTTGTTGTTGCGAGTTTGGAAATTTTACTTGCAGGTTCTTCGGATTTCGGACGATCTTGGCTATCTTTGCTCTCCCCAGAGGCATCGTCCCCAGTTTTCTGTTTCTTCGCGGCGGGAGATTCGTCCTCAGAGTCGCTAACGTCGATGTCCACGTCACTTTGAACGTCGATCCAGCCACCGGAGTCATCACTATCATCTTCTTCAACGTCCCAGGCAGCCCAATCAGCTTCACCATCCGATTCTTCATCCCCAGTTTCTCCATCGGACGGCAAACCCTTCTCCCTTCTCTTTTTTCGCCTTTCCTCTTCTTTCCATTGCTCAAGCAACTCGATTCCTTCAATTTCACCAGCCTGCTCTTCTCCGTATCTCTTCTCTTTCTGTCCTCCTGTTCTCAGCGCAATGCTGGCATCCTTTCCTCGGTCTCTCTTTTTCAGCATCCCGGCACCGACCTCTCTGTATAGTCCTAAAAGTCCCTTGGCTGCCATCATAACTCCTTTATCTTTACTTTTCTTATACATGACGAGGTCTTGGAGGAGGGTATCATTCATTGCGAGTGGTTGTCTAACGCATATTTCCCGGATAGCGTTCAACCCAGCGGATGCAACTTCTGCAGCTGCAGCTTCTGAAACAAATTCATTCGCAATCTTCGTTACCAACGGCTCGAGGACATCAGGAGGGACAAGAGAATGGGTAGACTGGGCGAGACTGGCGAGGAAAGAAGTAACCGATGGTTGCTTCGGCGTTAGATACTTCAAGAAATAGGAATAGAGCTGAATGACAGTGAGCTTGTGTAAGCCCACAAGGCGGGACACCAGCTGCAAAACGAGGAGTTTTTGTTCCAGATTCAGCCGAGATTTTGTGTTCTGTAGATGTTTCTGAAAGAGGGTTTCCGCAAAGCCTTGAGGGTCGTGCAGGAGATGGAGGGCTGAAAAGTTCAAAGGGTGAGGTTGATTCTTTCTGCGCTCCTTTTTCTTGACTGTCGCGATTGCTTTTTCCACCTGCCGAGCCTTCTTCTTACTTTTCTTGTTGATTCCGACCTGATGTCTTATGCGAGCTACATCCAAGTCCTCTTCATCGCTACTTTCATCTTCTAGCTCCTCTCGCTCTTTGTCACCACCGAGGAAAAAGCGTACTCCTCCAACTATTACTTTCTCATTCTCCGCCAATGAGGCCTCTTTCATAATTTCTACCGCCTTGGCGTCGGTCCATATTTGTCGCCTCCAAAGCTCTCGCGTAATCTTGATTGCCCAAAGTGCTTTTGATGAGGTCCGGTCGGAAGTGACGAGGTTGAAAAGCACTGTCTGAATCGTCCGGTTTAATTTGTGATTGACACCTTTCGAGTTCGAAGTGCGGAGGTCAGAAATGATTTTTTGGAATAGTAACGCTCGTAGCGTTTTGCTGGGAGTTGAGACGAGAATTGGGAAGAGGGTCTGTAAAAGGCTACAGGAGGAAACAGTCAGCTGTAAGGTCCAAAGGAATGAAAATAGGTTAGCCAGTAACCACATACGTAGCAGAGTCGATGATGTCCTTCTTTCTCAGCAATACCAAGCTCGTTACAATCTTCTCCCTCAAGTCCGCGTCCAATACCGTATGATGCAGGGACAAAATTTCAATCAACTCTTGCGGAAAGTCTTTGGTAATGCTTGGGTAGCAGTCTGCAACATGCGCAACGAAATCGATTAGGTCCCGGAGCGATATGATGCCGTTGTCCGTGGCGGAAGATGGCGCCGCCATGAATATCTCTCGGTGGGATTCATATTGGAAATGTTGGCTGCGGAAATCTTCGACATAGGATCTGTCAAGCAAAAAGAGTCAAGCCGGTTAGATATTTCTCCGTATGGGCATTCATTAATGTAGGAACGTACTTGGGATCTCGCCGTATTTTGTATTGAAGATTTGTCCTGAGAAACGCTGTCAGCGAAAGTTTAGAACGCATTAGGATGCCAGCCAATTTATTTTTCTTACAGGTCAGCATCCACCTTTTCTAAGGCACCTAGTTTGCGCTTTCCCATGATAATGGAGCTTCTTAGCAGAATATGGGCGTTGAACGTTGCGGGCAAGAAAATGCGGAAATTCTGCGAACTCAAAAGTCTAGATTTTACTTCCGTCGCCAGTGCCGCTAGTGCTTTAACTGCGACGGGGCGACACCACGACCAACGGTGATCAAGGTACGAGTACTCCGTATTGTAGACAACAATATACATTATTTGAAAGCAGAGGCTAGGCTTTTAATTCTGCGACCCATTTTGCAACAGTCTACACGTGCTACCCATGAAAACAGCGAAGAGAATCCTACAAACAAATGGGTAGTAGGAAAGTAGCTCGGCAGACATTTGAAAACTTCATAATTGCATTTCGGCTACATGATAGAAAGGTTATCCGTTCGGATTTTGTTCTTTCAAATAGCAGTCCAAAAGACCGGAGTGGCATATGAAGGCAAATCCACCGAAACCGGACACCACCCGCCCCGATACGACAAAAGTAACAACCATAATACTTTTTCGAAAAATCGTTTATCGGTTGCTCTTCGCGACACGCTCCAACTCGTCCTTCTTCTTGATGGCGTATGAGTTCGAGCTTCCCTTGGCGGCGTTGATCAATTCTTCAGCGAGGCACTCAGCAATAGACTTTACATTGCGGAAGGCAGCCTCGCGGGCACCGATGGTGAGGAGGGCAATAGCTTGGTTAACGCGGCGGAGGGGGGAAACATCAACGGCCTGACGACGAACAGTACCAGCAGAACCGATACGAGTGCTGTCTTCTCTGGGGCCACAGTTGGCAATGGCATCAACGGCGACCTGAATGGGGTTCTGATCGGTCATGATGTGAATCTGCAGTTCGAAGCCCAGTCATTAATACCATTTCTCAACCAAAAAAAAGCACCGTTCCCTTCAAGAATCTAGCAAACATGTAAAGTAGAAGGGCAAGAAAACGTACGATTTCGAAGGCATGAGCGACGATTCGGACAGCCATCAACTTCTTGCCGTTATTTCGGCCGTTCATCATGAGGGAGTTGGTAAGGCGCTCAATGATAGGGCACTGGGCCTTGCGGAAGCGCTTGGCGGCATAACGGCCGGCGGAGTGAGGGAGGTACACAGGTTGTCTGATTTGGATGTAGTCGCTGCATTGGTCAAAGATCCAAAGGTCAGCAAAAATGTCCAGCCTAGGTCAAAACTTCCATATCGCTCCGTATTCTTCATCTTCTTATCGCAGAAGCTCCCAGAGTCGGCCGGTCGAGAAACAACACGAAGGAAGGGAGGCAAGAAGAGGAAGGCCGCACGTACGTCAAAGATATATCCCGAACCTCGATATCCTCATAACTCCACTTGTTGAAGAGTTTGACGCTGCCAATCTCAGAGGCAACATCCTTGGGCAGCACCGGGAACCCGGACGGGTTTTCGACCTCGACTTCCCCGCTGTCGGACATTTTGACGCTGATTACACCTGGTCGAGGAAGATGGTGGGTGTTGCAGGCAAAAGGTGTGGATGACGAGCGTCGGTCGTTGGTTGTCGTTCAGGTTGCTGTCGAAGCAAAATTAGAGGTGCGGACTCGCTTAGCGACTTTGGTTGGAATTCTGTGTGGGTGCATTTAGGGCAGTTTGGTGTCTGGGCCAATCAGCAACTCGATTTCGGGTGACTAAACAACAAATCACGTGATTACATCGGAGTTGCGCCTTCGCAGACAAGCTTTATCAGAAACGCCCTGCTTTTGGGGGGAACTTGCGGTCTTGGGGAGAAGGTTGCGGATCCCTCTGAGATTCAAGCATAGTATATCACTTGTTGCTAGAGTCTAACTACGTGAGGATAGCATGTTTGATCTAACTACTGAACTCCTTCCCCCACTGGACAATTGGGCACGTTCTCCTGCCATGCCTTCATCGCATAGGCCGGCAGTACACTGTTACTGGTGAAGGTCCGGGGAACATAGAGCTGGATGTCGTCAGCCGTATACTTGGCTCCCAATTCGTCCAATGCCGGTAGCACATATTTGACTCCGATAAATTCTGTAAACACCAGATCCACTGTTTGCGGCGTCGAGCCGTCTGTGGGGAAGGACGCATTGGCCTGAACATCATTTTCCGCTGAAAAGTACGGCAGCTTGGAGTGCGGTGTATCGTCACCATCTGTTCCAAAGTCATCGACTGTCGTGTACCCGGGATAAATCTTCGGCGGAGCTAGTAAGTCCCGACGCGTCAAACCATGGGATTTGAGAACCTCGCTTCTCTCTTGCATGGCTGTGTACGGAGGGTCGACGCAGGCGTCCCCACCGGTAAATATTTGATTTGGGGATGCAAAGTCATCGCGCTTCTGCCATGGCCCACGATTCAGCACACCAAGCACTTTACTCGCCACTGAATATGGCACGTCCGGGATAAACTCGAATGCGTTTCTAAAGGGGCTGACGATATATGAATCCCCGATAGTAAAGGGCCCTTGAACCAGGTCAAAACGTATGGCCCCGCTGTTGGTAAGTATCAACCGTGGAACTTCGGCACGAGAATCGTTGACGACGGTTGCTGCAAGAGCGGTTTCGAGCAGTTTGTAAATGCTGCCTTCCTCGCCAAATGGCTTGCAGGATTGGCAGTATGTCTTTGGCGCACATCCAAAAATATACGTCAAATTTAATGCACTCAGGGATTCCGTTATATCGCCAGTCACCGCAAGTCCGTGGGGGGTATCAAATGTTCGATCTTGTGATTTTTGCGCGTGGTATGCAAACGTCAGTCGATTCCAGTCAAGATAGCGACGAGCGTATCTTAGTGATCGTCCCCTGTGGCTGCTAGCCGGGGCTTTCTGCTGCTCCTGAACCTTGATGGCTTTCCTGGACGGATTTGGCACACCTCTTGGACGCATACTGCCGGTGAAGGTGGAAGATTCAATGCCCGTCATTGACAGCCATCCAAGAGTTTCACAATATCGTCCAGACTCAAGCGCAGTGGACATCTCATCATATACGACGAAATCCCGGATATGCGAATGGCCTCCAAATCCTTGAATAGGAACTTCGGGTCGCATTGCCCTGATAGCCTTGTGCACCGTTCCGAAAGTGCTAGAGGTGTCGTTCAAGCGGATAGGATTATGTCCAATTACAAGAAAGAGGTCGATCGGTTTCGGAAAATTCACCGCTTCTTTGAACCAAGGCTGTTCAACCATATCCGCTGCCTTAGTTACTCGAGATGCATTTGAGTTTCCCTTGAAGTCGAACAGTACGCCAAAAGCCATGATCCGGAGCCCACGCTTCGTGGTAAAGTAGCGATATTTACTCCCGAAGTCTTCAAATTCCCCGGTGTCACGGTTGAGAAGCTGGACATTGCTGGTCAGGTATTTTTCGCCATATATGGAGGTGATGTTGGCATTCGTATGATACGCAATTTCGGTAACATAGAGCTCATGGTTGCCAATCGCGAGCAAATCGTAATCTATTTCAGAGAAAATGGTGTCACTAACTGCGCCATTAGGGGTCGTCGTGTCGCTGAGCCCATTGCCATCGTGCAAATCTCCTGTTCCTATGTTCAGAAAACGTCTTTTCAATGCAGGATTTGGTCTTACCAGTATCGATAACAAGCAAATCGACATTTAGCCGGTCAGCCTTCTGGCGCATATGCTTCACGAAGGATCCAAAGTCGCCCCAATCAGCCCCGTAGTTTCTCTCCTTAAGATGGCCGGCAAGCCAGCCGTGGGTATCAGTTGTTTGTAGGAAGTTAATTTGACCCCATTCTAAAGGCCCGCGTGGTCTGGTAGTCGCGTTGAGAGCCCCTGGCTGCATGCGCCGGACCAACCTTGCGTGCTGACTCCGGTTTGGGACCCCATAGCAGTCAGAGCAGGCGATCGTGCCCAGTGCTTGGACGGATAAAAGGAAAGTAGTTAATAATAGCATCACGCTCTAAAAGGGGGGCAACCCGGTGTCACCCGCGGGGTTCGAACTTTTATTGTCGGTTCCCACTTTCACCCACGTTTTGAAAGGGGCCCATAGCAGATTTATGTAGCTCGCTGGTCGAGCGCAGATCAGCGAGCTATATAAATTGCATTTGGGATCAGGCTGCGGTCGAGAATAACCCTGTCATGGCTTCGCTATCACCTCTCCGTTGCATTCCTAACCAATGAATACAGTACAGCCAGCCACATGCGGTCCCGGATCCACAGACATAGCGTTCGTGCTCTGTCCTCTGATTTCCAGGTATCGTATGCAGCTACATACTGTGCTCTGTACTCCGTAGAATCAAGATCTTTCGGATGTCTATCTACTAGATTAAGGTAACGATCGGTGTTTCAAGGAGAAAATCGGCCAAGAGAAGGCCAAGAGCGAAAGGAGCTTGCATCCTTTTTCTTTCATCACCACACCTCGTGTCGAGCTTGGGGGTTCTTTTGGGGGAGCGATTGCTTTGACGCCCTGAGCGGCGGTACCCTGGATGCTGTGAACTTCAATGAACACCATGTCTCAGGTTAATCTAATCAGCGTAAGACCATTCTAGAATCGAGCAGCGATGCCGAACAAATTACTCCGCACATTTTCGGGGATCTCGAGAAGCGCCTGACGTTCCCCATCGCCGTCCCCGCGCAGCTGACAATGGATGAGCTGATCAGCGCGAAATAGTTTGTCCGTCTCTGCCCACGCTAAGCTCCCCACCGATTGGCTAACGACATTGAAGGACGCAGCTGATCACCGGCCTCATCGTCATGATCCCGAAAATGCACCCATGATCCTTGGATTGGGCTGAGGACTGAAGACGCTTTTAATCTCCTGGAGTTCATTTCAAGTACGAACTGACATGTGGCGCAACCGCGAAACGACGATACTGATTGGCGTTTAACATGGCTGAAGAGAATCCCGAGCTCCAGGCCGCCTTGCGGGAACTTGATCAGGAACTGGAGGTGTGTGCAACCTTTGACTTGTATTCGACAGAGACTGCTTTTCTGAAATGAATAGAAGCGCTGACGGGATGCTATTCTAGGACGGTGATATCACAGAGAAAGGGTAAGCAGCCGGACTTGTCAACACCTGCCTATACTCGCGCGCGGTCAGATTTTGCATTCGAGCCGAGCAGACCCGAGCGGAGTCGCGTGGGGAACTTAGATTTATTAACTGCTATTAAGATATCAGAAGCGTCGGACACTCCTCCTTTCGCAGTATCTTTCTGCGGATGGAGCCCAGGGAAATCAAGAGCTTCGATTTATGCGACGGCCCTCGCACGATGCTCCTACCACGATAGCAGGCGGACAGGTCAACCGCAGGTCAGTGTATGCGGATAACCGGCGGCAATCTGACTATCTTCCTGCAAACCTCCTCTCTCCAGCAGACAGTGGCTATACCGATCCGCGTGCGAACCCGTTATCGAGAATCCATGAAAATGAACTGGGTTTCTCACTCAATCCGACTCAGCAGCCATCGAGGACTTCGTATGATTCAATGCAAGCTCCAATGGCCAATCCCTCCGTCGCGGATTACGATCATTCTCGGTCGCCAACGGTAATAAGCCAAAATTATGCATTCAATCCGAACGAGCAACCGGAATATGATAGTCTCACAAGAAATTCCACGATGCTAGACTCCCAGGAAGCGTACTTTTCAGACTTTGCAGGTGAGCAGCATGATGAGCGGAGACAGAGTTACGGTGGTGGATTCCGGTATTCCCAAGCCGAAGCGTTCTCACCCACGGCCAATATGGCGCCGCCCCCAATGCCCACAACGGGCCTGGCTGCAGGGGTAGTGGTCGACCATCTTTTACCATTGGAACCACGGGATATTCCCTTCGACGTTTGTGACCTTCATGATGCCAAGTCTCCAATGTCTAAATTTGAAAATTTGCCTGCAGTGCTACGTTACCGTGCACGCTCCCACCCGAAGCAGCCAGCCTACTGGGTACTCGACCAGCGGGGTAAGGAGACGGCATCGATAACTTGGGAGAAGCTTGCCAGCCGTGCGGAGAAGGTTGCTCAAGTGATCCGTGACAAGAGCAGTCTATACCGTGGTGATCGCGTTGCCCTAGTTTATCGCGATACCGAAGTTATCGAATTTGCGGTGGCATTGCTTGGGTGTTTCATCGCTGGAGTAGTCGCCGTTCCCATTAACAACCTCGACGATTATGCTAGTCTCAATGTCATCCTCACATCGACTCAAGCCCATCTTGCCCTGACAACGGAGAATAATTTAAAAGCGTTCCAGCGCGATATCGCAACCCAAAAATTAACGTGGCCAAGAGGGGTTGAATGGTGGAAGACAAACGAGTTTGGTAGCTATCACCCTAAGCGAAAGGATGAGATGCCCCCCCTAGCCGTCCCGGATTTGGCATACATCGAGTTTGCGAGGGCTCCCACTGGCGATTTGCGGGGAGTGGTGATGAGCCACCGCACCATCATGCATCAAATGTGCTGCATGTCTGCGATAGTATCTACGATTCCCACCGATTCCAATAATAGCGGGAAACCTGTGCCAAGACCTCACGGCGAAATCCTGATGAGTTATCTCGATCCTAGACAAGGCATTGGCATGATCCTTGGTGTTCTCTTTACGGTCTATGCTGGCAATACTACTGTTTGGCTAGAGTCCCTAGCGGTTGAAACTCCCGGCCTTTATGCTAGTTTGATCACCAAGTACAGAGCTGCTCTGCTGGCTGCAGATTACCCGGGCCTTAAGAGGGCCGTGTACAATTACCAGCAAGATCCGATGGCGACAAGAAATTTCAAGAAGAATTCAGAGCCAAACTTCTCAAGCTTGAAGTTGTGTCTTATAGATACTTTAACTGTCGACTGCGAATTCCATGAAATCCTCGCTGACAGATGGTTAAGGCCCTTGCGGAATCCGCGGGCTCGCGAACTAGTTACGCCCATGCTGTGCCTTCCAGAGCACGGTGGCATGGTTATCAGTTTACGTGACTGGCTTGGAGGCGAGGAGCGTATGGGGTGCCCTTTGAAACATGAAGTACTGCCACCGGAAAAGCAGAAAGACAAGTCCGAAGGTGAGAAAAAAGAAGAAGAGAAGGGCGGAGAGCCAAAGGCGACGTTCGGGAGCAGCTTGATTGGTGGTTCTGCGGCACCGGTACGAAAAGAAGGCCCCCGGAACGACCTTGGTGAGGTACTACTTGACAAAGAAGCCTTGAAAAACAACGAAATTGTGATATTAGCAATTGGTGAGGAGGCAAGAAGGCTGGCTGACACAACACCAAATGCTGTCAGGATTGGTGCATTTGGGTATCCCATTCCAGATGCAACCTTAGCGATCGTTGATCCAGAGACTGGGTTGCTGTGCACGCCTAATGTGGTTGGTGAGATATGGGTTGATTCACCTTCATTGTCAGGAGGATTCTGGGCCCTTCCTAAACAAACGGAGTCCATCTTCCATGCCCGTCCCTACCGATTTCAGGGAGGGGGTCCCACGCCTGTAATCGTGGAGCCTGAATTCTTGCGAACAGGGCTTCTTGGCTGTGTTATTGAGGGTCAAATATTCGTGCTTGGTCTCTACGAAGATCGCTTGCGCCAAAAAGTTGAATGGGGTGAGCATGGCGTAGAAGTTGCGGAGCACCGATATTTCTTCGTGCAACATCTGATTCTCAGTATTATGAAGAACGTGCCCAAAATTCACGACTGCTCTGCCTTTGACGTCTTCGTCAACGAGGAGCACCTGCCAGTCGTTGTCTTGGAGTCGTATACTGCCTCAACAGCACCAGTAGCTTCAGGGCAATCCCCACGACAGCTGGACGTTCCTCTTTTGGACTCCTTGGCTGAGAAATGCATGGGAGTGCTATACCAAGAACATCACCTTCGCGTTTATTGTGTCATGATCACTGCCCCGAATACCTTGCCTAGAGTTCTTAAAAATGGGCGCCAAGAGATTGGCAACATGCTATGTCGAAAAGAATTTGATAATGGGTCGCTGCCATGCGAGCACGTTAAATTCAGCGTTGAGCGGTCGGTTCTGAATCTTCCAATTGGCGTGGATCCCGTTGGAGGAATTTGGTCTGTTCCATCTTCAGCTGCTAGGCAGGATGCCCTCGCCATGCAGGAAAAGCAATATTCAGGAGTTGATTTGCGCGACGTTATTATGGATGATCGCACCTCTACGCCATTGAATAATTTTAACAGTATCGTTGATTTACTTCAGTGGCGTGTTTCTCGCCAGGGCGAGGAACTTTGTTATTGCTCTATCGACGGTCGTGGCAGAGAAGGCAAGGGTATCACATGGAAGAAATTCGATTCTAAAGTTGCAGCTGTGGCTGCGTATTTGAAAAATAAAGTGAAACTCCGCCCCGGCGACCATGTTATTCTCATGTATACGCACTCGGAAGAGTACGTATTCGCCGTACATGCTTGCTTCTGCCTGGGTTTGGTAGCCATTCCCATTTCCCCAGTTGACCAGAACCGACTATCCGAAGATGCGCCGGCTTTACTCCATGTCATTGTCGATTTCCGTGTAAAAGCCATACTTGTCAACGGCGAAGTCAATGACTTACTGAAACAGAAAATCGTATCTCAGCATATCAAGCAGTCTGCTCATGTTGTCCGCACGAGCGTTCCAAGTGTATACAATACGTCGAAGCCCCCAAAGCAATCGCACGGTTGCCGCCATCTAGGATTTACTATGAATCCCCAATGGTTGAATTCTAAGCAGCCAGCAGTGATTTGGACGTACTGGACTCCGGATCAACGAAGACTGTCTGTCGAGATCGGGCATGATACAATCATGGGAATGTGCAAGGTCCAAAAGGAAACCTGCCAAATGTCTAGTTCACGGCCAGTTTTGGGAAGTGTGCGCAGTGCTGTAGGCCTTGGGTTTCTACACACCTGCTTGATGGGGCCCTACGTCGGTATGTTTTCGGCCTGTGGTTTTGAAAGTGTCCTGGATTAAGCTTACATATTTCCAGGCGCACCCACTTACCTTGTTTCGCCCATTGATTTTGCTGCGAACCCAATTTCTTTGTTCCTGACCCTAGCGAGATATAAAATCAAGGATACCTACGCAACTAGCCAAATGTTGGACTACGCAATGGGGAGCATGGCTGCAAAGGGCTTTCAATTGCATGAATTGAAAAATCTCATGATTTCCGCGGAAGGACGACCTAGAATCGACGTTTGTATGTTTTGAGGTATTGATCACGTCGGGAAATTTGACAAGCTAATTATTCTGTTAGACCAAAAAGTGCGCTTACATTTCGCTGCCGCTGGGCTCGATCGTACCGCTATCAATACTATTTACTCTCATGTCCTGAATCCTATGATTGCCTCCCGATCATACATGTGCATTGAACCGATCGAACTGTGGCTTGATACAAAATATCTTAGACAGGGCTACGTTTATCCGGTGGATCCGGATACTCCTGGACATACGCTTTTAGTTCAAGACTCAGGGATGGTTCCTGTGAGCACGCAAATAGCCATAGTGAATCCAGAGACTTGTTGCCTTTCTCATGTTGGCGAATATGGCGAAATATGGGTTCAATCCGATGCCTGTGCCAGGTCCTTCTATGGCTCTAAGCAGGAATTCGACCTAGAGAGGTTCAATGGACGAACTGTGGATGGCGATCCAGGTGCCATATATGTTCGTACTGGTGATTTAGGTTTCTTACATACAGTGACGAGGCCGATTGGACCTGGTGGGCAACCAGTCGAAATGCAGGTTCTGTTTGTCTTGGGTAGCATCGGTGAAACCTTTGAAGTCAATGGTCTCAACCATTTCCCTATGGACATTGAGAACACAATTGAGAAGTCACATCGAAATATAGTTAGGGGAGGAAGGTCAGTGAATCCATCCATTGCTCAATTTTCTAATCTCTTTTGCTGACGTCTGACAAACAGCGCCGTATTCCAAGCTGGTGGGCTAGTTGTTGCTCTTGTTGAAGTTACCCGAAAAGCCTATCTTGCATCCATTGTACCTGTGATTGTGAATGCAGTTCTTACTGAGCATCAGGTCGTCACTGACATTGTCGCCTTCGTTCCTCGTGGTGACTTCCCTCGTTCACGCCTGGGTGAGAAGCAACGCGGCAAGATTCTTGGATTGTGGGTTACTCGGAAGATCCGGACGATTGCACAATTTAGCATCAGGGATGCGGATGGAGTGATGACCCATGTCGCAGAGGCCCATGCAAGGGCGTCAAAAACCGGAAGTATTATTGAAGGAAGTGGTCGCCTACCTTCTACGCTCCTGGAAGCAGAGGAACATGGAGGACCTCAGCCGCAGGCTCCGTCGAGGCGCGGCAAGGGATATACAGATGAACCTGTTGAGCATTATCCCCGTACCCCTGAAGGTATTATATCGGATCACCATGCCCTCGGAGATCCAACATTTAGAAATGCAGATGACACTGAGCAGTACCATCAGTCTTTTAAGCACGATAATCGCAGCTCTTCTGGCAATTTCTATGACCAAAACCAGGATGAACGACACGATTTCTTGGTAGAGTCTCCTATGGCCGCTGAAAACGGATCCGCTCCCTTCAATGCCAGCGCTTTCGGCTCTCAAGGCTCAAACTTTGCTCCTGAGAATCACCCTCTCCAGGGCGAATGTAACCCATCTGGTCCCATAGGTCTAGTCCCCATGAAACCTCTCTCACGGCAGGATACTCCTCCGTCTCATCGATCTAGTTCTCGCTCCTCTCCAGCTCCACAGACCGTCCCCCGGATCCGGACTCCCGTAATGACACTTGGAAAAGATTCTTTACCCAGTCAACAACTAAGATACAGCATGATTGGAGGCTCCTACAACCAACCCCCTCCCCAGCAAGCTCAGACTCAAGGCCAGAATCCGTATGGCGGCTACGGTGATGAGCACGAGCAGGATTGGCCACAGGAGGCGATCCTTTACCATACAAGGAATGATGCGGGATATCAATAGACACATGAGGATTGCTCGGCTTTGTCTTTTCTCTTCTTTCCCCTTTTTTTTTAATTTGTAAGGTCCTGGAATATGGCTTGCTTGGGTTCTGTCAGCTTCGGGAAAGGTTCGAATTTTCTCATCGATCAGCAGCATCCTGGCGTTGGCATGAATCACATTTCCTTGATTTGGTGACGCCGGATATCCCCCAAACAGCCACGTGCATTTATGATATAACTAGTTAATGGTTTTTTTTATAATTATAGTGCAATGTTATAGACATACCTTTTGTGTATCCATGGAGAAGTAAGATACTAGGTCAAAAGTACGCCCTGCTACATTTTTCCACCAAAATTAAAAGGTCTTCAAGCTCTAGATATCTTAGCAAAATTATATATCATTAAAGAGGCCCCAATGAACACAGAGTTATTTGAGTTATATCGTTTTTATTTTCCAATTTTGGAGAACAATTTTATGGTGACGCAGTAGAGACAAATATCAAAGCAGCCACAGTAAAATTTTGAGAAAATTACTCTGTAGCTTAACTTCTTTTTGAGCCTCGTTTGAATATATATATAAAAAAAATTTATAGTCATACATTTGATGTAATTATTTATCCATTGAGGTCAATTACAAAAACATATTACTGTACTCTGTATGGTTCTGTTGAGATATCTAAGGTGCAAGACGATTTAATTCTGGTGTAGAAGTGAGAGGTGTAGACTTTTGACATGACACTGGAGTATCTGAGGTTTGAGGCTAAAACTGACCATAAGGCGCATAGTTAATTCCCACAAAAAACTCCTTTCGATGTAGATAAGGTAGCTTTTTGGTTCACTGGTTGTTTGGCATCAATTAATACCCTTTGTGGCACAGATACCACAGTGCTTCATACAGCCGGGCGCAAGATCAAACACAAGACTACAACTTAGGTTGCACAGTCAAAAGTACTTTGTGGCACACCTTGCTGCTCAGGCATGTCATCCAAAAGATTTTTTGTCGCCTCAGATCTTATTTGCCGCTGCTTCCAGGGCATCTATGTCCACCTTTTGCTGCTTGGCTGTGTTGACTACCCCAGTGAGGGTGTTCGGAATTGTACCATTAAGCTGCTCCAATGCCTGAATTTCAGCCTGAGTAAGAGATTTTCTGACTGGATGGAAAGGAGTTGGTGCACGGGATGAAAGAAACTACGAGTGACACGAAGTATTAGTATTTGTGGAATGGCTATGCATTTAGGGGTAACTTGTGTGGAGAACTTACTGAACTAGCAGCACTTAGGAGCGCGGTCAAACTGGCCCGTACGACATCGTGATGAATACCAACACCCCAAACCCTCTGGTTGGATCCAGCTGCGACACACTCAATGAAAGTGGCAGCTTTGGTGTCACGATCGCTTCCCATAGCATGTTCCTTGTATTCCACAACATCAAGGTCAATGCCCAGAGATTTAAGGGCGTTTGTCAGGGATGAGATAGCACCGTTACCAACACCAACGATTCCGTGCTGGGTACCGTCAATTTCAACAATACCTGTAAATTTTCTCTTGAGATGTTCGGTGCTGACGGCCTTTCCTGGCTCGGGAGGAGTAGGGGTCTGGGATCGATCCGTCGTAATATTGTAATCAATCAGTGAGAAGCGGGGATTCTTCTTGAGATGGTAGGCTTCTTCGAAAAGAGCAACGATTTCAGTTGGCTTAAGCTCACGGCCCAGTCTATCCGCATCCTTCTGGACAACTTTGCTAAATGCGATCTGCAATCCTCTGGGCAAATCCAGCTCGAGCATGCGCAGGATGATCCATGCAACACCGCCCTTGCCACTTTGAGAGTTGACGCGGATGATGGCTTCGTAGTTTCGTCCAATATCCTCTGGGTCGAGAGGGAGGTAGGGCATCTGCCAGCGATCATCTGGCTTGCCTGCCTCTCTCTCCTTGAAGCCTTTCTTGATAGCATCTTGGTGGCTGCCGCTGAAGGCGCAAACCACAAGCTGACCACCGTAAGGCCATCTCTCGTTCACTGGGATCTTATTACTTTCCTCTACCACTTTGATGACTGAGTTGATATCGGAGAAATCAACATTCGGGTGGATACCCTGTGTGTAAAGATTTAGAGCAAGAGTAACCAAGTCCACGTTGCCTGTTCTTTCGCCGTTACCGAAAAGAGTGCCCTCAACTCGATCAGCGCCAGCCATCTGGGCCAGTTCCGCAGCTGCGACGGCACAACCGCGGTCATTATGAGGATGCAGAGAAACGCAAACTTTCTCTCTTTCAGAGATATGTGTGCAGAAATACTCAATCTGGTCTGCGTAGACATTTGGAGTTGACATTTCGACGGTGGCAGGAAGGTTGAAAATGATTTGTTCTTCCACTGTCGGCTCCCAGGCAGCCTTAACAGCTTCGCAAATCTCGATCACGAACTCTGGATCAGTGTCGGAGAACGTTTCAGGGGAGAACTCGAACCGCCATTCCGTTCCTGCCGTTGACGGGTCGTCTTTCGTTATCGAGCGTGCGTATTTTGTGCATTTGACAGCTAGCTCCACACTCTGTTGCTTGGTCATGCCAAACACTATCCTCCGGAAGCATTCGCTTGTGGCAAGATACAGATGGAGAATCGCCTTTTTAGCTCCCTTCAGAGAGTCCACGGTCCGGCGGATGAAGTCCTCGCGACAGGGGCAGAGAACTTGGAGCCAGACGTCATCCGGAACCTCGTTAGGAGTTTCAATCAGACGTCGAGTGAAGTCAAAATCGGTTTCGGACGCCGACGGAAAGGAGATCTCAATCTCTTTGTATCCAATGTCGACGAGCATTTTGAAGTATTTGTGTTTTTGGTCGCCGTCCTAGAAGCAAGGAGCGTGAGTCATAGGGAGGGGAAAAAAAAGAAGGCATTTTACGGCTACGCAGGAGCAATTGAATGCGGTTCTCAGAGGCAGAAGACATACCATTGGATCTACCAAGCTCTGGTTTCCGTCTCTGAGATCGGTGGCCAGCCATCTTGGTGGTTTATCAAGTGTCTTGTTTGGCCATGTGCGGTTTGGAAGCTGGATGGGCTTGAACTTTTTGTACTTCTTGGAGGGGTCTTTGAGCCTGCATAATCCCGGGACGTTAACTTTTGTCCAATAAATCCTTTGTCTAATAGATTCTCCAAGGAATGACTACATTACATACATAGGCATCTTGGTTGAAATTCAAAGTGTTGGAAGCAAAACTTGCGGTTGGAGCCAAAGTTGTATTGTTATGGCTTGCAGGGATCCTTATCGGCTGGAGTTATCTCGTAGCAAGGAATCAGCTAGTTATTTAGCTCGCAAAGTCTCGGGAGTCGGGGGATGGGGGAGCTGAGCCAATAGTGGCAGAAGACGGAGGAGCAACAATGGGATGGGAGGGAGGATACACCCAACTGCTGCCACCAACCTGGCGGGATAAGACAGCAACAACAATCCTTGATAATTAATGGGAATTTTGAATTGGAGAACAAAAGTCGTGAAAATTCTCGGAGAAGAGGGCTGTTTTGCTGCGTCTGCGCGCCCTGTGACTCAGCTGTGGCAAGCTTCAGGTCCAGTTTTTTAGAGTTCCGCCCAAACTTTAGGGAGAATAGATTTTCCGGGTAAAGTTAGGCCGACATCGGTGGCGAATGGCAAAGTGGTGAGATTCCAGGGCTTGTCTGGCGTGGATTGGTGAGAAAATATATAGTGTGCAAAGGGGACAATGCCAATGGCACTCCCAGGATATCACAAATACACATTGCTCACAGCACGGCTCACAGCTCACACCGGGCTGGTGTGACCAGCAGCAACTATGTGCCGTATGTATGTACGTACATATGCAACACGCAATTCCCTCAACTCACAGGAAGCAATAAGGGTCACAGCATAGTGACACTGCAGAACGGGATGCAGAGACTGTTGGCTGCATCTCTGTCCTCTTATCTAGCTGCTTTTTTAGCTTTAACCTTGTCCTTCTTTGCTTTTCCTTTCCCCTGACTCCGCATGTCACCCTTGCTCTCTCGCTCCTTTTTGCCCTTTTTCCAGATCTTCCCCTCTTCTCGTAACCGATTGTCGTCGAGTTTCTTCTTCTCCTTGCCGCTTAGCTTCCGCTTTTCTTTCTTGATAACCGAATCCGGACCGTTGAGTTCGCTCAGAGCCCGCTTTTTGGCTTCTCTCTTCTCGCGCTCTGTCTCGAACCATGTCCGTTTTGGACGCGCCATAATTTCGCTCCCGTGCTTGATCAGATTTTGCCCCCGCTTGACCTGCATTTCTGCCTGCGCAAGCTGCTTCTCCTCTTTCTCTTCCTTCAGGATATCTTCGATTTCGGCTTGCATCTCCTCCACTTTGCTTGCCCATTCGTCGGCAACGGCAGGGTCTACCACGCGGCTCACTATTTTTGCGCCTTGCGCGCGTCCAGCCTTGACAGCGGCCTTGACAACTTTGCGGTCCGGCTCTGCTGCGATCGTGCATGCCCGGCCACTGCGCCCGGCACGGGCAGTACGGCCAACTCTATGAAGGTAGATTTCATGGGACTGAGGTGCTTCATAGTTGATCACAGATTCGACGCCTTTGATATCCAGACCTCTGGAGGCAAGGTCCGTAGCTAAAAGAAACGGTACTTTACCGTCCCGAAAAGCTTCTACCGCGTTAATTCGCTAGAACACGATGTTAGCGCATAGAAGTCTAGCAGTGTTTGAAAAAAAAGAAAAAGTTGTTTGGAATAAAATCGACCTACCTGTTCTTGACTCATACTTCCATGTAATTCAGCCGCTTTCAGCCCTAAAAGGCCAAATATGATTCGAGCCCGATGAGCTTCTTTTTTCTGACGGAAAAATACGATAACACGGTTGGTGTAGATGGTGTTGCAAAGTAGGACAAGGTATCCCATTCTCTTGCCCTCCCTTCCTGGTCGTAGCCTCACAAATTCCTGGACCAGAGTGCCTACGGTGTGCTTCTTCGAATCAACCATTAACCTTACCGGTCGGTTGAGGCCAACACGAATCAACTTGTCAACTGAATCCGTCATCGTTGCAGAAAACAACATTGTTTGCCGGGACTTTGGGATGGTGTTCAGGATCTCGTTCAATTCATCGGCAAACCCATCTTCAAGCATACGATCTGCTTCGTCGAGAACCAAAATTTCGAGGGTATCAACAGTAAAGCTCGCAGAATTTCTCATGTGATCAATAAATCGACCGGGAGTCGCAATGATGACGTCGGGCCGCTGCTTCAGAACGTTTTCTTGCTCTCGTAAACTGAAACCACCTACAAGCTGACAGAATGTGATATCGGTGTAAGTGGCCAGCTTTGTTGCGACGTTGTAGCACTGCACAGCGAGTTCTCTAGTAGGCATCAGAATAGCAACACGGCTGGTTGGAACTTTCCGAGGCCGGTAGAGCAGCCGTTCCAGGATAGGAATTATAAAAGCAGCAGTCTTTCCGGAACCGGTCACTGCACCGCCGACAAGATCTTTACCAAGTAGGCCAACGGGAATCGCCTTTCGCTGGATCGGAGTGGGAGCAGAAAACCCAACGGCAGCCAGGCCACGAAGGATCGGTCGAGATAGATTAAAATTCTGAAACGTAGAATTCGAGGATGTTTCTTCGGATTTGGTTGGATTTTCCTCCGGCGCGAAGAAAGCATTTCTTTTCGCAACCTCTTCAGGGTCTTCCTCCTCGCTATCTGAACTTTCATCGGACCGAAGGTCGTCCGGGTGGGCAACCGGTGACGCTACAGAGTCTGAATCAGAGGCGTCTTCTTCATCGGCTCCATTAGCATCGGGCATCGACTCGTCGTCTGATCCTTTGTCTGCATTCGCTTTGCCCTGTTCATCCGATTCGCCTTCAGCACCCATCCCAAAAGCATCTGGCGCCAGAAGCTCGTCGTCGTCAAAGTTCGGCATCTCGTTATCTTCATTTTCATCCTCGTTGTGACCATCATCATCACTTAGTCCCTCAAAGGAATCATCCACATTTGACTTTGCAGCTTCCCTTGTCTTCTTCTCCTGGCTCTCCAGCTTCTTCTGCCTTCTTCTGCACAAAATCTCATCTAGATCAACTCCTTTCTTAGCCTCGCCCATATTTCCCTGCTTATCTCGGTCCTCTGCGCCCCAGCCATCGAATTCTTCGACAAGTCCAATATTCGTGGCCCCGCCGATATCGAATTCAAAGTCGGAATCCAAGAGGCCTTCTTCCCCTTCTTCGTCTTCTTCTTCTTCTTCATCCTCTCCACTTCCATTGCTGTCATTCTCTGCATCCCACCCATTGGCAATAGCCCTTTTCCCTTTCAATCCCTTCTGTTGCCCTTGTTCTTGCTGCTTCAATTTCTTATTCTGGTGACCAGTGGTAGATTCTTCGTTCCTTCGTTTCTTCGACGATGGTTCCACCCTAGACTTGAGTGTTTTGGTGTTTTTCGATTTATTTATACTCGGGGCCACATCATCGTCTTCTTCGTCGAAGTCCCCGCCGTTAATGTAGGGCGTCTCTTCATCGGATAAGGTGAAAATAAACTCCTCGTCGCGAGCTTTTCTTTTGCCCGCCATTCGCGCGAACTGGGATCAATCCTCCCAGAATTTGCAGAGGTATTGAATTAATATAGATATCTAAGCTCTCGCAGGACTAATTGCAGGAGAACCTGGATTAGTTCAATGGGAGGGTTATCCTATGGAGCCTGGCGTAACCAAACTCTCTCTTATTGTCAAGCTTCGAAGATTTTCGAGATGAATCGTTTGTCGATCGGCGAAATTTGAGTTCACTACGGCAGCCTATAGCGTCCAATCCGCCAAATCTGATCACGATGGAGCCAAACCGCAACAGTTGCCAAAACAGCAGCAGGCAGGTAAATGCGAATTGTCCAAGTGTCAACCACTGAGATGCGAAGCCAGGTCCCCGCGACTGGCCACTGCTCTGAGTCTGGCCTGAGCCTTAGCCAGCACTTGAAGTGAGCTGAGTAGCACACTGCCATATGCCTTATTTTTGTTGTGGGCAACAACCAGGCGACGACACCACCCGTCAGTCGGAGGAGAAACAGTGGCTGGAATGCCTTAGTTTTCCACGCCCCAAATTTAAGACTCACCATCAAGTCTTTTGTGAACGGACGCGTAATTGGTTGTCATAGGCAGAAACCCGCGTCAAGGGTTTGTGGATGATGTTAAAGATGACTTGATTTGCTCCAATGATCTAGTTTCTCGGCCCGCCCGCAAGATGAACATTTACCAGGCGGTTAAAGCTCCGCAGCTGCCTGCAAAGAGCGTCCCGCGTTCATGCCCCCAGGTTTCGTCCATTAATACTCCGTACAGGGAGTAAGATGCGAGGCTAACTCTCCTTTCTCCATGGAGACGGAAAGTTCCCTGTGAACGCTCGTGCAGGTAATGCAAGCGTTGGGCAACCGAAATCATCCCCTCGCATCGCGCTAGTTGCGTAAAATCACATCACCTCGCCACGGGCGTACATCAGCTGCTAGCCCCACTGCTTCGGCGTCCCCAGAGATGAGTTGCACTCTGGAGAAACTTGTGAGGCTTGCAACAGCCTGCAAGTTAGGGAACCCACCAATTTACCAATAGTTAGGAGAAGCAGCTGGTACAGTGTGCCCTGCTTCTGCTGTTGAATTTTGCATTGCTGCTGGGGCTGTTTGCAGGCAAGAAATCCGTACCCTCATTGATTAGCTGCTAGAGCCTACAGTCCAGCAGAAATGCATTACATGAGCAAGAGCAGTCTAAAATCTTGTGTTCGGATCCCAACACCAGCATGCCAATCAAATTTAGCCATGCAGTACACAATATCTGATGCCGCATATGTTGGAAGGTGCCTGCATGGATCACGGTGTGCCTAGCCGCCCATCTGGATTGGCAAGGAGCGGAGCAAGGTTTTGCCTTGAGAATGGTACCTTCTACTCATATAAATACTCTCATACTGTTCTGACAGTTTAAGAGACTATGCTCAGTGTCCAGCTCTTGACAAACGAGATTCCGATTTTCTACTGGCCTTGCTTATACTGATTTTCCATCCCCAGACCTTTACAGTAAGAAATAACCTTTTGATTAGAGTACAAATGTCAATCTAATGGCTTTGAATGTGCTACAGGTATGAGCAATGAAAAGCGCCTATTTATCTCCATTCATCACTGAGATGAAATATCTTTTCAAGAAGGCTTCCGCGGCACGTTCCGTGCATACCACTGGGGAGATTTGTTAGCACCCAAAAAGTCCAGCAGCCGCGACAACATGGTATATGACATTTCAGACAGCCTTCAGTTGGATAGCAAAACAGGACAAGACCTCAACCCTGAGAGAGATTGGTACTTCAGGCTGAAAAACAATGTGGATCCATTGGGCAGTGGGCAGCTAATTGGTTGGGTCATGATTGGAAAAGTTTCTCCACAAACAACAGACAATGACCTTGAAAATCTCTTCAGCGGTATTGCTCTGCCGGATAAGGAATCAGGAGAAAGGTGTCACCATTGGGTTTGGAGAGCTGTATCGGCTCTGCAAAATGAGTCCGTGATACCAAAATTTGATATCAAAAAGTTCAAAGATTGGCTATTGGATTATGCCAATCAGTGGCTGGCCAAGCCTGATCCACGCACTGTTCATGATTATAGATAATCAAGAATAGCTCCACCCTGAGCGGATGCAACTACCCCTTCTTTGGGAGGATGATGTGCTCGAAGCTGAGTTAAGATAGCTGCCATAGTTATCATTGACAATGACCTTTCCATGCCAAGAATCCTGTTTCCTGCCAAGCCAGGAAGATGATTTGATTGTTTTTTGTTTTAAAGCTGCCTTTGGCGGGCGACATAACCACAAGCTGGACTGAGCCTAGTTAACTAACTAACTAAGGGGAAATCCAACTTTTGAAAGTGCATTCATCAAACTTACAGCATAAAACACACAGAACACTTCGCGCCAAACAGCACTGCAGTCACTTTTACCACTGTCTTATTCCCTTTATAACAAAATGCTCTCCCTATTCAATCGATGGCTTGCACTGCGACCAGCCTCTCTAAACCGCACGTTATATACCCGACCAGCGAAATTTATCGAATTAAGCCCACGAGGAAGTCTCATTGAAAGTAAGGTTGACATCACCATGGGGGATCCGCATGAAGCATTCATCTTGTTGCCAAAGGACGTGGGTCATGCTTTCCGAGGAGCAATTTCAAGGGACGGTTCCTTGTTAGTGAGAGATGAAGATGTTTGCCCATTAATTTTTCACCATGAAACCCGACATTTTGCCAACGGTATGTTATCTACAAGGTTCCTTAGCATACAAGGAGACTAATTAAACCCACTATTTCACACAGAATCTTCCCCTTATCCTCAACTCAAAATACCTCAAGATCTCCCTTGTCAATCCAATACAACCGCGAGCCCTGCTACACTTTATCTCCTTCCCGCTACTCATACAATCGCACTAGATGGAACACGGGATGGTAGGATTCTCTGCACATACATTGTCGGCCCAGCAACTGACTATTTACTAGCACAATACACGCGAGACCTGCTGAATTCCACACGCAAATTCAAGGATGACCTTGATAAACTAAAGGACAAATAAACATGAAATCTGGAAATCTGAAGGTTGCAATACAGAAAGAGGCGTGCTCTAATGTCCTTCTACCGGAGCCGACTTCTGCACTGATAGGTATCGCTGTCAGCCCAGGACAATGCAAAGACTAAAGGCAGCAGTTACAGTACAAACCTTCAAGTGTTATCATGCCCAATTGCCTCATTCCGAAAAGTAAGGATTTCTTCATCCACTTCCTGAACAGGCTTCGCAATCTGTTCATACAGCTTGCCTAGTTCTTCAGCTGCCCAGCGATTTGTTGTGAACTGCGACATGGGCCTCTGCAAGAGATTGATTAACACTGTCGGTGGCTGGATATGGTATCCTTCACGTGTGTGGGAATTTTGGATTGGGGAACTGGAAGAAGAGCAGGAATTGGGATCAAAGAGGGACTGTGTGCGCGAGAAAATCAGATCTTGAGGTGCCTGTAATTTCAGATCAGTTGACCTCTTTATAGGCGCCCACTTCGGTACCCCGCCGGAGAAGTGACGGGGAGATTTCCTCCGTTCCTTGAGCCTTGCTTGTGGAAGCTGACGTGGCCATCCCCATTGGAAATGACCCCTAGGGACCGATTCCCAATGCCTAGTGCCAATAATGTTCGATTATCGCAAGTTCCAAGGCTCACATGTCCTACTTGCACACCTGACAGTGCCCCTCTTGGCCTAGCCTGCAGACACATACTGCAGCAAAAGGGATTCAGCAATTTTGCCATTGGTCAGGGAACAAAAGCAAGGCCATGGAAATCAGCACTAGTGGGCCAGGTTGATGCTGAACAGAAGATGTAGCCTGGGCTACCCACCCTAGCTGATACAGTGGTTTCATGCGGGAAGAGGAAAATCCCCTTGACTGAGGCTCACACAGCAAACAGTGGACTGGCTCTGATGGACTGGCTCTTAGGAAATTGAGGAAAGTGAAGGAAATCAAGAGAGAGATCAAGAGAGCAAAGAAACCATGAAAACGGCAAAAGAAGAAAGAGAACATGCATCAGTGGCTCCAGAGTCACTAATCAGATGATGTGGTGAAAACCATCACAACATGGCTGCAGAGGCCCCCAGCTGTCTCACTCACTCAAGCAAGCAAAGTAACAATGTGAGGGGTGGTGTGGATGCCTCAGAAATCAATGAAGTGACAGAATAGTTGTCCAGATCTGTCAGATGGGTGTTCAGTGACTCTGTGGGTGCAGGGTGAAAGAGGTGAGGACTGGGTAACATGGCATGATTCTTGTAGAGAGGAGGGTGGGAAGGAGGCAGTGCACCTGGATGCAAGAGATGGAACAAGGAAGAAAAGAGGAAGAGAAAGTGCATTGTTGTTTGAGAGAGTGAGACTGGGTTTATAGATCAAGCAGCAGCATTGGGGCGGCGTGCGATGGGCACAAAAGTAGAAAATGGCCGATCGCCGGTCGGACTCGTCTTATAATGCTACCATTGAAGAAGCGAAAGTGGGCATTAAAGGCGACCCCAAAACCCTTAACCAACTTTCTTCATCAGGGAGAAGCGCCCAGCAGAAATGAATCCAAAATGCGCTGGCATCTCTTGACACTGCAGCAAGAGATCTGCAAGCTCGCGAAAATGATCAGGGGAGCAGTGAGGGTGGAGGTACCCAGCGGCACGGGGCAACAGGAGGAAGGTGACTGGTATTATTGATACATGGGCCGATCCGGGGAAGATTGTTCAAAAGCTTCGAGCAATAGCTGATCGTACTGTTCTTTGTCTTTCACTTTTTGCTGGATAAATTTGGCTGCATTGATAGTCCAGTAATCCATAGTGATCCGGAAAAATGCTGCATCATTTATATGATCTTTTGAGAATCGCGGTTGTATGTGGTCGTAAAAGATTCGAAAAAGTCCAGTCGGGCTATCAAGTGCAAGGGCGTACCAAAACGTGCCTTTGTTCCGTCCTTCCTGGAGTATGGAATGGAGTTGTCCCCCAGATTGACGAGGATGTTTTAGCATCTGTTCTGCGAAAGCTTGCATAAATTCCTTGTGAAGGCGCTCATATTCGCCAAGATTAATCCCATCGACAGATTGGTTTGTCAACCAATACGGAGGATGAATCATTTCCACTGGACGAGAACAGGCCCATTCGAGGTCAACTAGGCACGTAATATTCCACTTATCATCGACAAAAATGTTGCTTTGATGAAGATCTGTAAAGCTCATGAAAAATGGGCCTCGGCGAAGTTCAGGGCAAAAGAATATGTGTCGAACAGCTCTCATCACTGTTAGAGCAGCCATTTGGAATAAAGAGTCTTGAACATCATTAACCGCATTAGGTTGGTGACGGAGGCGGCTCTCATGGAAAGCAAGGATGTCATTGATGTAGGCGTCTACGGTGGAATACGTAAACTCGCGCGGGATATCCACAGGAATATGCTCATTTTCAAGATCCTGAATTTCAAGGGTAAGGGGCCTGTTCGTTAGTTTCAGAAGACCTTTTTCGTCCACAATGAAAGAACCAATCTTCGGCAGAGGAGTACGTGTAACAGCCAGAATGATATCAGACAGGCTTCGGAAAAGGTTCGTTCGTAATTGAGCATTGTGCCGTCCTTGGTCCCACGACTCAGACAGCATTTTGCCGCGTGACGTATCAATGTATTCAATCAGGAGATATCCGACTCCTAATGACTCTCTCAACTTGCTCTTGTGAGCGACATATTTGGATGGGACTGGGTACCCAAGGAATTTTAAAAAGTGGTGGCGGAAGAATTCCACGAAACGAGTCAAGAAAGGAAGGTTGTTGAGAGCAGTAAACTAATTATTAGCGAAAGCCGGCCACAAAAAGGTGGCGCACCTACCTTCTGTCCATTTGATAACCCGTATCCATGCAGTCGCGGGGTATGGACTTCAGGGCAGTTGTGCTGGAGCCAGATATAGGTGCCAACTTCACAAAGGATTTTCTCATCAGCGTTCCCTGGGTTGACATTCTCTCCCACCCTGTGTGGCAGTGGAAGACGGAGAAGAAAACTGGGATCCTGTTTGTTATCAACATAGATTGGGATGCAAACATTAAAGGTTCCGGAGAGCCACTCCTTTGGATCCGCAACGTGGCAGCCTGTGGAAACCAAGTTGAGATGGTGTGCCACCACAGCTTCAATGACATGGCTCTTCCAGGGTAAATCTTCAAAATATTTATTCTGCTGGTCCAAAAAGCCCAACGAATGCAAGACATTAGTTTCGAGTTCTTTTGCAGCAGAATACGTAATTTCGCCCATGGAGCAGACGACGGTTTAACTTTGTGGATGGCAACATCGAGCAGTGATCTGGATGCAACCGCTAGCGAAGATGATTTAAATTTGAAAAAAGTTGATGGATCTTGGTCTGATTTCGAGAGCAGTTCTCCCTTTATAAACCCAGTTTTGGAACTCCGATCCCCTTTTCGCAGTTGCGCCAAGGCTATTGACATCACGTGCCGCGAAGCAGGACGGAAAGAGCTGACCGGATCTCATTGGTATGTGACGGCGCATCCCGAGGCCTCTTGTCCGTGTGGCTATGGCAGGACAGGATGATCAAATACGGCGGAAATAAACCACGTGAAATCATAATCCGCATAAATTTGTAGAGTAAAAAGGGTGGTGTCCCTATCAATTCCTTTTCGTCCATGTATTCAACGGGGCGCCTTTCTCTCCAGCTTTTCACGTTCCAGAGTGCCCCCGCCCCCGACAATGTGCTAGGCGCCGTCTATTACGCAGTCTTATTTTGCGGCACAGCTTGCCTGAGTCGGCGCCCTGGGCACTTCGCTGCCAGAAACGGATTCCTTCCTAGGACTTTTAGGCCAATGACCGGTCTCTTAGATTGCTATAAACCATTGAACTCTGGACTTCATATACTTATCGCTGATGTTGAAATCGAAGCGGAGTCGGACCAGGCAGACATATTGGTGGCAAGATTTGAAGGCGAGGACGGGCGCGGCAAAGCGCATGATCGATTCGGTCTGAAGCGTTTGTAGGAGATCCGCATAGGGTTCTAGGTCGAGGACTGGATTAAGCTTGGGGTATGAGCACCTGGAGAGTCGGATGAACGAGAACAGAGCGCTGGGGTGGGAAGCGTAAATGTTGATGACCTGGGCGGTAAGATTGAGTGCGTAGGCTCTGTGAGGTAGCACCAGGCAGGCTAGGCCTTGCGCCCCCGACCAGCACGGTGGGAGAACCGCCAACTGGCGTCTATGTTGCGTGCAAGATGCGAGCCTGGGACTGGGAGCCACAACGGCTCTCCGTCGATTCCGGCTATTTAGCTAAGGCTTTTGAGTTCCGATGGATTCAGAGCCTCTGTCTCCCGTGTGTTTCACCCTTCAAGGCCGCCTGCAATAGATCTGATCGCCTCTTCATCTCTGCTGAGCCCCGCCCCACATGCGTGAAGATCGGGTTGCTTCTACCCTCGATGGCGGCCTCGAAACACCGCGGGGGAGCATTTATGCTTGGTATTTGAACCGTTAAGGGAACCGCTCTGGCTTTTGGGGAAACACCTTGGAAGCAATGGTGTGCCTCCCGCCGTCTTAAAGCCATTTTTAAAATTATTGCTTCAGGGCCTTGATTTTCTCCATTCCGAGTGCCATATTATACATACAGGTAGGTCCCTTCTAAGTTGTTCCCTACCTATCATCCTCTCTAATAATAGCGAAGATCTCAAGGCAGATAACTTTCTCTTGGGATTCGAAGACTCTGGGGTTCTTGAGAGTTATGCTCGCCAACAAGAAAGCAATCCTGCTCCGTTTTGGGACGACGGTGGTCGTCCTGTATTTCAGTCTCGTCCGGATTTCGGGCATCTGAGGAAAGGGGTAGGACTGGTTCAGATCAGCGACTTTAGTGCTGCTGTTTTCGGCAACGTTCCTAAGCCTCATAACCATGATATTCAACCTCAGCCCTTTCGTGCGCCAGAGGTTCTTTTAAAGGCGACATGGACATATAGTGCAGATATATGGAACTTGGGCACCATGGTATGTATGGCCCTGAGGAAGATGCTTGCACGGGTCACTGACATCTCGTTCCCGTAAAGCTATGGGAGCTTCTTGCAGATCGTGTTCTTTTTGATGGGCTGGACTCCGGGAGCAGCACGTATTCGCGAGTAAAACACATAGCCCAAATAATACGGCTGCTTGGTCCGCCTCCACTGCAGTTACTGGAAAGGGCAGACCAAGGCATTTGCTCCGAGCTCTTCTCCAGCCACGGTATGGATATCTCCCACTTCTATGTCTCGGGCGATAACTAAGTGTTCATTAGGAGAGTTCAAATTGCCAGATTTAATCCCATCTGAGGAATATAATCTTTCAAACCTTACACCATTTGTCCACGGGGAAGACAAAGGACTTTTCCTTGAATTTGTGGGCAAAATGCTGCGCTGGATGCCAGAAGATCGGGCAACGGCTAGAGAGCTGTACAATGACCCCTGGTTGAACTTCAAGCCTTAATTTGGGCGATGTGAACCAGCTTGATTTGCTTTTTCTTCTTGTATTCAATTTTCTCCATGGAATGACAATATGCCCCGGGCAAATGCCTTGTTTCCATGTTGTAGAGTGCGGTTTCAGTAGGGGGAAGAGGTATGCAAATGGGAGCTTGACAGACAAGAGCCAGGGAAATTGCAGCCGCGAAGCAACAAAGACGGGACAGGATCTATAGTACATAATAAAAATAAGCATCTTTCAATTTTTCAGGCGGTTTCCCAGGAGTACTGTACTTGGCTTTATGGCTGGCTGTTGGAACCATAACTTGGGTATTTCTTAACGTTCATCCCTCAATTGAACTTAGGCTGCTTTTCCCCAATCCTCTATCAAAGAAGTCTTCATATTGGGCAAGCTCACGTTTCAGAATTAACCGAGGAAACCGGATTAGTTTTCTTTGATCGTCCTCTTGGCGTCACACTTCTGCAAACGCAACAAACATTTTAATGGTGCTGAGGTTATCTCCAGACGCAACAAGAAAGTCAGCACTAAAGTGTCCTTACGTCAAAGTGCTTTACCAGAGAAGTGAATTCCTCGTTATTCCTGTCGGTCATAGTGGACAAGTACCCTTAAAGTTTAGAACTCACTTTTACATGCGCACAGCCAAGCCTGAGGCTGCTATCTCAAATGTCGGCTTTGTTTGAGAAGTGTGCTTACAATGGCCACGAAACACCCGGCTTCCTCTTCTGTTCAGACAAGTGTCGCCTTGCCGCTTCGCCAGCTTGGTGGCACTGAGGCGGAACTGTGACAGAGTGCGACATTTTCATTGGGTCAAAGTCCCATCGACCGTCTTGGATCCTCTTTTCAACGCGTGTGGGTAATGATTGTACCGCGCCCAATGAGCATGGCCTGCGCCCAGAGGGACGGTGCAATGGCGGCCGTTTCCGGCGCCCCGCTAACCGTCACAACTTATACTGAAATAGAATTGATATAACTTTCTGTAAAGAATTATCTGTCTGAAATATATTGCGCAGTGTACATCTGCCATACATGATAAGTAGTCTGGGCTATATAAGTATGGAGTGCTCCGTACTCCGTATGGAGTAGTTGAAATAAAACTTTTTGATGTGGCAGTTTCAATTACTAGTGAAAAACGAATTTTGGCGGGTTAGATGCTATGGGCTGCCGTACTCACCGCCCATTTAGATTTGGCTCGCCAAAATCGTCGAAACGATCTCTGGCCACAACTCCTCGAAGACAGGCATTCTGCGAAAAATACGTATTATTGCGTCTTGGGCATTAGCACCCTTGAAAAAACAATCGTGAAAGAAGCACTTACTTTGATGGAAATTGCATTTCTTTTTTTTTTTTTTAAAACAATCTAGGTACATATTTCCACCAATTTTCAGTCCTCGGCAAATCGAAGCAAACTGGCGTCAAAAGTGCTAAATCCGCAGGAAACCAGAAGTTCGAGAGGGCACAACCAGCAAATACATCAAAATGTGACCACTGTGGGATTGTTTTTGGGTGGGAAAGGGGCATATCTTTTTTCTATCTGAAACAAGGGCTGAATTTCGAGTTATTTGAAACAAAATACAGGCCCAAGCTAAGGATAACAATTTAAAGAAGACAAATAAGAAAAGGCTGCTGAAATTGGCCCCCTAAAAGGCCCATAAAGATTTGGAATTTTTTGTTTGATTTCGCCGGCCTTAAAGTCGCCTGGGATTCCGAATCTCAAGCATCCTTAACGGAAGCGCCACTGGACGACTTGGTTGTCCCCCTTTGTTTCGGGCTGTAGAGGGGTATTACGGACGAGATAAGCGGAGTTCAGTCTATCGCCTTGTTAGCCGGCTTCCAAAGGAGGAAAAATGAAGATTAACTTACACTTTCCGCTGCTTAACTGCGGTTCCTTGAAGCAGTCCCTGTTCGACGAAGCCAAATTCTTGCTCCATCCATCTTCTTAACCATCGATATTCGTTTACTTCATCAGCCGAATGATGCACGACAACAACGAGCCTTGATAACGGGCGGACGTCTACACCGCAATAGAGGCTTCTTTTGGGCATGGCACAGTCGAAATTATAGCCACGTTTGGGCGTGTATTTTGGGTCACACAAGTCGATCATTTTATCCAATAGGCTTCGGCCAACACGACGATTATATTGTGTTGGATTGACGAACAATTCCAACTCGGCCGCATATCTATTTGCGGTTCGTTTGCCGGAGAATTCACTTGCCATAATGAAGCCATAAATCATCTCGTTCTCGCTATTCATGGGATATCCGCGTCCTGGCTTATGCTCTGCTGCGATAAGACAGGGGAAACCCGCAGCTTCGTTTCCGTCCACACGAATTTTCATTACATGTTCAGATATATCGTCCAACTCAATGCATCGCGTAGAATTTTTAATGTACCAGTTATACAGTTTGGTCAGACCCGGGATATCCTTTGCCTCCACCGGGCGGAGATAAACGTTGGTCTTTGGAGCAAAAGGGTGCGGTTCAGGTCTCATCTTAGCCACAGCTCTGACATGAGCAGTGTTCCGTTTCTTCTCTTCTATCTCTTTGGCCTTTTCGTGCTCAAGTCTGAGATTCCAGTTATAAACATAGCCGGCAGATGTTTCATGGGCATGAGCATTTTCCGGAATCGACATATCGAGATGGGCGGTTGGCGCTTCAAAATCCAGCTCCACAAACCCGGTTACTCCATCAGGATGGAAGTCGGCGTTGGTGAAAGGGCCAGAATGTATCTCGACGTAGGAGCCAAGTCTTATAGTGTACTCCAACCAGTCAGCGAATCTTTTGGTCCACTCATCATCATGGATATCCCAAGGACGATATTGCCAGTCGACCAAGACGGGCTGAAAATCTGAATTGTTTCGCAACTCAATGCTGGCTTCTCGGTGATCTTCGGGGACAGTGAGGGTAGACCTCGCAACTACGATACCGGTCGAACCATGGTGACCGTGGCTAGCAGACTCTGAATCCGGAAGAGCTAGATTTATGCCCTTGGGTGGCTCGAGGACAAAGCTTCTAATGCGACGAGAGATTTCAGAATCAGGGCTAGTCCCTGGTCCTTCTCGAGCAAGCTTTAACGATTTCGCACTGATTTCATCTTCCTCGGGTTCGAGTAGCCTCATACGAATCTTGTGCAATTCTCGTTCTTGGAGCCTTTGAAGCTTGGCCCTTTTTTCTTCTATGGTGAACACTTTAACAGGTGCATTTTTATTTTTCTCCGCATTTGGAACCGACTGGCCGATTGAAGGATCGCCACTTTCCTTTCCCGCGTCCCTTTGTGCCACAACTGGATTTCCTTTATCTTGCTCAACGCCCTGCTTGCGAGCATGCAATCGAGGGCCAACCATGTTATGTTCGTCTTGGCGAAAAACTATCTCGTCAGAGCCGCTTGAATCCATATCTATATTAGAAGGGCCATAATTAGAATGAGTCCCATAATGGGCTGGGGGAACAACAGGGGATATACCATCAGCAACATGATAATCCGCAGTCTCTTTCGCTTCCTGGCAGCTTGATCCACTGCGCAGGTCTTCGGGTTCAAGTTGTTCGGAGATCCTTGGTTCTATTGTTGAAACAGAAAAGCTGACCGACATGGATGGCTTAGAAGCTGGGCTGACAGCTTGGTCTTCCGGAGCCGTGTCTCTAGGCAGATCCGTCAGAATGGGATATGACTTGATGGGAATAGAGTTGGAGGTGGAAACTAACAAAGTCAGCAAGGGGTTCACTGAGATATTTGCCACAAAGATATGAGACGAATCAGAGGGATCAAAGTGAAAAAAGTGAGGTAGTATACTGAAAAGAGGGGAAACTAGAAGAAGATGAGCCACTCAAACTCACGTTTTTCAGCTCTATTGGCTGGAATGTCATTCACTTGTGATCTTGCGTTCTGTTTGTTTACTTCAATGTGATTTTTTTTGGATGTTCCTGATGAAACGCTGCTTGCTAGGGTTTCTACAGGATTCCTCGGCTTTCCGGAGTTTGGAGAAGTCATGACAGTACTTGCAGTTCCCATACTGACATTGAGCTTAGCATCTCGGCTGTCAGAGGCATGCTTTGCGGGTGTTGCTTTGAACCTGGGAGTCTCTGCTGCATGAGAAGCAGCTTCGTTTTCTGTTTTTTTGGGCATATTCCTATAGTTGGTTGCAGCTTGACTATGAAATGCCCGAAAAGCTGCCATGAGTTCCTTCCACTTTTCCGGACCCGCGTTTGAGTCCATGTTGAGTTACCGCTAGAACCATTGTTAGATATCAGACAGACAAGGCAAGACTCTGATGTCCGTGCCTGAAAACCAACAGTTAAGTTCCTCTATTGAGAGTCCAAACTGCTGTTGGTTCATAGTGCTAAGCCATGATGTTTGGTCGATACATACCGGAAGAGGAATGCAGCCCGATATCACTTGATAATCAGGTGGTTGACACAGTACTTTATCACTTGAGGTGAAGCGGATGAAGAATAATGATGAGAGATAGATTGGAAAAATCACATAGAATGAGAGGGTAAGTCGAGCGGGAGGATGTTGTGAGTAGGTATGTGAAGGGGGTGTAGAGGTGCACGTGTGTGAGCTATTATGCCGTTGCCATGAAACCAGATAGAGATAGAATGAGTCACAAAAGAAAGCAAGGAAAATGAAAAATTCCAAAAGCTTTTCTATCAAAGAGAAAAAATTTACCTCTGTGTGTTAGTCCCGAACAGTAGTTGTGTTATAGATACATGCGGAGCCAAACTGTCTCCGACGAATGGATGTTGTAGCTCGGCACTCCTGAAAAAAACATGGTGAACAACCATCTTCTACACTACACATATTACTTCTACGTGGAATAAAGGGCAGGAAGGATTGAACATAGTAGGCATGCTTTCAGTTCTGAGAAAAGCTCGACTCAAGGATAAGGAGATGCGGATTCTAATGCTGTACGGCCAGTGCTCTCCCTGGCTTCCGCTGTTGCTCTCTGCTAATCCTCGTCAGAGGACTGGACAACGCAGGCAAAACCACCATTGTGAAAAGGATTATGAATGAAGATGTCACCACCGTAAGCCCAACGCTCGGTTTTATTATTAAAACCATCGAATTTAGGGGGTAAGCGTCGGAGTTCCTTTGCTTCTTGACAAAATCGCTGACGGCTGGCTAGGTATAAGTTGAATATCTGTAAGATGAACCCACTACCAACCCCTTTTTGATGAAGGCCGCTGAAGCTCGTGTTGGCAAGGGGATGTTGGCGGCCAAAGAACTTTACGATCTTACTGGAGAAACTATTTCGAAAAGACGGACGCACTGATTTGGGTGGTTGATGCTACGGACCGATTGAGAGTTGATGATTGCCGCCAGGAGCTGGCTGGCTTGCTTTTGGAAGAGGTATGGGCAGTGAGGACATTCGGGCCTTGCAACACCTATTGTTTTAGCAACTTGTGCAAACGTAATACGGCTGACTTATGAGAAGCGACTTATGGGGGCGAGTCTTCTAGTTTTTCTAAACAAAACCGATGTTGATGGCTGTATGAATGAAGCGGATGTTCGAGAAGTAAGATTTTCCCACCCTACGCCGTGACTCCCCATACTCCAAGAAGCTGGCATTAACTATCGCAGGCATTGCAGTTAGATGCAATTAAAACGCATAAATGGACCATAATCCGATGCAGTGCTATGACGGGCCTGAACTTGAATGAGGGCCTTTCATGGGTGGTACAGGATGCGAAAGAACGTCTGTTTCTTTACTGACTCGGCGGCGTCAACCTGTTCCAACTGAGTTTCCCAGCCACGAGGCTAAGTTACGTTTCGAGAGGACGCGAACTAGAAGCTCTATGTGAAACAAATACTTTTACGTATCGTCATAGTTACAGGTGCCACAGCGGGACCGTTGATATTATGAATTCCTGATAACAAAGAACTACAAAGCACAGAGTGCATAACTTACTTATGTAGCTAGTAATATGATGCGGACAACAAGGTGTCTTGCAGCTGAATTTTCTTCAGGGCGTGGGCGGGACAGCTCCCGGCCCATGGGTCGCAGGAGTTGGGGAACCAAAGTCATGTTGCCTATAACAAGAAAGCCAACGGACTCCGTCTGTCATGTAGTTAGCCGCATTCACCTAGGACAAAAGCGATAATTGACTCATCACGAAGCAGGAGTTGGGACTGCCATCTGCGTGCCGACGATGCTCTCTCGCTTGCTGGGAGTCGGGGGAATCTCATTATGTAAGGCAGGCAGGTGGCTCGGTTGGACTGTAAATTCGGATGTTTCAACCCGCCCAATTACTGGTCCTAAGCTATTTCCTACCGACTGGTGAGGGTCTTGATGCGAGGACGAGAACGCACCTGGGGCGGTTGTTGGTTGCAAAAGAGGTTGTCAGCGCCACCAGGCTGTTTGGATTTTGCTAAGTGACGGCACACAATGCCGCTCGAGCAGGGCCCTGAAGGTGCGGAGGATGTCAACGACTTCCTCGTACGCATCCGAGAGCTCGGCGAGAAACGCGATAAGGAAGATGAGGAGAGAACGAGAAAACTCGAAGAGGAGATCTTACAGGGCCGGAGAGAGCGGGAAGCTAGGCGAGCTGGTATGCTTTGAAGCTTTCCTTCACATGATGTCAACATTGAGAAAAATAAATAAACAAATCCCACGTCCCACTATTTAGTCCATGTCTAACCATTCATTCTACTTTACAGAACGCGCGCGGTCTATTTCTCCGACGAAGGATTCCCCCCCGATACTGGGTAGTCTAATTCAGAGGGAGTCGCTTTTGAGCGCGTCCACATCGTCGCAGTCAATCGTCCCTCCGGTTGAGCTGCTCCCCACTACAAAATCCCTCGATTTGGACCTGATATCACGCGATACAGCCCCTGATGGTGTTGATACGGATATAAACAATCAAATCGATGGTGATTCAAAAGGAAATACTGAAAATTACCCACCCCCATCCAGTCGATCCCGCGCTATGTCCTGGAGGCAACGCCTACTATCAAGAGATATTGAGCCCTTGACTTCTTTGAAATTTCTCGGGGATCTAACCCCAATTACACCGGAAAAGGCAGATAGAGGAACGTCAGCGACCGAATCCGACTCAACGATGTCGCGCGAGCAAATTGCACAGTCGTTAGGTTCGAAGGACCCCTCATGGTTCAAACAAACAAGTGACCGAGGAATTGGCTCGCAGGCATATAGAAGGGCACCGAATGCATCTTTATCAGAGCTACAACTATCTGGGGGCACCATTAAACTCCCTGGGTTGAGCAAAGAGTCCCCCATTGCCCTAGAAGCGAGCTATGACAATGGCGAAAAGTCCCGCTCTCCATCGCGAGCAAGTTCCGTTTACGGTGGAAGCAGCTTTGGGAATCGTTACTCTAGCGTGTCCGCCTCTGGAACCAGTGGGCTGGGATCTCCAGTTCCACTGTCAAGCACTCACAGACTCGACGGTCGTCCACCTTCGAGCAGTGGCGATAACCAAACACCTGATCGTGTTACAATGTCACCTTCGCAAAGTCGCCTTGCATCTGATCGCCCATCGTCACCCACTAAAGGCTTAGGCGGTTTTGTCCAAAGTGCCATGATGAAACGCTCCGATAGTGTTTCAAAACGATGGAGCGCACAGCCAGGCTCAAACACTTTTCGAAATAGTTTTATTTCAACCCGTGGTGATCTTCCTGGTTCCAGAGCAAGCTTCCAATCCTCGAAGCTCCAAGCTACCTCGACGGCGCAAGAACCCATCTCTCGGCCAGGATCGAGCCATAGTGAGGCGACTGTAGTACGGCATTCTTCGGACGAGAATCCCGCTCCAAATACCGAGAACGAAGCTCCCAAAGATGGAACTACACCAAGCAACCGCATAGGAAGATCGTCCTTCTCATATTCTGGTTCGAGACCCGGCTCAGTTTCAACACCAGACGACCTACCCATCACTCCATCCAAAACAATGGACCCGAAAAGATGGAGTCCTACGAAGGCTTCGTGGTTGGAAAGTGCGCTTAACAAGCCGGAATTCCCGAGGCTGAAGACGCCCAAAACACCTCATGACCCCGAATGGAAAAAGGATTTTACCCACAAGCTTCGGTCTTCTAGAGATATTGGTCGCAGTGATAAAAGTCGAGACTCATACGCAGAACCTACGATGGGCAGGGAAAAACTGGGCGATAGGGACCCTGGCATGATAGAGGCGCTTAAGAGTTCAGACTCACATACAACTTCTCCCGGAAAGGTCCACCCAGCAGGTTCAGAAACCCCGTTCGAGACAACTAGTTCCAGTATTGTGGAAGATACAACCAAAGACAAACCCCAGTCACAATACCCAGCTATCCCTCCAGAATCCCAGGAACTAGAGTTGAAAATACGCGAGGCTTCGCGAGGCAACACACCTGTCGTCTCCCCTATAGCGAGGTCACCAAACAGTCCTATTGAAAAAGTGCCTTCGAGCTTAGGTACCTCTAACCCCCCGGGCCCAAGGCCTCCGGTGAATGATTTCCGTGCAAACCTTCGGCGTCGTGAGGCTCCAATCGAGAAACCTAGCAACGACGAGCCCGAGTTTAAGAGTGTATTCGGAAAGCTGCGGAGAACCGAGACTAAAAACTATGTTGCGCCCAATGAGCTCAAAGAGAATATTCTCAAAGGGAAAGCTGCTTTGAATGCAACAGGAGGCCCAAGGAAAACCCCGAGGGTCGATGAATTCAAGGATAGCATTCTGAAGCAAAAAGAAGCGATGAAAGTGGGTGGAGGTTCCATTAGACGGACGACAAACGATGACAGGCGGCTCCCTGGAGCCCCACAGTCCCCAATTCCCGAAGCTATCGCAAGAAGAAACGCATTGAACAGGTCTGATAGCACGAGAAGCAATATTTCGACTTCCAGCGGCATTCCTCTGACTCCCAAGCCGTTCCAGTCAAAATTTTCACACTCCAACACTGAATCAGAGCCATCCCTTCGATCAGGTCAAACCTCACCTGTAAAACAGCCGGAAAAGGAACATGCCCCCGAGCAGTTGCCAGTCGCTTCCATACCTGACCCTTCCCGGAAAATCCCCGAGGATGCTCAGATCAAAACCCATTCGCCACTACCTAGCTCGCCAGCACCTCGTCCCCGCAGCGAAACTGTTAAGAGTAAACTCGCCGATCGTCTAAATCCAGCGCTCGCGGGAATTCTTGCCAGAGGCCCACCATCTGAAACCAAGCCTGCTTCGGCGAATTCCGTAGATATTTATAGTACCCGGTGTTCCCAAGAGTCCTCTGCTGCTCCGCTAACACACATGACAAAATCCCGCGCCAAAGGCCCTAAAAGACGATTGCCACAGAAGGTGAAGGCAGAGAGGTCGCAATCCACGCCACAAGCCGACGACCCTTTTCCACCAGGCATGAAACTGGATGACTATCCCACCGACATATCTCTAACAAAAGGTATGCCGGGCTTCACTGAACAACTGGGATCTTTGAATATCAATGGCCAGGAGACTGCGATGCCCTCTAGCCGAGTTGATTCGTTAAACAGTTTGCCCAAGTCAAATAACCTTCACTCAGATCTCTCGTCTAAAAATCTTGCCGTCAGTAAACCTGAATTGCTACCTTCCACTACCTCTTCTGAGCCGAAGGAGCCTGCCAGGCTTATATCAAAACCATCCCCTCTTAGCATCAACACCGAACCAAAAGACAACCCTAGAGCTGTATCCAATTATCCAGCCTCTCCCTTGGGTTCAAGTCAGAGTCCCATCATTCCGAAGAAGCCGCGTTTATACGAAAGATCTTCAGCTCATGACATTAAGCAGCCCAGCCATTTGTCAACCGCTTCCGGCGAGGAAGCCGGCGACTCTCAGGTAACGGGCCTGAAATCACACCCTTCACGAGATGGAATATCTTCATATATAGGCAAACGTGTCGTAAGTCCGCCGGTGCCACCAAAGCCATCCTCAATCAATACTGCCCAATCCAACAGCCAAGGCCTCGTCTCGTCTAATTCACCGTTCCCTCAAACACCTGAAGCGGCGCGACTTTTTTCTACTTTTTTTGATGTAGCCCCCAGTGCTAAACATAAAGTCGACATTGATCCTTCCGCCATTCTATCATCCAACTCGGTGCCATCTCCAAAAACGAAAACTCTGAGGAGACAGATCTGGGAATTCGGCAATGATGGTAAAAGGAGGGATTTACCGGCGAACCAAGAATACATTCTTTTTGAACAGAGTATGTATTTGTGCATTCACACCTTCGAGACCGCCAATGGATCTAGGACCACCCAGACGCATTTGTGGTGTGGCGATGGTATCAGTGAAGGCACTATCGAAGACGCTCAGCTATTCGCCCGCAAACTGGCCAGGGAGAACAACTCTAAACTCGAGATTTTGCGACAAGGGAAGGAGACAGCGAATTTTATCCAAGCGCTTGGAGGCATCATCCTTACGCGGCGGGGATCAAGTAGCCGAGCCGATTCTCCGGCTCTATACATGCTCTGCGGCCGCAGGCATCTAGGCCAGATAGCTTTCGATGAGGTCGATATGACGCGTCAAAGTCTCTGTTCTGGGTATCCTTTCATTTTATCTGCGAAATTTGGCAACTTATATCTGTGGAAAGGACGAGGTAGCACCGCGGACGAACTCGGATGTGCGCGACTCATTGGAATGGACCTCGGGTTGACGGGTGAAATCGAAGAAATCACCGAAGGCGAAGAGCCAAGCAGTTTCTTTGATTGTTTTCCCAATTCCCACGTTGATCGAACGTATCCATCCGCTGATCATTGGAGATTCAAGGCAAACAATGAGAAGTTTTGCTCCCGATTGTTCCGAATAGACCATGGACTTGGTCAAGGGTTTGGTGCTGCGTTTTGGAACCGCCGGGGCGCCAATTCCCCCGTAACACGACCAAATGATACGGTGCAGTCAATTGAACCTTTCTGCCAGCGAGATCTCGACAGCGGACATATATATGTCCTGGATGCTTTCTTCGAGATTTATGTGTAAGTCGACCCATATTTACTTCTCAATCGCCACAGCTCTTTGAACCAAAATTAATCATACACACATGTAGCATTGTTGGTGGGCAGGCCTTTTCGCGCTCCGCGGAATTCGCATCTGCTCTAGTGTTTGCTCAAGAATACGGTTTCCTCGCTGTTTCTGAACAAGACAGGCCTTTCCTTCCAAAGAGCTATGTTGTCTTAAATGGATTGACAGAAGAGTGCAAGCGCGCGTTTAGAAAGTGGGACGATCGTCTGGATGGTTTTAGCAACGGTCAGCCTGTTCGGGTTCTGCCACTGAATGCGGCAATCGAGGCAATTAGATGAGCGATTCATTGATTTCCCTTTCTCTTTTCCAGTCCAAAATTTTCCTTTATTTCCGGTGCATAAGCATGTTGTTGGTTAGTAACCTGGTTGAGCCTATCGTTTGCCATGACTCTCGTCTTTGTTAATTATTTTTGTCTTGAAGATTCCCATGGATAGCTAAATAAATTTGCTTCGTTTGCCATCGGATGATACATACCTTGCTGTACTTCTAGCTAGCATGACTGGAGCGATAGCAGTGATGTATGTACTACAAAAGACTGGACGTTCACTCAAAGGAATGGAACAGGTGCTGGACACACGTAATTGAGAAGCTCCTTGAGCTCATCCCCCTTTTTCCCATGCTTCTAGCACTTCTCCTTTGATTCCGTCAATTTGTTGTCCGTATCTTAAGTAAAAGTTCAATATTTCAGGCCTTGATGTGTCTCAGCCAAGACGGAACGTGCCGTGCCGTTTTGATATAATCTTCACGACGCCCCCCATATCCCAAAAAAGATGGGAGAAAAAAAAGAGAGACAGAGACTTCAGATAATTCTGCATCAACCGCGAATCGAACGCGGGCAGCTTGCTTGGAAGGCAAGCGTCATACCACTAGACCATTGATGCTGTTCTGCGTCACAACAGAACCGTTGTGAATTCAGGTCTTTGTAGAGGCTGCGCATATCCTCGGCTTCTGGAGGCGAACCACACCAAATCTGCTTTTGCGATGCGAAACTCTTCTTGACCCTGCGACGGACAGGATATCTTGCGCCGTGAGCAACACCGCATATTTTTGATTCCTTGGCGAAAGTTTGGGTTGTCTGTGGGGGCACCGTCAATCTAGCGTGTTCAATTTACTCTAGTTTCTCCGAGCGACTTCGCTCAACTCCGGTCCTTCCTCTCACCCATCTTCTTTCATCTTCTCCCAGTATCAACCGCTATACTTCGCAATATTGGGCTATACTGCGGGAATGAATTTAGTCTGAGTGCTAGCTGTTTGCTTATGATTGTCTATGTTAGTTGAGGATTGATCGTGCGGGGTCGAGAACTCACACCGCTGTTGACTCTTGCCATCTGACCGCAAGGTTACCTAGCAAAATTGTTTGTCGCGTAGCGCACAGCAAATCCTTTCCACACTGACAAAGGAACCCGAGAGAACAGGAGAAGAAGAGGTGTTGGAATCTCTTGACGGACAACATGGACTCACTTGATCCACAGGTGTCATACGAGCTGTCAAAGCTCGACCCAGACGTCCCGTTTCGAGCGACCAAAGCGCACTTGCACCACACTTGGGCCAAGACGTTTTATTCCCAGCCGGAGCTTTACATCCAGCCTGAATCTGTTGCTGAAATTCAAAAGGTTGTCAATCTAGCGCGCAAATGCCGTCGACGGCTCGTGACCGTGGGCAGTGGCCACTCACCTTCAGATTTGACCTGTACATCATCGTGGATTGTCAACCTTGACAATTTCCGTCGTATCCTGTCGTTCTCACGCGAGACGGGAGTGGTAACTGTTGAATCGGGAATAAGGCTGTGGCAGCTGGGTGACGAATTAGAAAAATGCGGTTTGATGCTGCCAAACCTCGGAAGCATTGACAGTCAGTCAATTGCGGGTGTGATATCTACTGGCACCCATGGTAGCTCTTTGCGGTTCGGGTTGCTGTCCGATTCGGTGCAGGCGCTGTCGATAGCGCTTGCAAATGGTCAGGTCGTGAGATGTAGCAAGACGAACAATCCTTCGCTATTTCGAGCTGCTCTCTTGTCGCTTGGTGCTCTCGGGATCATCACTGAGATAACGATCCAGGCTGTGCCCACGTTCAATATCGCCTGGAAACAGACCCTAAAATCTCTACCGCAAGTGTTGGAAGAATGGGACTCTGGGTTATGGACGAGCTCGGAATACGTTCGGGTTTGGTGGCTGCCTTATCTTAAGCGTGCTGTCGTTTGGCGCGCCGACAAAACCGATCTGCCACTTCGGAAACCACGTTCAACTTTCTATGGTGGCCGATTGGGCAATGCAATTTATCACAATTTGCTGTACCTGTCCAATTACTTTCCAAGAATATTACCCTGGATCGAATGGTTCATTTTCGGCATGCAATATGGCTTCAAACCTGGAAAATACGTGGCAGAAGCGGTTGAACCTGGCCGAACTGGTTTGCTAATGAATTGCCTGTACTCCCAATTCGTCAATGAATGGGCTATTCCTCTCGAAAAGGGACCACAAGCGATCTCTCGGCTGTCAGCATGGCTCAATGGCGATGCTAAGGCTGCTAACATTCCGTTCAGTCACAAGGGGTTGTGGGTCCATTGCCCAATTGAAGTCCGAGTTTCGGATACATCTAAATCGGAGACACCCCGGCCCTATTTGGAGCAAACCAACAAAACTGGCCCGACGCTTTATCTCAACGCCACACTTTACCGCCCACATCTTCGCGATCCGCCTTGTACAGCAAGATACTATGAAGCGTTTGAATGGTTGATGAGGGATTTGGGTGGGCGTCCTCACTGGGCCAAAAATTTTGGTGAAAACCTAGGGCCTGCCGACTTCCAGGAAATGTATGGCGCTGATTTGAATGAATGGCTGCGAGTCAGAAATGAGGCTGACCCTCACGGGATGTTCTTGGGTGAGTGGCATCGGAGAACGCTTCTTCCCGCCCAGCACGCTGTTTCCAACAGTTCCGAGTTCCCGCTAGCAGAGCGGGAAAAGAGTCGACGAAAAATTGGGAAATGGGGCTCTGGTGATGGCGTTGAGTGGGTCGGAGATAAATCATGGTCTCATCCAAATGCTCAGCTTGACAAACCTGGTGAAGGTGAGAAGTTTGAAGCTGCTTCTCCCAGCCCACTTGCAACCGCAACTAGCGAAGAAAGCTTTGACTATTTGGCACATGGCGAAGCAAGCATCATGGGATCGTCCAACCCCAGTGGACAAGATAGTTCTAATTTTTAACATTTCTGTTTTCTGGGGCTTGGTATTTACCGTGTACAGTTTACAGGACTTTCTTCAATACGTGGTGGTGACGTGGATGGTTACAACAGGTCACCTCTCTCGGTGACCGGTTTATTTCAGTTGGGCACCGATTTTGAGATGTATTCTTCCGGTCTCTACGCACCAACTTGCAGTTCTCTGAACGGGCGCCCTGATGCTATGCTTGCGGATTTGAATGTCACACTTACAGGCCAATCCCGCCCATCTAATCCCGCTTGTCTGGTATTTGGTACCGTCATGACTCGCATCATCTCTGCTGTGTCTGGACGATGTCCTTTCCTGCCACCCCGCTAATGCAACCTTGACATCGCCAATCGTCCATGCTATCCCTGTTGTCACAGTGGCTGCGCCCGGATTGCATGTGAACCACTCTTGAGATTTGGACCGAACTATGTATCTTTTGCGGCGCCAACAACTACCTAATTTTGCTCCGGTACTAAGCAGGGATGCAGGCCCCTCTGTTAACGGATAGTCCTGCTCCATGTTGTCAAATTATCATCCATTCTCACTCTCACTGAACACATCATTTAACAGTCCAAAAATCCGAAGCGATCTGATATTTACGTCCACAGCAGACATTGGGTCATGCACAGAGCCGGCTGATGCATCCCATGTTCAATAGCCGATGTCTTGCAGGTGCAAATGCCGACCGAACTTTATTTTTCCATTTTCTTTCTTTTGCGGTTGTTTTCTGGCAGTGCAGTCACATCTGTGCCCAAAGTTTGCTGGTCTTCCTTGAGTTCATGCAATGTGCTGTACATGATTGACAGTTTGCATGGTTGTTGACGGTCTTTCAGATGTATGCTGTCAAGTGATTGCATTCATTCATGCACATGTAAAGCAGTGAGTGCATTGTGTGATTTGAACTAGACCAGAGGATTGAGTTCGCTTGCTTGTGTCGTGCATTGTTTCTATTGTAAAGCCATCAAGCTTTTGGAATATTACGAACAATTTTGTGTTTCCCAAATATATTCTAACGGACGAACGCATGCGGAATATGCACTCAAGATGGGAGTTCTGGATGGATGGACCCCGCCTCTAAGGCTTCTCTGTAGCGCAGAATATCGGGGGGTCTAGTCACACAGTGATCGGCCTTCTACTGTCCATTATTTTCCGTGTCCCGGGTTAGCCAAGTTCAGCCCATTTATCCTACGCATTCGAGGATGCTTCTTGGCAGGAGAGGTCGGTACTCGAAATGAGCACTTCTCTTGGCAGACATGATATACATGTGCTAACACTTAGGTGCAGGCCTTGAAATACACTTCCCCCGTCTTGTTGGCTGAGCAAACGTATGTGCGCTCGAAAGCCGTTAAAATTTTCGCCGCGCATGCGGACGCGGGGATGATTGGCCCAGTATTAAATGGACGGGAAGTCGGAGAGGGGCCCCAGCCTCCCGAGGTGAGACTGCTTAGTCAATGCTCATAAACCGCTCATGTGAGTGACTCTATGCACCGCAGACAAGTAACTAAACACCCAATTAGTTTTTTGTGTGTAAAATGTTCCCCAGGCCGTGTTCGAACATTCATTCATACATGTGTCTGGTGGCACGGCGAATTAGAACGACGAGGGGCACAGAGGGGCATCAAGAATGCGAGGTTGGAGCGTCTGAGCTCAAGAGGCCGAGGAGATAACTGCCTATCAGCCCCTTGCCCCCAAGGGGGGTCACGGACGATTTGGCCGATGGATGTATGGGCGTTCCCTGTGGTTGTCACACGAGGTACCCGGCTTGCCTGTATGTAGGCGCGGTTCATGGACGCCCGTCGAATTCGAACCAAAGTTCGGAGGCGCTTGGATCCCCCGATACAACCCCGCTAATTGTACCTCACGGCCATCCAGCAACCTACGTCCATATATCGTCCGCACCGCGTATATTTCCCGCTCGCCGTTGCGACGAGAACCAGCCGTCAATTGAGTTTCCACGGAATGACTAAGCGGCAGCATTTTGGGCACGGGCTAGGCTAGAAGTGGCTTAGCGCTACGACCCCTTGGCGGCGAAAAGCGATGTATCAGAATCTCGTACAACAACCAGCTCTGACGGCTCAGCAACAAATTAATCCATCATGGTTGTCGCACCCGACAATACGGCGTCATCCATGGTTAGGATACCATGTTCTACTAGCCTTCAACAGCAAAAGTGGTTGCCACTTTTAAATCAAGCCTCTCCGCTCTGAAATTTTGAATATTCATAGCACCAGTTCCGGTATTCTTTTGCACACAAGTACCTGGTCCGCGGTACGCAATAACTATAGAGATACCGGTGCTCGGAGGAAGATTTAATGCAGTGACAATATATACTCCGGCGCCCCGTTCGCGTGCTGCAGTTTACTCTCCGATCTCTTATTACGTATCGACAAAACAGACACTGGATTAAAAGACGGCACATGATCGATCGGTCATTTGGTCTCGAGCATCGAGTAGCAAAAATATGTTCTGCAGCGGACTACCATCAAAAGAAACACTCCAGAACGATGCATGGGAAGCTGGATTTGGTTACATGTTGACGAACATAAAGAGGCGGCGAACCAGGAGAGAGGATTGGTGCGGATTAAAGATCCGATTTGCACAAAATTGCGACTGCCTCTTTTCGTTTGTTGCTTCTGACCAAGACCGCTCCCTTTCCTTTTCTTTTTTTTTTTTTTATTTTTTTTATTTTTTTTATTTTTTATTTTTCCAGGACAGCGCCCGTAACAGGCATGGAATTGCGTTTACGAACCCTGATTTCGAGTGATCAATACGTTCCCCATTTACTTCTTTCAGTCCGGGTGGGATACCGGTGGCCCTTCTGCCAGACTTGCAAGGGGCTCCCTCGTTCCTTGACTCCTTCAGTCTTCCGCAGAGTAATCTCTTTTCTGAGTCGCCCTTTCGAATAAATGCCATGGGTCAGGGTGAGATTTGAGTCGCCGTTGGTCTGTCAGATTGGTGCCCAAAGATTCAGCTTGCCAGCGTGATTATCTTACTCTCTATCGTGTCACCCGCTTCCCTCACACCCTTGATTTCTCTTTTTTCCTTCATTCCCAGCCAACTTGGGAGCCGCGTCGGGCCGTCCTTGGAGGGATCCTTCCCCCAGCCCCACGCAACTAATGTAGCTTTTCCGGTCACGCTGCTGAGACGCAATACCGTTGGAGCGCCCAGAGTTTCTCGTCCTTTTTTCCAATGAAAGTATTTGTAACTGGCATGTTCTCTCAGTGTTTACCCGAATAATAATCACCCTGAAATGCAGGCCTCCAAGACAGGCAAGCAATTTGCGTAAGTGACCATTTCGATACACGCTGTGACGAGAAACCGAATTTCCACGTCACTCGAGCTCCATACTTATCAAGAATGGGAGAAGGACTTTGACTTGGAGAATAATTAAGGAGGGTGGCAATCGTCTTAGGGGGAGACGCTGATCCCGTACCGCTTTCCCTCCCGTTTCCGAGCGATTCAGCTCTATATCTTTATGTTTCCCCTTCTCCCTGTCGGTTTTTTTTTTCTTTTCTTCTCCTGGAGATTTTCTTACGGCTGGCCTCTGGTGGAAACGGATTTAAGTTCCTTCTCTATCAAACCTTGCCCTTCTTTTTCCACCGCTCATTATCCATCATACGTGCCACACTTTGGCAGCATCTGCCAATGCCACAACCACCCACCATCTTCCCGAAACTTCATGTTTCAGCTAGGCCACCGGAATATATGTCCGCATCCAGTACACCGGTAGCATTCCCGAAGTTCGGGCCCTCGCAGCACGCCGCTGATACACACCTGCATCAGCAAATATTTCGGACGAGACGGAAACATGTCCTTAAAGCCTGTGACCGCTGCAGGGTGAAAAAAACAAAGGTCCAGTTATATCACAACCGATTATGCTGGCATTTGGCCCTGCTTGCTCTCTGCTTTTGCTCATACATGTTACTCTATAGTGCGATGGGAATCAGCCATGCTATCGTTGTGCATCCTATAATCATCCTTGCCTCTTTCGTGAAAGAAAGGTCACCCAGACCAAGACCTACTCTCGAGGGTCAGTCTCTGTTGCTTCCGCCTTTTGACACATCCAGTTGAGATTTACTTTTGGTTGATAAAGGCGCTGATATTTGGCATACTTGCCTATGGCTGGTTATGCAGATTTGTTGAGATGCTCGAATCCCATCATGCCTTGGTTGTTAAGGCATTACAGAAGTTATACACTCATTGCATCAACAACAAATGTTTTCCCGGAGAACCAATCGATGTCGTTGATGGCTATCCCTTAACCCATGCCATCTTGGATAGGCTCGGTTTAATAAAAGAAGCAGAAGAATCCACATCTCATATACTGGATGAAGACGCCATCGAAGCATCGCAATATTGGAGATTCGATCGCCGATGTGCGGGCTCCGTTGATTCGGAAGATACTTCGTCTACACAAGCCAGCCCCATTGAACGATCCCCAGCCAGTGAGTCAACTTCAGGATCTCCTCCTCCAAAGCCCAATGGAATAAATCGTGAGCAATCCTTTGCCGGTCTACAGGACGTTTACACTCCATATGGGCCGTTTCCCTGCACTAACGACCAGGTCTGGCCTGTGGCCACAACATCTACACCAGCTCAAGTTGTGGACTTCACCATTACGACCACAACGTCTGAATTCCAAGCTGGAGCACGATACCTAACCACTACCCCTACAAATGGTGTTGGTCAGGATACTTCAGCTCACGATTCAACAGTCAAAGGTCCTTCCACAGTCCCATCAGGTCATAGCCCACAGTCAATGTACCATGGACCGTATACTGGATTATCCAATCTCTCTTATCAACATTCCGGTGACAATCTTTCAAGTGCAGAGCAGTACACATGGGCACCGAACCCTTGGAACAGGATAAAGGATAGCCAACATCTCGATTTACACTGCCCTTAAGCTAAAGTCTCCATCCAAAAATGCAGAGGACCAGCTCCCTCTCCTGATCACGACCCACCTAACCTGGCGGGGCTCTCGGCATTGAAAAATAAAAATAAAAACAAAAAAAAAGAAAAAAAAGAAAAAAGAAAAAACCATGAACCGGTCTGGATCGTTTCGTTAACGTAGAGATAAATCCTCTAGTCAAGAATTCCTTTTCTATTTCCTCAAGATGCCCTTAACACTTTCGGCAGAAGTATGATCTTCTAGCTTGAAAACATCTCGGTCTTCTTTTGTGGAGTGTCCTTTCCCACTTACACTGTGTCCCTCCTCCGGCCGACATTGGAGACATACGATTCAACAATCTGCCATTTCATATACCTTCGCTTTGATTTCTGACAATATCTTCTCAAACAGATCGGGGCAGAGACGACAGAAGAGAGTCAAGCTTTTATTTGTGCTGCAAATTAAAGGCTTCTCCTTTGCTATTTTCAATTTTGGCACCTAGAAAACCTCTTTCTCTATGAATGTATTTTGTTACAATCGTTTCCCCAGCTCCCGTTTATTTCCTTAGTTGTCTTTTTACTGCTTTCTTTCCTTGCTAGATGTGCCATTGAATTTGTTGGTGCCCTATAGAGACCAAGGTCAAAATGGTGGCCCAAAGCACTGTGATACCCCAGCATGGCATTCATGGACATGGACACACACATGTTATATATACCCACTATCGCTTTCTCTTTTCATCTTACACGCTATTTTACCTGGCATATACTATCAATCGTTTGGCATTTTTACTTTGCTTTTTAACATGCACAAAGACATTGGCATGAATTGGATACAGGAATCATCTATCAGGTGAGAAGGCAAGGGCGTTCAGCTGTTAAATGGGGTGGCCAAGCGGATTTTGTGTTCTTTTTGAAATATAGGCTTTTTTCTTCTGGGGCTTTTCTCTTGGAATGCCATGGGAATTCTGGAGTTGTATTCCCGGTATCCAGTGATGATATACAAAGCATTTCAAGATGCAATTATTTTGCTATGTAGCCATTCCTATGGTCTGGCCAAACCGGTCTCTGGAGGGATTGATCTCTCATTTATTCCACATTGGTATCAAAGAGACATCGTATGCTTGTTGACGGGAAAGTTATTTGAAAATTTCGGGAGGTTCTCCTTACTATTGACGACTAACTCCGCAGCATCACCGGAAATTAGATTTCTAGGACCGTGTCTAGATTATACTGGATACTTTGAGAGCTCATTGCCCTTCTGCCGGCGCAGGGTTAAGCGTCCTGGTGTGATTTTGGTCCATGGTGATTCCACGGATGGACTTTGACGATGCCGTTAACGGTTAGGCAGCTTTCTCTTGGAAGTTTCACCTTTGATGAACAGTACGTCCGGGCTTGTCGGTTGATGACGGCTCCTGGCTGAAGATACTTGGGCCAGTTAAATGTCGCTGGCAGGTCAAGGCATGGAGCAGCTGAACGTTACACATTTGATTTGATTTAGGCAGAGAATCTTAAAGAAAATGGAGGCTCATATAACTACCCTACTGTATCCAGTTCCGAATATTTAATGTTTGGCCTGGATACTTGAACACTTTAGCTACTCACAACCGCAGAAACCCCATAGTACAACGCACATATGGGGGATATTGTTGGCGACGTCTATAGCAGGCTAAGCAGGACGTAGGGAGATAGAAGTTTTGAAGTTAAAGTTTGGAGTAACATCTACTCCACTCCGTAGTTATGGAAGTTTTGAGCTTAGCGACGGAGTTTATTGAGTTTCGCAGCAAATCACAGGATTTTGCGCCAAATGGCAGAACTTAAAATTCATATATGTATTAGCCAACATCAAACCGAGCGAGAGTCAACAATCACACTTCTGAACAATGCAATTCTATGAGTGAGCAGATGTGGAGATGACCCAACTTACATCCTTTCTTAAGTCCCCTATGACACCGGATGTCCAGATCTAAAATCTGTTAGATAACTAGTTAACTACTCCCTACTCTCTTAGGAGCTTTTGCTTTAGTACATAGAAGCCCAGGAGTCATATTTATCCCATTGGTTTTCGCTTTCTCCCTCATCTACCATCTATTTACCTATCCTTTCCACTTGCCGTCGGATATGGCTGCTATGATAGCTGGCCTCTATCGCCTACTAAAAGGGCGAATTTCCACTCCGGTCGACCCAAACACGTCACTTGAAGGCAAAACCGTCCTCATCACAGGTGGAAATCGCGGCCTCGGCCTTGAAGCGGCTATCAAATATGTCAATCTTGGTGCAACTACCGTGATTATCGGATGTCGCAGCACAGAGCGAGGCAACCAGGCCAAAGCGACCATCGAAACGCTCACCCGCCGAAGAGGGGTCGTGCAGATTTGGCCGCTGGATATGAGCAGGTACGATAGTGTGATTGCTTTCGCAGGGCGTGTCAATGAGGAGATCCCACGGTTGGATATCGCGCTGCTCAATGCGGGAGTATTACACCGGAATTATACCCTATCTTCAGAAGGGTGGGAGGACACCCTTCAGATAAACACGTTATCCACCATCCTCCTCGCGCTGTTGCTTCTTCAGAAGCTACGAGCAAGCCGCACGGATGGAGGAGGCCCGGCAAATCTTACCTTCACTTCCAGCGGAACCCACAAATTCGTTAAAGGGGAGCAACTCGTTGGTTCAGAAGACCAATCTATCCTCCAGCATGTCAACGCGGAGTCGAATTTTTCTTCCATAGTACAATACAAAGTCTCCAAAATTTTAATTGAGTTCGCCGTGAAGTGTATCGCCAAGATTGCTCGCCAGGAAAACGGGACTGTTGATGTTATTGTGAACTCCGCGTGCCCTGGATTCTGCTCCACGAATTTAGAGAGGGAGTTTGATAGCTTTGTACACCGATTGCTTGGACCCATATTTTATTTTATATTTGGAAGATCGGCCGAGCAAGGTAGCCGGACGTTGGTGAGCGCAACTTTGCTCGGAGAGGAGTCGCATGGAAAATTCTGGACACACGATTCTTTCCCGGAGTGAGTTTCCCCTGTTTCTCGGGATTCCGGCTTTTGGCACGAGTTAACGATCTTTACTCGCTAGTCTATCGCAGTTTTTGATATCTACGGAAGAAGGTAAAAGGCTGCAAGAAAGGGCTTGGACAGAAATAGTTGAAGAGCTGAAAACTAGATCTCCCCTGATCAAGGAGCTCCTTAACCCTTCTTGAAGTGATAGCAAGTTTCAATATTTTGGGACTATAAATGTCCAGGCACTCAGGCACAACCAAGGCTGTTGTCTATTGTGATAACGAATGACACGGTGATATTTCTATCATATCATAGCCCGAAATTCTAGAGATATATCCTTTCTGACATGCCTTCCACTCTCGTGATGCTAAGGATGTCGGATATCTCAGCAAAACATCCTTTCCAGTGTTGAGAAGCCGGTGATCAGCTAGGCATAGGTGACACTCATAATCAATAATACAACGGTGGGCAGGGATATATTCACTCTAGCTCTGGATTCGCCATCATGAAATGCCTCGCAGAAAGAGACTGTTTTGATGAAGCCTAGAGCCCACTACACTCCAAGTTTTTGAGGTTATGCTGGCTCTATCCTCAAATTGCCAAATCAACACATGTTTCACCAGCTGAAGCCTGATGTTCAGTATATTTAGAGCGTCGCCCTCCTTTCCAACTTGTCAAGATATGATTGACAAGCCAGGATCAGAGACTGACAGGGTTTCATACCATGCAACTCAAGGCTCGGGCAATCTAGACCTGTTAGTCCGCTTCAGCTCCAGATGGCCCAAAAATGTTGGGCACCTGTGTTCAAAAGTCTCTTTGGGCATTCGTGGACAATAGTGTGGCCTAAGCACTTACTCTTTGAAACCTGCTTGAACAATATCAGTAAACAGACATTCATTGGGACCAGAATATTTGAATATTGCATAGCCCCCATAAGGTATTTCCCGCCCAAACGTGGTAGTTATTGCCCTCACTTCTAGAACACTGGTGGTGCTGCCCATTATTTTTCAGCTTTCATAACTTCCAGAGGTGGGTATCAATCCACAAGTACAAAATTTTTCCAGGCAGCACTGTTAGAGTAAGATACAAGAAATCATGTCGGGCGCTATCCCTGGACCAACAGAAAATCGAACAGATGGCTCGACAATTCAAAGCGAGCGACTGTTCAATCTCGCGTTATCGATATAGAGCAAAGCAACCGTCGGCCAACAGTTTCAGAGATCCCATATCTCGAGGTGGGATGGTACTAAGTGAAAAGTTTGCACCCCAATAGGCTATCTCTATGATCTCTCTGGGAGTCGAAAGAACTAGTGAGATAAATGGACACCTAACTAGTTAATCTCGCGCACAATGGTAATGACATAATCGGCGCTGATCCTCAGTTGACCGCGAAAATCCAACGGCTGAGATTCTCCATCTGGCTGAAACCAAGTTACTGAAGTGTCAACCCCACATAATACGGAGTTGGGTTTGGAAAGGTCCAGATTGCAAGACTTGCTTTTTTCTAGTCTGCAGAGCGAAGCACAGGATAACTCGGCATCGAGCTCCGAAGAAGCCAGTGATCCGAGATCTCCAACGGTAATCGCAAAGCTTGTTAAAATCGTTTATTTCTCGGCACTCAACCGTAGAGCACGTACAGTACAGATCTTCGTCAGTTCCGACAGATGGAAGTCAACCCACCCTGTTCTGGAATTCGTCGACCAAATCGTTCTTCGAATCACGATGGATCCCAAGTCGAGCGCCATGGCTGGGGAATGTTCGCTTCTGCATACCCGCTAACCGTTCGTGGTGGTCCAACGGGTTCAGCGAATAGGATGCGTCAGGGAAAAGCAAGGTGAGTCGATAAGTGCTTGTGCTGCAGACGCCGCCTGCGTTATTTGATGTGTCATTTTGATGCTTGATGCCGAGAGCTCATGACTACTTCAGCCAACCGTCGATACCTTCGAGAGTTGAAAATCTGGCAGCTTGTATTTTGTACTTTCGAACCGATCCAGCTGATCGATACGCCCTTTTATCAACCAACAGCCAGGGATGGCTTTAGGTCCATGCCGCAAAGATATGCGCTATGGCCCTAAGTTGGAATTTCACCAACTTCATAATCCGTATCAGTGCGGGCTCCAAAGGTCGCGGACGAGTTAGCCACCCGTAAACGGCCATTTTTGGAATCAGTTGCCTGCCCAGTCCAGCAAAACCGGAACTACTTCAGTACGAAGCAGGAAGATTGGATATGACACTACTGCCACTTGGCAGGGTGTTGTTCGCTCAGCTCGTCGAAGAGTTCCAAATTGCTGCAGTAGTGAATTTGGCGCAAAACATTAGGTGGCCGCTAACAAACGGGAAATGGTCGATCATCTGGCGGAAACCGCCTGCTACCGAGGAATTGCGAAGGTTCTAGGTCGTGGAAGACGCGTATGTTTCGCATTGTCCGGCAAGAGTGGGCTTTCAACCCCAGAACCCATGGCCTGTTCGTCTAACCTCGCTTGTCATGCAACTAGGTCAAAGGTCAGTGCACATCATACCATTGCAAGGCGAACCGGCTCGGTCACCATTGAGATCTGATATTTCAACCCGGCCCCGATGACAGATTAAAACCGGCTCGTTTTCAATTTGCAGATTTGTTCTGCACAAGCGACGCTCGATGACAGACAGAAAAATTCAAAACCCTCGGGCCGGGGGGGGGGTGGGGGGTTTAAACATCAGCTTTCGGCTAAGTAGAGACATGGAGGCTCTTTTAGGGTCTTGCGCCGGCCCGCAGGTAATTTTCTCCTATCAGGATTTCCCTGCTTGGAAACTTGCATGCAGGATGGGGATCGAGCCGTGTCTCCAACCCGGGATGCAAGTCAAGGATATGATTTGAAAGAAAGGTCAGCTACTACTTGGCCAGCGGTCTCAACTGACTGTCATTTGACCAAATGTAAGACGTTTTACGAGCCGCATTTCAAACCAATAATTGTCTGGCTCTGGCCTCGCGAATGTTTCTGGTCTCGCCAGCATTTAGCCTTGTCGGCCTTCGCAAGTTGTCACTGACAATTGGCAAGATTTCCGAGGGGATCTCCTTCACCACCATCTTCGGGCCCATATCTGAGGGACGCGGTGCTTCGGCAGCCAAGATGAAAAGAGATGGAGGGTCAGAGATGATCCGAGAGCACTAGGCGCCACCTCGAAGTCAGCTAGAATTGTGACTTTGGGCCTTTTTAGCTTACCAACTTCGTCTATCTTTGCTGGCTATGAAGAGGTATATATCTCCCTTCTTTGAACCTAAGTGAGATGGAATTTGCCGGTGTGCTGCATGATCTTTCGTGGAAGTGGGAAAAATTTATTCTTGACTCAAAGACGCAAAACGATGGATAGAACCTCCGCCAGACGACGCCAAGGAACGCGGCCCCTATCCCAACCTCACCGCTTTAACGCCGCTCCATCTTCTTCGCCAAACATCCCCAGCTATTCAGCCACGAACAATTCGTTGCCTTTGCAGTCAGATCTGGGTAATGTCACGATCACTACGCACTTTCAAACAGACCATAAGGTGCCAATTCCGCGGCTACAACGCCCGGGATCGAAGCAGGCGGCCTCTGGATCCGATCGACAGCGAGTTAGCCATGCCTGTGAGCCCTGTCGCCGCCGAAAATCCAAGTGTGATGGCCTTCAGCCACCATGTGGCCGATGTAGGGACCAAGAAATTCATTGCTATTATGAAGATGGGAAACGAGAAAAGCTGAAACGGCAGGTTTGCCTTTTATATGTCTCTTCAACTTAGGACTTCGAACTTCACTATAGCTGGCACACCCAAAAATCTTTTGACGAAGCGCTCCATTGGCAAGTGCGCTTGGTCAATTCAAACTGCCAACACCCACTTCCACGTTCTTGACGTTTGCTGAGTGCTTTAATGTCAGGAATGCACGAACAATGGCTGCTAAGGTAGAGCGGTACGAAAGTCTTCTTTCGGAATTGCTCCCAAACCAAGATGCCAACAGACAGCAGGACATTCGGAATGCATTGTCAGAGGCAAGTAGCAGAAAAGCAGCAATAAGCATTGTATTGCAACTGCTGCTGTACTCCCAGAATTAGCCGCAGAGACTAATATCCCATTGGCTTTAGAGGCGCTTTGCCGAAGAAGACTCTCTCTCTGGCGAGGATGCAATTGAAGATGAGCACTCAGTTTTAGTATCAACAACATCTCCGCAACTCCAGAATTGTGCTCAGCACAACGCTATCGTATCAGTGGGATCGGCTGGGTACCTTGGAAACTCGTCAGTTGTCCATTGGGTTGAAGAGGTGATGATGAAGCTGGCCACAAACAAGCTCGTCTCAAAATGTTGGGTATTTTATCCCTTTAAGAAGCTCTGTATCTGACAAACCAGCAGCCCATGACCTGACGCCCGGAGCTCTTGATAGTCTCGCCAGTATGGCTGACGAGCCGAGTCTGAATGATATTGAATCGCTATTGGTGCATGACTGCACCTACTTTGCAAATGACATTACCCAGTCCCAGGTCTCTGGTATTTCTCAGTCAATTGATGCTGCCCTCCAGCTACCTCCGAAGTCAACAGCGGAACTGCTAATCGATTCCTACTTTTCTACTGTGCACCCCGTTTTCCCGGTTATTGCGGAAAGGAACTTTATACCCCAGTATCTTTCTTACCGCGAAACAACACAGCCTCCTAATGGAAGTTGTCTGTGGCTGGCAATTCTCAATGTGGTCTTCGCTATCGGCGCGTTGTTCAGCGAGCGTGTTCGGATGCCCCATGAGGGTCTAGACCACATTGTCTACTGGATAAGATCCCGCGTTTTGGGCCAAGAACCCATTCAAATGATAAATCTGCCTACAATGGAGCATATTCAGCTCTTGACAATCAGCGGGATGTATTGTATTGCTAGCTATCAGATAAATAGGTAAAGTTCCAGGAGGCCTTTCTGCCAATTCGTATTGCTAAGATCTGATAAAGGGCTTCATACTTAATAGCTTTGGCCGTTAGATATGCCTACGGTCAGGCGCTACATCTGGTTGATAATCCCCCAAATACTTCCGACGAAGAAAGAGAGCTTCGAGTGAAGGTTTGGCATTCGCTTTGTTCCGCCGAACGATTGCTATCTCTCCTAACCGGGCTTCCTTCCTCGATTCAAGATCGACATATAAGCACACAACTGTCGAGCGCCACAGATACTTACTATTCTAATCCATCAGCAGCAGAACGCTTTGCCTCGCAAGGATCGACACTGACAATTCCCATGGCGGGTAGCCGGAAGGGTTCATTGTCGTGTGATTTCGATGTCTTTGTTGCCAGTCTTCGCTTGGACTCGATTGTCAATGAGGCCCTGGGTGCTCTGTACAGCTCGAGTACGGTAAATCAAACATGGGCACGTGTCCAAAAAATGGTTATTGATTTAAACAGCAAACTAATTCACTGGGAAAATGACCTTTCTCCTGGTCTCTTGGTCTCACCGAAGCATGATAATATTGCAGGGGTGCCCTTGGCTCAGCGCATGTATCTCTCGCTTAGATATTTGAGTGCAAAGATGCTTATTAATAGGCCGGGCCTCTGCGATATATACAAGCTAAATGCAGCAATTCCTTCTCAGTCTGAAGCTTCTCGACAATCAGATGCAGACGCTGCACTGCGCTGCCTATCAGCAGCACGAAACCTAGTCCAACTACTACCGGCCCATGTCGATGCTGTCGAATTCTATCGTGCGACACCTTGGTGGTGTGCCCTTCATTACCTGATCCAAGCTGGTGTGGTTTTGATGACGGAGGTATCCTTCGATATGCAGCATATCCCGGCAGAGAAAGAAAATATTATTGCGGAATCAGCTCTTGTGATTCGATGGCTCGAAGCACTTTCGATTACCAGCGACTCCGCCCATCGTGCATCTCTGAGTTTAAATCGCCTTTTGAAGCTCGCATTGGAGAAGGCGGGTAAACCCGCTGGCAATACCCTGCCGTTCTCTCCGGACACGTCAATTCCCGGAGCATCGTCGCAGCAGGTGCTCCCTTTTAATACCCAGGACCCCAATTTCTTGAGTGGCACCAACTGGGGCCCTGCCTCCCCCTCCTAAACCATCCACCGCTACAGCGGGGTCTTGTCGTCGGCAATGATCGGCATGATGAATTTTATAGAACCAGTATTTATACGGAGAGATGCATAATGCTGAATACTTCCATGAGTGACCGAAAGCTTGAACTAAGCAATTCTAATCATCTTTTTAGACACAACAGACTTTTCATTTTTACTTATAGCAGAGAAGACTTAATATCAAAATCAGATAATACCGAACTTAGATTAGCAGGAAACTAATGTCGAGAGAGAGAAAGCTTAATTTATATATTTTCAAGCAGAGGTCCGTTTATTGTGACTCGCAAGTGCCCGGAGTTCAGAGTAAAAGACACGGTCAGTTCGACATGGTCGCAATTGTAGTAGGGCACTAAGATAGGATGGGGATATCTGTAACTAAGTCACTTGCCTAAACTGCTAGCATCTCCCCTAGTCCCCAGAGGTTTACTAATGATATGATCCTGTACAAGGTCCGGACGAAGGCTTAAGCCCTAAGCAAATGGTTCGACAGCTCAATATCGGTAAAGGAAGCTAGATAGGAACCACGATATTTGGGGATCGACTCTAGATGTCTTTATTACGCGTCCTGATGCTGTAGGCGCGGACCACAACTACAAGTTGTGATCCTAGAGTTATAGGGTCAGAATTGTCGTTTTCCTAAATGGACCTTTTCTGTCAATTTATCTGCTTTTCAGTTAGTACGGAGTATTCTTTTGATCAGCAAGACAACTTGCATTGGAGTACTCTGTACTCCGTAGTCTCAGAATGATTTTGGCTTTCAGGCTAGCATGTTTTACTGGCGTTTCAGATAATTAAGTTATCACTATTATTAGAAAATTTAAGATATTATGGCTTAGTATAGCAACTTCTGCAAAACATATTTGCTGCTTGCTCAAAAAGCCATTACTGACAACAAAAATCTATCCTAGAGAGCTGACTCAACCAAGGAATTTTGATTCACGCTTCATTTCTCTGTCCTGAGAAGGTTGTTGTAATGGTCAGAAGCCTAGTGATTGGTTTCCAGATTTTGGCGTATAGATAATGTACGTTCACAAAACTTCATCGCTGGTCCCGCAATGAGGCCATGTATCACAGATCACTCCAGCAAGGTCCGGGAGGCCAAAATCCCTTCCCTAACTTCTTCGATCACGCGAGGATGTTGAAGGCATGCATCCGTGGCTCTGCTGTTTTAGTAATCTGTATCCTGTGGTAATTGGGACTCGCATGGACCGGTTGGGAATCGAGATGTCCCTGGACTTTACCTGATGATGTTTCTTGGTTTGTGATCTTGTTATGCTTGCTTTCAGATGATCTTTCCGCGCGGTATGTTCTATCTTGTTCACTTTGTGGCGAGTCTTCTTCAAAATTTAGAAGAGTGAGATTGTTTTAATTTACCTCGTTTGCATGTCGACGGCTTACATTGAGATGGATGAGTGAAATAATAACTGGGATTGCTCGATGACACGAATCTTTGATTAAAACTGGGTTTATTTTCTATTGGATAAAACTAATCTTCTAATTGAATTTCATATCTGACTGCACCCTGCATGGGAGCGCATTTTGACTGCTTTTATCTTTCCAACACCTTTCACTGGGAAAACGCTTCACAGGAAAAGACGGCCTCCAAGATATGCTGTACCACATTGTCTCAATTGTTTCTGAAATCTTCCTCTCCTATAACATTGCAAATGCGGGAATAGAGAAGTATCTCCAATTAGCCTCTACAAACCAGATCATGCCCATCCGATATGACCAACAATTTTGTACTTTCCCATTTTCGCCTCCTTTCGGGCCCCAGAAATCACAATTCACAAAAAATGTGATTCAGATATGGGATTTTCATCATGATGCTAAATTTATCCCTGTGGTTAATTCATCCGGCAAAGCACAGCTTAAAAAATTTGCCCATGGATGCTTATAACCGGAAGACAGACAACCCCCTAAACACACGGAGGAGAATCGCAACGCGACCGAGATAAAAGGAAGTTCTATAATATGTCCGCCATTAATAAGCTCGTAAGAAAGAAAGCGACAAAGACTGGGATATAGAGCGTCTCATGGGACGACCTCGCTCAATTAAATATACAATCCGGCCTTTTTGTTCGCGGCTATTCTCCATCTGTGTCTGTCTCTGTGTCAGTGGCGCTGGTATCATCATCCACGTCGCCTTCCGTATCGCTCTCATCTTCTTCGCTAGATTCGTCTTTGGCGGGTCGCTTTTTCCTTGGAGCCGGTGCTTGCCCGGTTTTAAGAGCCTGCATTTGACCCGCAAGCGAATCTAGGTTTAAAATTAGTATCGTGATAAGCAATAAACATACCAGGACGTTATTGCCATACCTTCATCAGGTTCGCTAATTTCATCCTCCTCCGCCAACTGTGCTGCTTTGGCGAAACCTTCAACCTCCAGGACAACGTCCCTCCAGGTGTCAAATCCAATGTAACTATCACAGACAACATATAGAGTAAATGGGAAGTTTCCAATTTGAGGTGGAGCTTGAAATTGCATCTTCAAGGTTTGCATATTGAACGTGGGGTTTCCTTTCTCATCGAATATAGGCTTGTCGAAAGTCGTGAAGGTAAATGGAGGTACAGCCATTCTATCTGCTTTGACGTCTGCAAGGAAAATGTGCCACCGGGGTGAATGATCACGAGCAAAATAGGGAGCATGTGCGAGAGGCGGTTGAATTTCTTCTTCTTCTTGCTTCGCAGGCTTGGACGTCTTGGGCTTTGCTCCTTTACGGCCCATCACAGCGTCAGAATCCTCTTCGTCTGAATCGATGTCCTCAAGTTCAAGTTCATTGACTTCGGGTACATTCGTGTAACCAGGCGGGATGAAACGGCCTTTAACGACAAGCTGAACAAGACTGCTAGGCGTGACAACTTTCTCTCCAACTACCTTGAAAAATGCTTTGGAAACTTCAAAGGCGGGAATTTGTTTCACAACCGACACTGCTGTTTGATACTGTTTCTCTGTAAGCAGCCCAGGACCGATTGTAAGCTTCCTTCGTGAACCTTCCGATAAATTCATGTATCTCTGGATAGACATATGATTCTTCGAGTGCTCGCCTTCAATATTTCGAATTACTTTAGGCGTGAAATATGGTAATTGGAGAAGAGGAGATGAGCCTGGCGGTACAGCTTGTATGATATGCTGCGATGCATGTAATGAGCCAAGGATGGGCAGTAGATTGCCGAATGAAAGCGAAATGGTTGTAAATGCATCGTTAAGAGAAAGGGCAATAGGAGCGACCTCATACTTTTCTAGAGGGAACGAGAAGTCAATATTACTCAATATAAAGGTGATAGGAATAAACCAACCAGTATCAAGGGTGGGATTATCAAGATCAACTCTTCCAAGATAAGCCCAAAGTAGGGCCAGCACCTTCCTTCTCCTTTCATCATCCAGTTCACTTAACGCTTTGCGATCTTTCACGGATAATCCGGCTACAAGAGCGCCTGAATCAGCTTCCGTCAATATCTTTTGCTCTACGGTTGCTAATCCAGAATGGGCCTGGTCGTTTGCGAGCATCTGGTTAAATTCCTCCCCGGCGCTGAGGGCACCGATTATTCCACCAACGCCTAAACTCGGTTTATATTCTCGGAAGATATTTCCAGCGCTGGCAACAAGGACTTTGTCCTTGGTATATCGCTGAGAACCGTACCACCACTTCCCGACAATATACGGTAACAACACCCCAAGCACAAGACCGTAAACGAGGAGCACATATTTGCCGTTTCCTTCGGTAACAATGAATTGAGGTAGAGCAATACCAATGCTAAAGCTCTGTTTTCCATCGGGGTGGCCATATTGGAGATAGTTATTTCGAATCTCCTCGTCAGTCAAAGCCTTGTACGCCTTGGTCAACTCGACGAAGCGATCGTTTAACATTTCGAGGGTTTCATTCTTAGCAGGATCAGGTCTAATCTTATCCGGATGGTATTTCATCGAAAGCCGCTTGTAATGCCGACTAATAGCTCGTTCATCGGCGCTCTAAAATAGGGAGGGCAGGTCAATCATCAGAACAAGCTAATGTCTAAGGAAAGGCTTCAGCCGCAGGACCGGAATGAAGACATACCCGCGAAATTCCCAATATATCATAAGGATCCCATATCTTCGGTATGGTTCTCTGGGTGACGATAATGAGATATATCATGTATGCCATTATTGCATAACCCGCAAAGACTGTGATTATGCGTTTTATCCGACGTTCTTTGCGCAAAAGCTTCTGCTTTTGGCCCTCAATAAGATTGGCATGGTAGGGCTTGAAATCAGACTGTATCCGCGGCGCGGAGGTTTCTAGTCCTAAAAGATCGAAAGAGTCAGTGTCCGGTATTTTTTTTGGGGCTAGGTGTTCTGATTAAGACAGCGAATTAGACATCGGTCATCGGATGGATTACCTTTGACAGGTTTAAGAAGCGTATAAGTGAGCGGAAGGGTAACGAGGCCGGTGAGGGTAAGGATAAAGAAGGGAAAGAATTGGCCCTAGGATCATGAAGACGTCAACTGGTTGCCCACTGCGATTGCGCACCAGGCGATGGAGACCGCGGAGAGAGAATATGTCACCTGTTCATCATAATTGTAGTCCTTGGAAGACATCTTTGCGGCGTTTGGCCGGCGAAAATATCGCCTCCGTCGAAACTTATCACAGCTGGATAAGCTGAAGGGTGGCGGACATGGAGCTTGTAGAAGGGAATGGAGTGCTCTACTGGCAAGATCCAGAAACCCACTGGAAATGCAGGCGAGGAGAGAGCGGAGTGAAAGAACGGTTCAATATCCTCCGTCGCGTGGGAGATGAGGCCAGGTTATCTCTCAGCCATCAGCAACCTCCATCCAGTCCGACATCCAGCGACTCGAAGCACCGTGTCCTTTTCAACGGCGCCAAATCCCAATCTGGTTTAGTGCAGAGAACCTGGCTGGTGGGTCTGGACCGAATCACGCTTTTCCCAGTTCGGACTAGTGCAGGGCCTAACATCGGGATTGACGCCATTGCTTGTATCGCTCTCGCCGGGTCCCTTGGACGGCACGAAATCAAGAGGTTGCGACGAAGGCCGGAATAGTGATGCATTGCTCACTGTAACTATCTCAGCTCTCGCATTTTCCTTGGTACTACGGGATTGTAAAATCAGCACAGGTCTCTATCACCTCGCAACCAAGCTTGGCTGTTTGGGATAGACGAGGACCTCCGTACATACACTCGTTTCCTCTCGAACCGCTTAAGGATTGTTAAATGATCAAACCACCAGATATACTAACCCTCCCTGGCGATTTTTTTTCCTTGGCTGGCATTGTTCCGGTATTTCTCGTCAACCTAGGATACCCGTATACTGAGATTCGTCCGAAATCTCCTCTGCTTATACTACATGCTACATAGCATCAATTTCACCCCATCCGATTGAGAATGACACTCTTTTATGCCCGGATCAGAGGAGAATGTTCTCCAAAGGCTAAAGACTGGCAAGAAGCCTACGTTGTGAGATAATTTCCTGTTCTCTCTACCGCATCTAGAGACCGGCCGCCTTAGACATAGTGGCCAGGGGCCTAACAGTCACGGACTTAGGCAATTGGGTTGGACTATCATAATAATGCTGTTGCCAATTCCTCAAGCGTCTCGAGTGCGTGAGCTGCGTATCGAACATTCGCAACCGGAGAATCGCTTTCCAGTTTCAAGCACCATATTACCAAGTCCCTGTACCTCCTCCCCATGGCGACCTGTGTCTCCTCAGCGAGCTCAACAAGGAAATCTCGACGGCTAGGAGGCGCGCTATCTCGTAATTTCGCGGAATATTTCTCCAGTGGCCGCCATATTCCGAGTTCCAGCAATACTACGCCTAAGCTATAGATATCGTGCACCATTAGATACCTAGCATGTTCGCTATCCTGTCGAAACCCTTGTCGGTCTGGGTGATGGTAAATATCCTCTTCCCATCGTATTCCCCCACGAAAGCTAGGGTCAGTCTCCGCATCGTTGCTTCTTGATGATTGGAAATTCACCAGGTATGGGTTTCCCAAAGCGTACGGGAATCGCTTTTTCGGCGACGAAGACGTGGCCATCCTTTCAATAACAAGGATGTTTTGAGATCGGATGGCTTTATGAACCCACGCGATTGAGTGGAGGAACAGAACCCCTGCTGCAACCTTTCGAGCAAGCTCGAATCGCTCATTTAACGGGTGAGCCGGAAGAAGTCGCCTCATCTCTACATCCTTCTTCGAAATCAGTGCCTTGAGGGAAACAGGATTTTCTTCGATTTGGAATGGAATCTCGTGCACGAGTGCAAACGAAGGAGGATCCTCCTCGTGAAATATGCCAACGCATTTGAGAAGTCCAACGGACTTTGGATCTAAGGAGCTCAATGCTGCTGCCAGTTCTCCAATCTCCTGCTGTAATATCTCGTAGCCCAGCTTGTCGGATCGGATATGAGTCGGGTGTGGCTTATATTCAATGATGACATTTCGAGAAGAAAAGTCTCCAGCCATGAACCTCGCCGGAGAATGGCTATTGAAAGTGATACGCAGATTATGGTCACTGATCCAGAGGCTCTCCCAATCTTTTCTCTTGGCTGATTGGGTCTTGCTCAAGAACTTTTCCATTCTCCTTTGCGCTGCTAGATTGGGCGCGTATGTCGAAATTTGGTCCTCCGAAACTTCGTCTTCAGTGATGCGTATAATATCGTGTCGGAGTTTCTCTGGCAGCACCAACAATCTGAAATCCAATCTCTGCGTCCATTCAAACAGCTCAAGCTCGAGTTCGACCAATTCGTCCTTACGAAGCGGCCACATCAGTTTATTCATCTCTTTTGATAGCCAACCCGTTGATGTGAGCTTTGATTGCGCAATCTTCAGACGCTCCCCTAAAGTGCTGAGATATGTCATCGTCTCGTCAAGAAGAAGCGCATCCTCTCGAGATAATTTGCCATCGAGCTGCCTAGACTCAAAATAATCAACAATGTGTTGAAGGACACGAGAGTCCCATCTGAAGCGCGCGGCGAGCGATTTAGACTGGGTAGAGTATTTTGCGCGTCCATCCAGAAACTTGTGGATGAGAATGCATGAGGTAACCGCCGTTTGGAATACATCCATGGTCCTGCCAGTCACTTTGAATTTAGGAGATAGTGTTTATTTGTGTTGAGTGAACATAACAAATGGTTTTGATAACTACCTAGTCGTTGCATCAAGGAGCAAAAAACTAACCCCACACTCCTCCGTCACAGGGGCTAACTACCGAGTATACGCACGTTTAGACGATATACGGAGAGGTCACACAACCTCACTGTCAAGTCACCACCCTCGATCGGATCCCACCTCGCACCTTAAACCCCTCTCAGATTGCAGACGAAAACAAAATAAACTTTAAGTCATTCCCATGTTCTGCCTTGAACACGCTGATTGCAGGTACTGCTGCTCGTCCCTCGTACGGAGTTCCGTACGAGCTTGCGCTACGCAGGGTTCTTGGGTGCGAGGCGCAACTGGCAGGGGTATGGAGTAACTAGTTCGGACCTCGAGGCAGCCCACTCTTCAGCAACGACGCTGAACTTGCCTCGAATAGTGATTGGCCAAGCACAGCGAGCATTGCCAACCTCACCCGCAGTGAGCCGCATTCGCCTCGTGTTCCCCAAGAACACAGAGTTAAATTATCTTCGCGGCACTGTGCTCTACATAGGCGCCATGCGTTTGCATATAACTCTATAACTCCGAGACCTATGAATTGATTCCGTCTGATCGTTCCCCAGTCAAAACCAGCAAGATATTGATTGATTTTCCCGGTTCTAGCGTTCAGTTTCATCTCATCAGTTTAAGAAATTAATATGTGATATAGTATGGACTCGTCTAGTTCAGCTTTCTCACGGCTATCCCTTGGAGATATTCTTACGCCACAAACCACAAGGCCCACGGACAAGTCCCTTGCCGGCGATACAGATATCTTTCAGATCGACAGGTTTATCAGTGAAAGCTTTGATAGCGGACTACTTATTCTTGATGAAAACGAGTTTGAGAGGGGTGAATTCCTTGGATCTGGGAGGTCTATGTCCACATACAAAGGGAAATGGAAGTCCAGATCGAGGCCCGTTGCTCTGAAGTACGGAGTAGACACTCTCCCATAAGTTCTTTTTGTTTTCTCCCTCTGGGTTTGACAGATGGCTATGCCTGACTAACCCAAACCCTTGTGGCCTATGCTAAATGCTTTTGAAGCTGACGTCCAGTGCATAGGTATATCAACCTTTCTCCTCCAGTGGGAACGTCATCTGCTGCTGCTCGTGGCACTGAACTTCAAAGTATATTAAGATCTGCGGCATTAGAGCTAAGAGTGCTCCAACATGAGACCACTCGCATCCATCCAAATATAGTGGAAATTTTGGCAGTCTCCTGGCAACAGATCACTACGCTAACTGGTCAATGTGAAATATATCCTATTCTGATAATGGAGCTTGCTTGTCCGGATTATCCTACCCTAGGAGAATTGGCTAAGAAGGAGTTCCACAATCTTTCACTGACCATCAGACTTTCACTCCTCAGGGATGTATTTGAAGGCATTGCTGTTCTGCATGAACTTGACATCGTCCATGGAGACCTCAAACCTGACAATGTTCTGATATTTCGTGATGCAAGTGGAAATCTAACGGCAAAGATCTCCGACTTTGGATTCTCCCAAGTTGAGTTACCGGCTGGTAGCCCAAGCTTTGGAGCTGGAGGGACAGAATACTGGAACGCCCCAGAATGTTTGAGGGATGCTCCCGATCCCCTTGCGATTTTCAGAAAGGAAAAGTCGCGGGACTTTTACTCCTATGCCCTCTTGGCCGTTTCCATTTTTCTAGGAGAGCCACCGTTTGACAAGCAAGGTTGGAATCTTGCCGAAATTTCGAGGATGAAGTTGCAAGACGAGATTAGTGGACAGTTCGCATCGCGATGGAGATTTATAGAGTCAAGATTCAAGCAAGATCCAACGCAGTGGCGTAATCTGTCGGTGCATGATACTGACTTACCAAAGGCAAGAATTTCTAACCCTCCGATGAGAGGAAAATATCTAATTCAAGAGCTTTAAATAGGGTCCACTCCTCTGGGAGGTACTGCGGAAAGATGGCTGGAGCCCTGAAGAGGATCTTCCCTTGTCTCTACTGAGGTTGATTCCAAAGATGTTACAGCTGGAGCCATCAAAAAGACCGACAACACATGAAATTCGAAGTGCCTTTAGGTGAGTTTATAATGAAGGTATTCATTGCTAGCCCCTGACGAGCTATATGTAGGCTTTGCACAGGCGACAGAGTTATTAAGCCAAAGGTTAACCGGGTGAAAAACGATAAACATGTCATATTCGCGGGGGGAGCTGCCTCCGTAATGGGCAACCGTTCAACTCGGGCACACAGTCTTTGCAACCCCGCAATTCCGCATAATTTACGGTTCGCGTTATTTAAGAGTTTCCTAGTCTCGGCAAGGGATCAGAATCAAGCAAGGAGGACAAACGCTATGGTAAACATTGGCTATTGCATGATAAATGCGTTTGGGACACGGTTTGATCTCCCTGAAGCTATAGTTTGGTTTGGTAGAGCTGGCATGGAAGGTGATACAACGGGCCAGGAGATGGTATTCAGACTAGAAAGAGTTCTGAAGAAAAGCGCAACGGAGCTCGTCCTGGGACTGAATAATTCAACTCGAGTCAACTGGATGGTGACGTGCCTTCTGCGAGATCTTGGTGCTCCTCAACTTCCTAACATTCTGCCGCCAGAAATTCATTTGGAGCGACCACAAGATAAATTGAAAGACATTCTTCTAGGATTCGAACCGGAACTGGTGGAGAGTGGCCTGAGGCGTGCCGTCGATGACGCGATTATCAAAACTCTGGCGCCACAGAGCAAAGATTATAGTAAAGATCCGGCTTGGAAGAGCTTCCCAGGGTTATGGGATGCAGTAGTCAGCGACGACCCTGCCGCTGTAAGTGAGCTCCTTGACGTCAACGATCCCCGGTGGACTCCAAATGTCAGGGAGACCTTCATTCTCACCGCTTTGGAGCAAAGGGCTATGAATGTCCTACGATCTCTTGTCTATGAACACAAGTTCTACATAGACAAAGTATTTGAGATAGCATTAGGGAGAGCTTTTCTCAAATCAGACACGGAAATGATTGCACTTCTACTAGCTCTTGAAGTTCCTTGGGACATCATGTTTGGCTCTAATTCTCTGAACTCAGTACTCACTGGCTGCACGGTAACAACAATTACGGTGGCGCTGAGGTTGTTCAGCTATCTGAAAGTTGACGATAGTACAGAATACTCTCCATATTGGGATGAAGGAGTATTACGCCGGGAGATCATGGATGGCATTCAGCCAGGCATGTGTAGCCTTCCTAGCGATGTTGGAACGGTTGACAACTATGCACCACCTATCTTCGAGACCATTGTCTATAATAGGCCTCTCAATTTATGGCTTATTCTGTCTCTCGGTGGCAACCCGAATGTCAGGTATATGGGAATGACAGCGCTCCATTTCGCCGTGAAGATGCTTCGTCCGTTGCTTGTGGCAATGCTTCTCGCTTTTGATGCTGACCCAAATACGAGAGACACCAGGCATGAATATGAGACTCCTCTTCATCAAATATCTCGCCAACACATGCGTCCGCTGAATACCCCCAGGGATACATATTTTCAGGCCCTTGATGTCTTCGGTGACAAGTTTGTCCCTGCGCCTGAATACCCAGACGAGGATAACAATCACAGGCGACTTATCATTCGCCTTCTTGTTGAATACGGTGCTGACCTCAATGCACTATGCGCCGAGGGTATGACACCACTCACCAAAGCTGTCCTTTCACAATTACCACACGCGCCTATTATCGCAAAATATTTGATTGAGTTGGGTGCAGACTCCTCAATTGCAGGAGCATCTGGCTTTTCTTCATTGCATGCTGCCAGCACAAAAGGCAGTTTACAGCTTTTAAGATATATTTTATACTTGCCAGGCCTCTCTATGTTGAATCTACGCTCAAACAATGGGACGACGCCTCTAATGGCAGCATCAACTGACGATGACCGAGCACACCATCTTATTGAGCTATTGGAGGCTGGAGCGGACATAGGTCTTCGAAATAATAGCGGCCACAATGCCCTCTCCATAGCGATGAAGCACTCCCGAAAGATTATTTTTGACATTCTGGTTACGCATATCACACAGGTTCCGCCCCGTCTGCGGGAGGCAGTTTTTGTGAATGCAGTCTCTGGTATTACGGCCGCTCACGATGCGTTTGCCTCCAAGGACCAAGAAATGATACCACATTTTCTACGTCGAATGATACCCATTATGACGCATTTTCACCGGCCAAACAAATCTGGCCTTACACCGCTGCACCTTGCTGTGCTTAAGAAGCATACAGCAGCCCTGAGACTTCTACTGGATAACGGGGCCAATGTAGATGCAAAAACTGACAAAGGAATGACCCCCCTGGATCTTGCACGCGGACTTCGTGAGCGTACCTTCGTTAATATACTTCTTCGTTGGAAAGGAGAGAGTCAAATGAGAAACGAACCTCCTTTGGCGCCAGAACAGTTCCAATCATTATCCGCGGCTTCTGCTCAATACGCCGATGAAGTAGCAAGCATGCACGGTGAAGGGAATGGTTCCACGTCTCAGAGCGCAGAAACTGATTTGCAAGCTGCACGTTACAAGCAGAAGCTCATGAACGATAGTCAATATATACCCAACGATCGATTCACTCGGGATACTGCTGACCCGTCGAAAGGAATTACCAAGATAGAGGAGGTCCACTCGAAGATGCTGGAAATATCCGTATCGAGAAAGGGAGAGCAGGACTATACTTCGCTATGGAGGATGAACAATTTAGGATGCGTGTACGAGCGGTTTGGTAGATTATTTAACGCCGAGACCATATACAGAAAGGGTTGGAATATATCTCTTGAGGTTCTCGGGAACAATCATATTCTTACGGCGGATTTTGCTAACAAACTAGTCCGAGTCTTGGAGGACCTGGGTCGGCCTGAGGACCCAGTGTTGACCGAATGGATATCCTGGTATGGGAAGGATACGTTGGAGCCACCACTCTTTCAATTGCGGTCTCAACCGGGCAATGCATATAGCGGTTCTACTTCATCCACTCGGCCAGAAGTCGAAGAGATTTGCGCGCGCCTGGAGTGCAACAACTCCAGTCGGCTTACATGCCAAAGTGAGAGATCCACCAATTCCTCCGAATGGTACAGCATAAAATAATGCTAACTTTATGTAGAGTGTTTGGTATACAGATTCTGCTCGGAGTCATGCCGCAGCCTTGAATGGGAGGATAAGACGAGCAGCCACAGCCGTGAATGTATTCATTCTTTGACCTCAGAAGAAACCCCGGCTATCGTTTCCCAAAAGTTGGTTCCAGAGGACCCTTACGCACAAAAGCTGACTAGTTTCATTTACTCTCGTATAATGGCTGGTTTCATAGAGAGCGACTTTGGTGAACGTCCTCCAACTGTCTATTCTGCTCACTTGATCTTATATGACCCGAAAGCGTTCCATACTCCAGTCAGATTTCGAACGAAGAAGAACACAGCCGTCATGTTTTTATCAAATGGCGGTTTTCAGTACTTGTTCAAAGCAACAGATTCCCAATGGAAAACACCAAGAAGAGCAGATATGATGCTGCTGTACACAGAGGTTGATTTTTGGGTGTCTCCTCCACGAGAGTCAATGCCGCAGCAATCTCCCGCAGCGGCAGCGGCAGCTGATGGTACCACAGCAAATACGGAGATGCTTTTGTTGGTGGATTATATTTATCTAGATTTCCCAAAGGCGCAGGAGCGGAGGCAGCAGCGTCTTAGCAGTGTGAACACTGACATTCGGGTTATTCAATGCGATTATGCTGGACAGAAGCAGAAGATGACAAATTAAATGAAGCAAGGCATGTATATGGGACAGCTGACGAGCGCTAACCACGGCATTTACACCTATGTGCTTCCAGAACCCTGTCCACCTTCGAATCCCCACACGTTAAACACAATCTGGAATTTCGTCCTAGGTTGAATATCCGGTCGTTCTATTCTTGACAATTGACGATACATCACATCTAGAGGCAGAGCTGATAGTGTCTGGGGCGCGAATTTGCATGACAGCCACTCCCGACTAAGAGGATCCCGCCGGCCCGGTCCGCCTATATCAGCTTCAATCATTAACTGACCTCCTCCTTGAGCACTAAGAGGAACTGTCTTGGGAACGATCTCATCTAACGTGTCGGTAATGGTTTTGATATACTTAGCGAGCTGCTGGATGTCGTCCGTAGATGTGACGTTTTCGTCAAGCAGAACGATATGGTCACAGTCAATGTGGTTCGGTCGGGAGGCTGAAGTTGGATCTTGAGGTGTGTAGAGGGTGAATCCGGGTGGTGGTTGAAACACCGAGGCCGATGCTGGAGGCCGCGTATTCGTGGTGCTACTCTTTTTCTCAACGCGCTCAAATTCAATGGAGAATCGTCCACCAGTTCCGAGCGTGATGGAAAATTCTGCTGAGGTTTCAATAGAGTTACGGTGCCGCGCCCAAGTTTCTTTATCGACTCTGTCTGCGGGATAGTTCTTTTCGTTAGTTGGTTGGACACAGCATAGCATCCACTGAGCCTGGGGCGGCTTGCAGGGTATAGTCATCGAGTTATCATGAAGAAACTGGCAAGTGATTGTTTCTTACGGAAATATCCATCTTCGACTAACTCTAGTCTGCACCTCTCTTGACTTAGACAGAATGTGAGAAAAGTCAAGTTCATGGTAGTGGTTGAATTTCCGGCAGCGTATGCCTGGGGCTGCATGGTCCCAATTTTATTGCTCCACAAAAGGCCTGAATCCGCATCTTTGAAGGGAACAGTGTTTATGGAAAAGGACTCATCCGCATTGGTGGTCGCTAGAGCTTCCCGTAAGAGGGGGGCTGCTTCTTTCGATACGTGAAGCGTGACATCGGGGCCTCTCTTCACGGCACATACGCCACGAACAGTAACACAATGGAATTTGTCTTTCACGCTTCCTTCCATATCGGCCAGCTTGATACATGATCCGCGATCCCGACTGAACCAAGGCGGGAATGGGAACCACCGATGTGAAGCACCTAGGTGGCTAAGAACTCTCGAGACACCATATCGTCGAGAAACGGCGTCCTCTGGCTCTGTAAGCAGAATGGCCTGTAGGCATTCGCCAGGAAAATATGATGCGGGAATATTGTCGATAGGATGAAAATCACAAAGGACAATCCGTTTAACGTCTGGGCGACCCAGAAAGTTCGGGACGTGGACACCTGTATGCTGATATTCATGTACCACATCGCCGAGCTTTGCGAATGCATATAATGATTCGAACCATCTCAGAGGATCTCTGGGAAAGTCTCCCTCGTCTTCAGTCTTGACTCTGCGTTGGATTGTGATAATTACCTCTTTCTGGCCGACCGTGGTCAGGCCCGCAGAGATATAGGTCCAGCAATCTATTTCTCCAGCGACCCTTGACGCGATTTTATGGTGGAAAATGATCGCACTGAGCTTCTCAGCAGGGAAAAGGTTACGATATTGGGGCCATTGTTGTGCAGCATTTGCGTCTCGAGTATTGGCAGTTGTCACTGTTGGCCGTGATGCTGTTGGGACACCAGATGACGCGGGAACAACTAAGTTGCTATAATCCCACCGCGAGTTATTATCTGGTGATTCATGAAAGATTTCGGGCGGCATGATGCCCGCGAATACGCAAGTCCGAGTTGATATAGCACAAGCTGATTAATGATAGATCGTAGGTGTTCATTCCGTAGAATCAAGTCAAACCTGCCGGCCGTCACTGCATTTTCAGAGACACACGAGAAGCAGGGTGGCCAGAGCCTGAAAGGTTGCAGACTCTCGGCAGGGACAAGGCTGAACAGCCATCTTTGCGTGGTGGAACATCTGCATGGTGGGTTGCGGGCAAGGCTCGTATCAAAAAGCAAAGTGGCCGTGATCTTCCGGTAGCTCCATATAGAATGACACGTGACAGCTAAGATATTCCAATTCAGCCTCATGCGAGCACATTTTCGTCCGGATACACAAAATAAAATCGGGAATGTCGTCCGGAGGAATTGAATGCCTTCTGATGCTTGTACCTTGTATGGAGAGATTGTATGTATGTATGTACATACAAGTAGTTCTTTTGAACCTTCAGTCGGTCTCTGATTGATGCCAGATAACCACCCGCTAGATATTATATACATTGGGGCGGTTTGCCAGAAGCCCGCCGAAAAAAAAATATATAATTTTTTCTTTTTTCTTCCCAGATAATAATCGATGCTTTTAAATGAAACCATGCTCTATTCAATGCAGAGCCAACTGAGCTTTTTTCCGGTCGTCAAGTCGTAACGAAGTGTCCACACTTTTTATCTTTCCCTTTTTATTTCCCTCCAAGAATACCGAAAAAAGAAAAAAAAAAAAAAGAAAATTTTGTCGAAAAGGAAGTCGAACTCCTTGAATTTTTTTTGCGTTTTTTTCTAAAGATCGACACACCAAAGTAAGGATATAAGAGATGTTTGTTACCGACGAGCCTCAAATGGAGAGCTCAAGCGCCGGTGTGTATTCGACAAAGAGCCGACACACAATCGGTCGCGAGCACCACCCACAAGGCTCCGGGAGTCGGTAGTCATTGAAGTTGCTGAAGAGCAAACATCTTCACTCCTAGTTCCTCGACTGGCGTCTATCCAGGGCATAACGGTAGCCATGGTGAAAGGATCAGGCTAGATCCTGTGGGAAGAGGCTGTAAGAGACCATTCCAGTGCCATGCATGCCCAAAAGCAAATCAGCTTTAAGATGCATATCGGATGGCACCTTCATTGCTGCGAGTCAGATGCCTCATGCTGGTTTACGGATCCGGTGCCGAATAGGGATAGAAGAGGTAGGTGGGATAGTTGAGAAACGGAATAGGGCTGAAGCACAATTGTCGGGAAATTGCGGTTTCATATTTGTGTCATGAGGTCAGGTTGTATCGCTATGGAGTGGTAGGACCGAATTGTGCTCTGCTCGAGCGATAGTCCATGAGAACCGATGGAACGCCATGGATGACAAGCTCTGGAGGTCATGTTGGGGCATCGTGGGATGGAGAAGAGAGTCGGTAGAAACCGCCTTGAGAGAATCGACGGAGAGGGACAGGACGTCGTTCATGTGTCGATATAGTCCAGTCCATCAAAATATTCCAACATGCGATAACACAAATCGACATCGTCCCCAGGCTCACCTCCGAAGAGACGGCACTGCTCAACTTCGAATCTAGAAGTGAACTGGCATTGTCTGCGATCACGGGTTTGCAACGTCAGGTACCGACTGTGCCAGGTAGGGCCCGGTCCTGGTGTACAAACTTGTGGCAAGCGGGAAGGAAGCGAAGTCACGGCGTAGCCGTCATATGGAAGAAGACCGTGGAGACTGACAAGATCCGGTATGAGGTGAGGATATCGTTTCGTCACGGCGGTCGTACGGGCGTTTAACGAACGGTGTCGTGCACGGCGTCGATTGTGCTTTTGGCCCATGGTCGTTCGATGAAGGAATTATTATTCAAGAGCTTCTCAATGATGGTCACCACCAGATGGTTGGAGAGGAGTGAAGAACCGAAGCAGATCAATCCCTATGATGAAGCTTTTTATTGATCGTAAGGTACCACAAATCATCACTGCTCCCAAACCCACCGAGCACAACCCCTAGAGCACAGAGGCCCTTTTTAAATGGGGAGATACTAAGCGCAAAAGGGAAAGGAAAAAAAAAGGAAAGGAAAGGAAAAACAGCCAGGCTGGGATAATATATGCAAAAAATGCATCAGCCTATCAGGTGAGTCACAGCCCTGTTTTTCAGTGCCTGATGACCAGAGCAGAAAAGATGACGCTGAGAAAAGCCAAACATTCGATGTCGGAGCCTCGAATGAGTATGACGAAACAGTGGGCCGATCCAATTAGAGCCGGTGCCCGTTCATCGTGGCAAATTAGGCCCGCTGGAACCATGGACATCAGGCGGAAAAAAAGATTTTTTTCATCGATGATCAGGAACCTCGCGCGAACAGTCCACGTGGTGAGCCAAGGTGACTCATTAACTTAAGGCAAACAGAAAAAAGTAAAAGAAAAAGAAAAATGAAAAAAGGCCAAAGAAAGATTAAAAATTTTTCAGAGCAATCAATTGAGTAGTCAAGCTGTGTCTCCAAAGGGAGTCACTTTGCTCATGGACGATTATTTGTTCTTCACAGGGCATTCAACGAATCGAAAAGCAAAGACGACAAGGGGGCGCTACCAAGGTGGGATGATGTGATGAAGCTTAAGTGCCGAGTGTCCGCAAAGTTGAAACTCTTCGCCTTACAACTTATGATAGCATTAACCTTCAGATCTTCCGAAGTGACCAACCTCGTCGCGCCATATCATCCGCCAAATAATTCACAGGGCCCATGATCCGCCTTTACAAACTTTCCCGCCGGCGAGTGGAACTTGGCAGTTTCTTCCCTCAATAGCCCCAGCATATCCACCCTATCGGATGGTTTTCAACATTTCCCTTCCTTTCGGAGCCTTCGTCAAGTTTTCGAAGCCATCCCTTGTAACCAAGATGTCGTCCTCGATCCTAACACCCCCGACAGGAATATACTTTTGAACAACATCCATGTCGATATATTTGGACAAGGGCTTCCGTCTTGCGTCCTTCAGGGCCGGACGTGAAAAGTATATTCCTGGTTCGACGGTAACGACCATCCCTGCTTTCAGATACGGAGCAGACAGCGTACACGGCGGCCTGCATGACAGCAATGGTAGTCCTTTGTATTTATCCAGGCTAAACGCCATCAGCGGCGTTGGTGACACATCGTGGACCTCCAGTCCCACATGGTGACCGAGACCGTGGGGAAAAAACACCAGAGATGCGCCCGACTGCAAGATCTCTTCTGTGGAGCCACCTTTAAGAATACCCAGTGACAGTAGCTCCTCAATCGCAATTCTATGCGCAAGGATGTGGAGATCAAGATATCTGACGCCTTCCTTGAGGCCATTGATGCATTCTTCCTGCATGCGTTGCACCACGGAGTAGATATTAGCGGACTCGCAACTCGGCCAGTATGGACGTCTCGGGAATGTTCGAGTCACATCGCTCGCATAACAGTTCCATTCAGCGCCAGCGTCCAGGCAGACAAGTTGGCGGCCGTCTAACGGCTCATTATTCTTCGTATAATGGAGTATAGCAGCATTTTCACCAGAGGCAGCAATGATCTCATACGATTGGTTCCTAGCCCCTTGTGAAACACACGTGTCGAGAAATTTTCCGTGGATTTCAGCTTCGTTTTGCATGTTGCGTATGCCAAGGAGCACTTCAATGTGTGCAGAAGCGGAAATTTCATTAGCACGTCTGATAAGGTCAATTTCATGTTCGTCCTTAATTTCCCGGCAAGCGTCCATTGCTGGGAGGAGGTCTTCATGGTTGAATGCCAGGAAATGGGCATTGATATTCGGCTTCTGGCCTTCATGAAGGATGTATATGACAGGCGACATGCTCTTAGATGCCCACGTGCGGATATCCTTGCTCAATTCATCGTAAGTCTTAGCTGCGTTGAGATCATATCTGCCACAATCACGTCAGTATCTGGTGCGAAAAATAAAAAATAAAAAATAAAAAATAAATAAATAAATATTGAGCATATGGCACTATAGGATCAACTACCAACCTCATCAGCGCCTCTGATGGCCTAAGCGTTGGGCCTACCCAGATTGCTTTCCTAAGATCGTAGTGTGGAACATAGAGAGTCAAGATGTCTGATTTGATATCGAAGGTCAGATGGCAGTCGGGTTCATCAACGCCTGACAAGTAGAAAAAGTACCGCCGCTGTCTAAACGGCTGAGGCTGGTCTGAATCCTCCAGCGTCCGGGTACTCTGGCTCATCAGGTATATCAAGCCATCCGTTAAACCAAGTTGCCTCGCGACATTGCGGGCATGTTGCTTCGCTAGCCATGTATTTATCAGTGAAAAAAAGGGCGCTGGGTTTCTGTCTTTGGAAGAACTAACTAACCCGGATATTTGTCTAGTGTTGTCCCTCTGGTCTGGATATGGATCGAGTACGAGTGGCCCCGCGGGTCGTTCCCATGCTCTGAGGAGCTCAGAGTGTTGGAGCCGGCCATCCTAGGTCGATGTTCCGAGACAAACTCTCAATGTAGTCGGCTAGGGCAAGTTAAACAGAAGAATAACTTCCTGCAAATACAATTTGCCAATGACACTACAACAGCTACTCTACCGCCCTGTCGTCACGAGCACACTGCGTCCCGTACGGATGTGTGTCGGCCCATCCCGGGCAACTGTCGAGTGATGACCTCACGCATCGAGGACGATCGGAAGAACTTTCCTCCGACAACTGATGGTCCACTGCTGGCTAGGTCTTGGGAGGTGTCACGCTGGAAACACTGAAGATCGGTGACCATGGTCACCGCGAGTGTCGTGCATGTCAAGGAGACTTCTAGAATAATGTGCTCCAGTGGAATGCGCTGTGCCTGGCCAGCCGAATCAGGAGTTTTCGACCGTGGCTCGCGCAGCCAGTTACACAGCAGCTCTTCGGCGCACCGGGCAGCATCATGGCAGCCCGCCAATAGGCAGCACCATTCCTCGGTCTAGCGGGTGGAAGATCTGAGATGGGGGCCATGCCATGAGCCAAATACGGTCGGGTTGGAAACTATCGAAGGGGAAGCATGGAGCATCAAGCTTCGCCCTCCAGTCAAACGGCTGTGAGTGTTGTGCTTGGGGACGGAGCGTGCTGCCGTGAATACCCTGTCCTCCGTCTGATGTTGCTTCAGCCGTTTCACACCCTGTCGGAGTGCAGAGAGAGGGGGGCTACCACTCACACGGCCTTTCATTCAAACGCAAAACTTGGGATAATAACGGGTGTGTGGATATATAGGTAGATCTTAATGAAAGATTTATACGTAAAGCGGAATCTGCCTTTTTTTTTTTTTTTTTTTAAAGCACATATATCTTCCATCCGCTGCGAGCGAAGCGGGCCGCCGTTGCGTCAGTCGTCAACTTAAGCTGGGTTGCGCCCTAACTGTGCTGGGAAAACCCACCAACCCCACCGAGCTAACGCCGAGCATGACGCTGGTTCCAACCCTCGACACCCCAGACTGAGCCGCCGTATCATCCACTCAACAACCACACATTCAACTCAGTCGTCTGTCCTGGTCGACACTCCATCTCTTTTCTTTTCTTTGTCCTCAGCCATCCTCCTCTGCACGGCGCGACACTCATGACTGCAGCATGAACGATGTTTAGTCGGGACGACCTCGTCACCACACTCACCACGTCGCTCATTCAAGGAACGCCAGCCCCATCCTCTCAAAGCTCCATCCATCGTCGATTCGGCTCCTTTCAGCAAGCCACGGAACCCGTGAACCATGGGTATCGTCCGTCGCGGGTGAGCGCGAGCGAGAAGAGCATCATGTTCTCCCTAGGTGGCAACGTCGGGTCAACAGGGAAGGGAATCCTCATCGGGATTCTCTCAGCGCTGGGATCCGCCGGAATCGCCATCATCGTTCTCTCTCTTGTTTTCTTTCTCAGGTATACACATCGTGGCCGCATCATACTGGACCGCCTCGGACGGCCCGGTGAATACGACGATGAACAGGCCTTTGCGAGGGAGGAGGCCGAGGCCCTTGAGTCCATGGATGAGCTGCAGCAGGCAGAGTATATGAGAGCTAAAGGTGCGTTTTCATTGATATAAAAAGGGTGGTCATCCTGTCTACTTTGGGGAGCCGTTGCGTTCTAACTCTCGCGTGTCGACTCCTCCAGCGTTCATCCAAGCAAACCCTCCCGAATCCGCGCAGACCGATATCTCGCTATCTCAGTTTCTAGCGATCCAAGAAAAAGGTGTTTCCGCATGGGAGTTTGAACCAGAGCTGGAGATCGCAAATTGTTTTGTTGAAGCGCGAACCGAGATTGAATTTTTCGATTCTGAGTGCAGTGTCCAAAGCAACTTGCCCGTGCCCAAACAGAACGAAGTCTACTACTGGGAGGCTAAAATATACGACAAACCTGAAACGAGCCTTATCAGTATAGGCATGACCACAAAGCCCTATCCATTATTCAGATTACCTGGTACGGACAGCCACGCAGCAAGTTAATCCGGATAGCTGCTGACTTGAATTTCCCTCTCTTTAGGATTCCATAAAACCTCTATCTCCTATCAGTCCACAGGCCATCGCCGCCATAATCAACCATTCACTCCTACACTCTACGGACCTGAATTTGTACAAGGTGATGTCGTTGGTGTCGGTTATCGTCCACGAAGCGGAACCATCTTCTTCACCCGTAACGGAAAGAAGCTCGAAGACGTGGCTCACGGCCTCAAATCTCAAAATTTCTTCCCAACGGTCGGCGCCAATGGACCGTGCACAGTCCATGTGAATTTTGGCCAGCTGGGCTTTGTTTTCATCGAAGCCAACGTGAAGAAATGGGGCCTGGCTCCTATGACCGGAAGCTTGGCTCCTCCTCCTCCATATGGGAGTGAACAAGGCAGTATTTTGCTTGAGACGGGCCGTGAGAACTCACAGACGCCCCAATGGTGGGGATCTGCTCATTCGCGAACTCGAAGTGGCACGATCAGGCTTGGTCAAGGCGGTCCTGTCCGGTCTCCAACAGATATTTCTCTCGCCCCGCTCCCACATATATCTCCACCACATGACGTCGGTGAAGGAACGTCGAACTCTGCTCAAGCCGGAGAAAATGACAGCGACGTTGATGCCGCCATCCTAGATCAACCACCACCCGAATATTCAAGCCCAGCCACAAGTCCCCCAAACGGCCAGAGTGGCGATGCGAGAATCGACATTCATCCAGACCCTAATGACCCTCCTATACCTTCCTATGATGCGGCTGTATTGCAGCAACAACAGCAAGTATAGCGCTTTCAGTTGATATCCTTTTCTTCGATTGTTACATCAAGCGCCTTGACATCTACTAGACATCGATCGCCACCCATTGCGTCCTACCTACCCTACCTTTCCCTATTTGATTATCCGTGTTTTAGCGATCATGCTGTGTGGTGGCGTTTAATGGTTCCCTAGGACTACGAGGAGGTAATAGCAGCCTTCGAGCTGATCTCTTAGTTTCTTTTTATCTTTGTCCGTTTTCCCCTGTTGGCGTTCTACCTCGAATGAAGTTATGACCCTTTTTATAAATCCCAGTATCCAACCTGTGAGAAAATGCAAATGCAGAATCTTGTATTACTCAAGTTTGCCACTCCACTGGGCTCTTTTGCCTTGTTTGATAAATATCCTATTATTGACTCTAGCGTTGCACGTGTGTGCGGGGGTTTGTTCTATGGTCTGTGGACATGGGATGCTATGGTGGACTGCTTTATAGTTGACAACGATTGTTTTTGTACAGATTGTTCGTGATAACCTGTTGGGCATACTGGCGATAGCCATCTAAGTACATACCTCCATATCCGGTCTTTCTGAGAGATCTCAGATCTCTTCGTCTGATATCGCGTATATGCTAGTATACTGCTTCGTCCGTACCCCGGTCGGAACACCAGATCCATGCCCGTAGCCACACAAACAAAGGACCCTCCCGCTCCAAGGGATGGATGACGTTGGATAGACAAGGGGCGGTTTTGCCATGCACACCATCCCCTTACGACCTCTCAGAACACGACGACCTTGTTGCGCCACCTTGTCCTCCAATGTGACCAGAGGCGAAAATGTGTCAAAATCCTCGTATCGGCGAGGTCTTAGCTGCATCTGCCGAGTCGATGAAAGGCACTTGGGGTGCTCCACCTGGCGTTCGTGTCCCAAGGAAACACAAGCGCCAAAAAAAGATAGGGCTGGGGGCCTGATCCTTGTTCGATACAATGCCGCCCGCGGTTTTGCTCGAAATTTCGAGGCCAATTTGAGGAGTCACACGGGTCGGGGGGGTTGAGACCAAAAAAAAAAAAAAAAAAAAAAAAAAAAAAAAAAGGAGAGGCGGGCGTTCTGGCTCACCAACCTCAATCTTGTGTGATTATGTTTATTTATGTGTTTGAGTACAATACAGAGGAGGATTCTTTGCTTCAGCGGCGTCGATCTTGTTTGATTTACCACCCTTCCGTCGATTGCTTTTTCGGTCGCGGCCTGTTCCCTTTGATCGCATTTCCTCCCGCTACCAAGCAGGATTGCAGGCGAACCGACGAAGCGGCGCAACTCTCATTCGCCCTACAAACTCAAAATTTGACCTGTTGGAAAAGCTTACATACTTTGGTTGGCGCGACTCCGTGTCTCGGGGGGAAGCTGAAAAAGAAAAGCAACTCCGCATGTTGACCGTCTCCTCCGCATCTCTCTATTTATTTACCGTGGCGAGAAGGATTTCTTCTTCGGGTCTCGCTCGACTAAAAGGATCATCGCACGCAATAGTACCGGGCTACCAACTGATAGTGATCATTTTAGATAAACGTCTCCCTGCGTTTGAAAAGCCGCATGCCCGGATCTCCCACCGCTTCCTCAGCCCGCAGGGCATTGCGTAGCGCTGTCAACCACCGTTCCTCCTCTCCAACGCCGCGATAACCGCCCGTCCGTGCCTTCTCCTGCCAACGGCGCCCTTCGCCGCCCGACAAACAACCGGGCTTCACCAGACGCGGCCCTGCACATGCGACTGCGCCGCCGCCGCCCGACCCTAGGCTGTATTGGCTGACCACCAGCTCGGAACACACACACACACAAGCAGACACACCAATACCCACTCACACACATATACACAGGCACCCGGGCACCATCGCTTGTTCGGACCTGGGTCATGAGAATAAACATTCTTCACCAGTTCGTCCTTTGGTGATTGATAACCCCGTGGGCTGGGGCCTGTATTTTGTCAACACTTGAAAGGGGCGATACAGTGAAGAGCACAGCTTCCAATGCCTCGTCGTGCCGCTGAAGGAGGCGGCAAAGCCGTGCAGCGAGCCAGCAGCCGAGGCGACAGTGCGTTCCAGGTTATCATACTGGTGAGTTTCAAAACTTGTTTCTTTCTCAGTTTTCGGTTGGTTTGTGTCAGGATTCAGGTTGCAGTGCCCATGAATTTTGTTGGCATTCCCGGAAGTCTCTCTCTTCCGGGCCTTTATTTTTTTTTTCTTTTTTTTGGCCCATTTCTTTTTAGGGCATACGGCCCTGTTAGTGTTAGGTAAACCGCCAGTGAGGGATATTTTCAGCGAAAACAAACCAGCTTCGAAGGGTGAACACTTTTCTGGTACAGTCGATGCTGATAGTCTTGCGCAGGGCTCTTCAGGCGGACCATGCGAAGATGATGTCACGGGCCTTCTCGTCCGGTCAACGGCCACGAACTGGAACAAAAACTCCGTCGTAGCTGTTGACGCTGGAATACTGATGTCTGGGATTGGACGAATCCTCGAGCGTTATACGACCATTGAACGAGACGAGAAGACGAAAATCGAGAGGCCAACGATCTCCGGCGGGCCTTTTGTCGGCCTTGATATTCCAAACCTGACTGCGCGAGCAAATGCTGCTTATATATTTCGTGAGATTATTGCGTCTATCCTTGTCACCCATCCTCATCTTGACCATGTTTCTGGTTTGGCCATGAACACACCCGCTGTTGAGTTTCAGTCTGGGCCTAAAACTGTAACCGCGCTCCCTTCGGCTATTGCGGCACTCAAGAATCACGTCTTTAACGATATCACATGGCCAAATCTCTCTGATGAAGATGGAGGTGCCGGCATGATAACATATCAGCGATTGGTCGATGGCGGAAACATGCGACTGGGGCGTGGAGAGGGAAAGGGCTATGTCAAGGTCTGCGAAGGTCTGGTTACAAAGTGTATGGCCGTCAGCCATGGATCATGCAAACAACGGTACAACCCGGAGACCGGAAAACACCATCGAGCAGAGAGCACAGTCTTCACGACCGAGTCTGTGCTGCTTCCATCTCGTCGAGTATCAATAGATGCATCGGAACTTAGGTGAGTCTCGGCTGCCCGCCCCGTTTTTAAAACTCCTGGTTCTTACGCCACTCTAGGACATTCTCTCCGGCGCAATATGGTAATTCTGGGAAAGATGCAGCCTTGGCGACGGTGGAGAGCTCTGCATTTTTCATCAGGGACCAATTGACGGGAGCTGAGGTCATCATTTTCGGTGATGTTGAGCCAGATTCGATTTCTTTGGAACCTCGAAATGCCGGGGTATGGGAGGCTGCCGCTCCAAAAATTGCTTCTGGCTCGCTCCGCGCAATCTTTATCGAATGCTCTTACTCTGATTCAGTTGAAGATGGTTCGTTGTATGGACATCTGTGTCCCCGTCATCTCATCCTGGAACTATCAGCGTTGGCCAGCAAAGTGCTAGGTTGCCAGAAGCGGCGAAAGGAGTCCTCCGAATCTAGAAAACGCAAAAGGCGAGAATCCGCCCCAGGCCTGCCTTCTGAATCAACGGAGCAACCGCTAAGTCCAAAATCATTACGCCCTCGTAAACCGTCCAGGAGTGAAGCAGAGATCGCTACATCTAGACCAGCAAAACAAGACGAGACCAAAGTTCAAGCTCAGCCAGCATCTTTGGAACCCGAAAGTGAGCGGATGAGCATTGAGCAACCGAGTCCAGTGGACCAGGTGCCACCACTACATGGCCTTCGAATCTATATCATTCATGTTAAGGAGTCCTTGATGGATGGTGCCAGCCCCAGGGAGCAGATACTGGCAGAATTGAGAGAAAGAGCCGAAGAAGCCTGGTTAGGATGTGAATTTTACGCTCCATCATCTGGAGATGGGGTGTTCATTTGAATAGGGCTTATTTTTTTTTTTTTTTTTTTTTTTTTTTTTTTTTTTTTTTCTTCCTTGCTTGCCGTGTGTGTGATCCTGATGTCATGGAGTCTTGGAGTTTCCCTTTTTATGATCCATGATGCAGTTACGATTTGGTTTTTGTATGGGAAATTTGGCATTCATTATTCCTTTGTGTTGGGGGATGGGGTTTATTCTACTACTGTGCCAGAAGATGCTCTTCACTAGATGCCTTTTGCGGGCTACGGCCACTACTTTCACCATTGTTGCTGCCACTGCGACCCCCTGTTGCTTGATGTACTGAGGGACATACTGTGGTTGCCTGCCTTTAAAGATTTCAGTATATTTTACTTAGTGACGAAATATCTTTACTGTTTCAGTCAACTACCCTAAAGCAAATGATTATATCCCCCTTTCATTATGCACCCCTTGTGATATTTGTTTTCTTGGTCACGGTTCTGCATGTCACATTGGGATGAGTACTATTCCACTTCATCTTCCACTGACCTTTGGATCAAGGAAATAGTTTTCAACAATATTGTTTCACGCAGGACTCAGTGCCTCATGGTGGCAACAGAGGTGCTAATTTCTCTTCTGCTCCCAGTATAAGATGGGCAGTTGAAACATCTACGCACCGCTGATTCCCTATCATAATCTTCCATATCAACACACCACGGTTCCGTTAATGGTTATTGTGGAGTAAATCACATTCCATACTCAAACTTCTTAAGCAAATAGGATCCTGCACCAAAATGCCACAGCAACCCTTGGACTTAGATGAAAAATTCTTCATCACCATCCATAACAAGTGGAAGAATATCTTCCCAGGGGACTGTGCTGTTGCTAAGTTATCGGACAAACCATTCATCAGCATAAGCAACCTGCATGGTGGATTGGCGTGCCTCCTCATCTCACCCACAGCCGTCATCATATGCAACTTCAGCCCACTCACCACACAAGCTGCCGGGCGCCAGGTCTTTGCGAAATTGAAGAAAGAGCGAGACAAATACAAACAGGATCTCCGCTGTGACGGGTCTTGTCGTTCTCGACTGATTCTCCTACCAGATGTGCGTAAGCTGCCGGTGTTCTTTATAAGGTGTGCTACCGATGTCTGGAGCCATGTGCAATACACCCAAGTCCCCGGCATCCCAATCGCAGGAAAAAGGAGAGGGAGCTCTTATTGTTGATGCAAGGGGGATACATCAGCCCGGCACGATTGTTTTAATTGATGCAGAGGAGGTGTGGAACATGACATGGGTTGGGTAAACCAGAATTCGAAGCGCGGTATTCCAATGAGTCAGACGACCAGTCTTTATTTTTTTTGTCTTTGTCGTTGCTCTCTGCTTTCTGGTTATCTCGGGGGGTGGTTAGCTATGTATTGAATAAATTGGTATATTTGCAAAATTGGCTGTCTATACTGAGAATGAAAGGAAATATCATCGACGCCCTTGTCGGCTACTCTATGAGAGCAAGGAGGGAATTCTGTCTGCCACTCGACAGCATTAATTATTATATCGCGTATCTACAGAATATGATAATCCCATCCGCATATCATTTATATCTCGCAAAGGCGGACCAATCGTGAGAAAAGGGTAGGTTCGCCAACTCAACCTCACGAATTACCGCCAGCATTGTTATTCTTCGCCAATCCGATCGCATCGACCCACTTTCCTCCGCTTTGTACAGAGGGTGTTCTCAAGCCTTTGCTCACCACGACAGCTGCTTCACCACCATTCGCAGTGCCATTACTATCGACAGAAACATCCTCGTCGGTATCCAGCAACCCTTCACCATCGCGACCCCATTCAATCAGCGCCCACTCGCTACCCCATTCGCTCATTCCCATAATACCCACAGGTAACTTGGTGTCTTCGGCGTATCCCATAGGGCAGGAAATGGCCGGGCAACCGGAAAAGTTGGCCAAGTAGACGTACTCCATCGTACGCAGCGAAGTATTGACATCGCTGACGCCGTGGGTTAAGTCAGCTCCGCCGGGGCTGATTTGCCACCCTGCAATGGGCAATGTGGGCGTAGCGATGACCATTCCTGGATATTTCTTGAACAGGAATGCGAGATGGGACATTAGTAGGCTGCGCAACTTCTGTGCTGCGAAGAAATCCCGCGCTGACACCTGAGAGTTTCCACTGGAAACAAGCACTCTGTTGGGAGCAGATAGTTGGGAAATGTCTTCCTTTGAAATTCCGGAAGCTATCTCTGAGAGAATGGTAAGCGCATGGGCCTTCTGGCCCTGTGGGATATAAGGGATGGTGATGTCGATAATTTCATAGTTTTGCTGGGTGCGGTAGTAGTCCATTGCTCGGTTAAAGAGAGAAAGAACAGCGGGATCGGATCGTTTGACCCATTCCTGATAAACTCCAATGATCTTTGGGCGAGCGGTCGCGGCTGTGGCCGAGGCTGGATCAGGAAAGCTAGAGGACGTAACATGGTCTGGGTCTGGACTCGACATGATGCGATAGGACATATCGAGGTCATCAAGACTGCTGGTCATAGGCCCGAAGACACCAGTGGTGGTAGCGAGCCCACGGGTTGGAGATCCGGATACACGCCCGTGGGTCGTCTTCAAGCCGTATATTCCGCAAAAGCTTGATGGAATACGAATTGAACCACCGCCATCGGCACCAAGGGCAATGGGCACGATGCCGGCACCAACTGCATAGCCAGAGCCTCCTGAAGAACCTCCTGTGTAATAATTTGGATTGTGAGGGTTCCTGGGGGTCCCAAAGTTTGGATTGTTATTGGATGTATCTGTGGAAATTCCTCATAAGCCGCCATATACAACACCATCGCGTGCAGTAGCCACTCACCAAGCCCCAACTCATGCATAGTCGTCTTCCCGATCACAATGGCGCCAGCCTCTTCCCATTTCTTAACACACCAGGACGTCCCGCCCGACTTGTTGGTGTAGTCCAATTTCGTTCCCACAGTTCTTTTGTAGCCATCTATATCGACCTCATCCTTAACGGCGACCGGAACACCATCCATCGGACCCAACGAAGTTCCATTTTTGTATCTTGCTGTCGAGGCCTCCGCAGCTGCACGAATCAGATCGACTTTTGATTGCAAAAACGCAATCGAATGTTCACCCGCTGGTGAGACATCTCGACGAATTAATGGAAGAAGCGCGTCGACTACAGCTATGGGGGTAAGTTCCCCGGAGAGGTAAAGCGCACGGTAATCCGCAGCCGTGTAGTACCCTCCTTGACGTTTTGCGCTTCGCGGGACAGCCGAGGATGGGACTGTTTGCGCAGTATAGTTTGTGGATGGGAAGACAGTAGGGTCGTATCGCGGCTCGTAGTCCTCTAATTCTTTAATGGTGTGGAGCACGCTGAACCCGGCGTTTTTCCAAAGGATGCTCTGTATGAAGTTGGAGGACTGGACTCTGGCAGATCCCATCCGTTAGCTTGTTTTGCTCAACTCAAGGAGCGCACATGCTACGGCGCAAGTATACTCACAGTGAAGCCCCTATTTGGAGCAATCTGCCTCGAAGAACTGGGTTTGAAGCACCCTCATTCTTGTATGGAACGCTCGGGCCTTCAATGGGTGTAGGGTATTGGTAAGACGGAGGTAGTTTCGCTTCAACGGCCATTGTTTCAGCTCGACGATGTCAATTCCACCAAAAAAACAGAACGCATAGACGGAGTCCCAGGCATTGATGAAAGACTGGAAGCAGTTATACTGAAATTGAGCCCAGTTCGGAGATCATAAGCTCCGACTTTGTTGACGCCGCCGAGGCATGTGAGGACGCCAAGCCAGGGGTTCGCGCATAACTGCAGGTCCCTCGCTAGCTTAAGGCTCGAACACCTGCGGAGGAACTGAAATGTCCTAACTTTACGCAAGAGAGACGGAAAAGCCATATGCTTGGACGTTGTATTTATTATTTGCCAATCTAACGCTAATATTATACACTGCATAGTATACCCAGACACGTCTATAAAGGGAATTAAACACATGAGAAAAACAATCAAATCTTCAGTTTCACATTCCACCGATCTAATGTCAATGCAACAGCAGTCAATGTAGTTGCATATCCAATCAAAACCCCCATGGCCAATTCTCTGCTCGCATCCAGGGTATTCAATTTCAGATTTACCGCTCCCGTCAGGAGATTCGCAATCAGGAACATTGCCAGACCATTCTTATTGAAGGCCCCCAGGATTTTGCTCGTAGCGAACTCGCTGCGTTCAGTCTCAGTCTTCCGATCGGTAGCACTGTAAACCGAAGGAAAGAATACGGATTCTGATAGATAGAAAAGTAGCAGTTGGAAGTTGTTGAAGGCGATTACCCAGAGGACGTATGGCATGTTGGCAAGTCGGCGAGAAACCGGGATTGCTGCTCCAAAGCCAAAGACTTGAAAGGAGTTAAACGTGAATAGGATTGTCCAGATAGACGTCCAGATTGCCATACGAATGAGCAACTTTTTCCGAGAACTAGGACTTCCGGATTGCCCAGTTTCACGGGGTATTATCCGTAAACCCGTGGCTCTACCAGAGAGGAAAATAGCCAGGTATCCGAAAAAAGAAAACACTCCTTCGCGGTTCTTCGAGAGGAGAGACAGGCCTCTGGGGGACACTAAGATATATTCTTTCAGCGTTGTCGATTCCAGTAAAACCTGGTATATGATGCTGATAAAGAGAGATAGAACCTCGTATGATGGGACTATCGTGGTCAAAGCATGGAAAACCTCCACAAATGGCGGTAAGAAGGCCAACGTAAAGAAAAAATTCCAGTGTACACCGTACTCCGAAACATGCTCCGCATAGTCTAATCCTTTCACACTATACAGTCGAATAAGACCTAGTGCCAATAAAGGTATTGAATGACGGATTGAGGCGAGCAAGCGTCGCGGCAGTGATTCTCCTGAACGCTTAGATGGGCCCCGAGATACGAGGATCGAGCGGGCAGAGACTACTCCTCCGGAAAAGACGAACGACCCGACACCCAAATCCATCAGCGATGTCCCCCAATTCTCGACTTTCGCGAATCTCCGTGGAAAAACACGAAAATCAACCGCTAGAATAGCCAAGCACGTCGTCACCATCATCCCACCTCGGTATAACGTGAGGAACGGCCGTACGGGGAACGGGTCAAGGTTATTCGTAGATGCGCCATGTGAAGGGTGAGCAGCTGCACGCGGTGGCTTTGCTTTTTGGGTTGGTTGCTTTCGCTTTCGTCCCAAGAGTATGAAAATGGTGGGAGTGACTAGGAGGATATTTAGGAGAACAGGAGCGCTGGAGTAAAGAGTAATGGCAAACAAGATAGCCAGGACATTAAGCAGAAAATCCGTGACCAGAGCTGGTATGCTGTATGGGGAGAAGAAGGACCGGTGGGCCTGAAGGGCGGACCAGAGAAGCACAGCGGACTAGAGTCAACACAGGGTTCTGTTAGTTTTTTCGCTGACATACTTTGAGAAACAATGGCACAGTGGCTCAACATCCTACCTGTGCTACAAGTATCACAGCATTGATTTCCCAGATATCTCCTCCTGTAAGGTTGGAGACGAACTCTTCCTTGCGAGCCTTGTAGCTCTTGGCCATTGGGGTCGATGTGAATATGTGCCTGGAACGCCGAACCTCAGACTGTGAAGAGTCGCATGGACATCATTAGCTGGAAGGAAAAAGGAAATCTCCAGCAACAATTATTTTGTTTTGTAGACAAGAAAAGGGCAAAGGTGTCCTTTTTGAACCTGCTTCGTGTCCACTGCAGTTGGTGGGAGCCCAGAAGTTTTGAGCGTGGGAAAATATCTTGGTTTGACGACATTGTTATTCTTGCGCTCAAACCCTTAGGGACTTTTGTGCTCTGTACAAAGTAGTTCTTAAATTTTGCTGCTGAATCAATCTTTTAATATGTACAGAGTAGTTTACCTATCATAAAGAAATCATACTATAGGACTAGGGAACTTGTGCAGACATTAATTCATTAATTCATATACGGAGTACTTCATAATACATAATTATTGATCCAATGAGTGTATATACCCCAACCAACTTAGACAAAGGAAAATATTGAGAGTATAGTACAAGGAGCGACAGTGAAAGGTACGGTAATGAGTGGCAGCACACAGAGTACATCTCCCACATACGGGAGTGGCAGGGAGAAAGGTCATTTGACAAGTCAGTCACAAAAGCGCCCGTAATGGGCCCATGATGTGAATAGAGTGCTTTCGTGGAATTAAATCGGACTAGTATTTGGAGGAGCCTCGAAGCGGGACACGTTTTGCCCCGCGTAGACCTGGCTTGGGCCGTGAATGTTCTCGTAGGACGTCAGTTAGGGAGTAGGCTCTCTCGTCCGCAAATCGAACCTTCTTCTGCGGCTTAATTTCGACTCGTGAAGGTGAACATGATGCCTCACGTCGGCGCGCCAAAGTGGAAGAGCTCTCGAAAGGTTCGTTGCGCCCATTCAGTGGCAGGTTGTTTCTTGTAAATTCTCCACCCCCGGGCCCCGGATTAAACGACTTACAATCGAGTTTTGGAGACAAGGATTTAGATTCGCGTCTGGCCGACGAGGATCGGGCTCTACTAGGATCGACGGCCACAAATATTGATGACAACGGCGGTCGAGATGGCGAGGAAGATGATGAAGAGACTGGGGAAGGCAGCCGCGTAGGGCGCCCATCTCTATGCGATGATAGAGAGACTCTGCGTGAGCCCGACACAGGAGAACGAGAGCGGGATAGATCCCTGTTCTCACTTTGCCGAGATGTACGAGTCTCTTCCACAACGCGTGTCGCAACAGGGCTTATTTCACGGAACTTAGAAGGATCGATAGGAGCACGAGGAGGAGAGAGAGACGCTGCCTTTCCCGAACTTCCTGGACTGGAGGGCCGCGGCCCTCTTGGAGCCTGTGTCCTAAGAGGGCTTCCATCACGGGATCCAGAAGAACTCCCGGGAGAACTAGGAGGCGACAGAAAAGCTGACGCTCCTGTTCTTCCCAAACCGGAGGGACTAGGTCGTCTTGGGAAGGGTTTCGCACAAGGGCTTAGATCAGGTGAGTCAGGAGGACTCTTGGGAGAACGAGACAGAGGTACAAACGCTGCCGCTGTGGCCGCTACAGACCCTCGTGGACCAGATGAACCGGATCCTTTAGAAAGCCATGGATCAAAAGGGCTTAGATCGGGGGAAGTAGAAGAGGCATTAGAAGAGTGAGAAGACAGTAGCAACGTTGCTTCTTTGGCCCGTCCGGTACGAGATGGTCGTTTCGGAAGCGAGGGGTAAAATGGTGGTAAATTGCTGAGTTTGGCCGGGGGTAAGCGCATAAGCTTCTTTGGTGATTTTGTGCGTTTTGTAAGGAATTTTGCAGGAAGCACGCTTTCGTCGTCGGATGTACCAGCATAAATCACCGTAAACTTGCTCCGTGGCCGAATTTCAGGTATATTCAGATATTCGGTAAAATCAGAGGGAATAGGCATGGTTTTATCATTATATAAGTCCGTTAAGGAGTACCTTTTTCCCTTATCGTTGGTGCTGAGGGATAGAGGGCTTCTGGCCCGTCTCGATGAAAATCGAGGGCTGCCGGTGGAAGAACTTCGTTGTGAGAAAAGCTCGGGTTCAAAGCGGGTTTGTTGTCTGCCTCTGCCGCTTCCTAGTGGTGACCCGCGGCAGCTTTTGCAGCAGTCAGAACCTGGTTTGCAAGGCATAGTACCTTATAGATGACCGGTATTTCGGGGTAAGATAAATAAAAATAATAATTATGTAGGTGCGCACCCAGAAAAATATCATATCATGGGCAAGAAAGCTCGAACTGATGGCGCTTCTGGTTTAGATAGGACTGTGAGGTTAAACTTTCCCTGGAATGGAAGAAATCTCGTCCAATTTAAGCTCAAAGACGCGGTTCTTTTTTTGAAGTCCCTCATGGACTAGAATAGCAAAGGGGAGAGGAAACACAGCCATCTTTACCAAAGAAGATGGCTGGAGAAATCTACTTTTGCTCAGGACCTATGGATATGAACCCCGAGGCAGGCAATGAGGTATGCACGGCGACTGTTGACACAGAATCACTAAAAGTAGAAACTAAGCGCGATGTTGTTTTGAATCCCACTCCAGAATTCTCCGCAGGACGAACAACAGCGTGTTTTCGATTCAAGAGTATTCAAAAATCGGTCGAGCTGAAACACTTCTCTTTGGTACCTTAGGTCCCGAGAGACTGGTTCTGCAAATGTAAATAGAAAGCCGCCTGGGCTTCAAGTAGAGAAACAAAGCAAAGGGGTCCTCATCAGGATCTCAGAACTATGGATCACTCTCTTGGCTCTCCATCTTACCCAATAGTGGTGATGTCCCCACTTCAAGAGAAGATATAAACGCGGGGAAAGTTGAAGCAGGATGGTTGGAAGAGATTGCACGAGAATGTCAACCCCAACCCTGTCCATCGTTTCAAAAGGCTTCATTTTTGGTATAGGGGAGATAGAAGATTCACTTAGCGCAGACCATGCTCCGATCGTGGTGGCCCGTGCAGCTGGAGCCTGTCGACTGGCTGACCTACGAGCTTGCTGTATGGTTGACCGGTGGATGGATGGGATGGTCGACCGGTTTGGTTGATTGATGGGCTGATGAGGTTTCGAATTTCCTAATCGGTTGCTAGAAGAGAATTGACGCTAGCACCAATACAGACTAGTGCATATTATAAATAACCAGGCGGCTGACGTCCAGCCAAACAGTATTCGGCTTTTCTGTGCAGCGCTCGATGGCCAAAACACGGAATAGCCGCTCGCATTAACCAACATGCAATCACCAAAATAAATCAGGGGACGATACGAGCGGGGAACAGGATTATGGTCTCTTTTTGTCAGCTGCTCTATGTCCATTTCTCTTTCTATCCATCCTTCCATGATCATAGGCGGATCTTCTTATTCTTGCTGGTCGATCTTCAATTGAAGCCGGATGCTCTTCACTACATCCTAGTTCGCGATGATCTGAGGTTAGCTGTGTCCTTGACGTTCCTTGGGCGCGTAATTCACACCGTGTGTCAATTCGAAACGTCGCACAGAGAAAGTCCCAATGAACCACTCTAGCTCAAAACGAGGTCAGGTTCGAGTCATGCCACCCCCGAGTATTTCCCTGTTTCCGATCATGTTTTCCTCTTCAGTCCCAAATCCACGGAGTGAATTGGCGGGGGGCTTGGAAGTACACGGAATCGTCACATCGATGATTGTCTTAGAGAGCGACATCAACATGACTTTCCAATTTTTGAGTAACCAGGAACCCCTCAACCTTGCCTATAATGATTTTCCACACCTGCAGAAAAGCTATAATTGGTAGCCTATATAGCATGTACACGTCTAGAAAAAGCGGGAATCTAGGTTCGGCTTCTCTCCCCTGAGCTCTTCGATGGCTAATCGCATTCCTCGTGCATTGATATTGAAGTATCGCCAAACCGTACGCTGCCCTTGACAACACATGCCACGCGTGGGTAAAATGAAATGGTTGAGTATGATCGGGCTTCTCTTTGTATGTACGGGCAACCTGTATGAGCTGTCGACCCATGAATAGAAAATGTCCAAAGAATGGACCCGTCACTCTTCTGTTCGATGGATGTTGTCCATGTCTCACCTTGGCTTGGATGAAGCTCCGCTTGAGAAAGACGCGTTCTTGACTACAAACGGCTCAGATCCATCTCCGCAGGTAACAAAGAGCAATACGGTCTGATAACGTGGCTACAGGGATGATAAATTTACGCTTCCGTAAGAGCCGCAGCCATAACGGTAAGCTATGATCTTCCGCGATATGAACCATTAACTTGCCAAACTCACCAGACGAATGCCTTGACGAGCGTTGAGAGCAAAGTTTCGAAGGCTATTCCCTCGAGGCTCTTTCCGATGCTAGCTTTCGCCTCGTAGTTTTTGTTTAGTTAGCCTTCCACTCAATCTCAGCCGGTCAAGCCAGCATTTAAATCCCGCCGGCCCAGCAGACCGGATTCATCACACAGGAGAAAAAAGAAAAAAATTGCTGCGCACATAGTTGTATTAAAACCGGGTATCCCTACCGCTGTGACCGCGAAAATGTCCAGTGATTGGAGCAGCAGCACAGCTATGGGGTAAGGCCATACAGGGCAGCGTTTCATCAAAATAAATTAAGAGCCAGAATTGTACACATGGTTTCGCACAGTATTATTCACGGCCTCGATCGTCATCCCGCTTTTCTTTTCATCGTTCGTTATTCTCAATCCGCAAAAAAGGAGGGGGGGTCGGGGAGTATGTTTGTATGAGAGATTGAGTCCAGTTTTGACGCGTTTCCTGGCTTCAGCCGGGCCTTGTTGACCTTTCTTGCTGTTCTTGTCTTCCTGGGTGGCTCAAGGTTGAACTCGCCAAAAGCCACGAAGGGCGACCTGAATCGGCCCGACGGCTTGAAGAGCGACGAACCTTGAAGATTACCGTTCTTGTGCTCGTGCAGCAAAAAGGAGAACTAGACCGCTATCAAGCCCGCTGGGGGAGATTTTTTTTTTTTTTTTTTTTCCTTCTCTTTCTCTGACATTCCTTTTTCTTTTAAATCTTCGCATTTCACACTCCTTTATATTCTCGGTTTTCGTGTTTTTTTCTCTTGTCTCCATTTGCAGCAGAATATCGGGGAAAGGCGAACGGTGCTGCTTGTGTCTTCGTCACTGCGCTTCGCCCCAACCACTTTCCTTTCAGTACAGCTATTCGCTTCTTTCGTTTCGTAGAAGGGACACAAGAGAGTCAACCCAAATTCCCCGGCAGACATGATGGATACCCTCCTCCAAACCATGTTCATCATCGGCGGCGCCTGGACATGTCTTATCGGCTTCCTTGTGCTCGGGATATGTCGCCAGAAGTATACTCGGACCGGAAGTCCTTCAGTGTCCATGAATAAATCGAGAGACGGCCTGGATCTATTGCCAAATGGCCACCTCCACGGAAGTCATGGCATAGATGCGAAAGCGGGTGCGCCAAAAAATGCATAGTCCGCTGCCGTGCATGCAGCCATCTCTTTGCGCTTTTGAAAAGAATAATAACAGCTGGTCTGGGCGATGAGCACAAATCCAGGGGGGTATCTAGCGCTTTAGGGGGTGGTTGGGGGCTGGTGGTAAGTGGAGTGTTGATTTTCCCAAAATAAAGGCGGTAAGGAGCTTAAAATTAACCACCAGCCATCAGCTACCTTCATTCGTTTCGATATCTGGTGCGAGTTCGATGGTTGCGGCTTGGGGGCGTACCGTGGTTTGGGGATTGTTCTGGAGATCAAAACGCCAGGGCACTTTTGTTTACCCTTGCTATTCTTTCGCTTCTGGGAGGGAAACCGGAGAGCTTGGTTCAGTTATTTTATATGGTAGACTGCCATCGGGCTTATGAGATTATGACCTTTTTATAAATCCTTTCCCACTTCTTCCATACACACATGTTCTGCGGGACTATAGCTACGAGATTTCTTTTCTTTTCTTCTTCTTCTTTTTCCTTTTTTGTAAAGAAAAATCTTGAGGGCTCGAGATAGAAAAAGAAGCCTAGCATTAGCTATCAGGCGCTTATATATATATATATATATATACAGGTATATCCAAAGAATAACGCAAGAAACGCCATCCCTCAAATGTCATGATACTCCGAATCCTTTTCATGAAATTTGGTTCTTCGTTTATTTGGTATATTGCTTCTGCAAGGTCTTTGCAATGGTCTGTAGCTGGATGTTGCTGGTACCCTCGTAGATGGCACCGATTTTGCTGTCTCTGAACATTTTCTCCGCGATACCTTCTCTGACGAAGCCCATGCCGCCCATCCACTCGACTGCGGAACTAGAAACACGACCAGCAACTTGGGAAGCGTAGAGCTTGGCCATGGCAGCATCCATGACGAAGTCTTGACCGGCTTCCTTCTTGCGGGCAGCATTGTAGACTAAAGCGCGAGCGGCAGCAATATCGGTATATGCCTGTGCGACCTGATGTTGCATGCCCTGGAATGTACCGATGAGTTGGCCAAACTGCTTGCGGTCATTCCAGATATATCTATAATACTTAAATTAGTACGACGCCTTGGATTTATAACGTTTCCAGATGACTAGGTCACCACATAAAATAATGCGGAAGATTTGCTTTAATAATACGTACCCGGCAGCATTTTCCCAGGCACCAAGAGCCAAGCCCGTCATTTGAGCAGCGATTCCAATACGACCTTCATTTAGAAGGCTGATGGCATATTTATAGCCCTGGCCTTCCTCTCCAAGGAGGTTTTCCTTTGGAATCTCGACATCATCAAAATTAAGGACGCAAGTGCTGCTGGCACGAATACCAAGCTTCTTTTCTTTCTTTGCGATGCTAAAGCCCTTGGTGTCCTTCTCCACAAGGAAAGCGGTAATTCCCTTGTAGCCCTTGCTAGGGTCAAGGTTGGCAAAGACGATAAAGCATCCAGCTTCCATGGAATTGGTAATCCACATCTTAGAGCCGTTGATCTTGTACCCAGACTCAGTCTTGACTGCTTTGGTCTGGAGGGCAAAAGCATCGGATCCCGACACAGGTTCAGACAAACAGAACGAACCGACCGTGTTCGTCGCAAGGCGCGGCAGCCACTTCTTCTTGATTTCTGCGCTCGCATACTTCAAGATGGCGGTATTAACGAGGGTGTTGTGCACGTCAACCATGACGGAGACACTCGGATCGACCCGGGCGAGCTCCTCGATTCCCACGATAGCAGATGTGAAATTCATTCCAGCACCTCCATACTCCTCGGGGATCTCGATACCCATCAAACCTTGTTCAAAAAGCTGTTCGACAACTGCTGGATCCATAGTCTCTGCCTCGTCCATATCTCTCACTTTTGGACCAATTTGCTCCTGGGCAAATTTGGAAACCGACTCGGCCATCATGGCCTCCGTCTCTGAAAGGAGGGTAATTGGCGTAGGCGTCAAGCTTGTAAGATCGACATCGCGGCGTTGAGGAGTAGATGAAAAAGCGCGTGAGCTAGGGATTGGTCTATTAGCTCACCAATCCAACAACTCTACGAACATCGAACTCTACCATTGGAATGCCCTGGATGCCACCACTCTGCGGCTGGTGGAGACAAAGGACGAAGAGGCCTTAGCGGACAGAGGCCGCAATGCTCTGGCAACAGACGCCATTATACAAAGATTCTCAAGCTTGAAGACCCAGCAAGAATCGCCAAAAATCAATTTTTTTTTATGCACCGAAGAAACAGAAAGGTGAGAGGCCAAAGTTGGGTTTCCCGATGTATGCCCGGGGGTGGACGGGGAGATTCCACGTGATCCAGAACTCGAGCCTCGGTTACTTGCGGATCACCTTCCTATCGGTTCCAGCCATGGAAAAGTGCATTTCAAGGGCGCCTGCGGATGAACGGACATTTGTCCATCTACTTCATGCTCTAACGATTGATATTGCATGCGCCATATGTCCGTACAAGCAGAGTATACACACAAGCGTCCCCTCTACCTTCAGGATTTCTGTGTCCGCGAGCACACGTTGATAGCGCTTCTCTGCAATTTCCTGCCTTTACCAGAAAGCAGTTTACGGAGTACCGCGGCGCGTTTCCCCTTTAATGCAATCTTCAGAGTCGACATACGGACCGGAGGTTACATTTCATTTCGACTAACTTGACTGTATACATTTCTAAAGATCATCACCAAGGAGAATACCACTGCACAGGGCCTCTCCGGAAGAAGCATTCCCTCTCTCTCCCTTTTCTCCGTTACTGCGAAAAATGAACTGCTACGCGTTTTTGCCCATGTCACATGATTGCATTGCGCTTTCAGCCACAGTCTGTGGCGGTGCAAGTTGACACGCGCGAATGACATCATGGCGCTCGTCGACGGCGAAAGTCAGAACGGACGGTGGGCCAATCAGGATTCCGGTTCGGGGCGAACGCTGGATGATGCTGCGGGTGTGGCTGTGAAGCTTGGCAGGCCATGGGGAGGGAACAAGCCGCCAGCCGGTGTCGTCAACCAGGGGGAGGGGTCACGCTTGATACAAGTTTGACAATTTTCAAGGCTCTTCACAAAGAAGTTCAAAATTTCTCTCTAGTGACTATAGCCAATGTCCTACATATAGGACCACTATATTATTCCCCGTCGACCACCAAGTTTTTGGCTTCGCGTCAACATACAAGTGCCGTCGAAGAAACCCCCGCCCTCATCCACAACACAGACTGCGAGAGCATCACTGTGAAAATGGCTAGGCCAGTCAACGATCCTCGTCTTTGCTTCAGTATCGACAATATCCGTGCTTTCCACCTCCAGAATGGAGAACAGTCTGAGCTTACGCCATCTGGGCCACAGACCCTCTCTCTCCTAATGGTGCCCACAAGCGCTCCCTGTCCAGACCCCACGAACGCCCAGTCGACTGTGGAAGACTTCTATCTTCATTTACATCTTCCTCCAGAGCTAGAACTTCCTCTTCCTGCCACTACCCAAATATACCACCAGCCGCCGGATAGCTATCTCATTCCACGTTGGGATTTGGGTCCAGAGGCCGGCGCTTTTACACGGATTCAGTTTCCGCCAGTTGGTACTGGGCCTGGCAAGGTCAGCCAAGAGGACATCGACACATTCGAAACCATTTTAGCGCAGTGCACTGCATTCCTCGAGCGGTCGCCTCCCCCAAACTACCATACACCTTACAACCCCGCTAGCTACGGCCCAGGCGAAGGTTATGTTAACAGTGGGAAGGAGAAGCAGAAGCCAAGCCATGGGCAAATTGTTCTCGTTGACGAGGAAAACGGGAGTGTCGTTGGGGAGCTCTCCCAAGGATTTGATCTGGCGGAATCGGCCGACGTCAAGCCTGGTTCCAAAGGTAAGCCGAAATGCATCGATATTCCCTACCCAATCTAGGTCAACAGTTTCTGACCAACGTCCTATAGATCCCGTCCAGATCCAGTTGCCGACGCAGGGCGAAGGCAACCAAATTAGCGTTAGCAATGCGCCTCCCGAATACCTTCGACTTGCAAGCCACCCAGCCTACGCAAAGTCGTCCTTGGTCCAGAACGCGGCGGCCGCTTCCAGGTTACTAGTGACGACGTCAATGCATATTTCAAATGCTTTCCAGTCCGGCGCGGAGTCGTTTACGAAGAAAACCAAGCCGAACGCCAAGCCTATGACCTTTACACCGACAACGCATGCACATATTCGAAGAATCAACACCATATCCAGTTCTGCAGCTGCCTTATCCGCCAAGACCGTGGGACAGATTGGCAAGTATGCACAGAATTTTGGCGCGTCTCTCGCGAAAAAGGGAGAAAGGGACTCCGGGACCAGAGGATTTGACAAGGACGGAAGGCCGATTCCCAGCTATAAGCCTGGCATTTTGAACAGGTCGCTTATCGCCTTCAGTACCATTGGAGACGGAATTGAACAGAGCGCTCGCAACCTCCTCGAGTCCGGATCACTCGCGGCTACCACCGTAGTCGGCCACAGGTATGGCTCCGAAGCGGGAGCCGCGACGTCACATCTAACTGGAGGTGTTAAGAACGTGGGGTTGGTGTATATCGATGCCGCCGGGGTATCGCGCCGGGCGATCCTCAAGTCCGTGGCAAAGGGGATGGTTGTCGGTCGCATGCGTGACGGTCAGCAGGTTGTCGTGGGTGGAGGCGACGGCGGCCAGCTTCCCAACGGCTTTGACAAACCGGGACAGACGCCAGGTGGGCCGCCTATGTCTACTGGCTTTCCTGGGTATCCACGGGTACCGTCACCCTCTCCTACACCTCCGCCGGCATATGGAGCTAGGAGCGGAGTATCTCTGGGTGGCACAACCATGCAAGGATCTAAGAGATGATGCCCATTATCGTGGTTGTTCTTCAAGATTTTTCTCCTTTCTTTTTTTCTTTTTTTTCTTTCTTTCTTTCTTTCTTTTTATTTCTTCCTTTCAAGCAGTGCTTTTCTTTTGTAATCTTGTTGGTTTGATTTGGTTTTCTCTTTTCTTTCTTTTCCTTTTTCTTTTTTTCCTTTTTTTTTTCTTTTCTTTTCTTTTTTTTTTTTTTTTTTTTTTTTTTTGGGGGGGGGAAATTTCGGTACATAAAGTATGAGAACACCTACAAATGACAACATACCTTAACGAATGTTTGCAATAGATGTGTCTTGAATATGCTCCGTACAATTTTTCACATTGGGTGGTCGTATTGTTCTGTTATTGGATGGTGGTGGTGGTGGTGATCCTGCATAGGCGGTTGAGGGATTGTCCTTCGTAAGGAGGGCCAAGAAACCCGTTTACTCGGTAGCATCGCTTCGTATGAAGTCATGTGTATGCCCATGCGTCAACAGATGGATGCCAGATCTCTCACCACATGAACACCCAATGCAAAATTAAGCGGATTCGTATCCATGCCCAGAGACATATAACCAGTCGGGATGGAATGCTTGTGACGCGCCCAACTAGGTAGCCAACTCCTGGATGATAGGATTTGCCACCAGCAAACCTCGGAAGAAATAAACGAGGTTTTAATATATATGAACGGAGTGCTCCGTAATAATATATGTATGTATGGGATAAAAATCTTCGCGATGCAATCCTTCCAAGCGCGCGGCGAAGCTGATAAGGTTTCCTCGCTTTTAGGGCTGGTGAGGATGCCAGCGAATGAGAAAAGCGGAATTATTCGATTGGGCAGGTGTCGGGAGGAGTTTAATTACCGATTAGGGGGATAGGCGGGCTTTCTCGAGCGCTGGTTGGTGAAATTAATTGCAGGAACATGAAACACGCTGCCACGCTGGCAGGCGCCGAGGCGGTGTGATTGGCCGGATTGTGGGCTTGTGCCGGGCGAGGTGGCTTGTGAGTCGCCAGCGAGGAGAAGAACGCCGCTCCAGGTAATATCGCGATGGAGTCACGGTGGGGACGGCGAGGAAGAGCAGCGCTGCTGGTGGTGCCGGGCGGTCGCTGGCTGGCTGCTCGTGAGTCCATCAAATCACTCGATCGATCGATCAAAGTGTCAAATGGCCTTTGAGCGTCGTGTCTTGGATTGGGATGGAGCCGTGGTAATAATAGGTAACAGGTGGATGTGTGTAGTTAGTTACAAGCTGTACGGAGTATGGAGGTATGGATTAGACAGATCCCATTGTCACACGGCCCATTCATGGTGAAAGATGGGCGCCCTTGTAGCCGGACAATGACCTCCTCCACAGCCTCACCCGAAACAGAGGAGAAACAATGGACCACTGGCTGGTGGTAGGCTAGCAGATCGTTTGCGCACTGCCAAACAGGCCATTATTAATCGCAAGCAGCACAAAGCTCCGCCGGGCGAAACGAAGCCGGTCGCCGTCGAGCTGGGCTGGAAAACAACCCCCCCCCCTCCCCGGGAGTGGCTTCACATGAAGTCTGGTTGCTGGTTGCTGGTTGGGAGTGCCGGGAGCAAAAAAGCAGCAGCGGCATCCACACCCCAAGCCGCCCACGGCAAAACAGCGCCAAGCCGCCAGGTCATTGACCAGCAAGCAGATCCGCTTTAACTGGATACGGAACTCCAGCCAACGCTAACTTAACAGGAGAACAATAATACCACCCAGAAGCTAACACGCCCCGTGCTGGCACGCTCGCTCTCCCTGTCCGCTCCTCCTCCTCCTCCAGGGACGACCTCAACCTGCGACTCTCGTTGAACTCTCCCCGTCGTCTCGTCTTCTTCTCCCTCATCCTCTTCCTCCTCCCCCCCCTTCCTCTTCCTCCTCCTCCTCGCTCCTCTCCCTGGTCCCCCGATCACGTCGCTTCGTGTTTGTTGTGTTGTTGTTGCTGCTGTTGTTCCTTGCTACCCTCCTTCGCCCCCTTTTCACCCTAGCCAAACTCCCGTGCTCCCGGCCTGTCAAGCAGGATCGATCCCTTCGCTAGACGAGAACTACGCCGCTCGGTCGGCTATCATCCTCCCCAAGGCCTCGAGCGCGACGTTTCTTTCTCTCGTCGCCGATCCTCTCTCCCTGCTCTCGGTTGTCCCTTGCGTCGATCATGCTTGCTTGGCCCATCCAACTCTCCCGTCGTTGTTCGCTTCGATCCTCAGAAGCGGTCGCTCGCGTCGCAGGTTCCGACCGGACCATCGTTCGCAATCTCTAGATAGGAGTACAATTGTATCGACCAGGAAATAAAGCGTACCTTTCTACTTCGTTCAATTGAGCTTTGTCCCTTCGCGTTACGACCCGGTTGTCGTCTTCCAACCGTAATTTGCCGGATACCGTCTAATTTGAAGGGGAGATCTCATTGACAAGCTGTCTTTGCCGTCTGCCCTTTGACATCTGATAATAAATACTCGGTGACGGGAACTTTAGGGAGCGCCAAAGCCTTCAAAGGACTGGTCTGGAAAGATTTCGTTTTGAGACTTTTCTGGCTGGCACATGGTTCCATTGCTGAGTGGCTGCTTCACTCTATAACACATCAGACGCTCGACCCGCTGTAAACCGGAGCTTCCCAGGTTACTTGCCATCTCTGATGTTTTCGTGAAAATCCACCACCCTCATGGTCCACACGCCGCCGGTACATTCCTCAAAACCCTAGATCTTATGGGCATATGGCTTGAGCTTGGCCTTTAAGATACTCCGTGAGAACCACTCAAAACGCGATCGCATTCAAACCCTTTCTTTTTCTGCTCCACGCGACCTAAGCAGGCTATCTTTGCCTGAAACTCCCCTTTTGACGCGTCGAAAGGAAGCTCGCGCTTGGAACTAATAGACTAGACCATATTGTTATTTCTGCTCCAACCTTCCCCCTTCCCATCCTCTTCACCGGGAAAGGGCAAAGGTTTCTGCAGCTACTATCCAGCTGTGTGCTACTTCTTACTGCGAGGAAGGCATGTCGTCTGCGATGCAAGCGGCAACCCAGCCAAGCCCCGTCCAAGTCCCCAGCCAGTATGCACCCTCCTCTTCACCTCAGTCACAGTCCCTCCAGCAGAGCCCTGCCTCACAGTCATCACACTGGGCGTCTCAACAACAGCACCAGCAGCAATCACATAACAATGCTGTGACCTCAGGTGCAACTGTCAATTCGCAACAACCACGGTCCCATTCACATCATCTGCATGACTTGGTGACGATGACTTCACAGCCTGAACAACACATACCGTCGACGAGCGTTGCTTCCACAGCTCCTCTAACCACAGCTGCTTCAAGCGTGTCGCGTCCCAATCGCCCAGGCCTGTCAGATATCCTTGGAGGGCCACCTATTCCCCCTCCGCGAACCTCATCAAACAATAAAAGTCGCGCCTCATCTACATCGGCTTCGCCTCAGGATAGAACCGGCTCATCAAGAAACAGGCGAAGGGAGGAGAGAAGGGAGCGTGAAGATCGAGAACGCGTCCATTCCTCTGGCCAGCGTGAGAGGCCAAAGGACGACGCTCCAACTTCCAGGTCCCGTCGGAAAGCTCCACCATCGCCCGAAGGTCCTCGCCGGGCAGCAAGCACACGAGAACGACGTGACCATGGTGTGCCCGCGATGGAAAGCCGGTCGGAGGCCGCGATGGGTCCGAGCTCTTTCCCTACAGGCCTACCGAAGGAAGACGGCACCGTCACGAATCGTATGGTCGTGACGGACCCTGAGGTGGATATTATGCGAGAAAAACAACGCCAGGTCGAAGCTCAAGCTGGCGGCACCTCTAATACTAATCTAGACGGTGGTGCTGAGAGCGGCGATACCGGTCGCCCTCCCAAGAGCAGACATGACTACTCTCAAACTGCCCACAAAGAAACCACTTTTGGGGATTACATACTTGGTCAGACTCTCGGCGAGGGAGAATTCGGTAAAGTCAGGCTCGGCTGGAAAAGAGATGGCAGTGTACAGGTCGCCATTAAGTTGATCAGGCGGGAAACCTTGGGAAGTAACCCTGGCCGACTTCCAAAAATCCACCGCGAGATTGCCATTCTGCGAGAGCTATCTCATCCCAATATCGTACGATTGCATGAGATGGTGGAAACCGATCGTCACATTGGAATAATCCTAGAGTACGCGTCGGGGGGAGAGCTGTTCGACTACATCCTAAACCAGCGGTACCTTAAAGACCATGCTGCTCGCCGCCTCTTTGCCCAACTGGTGTCCGGCGTTGGGTATCTTCACAAAAAAGGAATCGTACATCGTGACCTTAAACTGGAAAATCTGCTTCTTGATCGAAATCGAAATATCATTATCACTGACTTTGGCTTCGCGAACACGTTCAATCCCGCTGATGAATTGAGCGAGGAGATTGAATACAATTTAACAAACAGGGAGTTTGTCAAACGCATGAGGCTCGACCGGCCAGATGCCAAGGGGATTAGACGAGGAGATCTTATGCAAACAAGCTGTGGTAGTCCTTGCTACGCGGCTCCAGAGCTAGTCGTTAGCGATTCTCTGTACACCGGGCGCAAGGTGGATGTTTGGAGTTGTGGAGTTATCTTGGTATGCCTCCTTCTGGGACACCAGGTTCAAGTACTTTTCTGCTAATTTAACATGGGGGTAGTATGCCATGCTTGCTGGTTATTTGCCTTTCGATGATGATCCTGCCAACCCGGACGGCGACAACATTAATTTACTGTACAAATACATTGTCACTACTCCCTTAACCTTTCCAGAATACGTTACTCCTCATGCTCGCGACCTGCTACGTCGTATCCTTGTGCCAGATCCCCGAAAGCGAGCCGATCTTTTCGAAGTAGCAAGGCATAGTTGGCTAGCCGAATATGCCAGTGTTGTTTCTCATATCACAAGCAACACCACAAATGTTGCTGACATTGCCAACACAACAGTGACCTCTGGTTTGTTATGTCCCTTTCACATATGAGACACCTAGGCTTTCCATGCTAACAATATGTATTAGAAGCACATTATGAAACTCCTTTGTTAACCCGCAGCGCATCCGTCAGAGAACCCCCAAAGCCATATCACCAAACACCTACTGTTCCTAGCAGTGCTTCTGGGCACCAACAAAGTAATTTTGAGCAAACAGATGACCAGTCAAGGCAGCAAAGAGATGCAAAACGGAGGACAGTTCAGGTTGAATATGTTGCTCCACAATCTCAAACTGCTCGTGGAGTATCGAGTGGCGAGACCTTTGGACGTGCGCCAGCACCAGCGACCACGCAACCAGCAAGTATTGAAGCATCCCGAACAAAGCCTTTGCCAAAGAGCCCACCTGTCAGTCAAGGAACTCATGTGTCTGTTGGCTATTCCGTGACAAACCGCAACCAAGGTATGCCTAGACCAAAATCAAGAGATGTTGCTCGGTCTATTTCGGAATTAACTGGTGCCTTTTCTGGGACTCAAGGTGCACCTCCACAATCAGCACGGCCTCCAACCAGTGGATCCATGGCTTCTTTGGGTAAAATAGACAGCCGTCTACCTTCCCGTGGCTCTTACAGTCAACCTGTTGCTCCAGCAGTTGCAACTGCCAATGCTCAAGCTCGCCTTGCGCAACCAAAATCCGGTGGTAAACCATACATTTCGGCTCCGATTCCAATACAACCCGGTGAACTTCCCGCTTCCTCCATTGGCCAACCAAGTACGCAACCAGGTCCATTGCATTTACGTCAACAAGATTACTCCAAGGGGCATAAGCGATCAAGTACTGTTAGCAGCATCTCCGAAAAGCTGTTTGGGCGCCCTGGATCTTTCTTCGGTGGCCGCACGTCTCAACCTGGATCTCCTCGCGTCAAACCTGGTAAACGATACCCTCCTACCAGTATGAAGGACTCATTCGGCCTTGAATCGTCTCGTGCTTCGATGGATTCCCGTAGATCGTTGTCCCATGCCTTCCGCAAACAGAGCGATGCCAGCACCGGAGGCAGTAGACAGCGGAGATTCTCACTTATCCCGCCTTCATTCTTGTCCCGAAGCTCCACAAAAGAGCGTATTGAGGCTGTAGGTCCTTCTCAGACGGACTCCACTGAGCCCGACGACGTAGAGCGTCAGCAGACCCAAGATGAGAGAAGGCTATCGACGGCACCTGCAACTGTTCTGGGTAACAATGCAGCGCAAAATCATCAACAACGAAATACCAGCCAGCCTCACCCAGGATCGTCTCATCAGCAGAATCACCGCAACCTTGCAGACTATGAACAAAGCCCCGAGGTCGCCGATTATTCTGCCCAGATCGACCGGCAATTTGCGAGTTTACACGGTACACCTGATAACCTGCACCACCCGCAAGACTATGGCAATGGGTACCAAGGACATTATCAAAGCGAACCAAATATCACATCAGGAGGCCATCTTTCGGCACCACAAGGACGAGCGGATCCCAATAAAACATTTTCTGGGCTTTACGAAGATGGATACAATCAAGGATATGAGAATGCGTCTTATCCATCTATTCAGAGCGGACGAATGCCAAGGAACAGTGTTCTTCAGAAAAATCATCGCAAATTTGCAGATGCATATGAATATGAAAAGTCCCATCATTCGGGCAGTTCTGGGGCGGCTCGAAAGGTAATGGACTTTTTCCGCCGAAGAGGAAAGGCCAGAGCTGGTGAAGACCGCTGACAAGTTTTGTCATACTTGGGCGCTTGGTTATGCCGAGCCTTATTTGCCACATTCCAGTCAAGTCCTCAGACTTGTCGATAGTGACGAACTCATGGAGAAGCGAAGCAAAGAAGGGGAGATGAGACGCCGTTTGTCAACTTGTGTCTGGATCACTGTACTACCACCACCAACCCAAGCAATCTTTTAACGTTACTCCTGTTGGACCATCGTAGGTTTCTGCTACCATAGGAATGCTATTGCTGCCTCTGCTCATTTTACTTTATTTTATCTCATGGGTTTTGCATGATCGTCCCGGTTCCAGATGGCATTCAAGAGAGTTTCTCCATTCACACCCATTGGGATTTCCTTTGGGGTACACTGTTTTCATTACCATTGTCCTTTTTATTATCATGGTCCTTATTATTTCAGCTTTCCTCCCCTGCGATTGTGTAAAGATTCGATATTCAGGCTCATGGAGGTTTTCATTTTGTTCAAGAGCGGAACTTCTCTTAAAAAATTCCCCTTTTTTGTTTTTTCTTTTAGGTTTTGTTCTACACTTGCAGAGTCCTATCTGCAAAAGCCAGGCTCATCATGTTGCATAAATACCTTGATTACACTTTTACTTTTTCTTTTTCTATTTTCTTTTTTTTTTTTTTTTTTTTTTTTTTCCTTTTCTTCTTTCTTTATTTCTTCACCCGTTCTGCCTCTTTTAAACCATTTTGGTTGTTTTCCAAGAGCAGATTCCGCGAAGCCTCCTGAAGGATTTGATACCTCTTCCTTTTTTTTTTTTTTTTTTTTTTTTTTTGGAAGTGAGAAATTTCCTCCCCATTTTAAGCAGTCGATCATGTCCCATTCCGAACCCATTCTACTCAACTTTTCCTCTCCCCGTTGGGTATTTGCATGTATAGAGAGGATTTAAAAGCCCTGTTTTCTCTTACTTAGCAGTGATTATATGACTGCCGAATACGGACTCGAAACCGTCCGTGGAGTGAGTGAGCTCTTTTTTGAGAGAAAGTGAAATTCTCTTGTTGGTACAGACATGCGTATGAGCCAAGGTATGGAGCTGTGCGAAGTGGGTTTGAGGATGAATATATGTATGTATGGGACTTATTGATCGGATAGAATGAAGAGGAAGGGGAATCAAGATGACATTTTCCTCCTCCACCCCTTCACAAAATTTTCACTCCTTTTTACCTTGGCACAGGACAGATGAAGTGTCTTTCCTATCTGGCCGTTCCATGGTCCTTTGCAAGCCGTCAGCTGGATCGGATGAATGGTCTATTATGGAGCCGTTGTAAGGTACATAGGCAGTTATGTAGGCGACTTACCAGAGATGATGCTCTTACGTATGGACGCCGGGGGCCCGGCGGGACTCGACGTGGATCCTTGAATTCGGCATGAATGTCGTAGGTAAAGTAAGCGTGTGAATTACTCCGTACCATCCTCTGGTTTAAATATAACCTCGCCATCTCGCGGGAGTGGGCGTCTGGGGCATGATCACCACAGCATATTTGACCACTGTACCTGAGACGGGCCATGCAAGAACGGGGTGTTATATTAATGAAAGCTTTGCAAAAGAGGTCATTTGGTGGTATAATAATTATCATTATTATTATTATTATTATTAGGTACTGGTATTATTTTCTTTCTCTTTCATTTCCTCGGATGGTTTTTCTTCCTCGCGGAGGATAGTTAACTATGGGCTCTTTGTTACCTAAGAGAATCGTTCGGACTCGACAAGCCCCTTGGCGACCGGCGAGGTGGCGAGCTGGCCTGGATTTGCGCTCCTTGTTTGGAAGTACTTCATACGTAACGACCAGAGAGTTCGAGAGATGCTTGTAGGCTCGGATACTGGGCCCTGCATGGCTCTGGGCTGGCGGACGGAGAGTCTTGGTCCGTTCCACACGAAGACGACGAATTTTCGCATCGATTCGATGCAGAACTAACTGGCTGAACCTCCCTGTCCGTCCTGTCCTCTCTCATTGTCTGGATTATCGTGTGTTTTGAGTGACGGTGTGTCGCAGGGGACGCGGGTTGCCTCGGGGGCTTGTGATCGAGTTCCTTCACGAACCAACTCCGTACATTAGTCTGGTAACTAGTTTACTTAGTACTATGTAATACTGCCAGCTTCTGGCTGATCACGATGCTTAATGAGATCTGCCTCCTCGCTTCGAGTTTGAAGCAAAATACTTCCTTCCCCCGCCCCCCGGTCTAGGGTCCGCCGAAGCTGGCAGACCGGGGGGGTGTTGAAAGTAAGTTCAAAAAAAATAAAATTGTCCGCCAAACAGGCTCTCGAACCCCAGCCCATGTGCTCATGCGTCTTGTCTCATTTTTCTTCCGACAGCCTCCCCTAACTTCACTAAAATGGGTGGTCTGTGTTTTTTTTTTCGCGCGCTAACTCGGCTCAAACCGCTCTATTTTTACGCATTTTGTGGGGTGACGTTCTGGTGGTGGTGGAGACGATGCTCTCGATTCCCCGCGACGATGCGCGAGACGGTGGGCTCATGAAACTTTTATTTTTCGACTTGGTCATGTGTGACTGAAAAAAAAAAAAAGGTAAAAGTGAAATGAGGTGATCTGATGAGGGTTTTGTGAACCCTGTTTTTCTTTCTCACCCTCAGATCAGAGAAGAAGTAAAAGAGAAGATGGGCATTTTGTATTTTCCTTTTGCCTTTTTTTCTCCCTTCTCTTAAAGCTTGTTCTCTCTCTCTCGTGAAGGCAGTATGTACAGGGGTTTTGTCTTCAATAGTGAGAAAAAAAAAAAAAAAAAAAATGAAAATGAACAATGGAATGTTTCCGCTTGGATAGATGCAAATGATGATCATGATAAATAAGAAAATTTAAAAAAGAAACCAAGGCCAATCAGCGCTAGCAAAGCACAAAAAAAGTACAAGAAACGGTGAACTCGGCGGCTGCACAGCATGTCGGTCGCACGAGTGCCCAGATGTCTTTTGACGACGAGAGCATATCGTTAGAGTCGACATTTCTTCAACGTTCAATTGTTGAAAATTTTTTTCTTTTTTGCCCGACCGCATCGATAGCAGTACTTAGCCGCCGGTAAAAGTCATCACAGGTCGAGAAATCCGTGCGTAGCCGGTGCACAAGGATTTCAGGTCCCAGGTTGCTTGTTCCATAAGGTTGATTGGTCGTTGAGAACAAAGAGGAATAGAGTTAAAATTGTAAATCTTTTTGGTGAATATGATTGGGAAGGAAAAAAAGCCAAAAATCACTTTTTTGAGGCTGATGCTTGTTTTTCTTTTTCTGTTTATTTGCAGGGGTTTTTAGATCCATTGGAGGACTCGGTCATGGACCGAGCTTCAGGAACCCGCATTCGAGGGCTTTCTCGCCTTCGGTCATGTTGGCCCCGGTGCTGGGGGAGCGATGCGTCTTGGTGCCGGCGGCAGGCATTGGCAGCTCTGTCGGCACGGCCGATTCGGTGGTGTTGTTGATGGGAGAAGGTTGTGGTGGCAAGCCTAGCCCGAGTTGGGCAACGGCGTGAGCTTGAGGGAGGAGTACGAGGTACTTGTTGTTCTCTGTGTAGGTATACATGGCTAGTAGGAGGAAGAGAAAAAGAGGTCGTTCGGGAGTACTGTTCTTCGAGAAGAAAAAGGGGAGACTGCTTGCGTAGAGGAAAGTTGATATACGGGCGAAGACTTTGAAGGGAGTGGAGCGTTGCGGGAGCGAAGAGAGGAGATCTTTCTTCTGGAAGTTGCTTGGATTCTAGAGTAGCGTTAGTTGAGCAGGAAAGAGAAAAGTTGCCTCCCAAGGGGCGACGTGGAGGAGGTTTATATAGTCTTTCTGGGACGGGCTTTTCTCCTGAGGAATGACGACTCCGGACAGGTTCTCTTGCAAGAGCTGTCACAGGACCAGGCGGGAATGGAAACTGGGGATCCGGGCTATTAAACCAGCAGGAATTGCCTGCTCCACAGCGCGCTAGAAGCCAATGCGGGAGGCCACGGGCGCTCCCCGAGGCGTGGATGCACCGCACGGCGCACAACGGAGCCAGTACTGTACCACGATGCCGTTTCCGGACCCTCACAGACTTGACCTTGGGAGCACACCAGCAAGTAGCCATGACGATGGCCAACTCCGAATCCAACCGACTCGCCAAGGCACGGCCATTAGGTAAAAGCTCGGATTGCTCCACCGTCCTGCTCGGTGATGCCAAGGCAGAACGCCACAAAGGGAGCCTTTTTCTTTTTTTCTCCGTTCAGGAGAGAGAGACCAAGAAAGGAGGCGTGTCCTCCTCTCACAAAGCCGGTGGTGGGCGGAGAGTCATCCAGAACTGTTGTAGTTGGCTTCGACTGAGTAAAATTGCCACCGCGCCGCCGTTGTGCTCACGATGCTGCCTTGGACTGACGGAACTTTGCTACGCCGTGAAATGGGCCGTCAAGCAGAGCGGGTGAAGCCGTGTCCGTCTAGCAGGACAGCTGTTGGAATAACAGCTAACTAACTCGTTAGCCCGTCAACGTTCGCCGTCGCCGATATGGCGGGATGCTGCTGCTGCTGCTGCTGATGATGATGACGATTAAGGAGAAAAAGTAGAAGAAGAACGGGAGAAGGACAGCCTAGCGCGCTGCACCGGCCTTCCCGACAAGCGAAGATCAAATCGGATCGTGCTGCTGGGCTTTTCTTGCGGCGAGCAACCCACAAAGAGCCAGGCCGCCCAATCAGCCTTTTTAAAACAGTCAAAAATATAGTACATAGTAGCTTCACAGCGAGAGGCAGGTCGTCCGGCCAGCGGTCGTCCCATCCCGGCTCTATCGCCTTCGCTCGCCCTTCTTCCTCTTCTGCTGCTGCTGCTGCTGCTGGTGATGATGATGATGATGCCTTGTTATCCCAACTACCCCTGGCCCCAAGCTCCCTGTTTTGCATCGTCGTCCCACCTGCGCCGTTGTGCCTCTGCTCGCCTCAGACCTAGCCGCCCTTGCTTCATTGCACCCCGGCAATGTCCCTTTCGCGCCCTCTGTTTGGTCTCTTCAGCTTGCCGCGCGGTTAGCAACCCTGCACAACATCCTCCTATGCTCCTGGCCCCCCTCTCCCCGGTGCGATTCCCGCCCTTAGCATGGTCCGCCAGCCCTGCAGAAGACGCCGACAGCGAGAATAGCCTATTCATTGGCCCAGCACTCTTATGTCCATCGCATGGATGTTGTCTCACTCCCGACGAACGCTCGACGCTGACCGTCAGGCTGCCCCCGATTGCCCAGGCAGCCTGTCACTGCCACCCACGCACACTCTCCCACTCACTCATAATCAAGCGGCAAAGCACCCGAAGAACTGGGGTGCTTTGTGATCCCCATGCGCAGAACAATACCATTCAGCTCTTTCTTTGCCCTCCTGCACCGTTTATCCCTCGCCTAATCTCCCTTCCTGCGGGGCGGTTTCTCGAATCGAGATCAAGCCTGTGACCGTGCTCATCCGCCCTAGAACTCTCCCCGGGTTGGCCAGCTGGCTCCCTGGACATATCATTCCCTTCCTTTTTTTCCCCAATTAGTTTCATACTGTCCCCGTCCACTCCACGCTAGCTCACTGGGGTTTCTTTTGGTTTTTGGGTCTTTGGGGCCGTTTCATTCGCCTGGATTCAGTCCCGGCGACGTGCCATATACCCAAAAGAGGCGCTCCCCGTTTACCAAAACGGCACTATCACTGTTCCCAATTTGCAGAACATCAGGGATGGGATCACCAACCTATCTATATGCAACAGATTTGCGTTCTGCCCGCATTGCTGTTCCCCCTTTTTTTTGTTTTCTTCCCCCCCAAAATCTTTGGGGTTTTGTTTCGTTCTCTTCAGGACGTTTCTCCGCTATCCTCTACTGGGACTTAGATTAGCGGCACAGCCTATGATGACAGTAACCCTTCAGCAATAATACCACACAACTAAGGCCCTGATCTCTACGTCTATTGACTCTTGCCTGCTGCCGGCATTTGCTGCCTGTGGGGTTCTAAACGCTCCGTATGCTGTGTGAATGTTAGGCCGGCACCCTTTCCCCACCACAGTGGACTGCATCTTGGTTTTATGCTCCGCGAACAATGCTATTGTTCCGCAAAACCAAAAAGTGACGCGACGGGAGCCGGGGTCTGACGAATGACCTCCATCGGAGCATCCCCATTCGTTTGATACACTGCAGATACTTTCCGAAACCCAGCATATGCTAACGGTCACCTGTTTCTCAACGGCGAAGCATCCGAAGCATCTTTCCCGTTGGACTGTGCTCTACCAAGCCTTAGCTGGAACATGTCTTTGCTTCACTGCTTTGGTCGCGGTTTTTGCGCCTCTTTTGAAATGCCGCTCTTTTTTTGGGTGCTAGCTCCACACACAGCGTAACAGCCACAGGACACATGAAGCGTACGGCTTATAGATGGTGCTCTCTAGATACCCTAAGGCTATGTCATCGGTTTCCCCCCCGAAAGGCGAACTAACCCACACCCTCGACTAGTTTCCCAAGTCAAGCATTCTCCCCTGCTGCCTGCGTGGACACTGACGTCTAACAGGGTCGCTTGCCTGTGCTGCCCGCCATTTGTTAGTACTTTTGGCCCATTTACCGGGATCGCTCTTCCCACACATCAACGGTGATCAGCTCTCCAACTAGTGTGACTGATTTCATTGCCTAGTCTCCTGCTATATTTGCGTTGAGCGGATGCAGAGTTTATCCCGCGAACTAACGCAGGGTCCTTGGCGGTGATTAAACCGCATTTCTTCGGCGGTGCCACCTATGGAAATTCTCTGGAGTACTATCACCTCCTCCAGGGATCAACACCGTTGTATTCCTTTGTCTTTGGAAAACTGTTGGATCTCAAAAAATTTCTCAGTTTGGTCTTTTATCATGCTGCGCTCCTTTTCGTCCCTCTCTTCCCTGACCACTAAACACCTTTCTTACCCCTTTGAGACAACTTGGTTGGTCCGGTGCCCTGCATCGGTATATGACTGTGCTCCGAGCTTCTCCATTTGCCAAGCTTGCTGGAAATAGGGAGATTTTATCTATAAAAGGGCTTGATGAACTCGGTCAAACTGAGCTTTCAAGACATCAAGCTTTCTCTCATCAAGATCATATCCTCTCCTCGCGGAAATTCCCAAGTCTACAAGTTTCCCATCCGCAGTCAAGTCATCAATCCGTTGCGATTGCCTTCAGGCCTCCTTTCACCTTCTATCTACCTTATTTAAACGTCCCGCATACCAATTCGTCTTTTGCGAAAATGTGCGTCCAGTGGTGGGAAAAGTTCGAGTGCGGATGCACCGCCCTCGTTGGCAATGTAGAGTCTTGTTCGTCTATGCAAGGCTCAGGAAACCAGTCTTCAGGCACGAAGTACTCCGGCAGCCATGGCAATCAAGGCTCAGGGTCGCAGTGCCCCAAGAACCCGGGCGTCGAAATGAGAAAGAAATATACCATCCGCCCAGGAAACTGTGTTAAGCACGGCGGCAGTGGTTGATCCACCGGTATGGGATTTCCCTCCTGATGAAACGAGACGTCCGTGAAACTAGAACTATGTTTCTGATTTTTTTTTTTTTTCCCAGTCGGAAGCCGCAACAAAAAAGCCTTGTCTCAGCATGCGTTCTTTGTGTCTTCTCCCTTTTCAATCGACTTGACGATGCACGCCGATAGACCTTTATTCTTCTTTCCCGGAGTTTCGAATTCTGAGACTAATCCCATTAGAAGCGACATGGGTCTTTTCTAGCTGCTCCTGTCGGATGGCGACGACAGATAGATAGCCCCATCGTGGACGCAAACCAAAGGGGTGTTTTCGTTTAATTTTTCAACCTTTCCTTTCTCCTAGAAAAAAGCAGAAAAGAGCCACAAAAAAAAAAAATCTCTTACCGTTTCATCTCTACTTTTCATTCTCTATAACTTTTTCGGGCCTGGTGACTGCTTGGAAGGGGTTTCCTGGACGGATATGTGGGAAGAATGGTATTGACTGCCTCTCTCTCACTCCCATCTTTCTGGCTTATTGTTTGCTACTACCACGTAATTATCTCTTCTTCCTTTTTTTTTCTTTCTTTTCCCCCCTTGGATATGTCTGCAGATACTTAAATGAATCCTACATAATGAATACTATCTTTTTTTGGGGGGGCTTTACTTTCGGCATAGTTCCTTTATTTTTTTTTCAATATCAACCACATTTTCGCTTTGGTGAGCGATTTTGCGGTAATTCCACTAATTCCAGCTGCTCGCACCGAGTCGTTCTTTTGTCCCTCACCATACTAAGAAGAGAAGTCACCGACCAATCTTTCGCATCCTGGTTTAAGTCTTAGCTACAGGGCCAGATATGGGGCGCAAGCAACAATATGTGGCTTTCTTGGAAGGGGTTTATGGTAGTCATGTCATGATACGGCAGTGATATGCTTGACTGCTGCAAAAATAAAATAAAAAATTGATTAAATGACAAAAATTAGAGAGATCCAACATCGGTACATGATAAATCTCCCCATGCATATCGACGTGCTTCCCTCCGTGCAGGGATTCCTTGGGGTTCGAGTCGTTATCCCTGCTCCGAGGATGGTGTCTGCGAGGCTTCCATTGGATGCAGTTACGCGACTGACTAGGGAGTACACAACTACCAAACGCTCCTCTGTTATATAGAGCTGAACACCACCACCACGTTCTACATTTTTAATATACCTAGATTATATTGGAATAAACGAAGAAAGCTGCTCACGCGGGCATCCACACAACAGAACAAGCCACGACAAGTGACTGCCTAGGCACGTCGTACGCACGACCGTATGTATCGAAGTCCGAGAAGCCAAGCTTCCAGGCATTAAAACGCTCCTGCATATGGGCTCCGGGCCTCGTGTGCGGCACAGCAGACTTTGGGCCAACCTTGCTACGACACACGGCCTCGGTCGGGATAGGAACTGAACGGTTAACGAGCTCAGGTGTACCTCATATGCTCACTTACGGTAGGCCCGAAGTAAGACTTCATTATCGACTCGCGACAGACCCCAGAGAAAGGTATTATGTTAATATTAAGAACGCAAGGTCTTTCGGCCTATCGACTCCATATCTTCGGTTTTGCAAAGGAGCTAAAAGTATAATGGATGCGTAGCAGGGACTTCTTTCCAGTCATTGGCTGCAGGATATGTAAGTTGAAATGCATCATGTACGAAGTAAAAGGTCAACCCGTTCCGCTCCGGGAAGATCTACCCGCGCTAGAATGACGTATCATACTCGCCAGATAGCTCTTCGGGAGCGGGAGGTACATCTTCCGCAGCAGGAATTTTCGCTCCCGTAGCATAGAGGGTTTCAGGCCTAAAGGTTTAGCATGCGAATGGTTCTGCGGTACGGGGACTTGATATGGATTGCCGCGAGACCAGTCTCGAGCCCAAAACCGGTATCCAGCCCCCGAATGGTCATTAGGCGGCTCTTCAGTCGGGGTTTGTTGCCACAAACGCCTGCCAAATGTCCAGTGTATCCTGGCCTCTATCCATTCCTTGTTCTCAAGTACCCCCATACTACCGTTTCAATGGCTTGAAAGGCCGTGGGAAATCAGGGCCAAGGGCAAGAAGAGGAAAAATCCGCAAGGACTAGTCCCTAGTAATGCAGAAATATAGTGGCGCTAGGGATATGCTGCACACCAACAGTGCTCATGGGGTGGAAACCGGGAAGGCCCGAGATATGGCATTTACGTTGCACTCCGCAGATCAAATTTAGTTGTCATCTTTGGCCTGAGAATCGTCAGCATAATTCTTCAGCGGATTCTTTGTTGGTGTTGGTGATGATTAATGCGAGGTAACCTGAAGATTCAAATGGAAGCAAAACACCAATACTAATTTGACATATCACTTTTCGTGTGAAGAATCAATGCAAATATGGCACAACGGTTATGATGTACAACCACTTTGCGGTTCTATACTCCGTATGCCATCCGAAGGATGCGGCGCATCAGTTGGGTGGCTTGGCGCTCGGGTGCCACTGGGTTCCCGTGCTAAAAGACGCCGCATTCCCAAAGGAAACTAAAATGTTGGAAACCAATATTTCAGGCGGCGGGTTTTAGTTGAATCAGGCGCAGCTAATGTGTACTCACGAGCTAGATTCAAGGCACACCCCTGAAACCGTAGCGATACCCCAGCAAAGCTGCACGGTTGCCAACATATGCTAACAGTCATGTGATCTATACTTTGGTCCGACAGGAGGACAGCAAAAGCACTCCAACTACCAGGTAAAAGGTAGGTAGCACCGAGGGTATCCGATGAGACTAGGGGAACTTGTACAGCATGCATTGTGTCGTCGGCATTCACAAGACCGGCCATCGCATGCGAGTGTACCGGAGCGCATGGGTGAACGACGAGGCATTCTCTCCCAATTTCCTAAATGGAAGACAAGTGCAACAGAGTTCTGACTAAATCATGCTTAAAACCCTGATCAGCGACCAGGTCGGTGGCCGACGGTGGTGGCATCGGACAACGGCACTCGCGTGTTCCACAAAAGCCTTCCTCCATCAACCATTGGTAGATTTGGCCAGATGAATTTTATGACTCGCAGAAAGTAACCATGACCGAGGCCAATGGACGTTGGCATATTGCCGCGATTACCTTGGCTCTTTTCCACAGTCGCTCCATGCAGCTTTCGACCGCCACTCATCCGACTGCAGGGTGACAGGGCGCACCGTAGTCTGATTAGCAATTTTTCAAAGCACGATGTGGCCAGAACGGTCATCGGAGCGGTCTCGGATTTAGGGCCGCTCTAGCGACGTGCATGCAATTGTAATAGAGTCATTTTGCGAGGACACCTAATCGAGTTCAAAACTTGCATCTCATGCGCACGCACGCAGACACGGGTTTACCTCCCGCTGCGAAGATCATCGACCAACATTCAAAAGTACCTAGATGTACCTCCATCCTTGCCATTTGTCTTAAACCGGCTCTTCATACAACCAATAACGTACCAAATCAGGGAACCACTTTGGAATCAACCTATAGCGTGAAACAGCGCAGCTCGGCCTTGAACGGGATGAAAGACGATATGACAAGCATGTCAAACATCCTGTTTAGCAATGCATCGTGTCAGTTGTTGGGAGACACGCAAGTGGAATCACCCGACTCCGGCCGGAATAGGACGCAAATGGCAAGAGTTTTCCTCTGTATATGCCGGAAGAGAACATGGGGCACTGCGAAGATCATGCGTGGCGTTGGTATGCCACGCTCCCTTCTCAGCCATATAGCGATGTCACATGGCTTCGCCAGTCTGAAGCCCCTTGTATCAGTTGGATGTCAAAGAGACAATCGCGGCTCGCGGTGGGGGGTCATTCTACTCACGCAAACCCCAACAGTATTAAGCAAAAAAAGGATATCAGAGAACATTCGATTGGCTCTTTGGGTCCTGTAGCACTGTGCAAGCCCTCGTACTACGAGCACGGAGCACTTCTCGGCATTGCATCTCGAGGAGGAGGTCAAACCCGTGCAGCGTGCCTCTTCATGTCTCCCGTCACTCATTTTTGGACTGTCGTGAAATCACGTGATATCCTGTGAGTGCCCGACATCAGCAATGTCGCGGTTTGTGAGACCGAACGACAGCGACCACCAGCAATCCATTCCACTCATGTAATGTCCATAGACATCAACTGGGAGGCCGCAACCTCAGGGCCAGATGGCGAAGCCCTTGCGGAGCGCATCCGCTCATTCATCCACGACAAGTTCCAGCAAATCGCCCTTCCTCGATTTATACGCTCCGTCGAGGTGAACTCCTTCGACTTTGGCACGATCAAGCCCGAGCTGCAAATCAAGGATTTATGTGATCCGTTCGAAGACTTCTATGAGGAGGATGAAGACAACGAAATTGGAGATGGGGAGGTGTCAGATATCCAGGACAGATCACCGAAACCTCGACCTTCCAGCGCTGGAAATGAGCGGAGCGCGGCGGACGCGTGGCAAGCGGAACATCCTGCGTTCTTAGATGACCGGCTATGCGGCAGAATCGAACCCCATGATGTCCCGATACCCTCGAAAGAGGATCCCCTAGCATCGAGGCCGATCCGATCTCCAATGTCCTTCGGGGATCCCTTGAATCCCTACTTCTTTCCGCGGGCTGGCACCCCCGGGATTCCGGGCGGTACTTCGAATCTAGGCTACTACTACATGCCTCTCGGCGGAATATCAGGGACACAGACGCCTCTCTCCTCAGTCCCTCGCGGCCCGTTCTCCCCGGGTCTACGTGATGCCTCTGTCTTTGGAGAACCTTCTAATTCACAACGACCTAATCCTTCGGGTCCCGCCCGTCGTCAGTCTGAAATTGACATTGACACCGGGAATTCCAGGCCATCGACTGCAGATACTTTGGATTCACTCAATATCCATGGTATCCCCGACCCAGTGCTACCCCGCTCATCTGACGATGCACATCCAAATGTTCTTCCCCGGAGAGATAATAGCCCTGCTCCGCGCCGTGTGCGCGAGAAGAGACCAGAAGACCTTCAAGTTCTATGCCGATTAAGATATAACGGCAACATCCGACTCTCTCTCACAGCCCTGGTGCTCCTCGACTATCCCATGCCAAATTTCGTTGGTTTACCCTTGAAGCTAAACATCACCGGCCTCACATTCGACGGTGTCGCCGTGGTTGCGTATATTCGAAAACGAGTACATTTTTGTTTTCTATCTCCAGAAGATGCGGACACGCTATTTGGAGCGGATGACACTAATGAAGCAGGGCATTTACAGTCCAGAGACTCACTTGCGGGTGGAATCAATGACACGAGTTACTCCTCCCGACGACCGCACGATAGTCTTCTCCGCGATGTCCGGGTGGAAAGCGAAATTGGTAGAAAGGAAGACGGAAAACAGGTGCTGAAAAATGTGGGCAAAGTCGAGAAGTTTGTCCTGGAGCAAGTTCGTCGAATTTTTGAGGAAGAATTTGTCTACCCTAGTTTTTGGACGTTTCTGGTATGAAAGGAGTCTTATAACTAGTTATCCTATTAAAAATATCAACTCGCATAATATTATCGAAATTAATTATTCGGAAATAATGAAATAACACTTTCAACTAGCTATTGATCACGCATTTCGAGATTTTTGAAGGTCTCACTACATCCATGGTATTAAAAGACGAGCAGGAGTTTGGTGCCAGTGATTTCTTTCTTCGTTTCCGCGAATATTTTCCTTGGTAACACCGTAGCGTTCTCGAACGAGGCGTGCGTGCGGGGAGCCTCGGAGGAGAGAGAAGGGAGCCTTGAAACGATCGAGGGTTGCCTACTGGAAAGAGCAAAAGGATGCAATGTCCAGGCCAGCCAATTTACCGCTCTTTCTTAGGAGTATTATCGGGATGCTCTTGAGCGTATTTATCGCTCAGGTCGGCGTACTCTCTTGACAGACCCTCACTTTGGCTTTTTAATGCTTCGAGGTCCTTCTCCCGGGCTGCGAGCTCCTTCTTCAAACGACCAATTTCGCCCATATCTCCCGCAGCGGCTAGGCGTGCCGAATCCTCGCCACCTGCCTTCTTACTGCCCTCAAACTGCTTGACTCTATCCTCCAAACGAAGGATTTCAAGAATCATAGTGTACGTGCGGTTCAGGATAAGGGAGAGGAAAAGGGTAAAGCCGCAAAGGTACATGTTACGCTGGGAATAGAATTTTCGAGCCTGAACCTCCATCCGTTCGGAGCCCAGAGCACCAGCTCTAATTCTTGCGAGTGAAGGTGGTTAGCCATGTGGTTCCTTGTTACCGAGGTGGGGGGACTGCGATTTCGCTGGCGAGGAACATACCCAGCGCCAACTGCATCCTTAGAGTACGCGGATAGCTCGATTTGGACACGATACACACGGTTAACGCTATCAATAAAGAGGATGAGGATGAAAATGAAGGTAATCTTTATTTTCAAATTTTTTTTTTTTTTTTTTTTTTTTTTGGTTAGCTGGCATAGCCTTTAACAATCACAATATACAGGGCTAAATACCTTCATTCCATACTGCAATTTGGCAATGACAGGGCTTTCAGATATAAAGGTAAACAGCTTTCGCTTCCATGTGAAGGGAAGGGGCACAATAAGGCCCATGAAAATAGCCATCTCCACCATGAGGATGAGGAAAACCTGCGCAAGACATTGTCTCATTAGCTTCAAACTCTTACCTCAAGAGAAACAAAAGGCAGCAATGATCACGTACAAGGGTGTAGTAGAGCGTCATCTTGGTAACGTGCTCAAATCAACTTATCCCAGAGGCTGTCAAGCTTTCGCTGCTGCCTCCAACGATGGCGTGTGAAAAGAAAAAGTTCAATGATCATGCAACAAAACAAAATTCGAAAGGTGGTTGTAATCAACACCAGTCTTAGAGGAAAGGAGATAATGGAAAACAAAATGAGGCCGCAGGACAGGCCGATTGCTTGTATTCTCGCAAGGGGATGTTGTCTTGTGAGCAGCAAAAGCTGGCGAGAGTAAATAAAACCAGCCAAGTTGAGGTTGAGCTGGCCGCACGCGAAAGCCACACAGACGTCATCCCACCCTTGAGTAACTGCCTACTATTGGCTGAACCTACAGTGGCTTGACGGAAAGATTATATAATCACTAATGCAGCTTAGCCACATTTTTGCGGAAAAGCTAATTATCCATATACCGACAAAGCTAAAGTTGGAATTGGTCAACGCAACATTTGAGTCGATAACGATATCTTCGTGATTTAGCAGGAGACGCACCGCGGAGTGTTCTTCGGCATCATGGCTAGAGAAACTGTGATTTCGTGAAAGGCTTTGCCGGGATACGGAATCATCCTTTGCCCAAGTTGAAGAGAACCATCGATCAATGCGGTTGAATGTGGGGAGTCGCCGAGACACCCCGATCCTTGTGAGCTTTCTGCCTACCGAAGATGATCAGCTGGACGTTTGCTGTGCCAGTACGGAGTATTTCCGGGGTCCAGTTAGGGGCAAGCGAGGTCATCGTAATTCCCGGTGGGGAATCAGATCTTCCTTGTCAAGCCCAACGTCTGGTGGAAAACCCCTCCATGCGGAACATCCTGACTCCAAAGACGTTTGACATATGGCTTGTTGAAAGCGAAGCTCCCCCTAGGCCCCGGGTTTCTTTATCAATTTTCTAAAGTGACCCAATTTCACGACTGCACTACCGTCGCTATCATGGCAGACGACTTCGACTATAACGGCATCAACGATGCTTTCCAGGCGCTCTCGAAGGCTTCTCCGTTGTCGGTTCAAACCATCGCTGACTTAGCGATGATGGGCACGGGGAAATTTCCAGTAATTGACCTCTTTCTTTCTATTCATATCCTGTTTCGCTTAAAGAAAAAAAGAAAAAAAAAAGATTATCATGTATATTAACACACTAAACCGCTTACCATTTGCCCTTAGGATTTAATCCGAACGCAACGTGATTTCAACACAAACTACAACATGATTGAATCCAGTCTTCGGGATGCCTGCAGAGACATTTTCCGTGAAGACTTTGGTTATGAATATAATGGCAACGATATCCAAGGGCCTCCAAAAGTGGAATTTCAAGCCTTCTTCAGCTGCGGCACGACTTCTCCTAGCACCATTGACAATTATATCAAACACTCAATCATTGAAAATATGCCGATACCAGAATCAACACAAATTCAAGTGGCTGTAGACTTATCCAAATTTATCTCAACCTTGCTCGTTCCTGGCCAAGACGGAATCGTCTACACTAAATACCAGAAGTCATTCCCTCTACCCAGTGACTCCGACCCCAGTTCGAGCTTCGATGTCAATGCAGTTATAAGTTTTTACGACCTGGAACTTCCTGAGGACGCGCCGAATCCGAACGAAGTTTTCTTGGTGTACTTTTGCGGCCTAGGTTTATTCACCAAAAATTAACAAGGCTCGCGAGCTGCCCCAGGAACGAAAAACGCAAAGAATCTAATCTCATATTTTGATCGGCGAACTTTGTTATTTAAGTGGTCAGCTTTTGAAAATGGATCTTTCAGAGGCAAATTAAGGGTAACACTCTCTCGGAGGTCTGCGATGGGCGGTCCTGAGTTTTGTATTTTATTTGTGAGGTTTTTCTCTTTGGATGGCGGCAGTACCGGGCCAAAGGCTTCTATGATAAGCTGATGATCGGCACTCGTTGGTAATAATTTTTTCTTCCGTCTTAGTTACACACTCCAGGTCCCCAAAAGGTTCGCTTTCTGCCCGTCTCTAACTATAGTCTAACCTTCGATCTCATAGCTGTTGGACTTGTGTTTCGGTTCAAATTTGAAATCTTTATGTGCCGGGCCTAGGAACATCTCACTGCGGCAAAGTTAGTCAAACAAAGAGCAAACTGGATGCAAGGGGGGAATAAAAACAACACTTACCTGATCTTTATCCAATCCTTATAGTTATCGCTAGCCAAAAGTGTCTCTAGTTCATTTCTCCCTTTATACGCGGGGGGTCGATCCTGGATTCTTGGCGGGAGATGCTCCAACAAACCGATTGGGATATACCGATGCGTAAAACTCAGCAGCTCCAAAAGGAATCTTCTGGTAGTTCCAACGCCGTGTTCGTCAGAGCCCCATGCATTGAGACCGTATTTTGCAAACTTCTCAACGATCGAGAGACGTTCAGAAGCTGACTTGTCGAGATATTGCCCAGCTTGGATTTCCTCGAAAATCCACGGTTTCATAAGCGCACCACGAGCGATCATCACGGTATCTACGCCAGACTCGCCAATAGCTCGATAATAATCTTCATGGGAGTAACAATCGCCGTTTCCGAGGAAATATACCCTCCTTCCCGGGGCTTGTAGCCGGTCGTCGGCCTCTCGGATGGTGTCGGTTAGGTCATCACTTCGCTCGTTGAGTCGTCTTATGAGCGCCGCACATTCAGATATGTAACTCCAATCGGCTTCCCGTGTGTATCGTTGCTGTCGGCTTCGGCCGTGGAGTGTAATCGCAGCAACACCGGCCGGGCCTTGTCCAATCTCAGTGAACTCAGGACCTCCGAGAACAAGTCGCTCAATGAGTTTCAATGCAGTTGGACTATTATCCTTCGTGCCCATACGAATTTTTGCGGACACAGGGACCTCATTGGACACTGCATTCATCCCTCGTAGAATCTTTTCCAGTTTTGATGGGTGCTCAAGAAGCGCGGAACCGGCACCGTCTCGGTAAACTAGGTCAATTGGACAACCACAGTTAAGGTCTACAACGCGAAGATGTGGACACAGAGCCGTCATGACCTCCGTAGCTTTCAGTGCTTGCCATGGCTTGTTGGCCGAGATTTGAACACCGAATTTGAGATCCCGAGAATGATCATAATCTTTGACCACGCCTTGATTTGGTTTAATCGTAGGCGGAAGCACTTCGGACTGATGTGCCTTCATTAAAGCCCACTCGCCTTTGTGGCCTTGAACTATCGGAAGGCTCATAGCCATTTCTGAGTATGTGAATTGTGCTCCCAATTCAACACATAGCCTTCGGAAGGGGAGATTGCCCTGGGTGGTAAGCGGCGCCAAAACCGGCGTTTCTGAACCGAAGTAGAGTCGTCTCTTTTCGGATGGGAGAAATGGGGGCTCCTTGAACTGCGCTCTCCTATCTTCAACCTCGTCTCTGGCCTCGCCATTTGCTTCGACGTTGTTTTCATCCGCAAACCTCCTGCCATGGTTATGGATCTCCAACTGCTTGGATGTCTCATCAAGCCAAGTTGTATACGCATCTGATTTGGGAGTCTTGCGCCTCTTCTTCATAAGGTCCACCTTTTGCTCCGTAGATATAGAATTGAACACTCCTCCCTCTGCTCCACCTTCAACCAAAGGCATAGCAGCATTCTTTCGTTCCTCATCCTCCACCAAAACCAGCTCTTTCCGCCCATCCTCCAGCTCCCTCTCTGTCATATGGGATCCCACAAATCGACATTTCCACCCGGAAAAACAAAGACCATACGCATCCCAAACCGGACACATGCCATTAAACGTCTTCAAGTCCTCCCGCTTGTACTCTTTCAAGTATTTGCGCAGGTTATGCTCAAATCGACAATTATCGCCAAACTGACATGTTCTTGGTGAGAGTTCTGGGCTGTGCGACACACTCTGGCAGAGACCTTTCTCATCCTGTGATTTCCCAAATTTCCGAGCTGTGTTTTGACCTTTTTGTTTTTTTCTTTGTTTTCCGCCTTTCTCGCCTGCGCGTTCTTGGTGACGGGCGGCTTCCGCTTCGTCGTCGTCGCGCACATCAGAGGTTTGTTTTACGCTAGGCTCTTGACCGGAACGAACGAGATACCTAAATACTCGCCGGATGGCGGCAGTCAGCAATGACCAAACGGAATGAAGGAAAAAAAAAAAGAAAAAGAAAAAGAAAAACACACCAGAGCAAGATCTGGAGTGACTGGACTTACTCTTCTCTTATTGGCGCGGTGCCTTTCTTTCGCTGAGCACCGTTATTTTCCGGCTGCGCGTGAATGGGATTTTCGGGCTTATCGAGTTTGATGCGCTTTGCGGGCGACTCTTCGAAATTCCCGCTACCCTCATTCTCTAGCCGTTTTGCACCATCATTCAGAGTGGTTTCATTCGGAAAACTTTGTGTCATTTTGACAACCGATTCTGCGTTCGATTTATAATTCCGCAAAGCCCAATGCCCACGGCTGCGCTTTTGGCTCCGACGACAAATGGGCTTTGTGGCGGGGAGGAATTTCAGCGGGCAAAATTTGTTCGGAGTGGAATTTTTCCGACGTTAGATTGAGCAGCTGGAAGACAAGACAACTTCGAGCACAAAAACTAAAATGAAATTTAATGCAGTATGAAATTGGTCTATTCCGTATATTTGTCAAAAAGCTCTCGAAGATATGCTCGCTGTAGAAACTATCATTTAGCGCCCCATGCCTCGCCTAACTCCGAAAATTCGTCCCTTCGCCGTGTGATCATCTCGTCATTACTAAAACATCCCATCAAACACCTTCGGAAGTCCTCCAAGTCCGCCCGCGATAGAATTTCATGTAAGCTCCATTCCATCATCTTCCTCTCCATCGATATCTTCGCCGTCACCGAGAAGAGGCAAGCGAGTTCGCTTCATGTCACCATTCGGGTCGTACCGATCGCTTCCCCAGCTTCCGGTAAACTCGAGTTCGTGGCCACCGACGACTCGACCTTCTGTATCCACCACCTCGCATAGTTCCATAAGGCTCTGTCTGTTGAGGCTTCTGAAGCCTTCTGTTCTTACAATACGTCCCCAGTTAGCCATACAGAACACCGCTGCACGACGCTTGAGCCATTCCTCGTTTGTTCGCCCAGCACGCTCCCATACGATAGCAGCGTTTTCAACCGCTAACTCGCGGCTAAGACGATGAACACATAGCTGGCGCAGTCGTGGCATATCGTATAAGTTTGCCATTACTAACATCCCAGCCACTTCAGTGACACCGGGGCACAATTCGGGGTGGCAGGAAATACTATCCGTGTATAAGTAATGCAGGAATGCACGAACAACCTTGTATGGCTCAGGAATATGCATTCTTTTTGTATGGTATTCTGCCATTTGAGCCGCGTATAGGCGCTTAAAATGAGGCCACCGTGCTTGGAGAATGATGCGGTGAACGTGGATTGGAGCAGATGTGGCAGCATCGGGCGGCAAAAAGGTAGAGGTTGGCTGCGAGGAGTCGGCCATTCCTGAAGATTCCTCATCACTGGAGTACCCAGGATCATCACAGTCAGCGGTGATTATAAAATCTGTCCCGCTTCCTGACTCCGGAGGTTGGTCAAAAACTGCAGCCAATTCCGCTCCTAAGCTAGATAGCTGAGAGTTATGCTCACTGTCCACGTTGAGTGATCTTTGGTTGAGTGATTCATTGCCCAAGACGCCGTATCGCTCGAGGTCTATAGGAAGAACTTCACTTAAATGGTTCTCGTCGCCCAGACCTGGTGCGTTAGCAACATTTAAGTTGCAGCCAAGAAGCCATGCCTTGGTACCGTCTTCGTTGACAGTGCAGTAGTGCCAGCGATATCCGGCTTTGAATATCTCGGGGCCATCCGCAAGCCTTTGCCAGCGTAACGAATCTAACTCCAAAGAGGAGAGATTGCATTCCCATGGCCGAACGGTTTCAGAAGGGGTGACCAGATCAAGGAGAACGCCAGAAGAATACACATGGAAATGCGTTCCGGAGAGCAGCACGGGAGTATACGGGCCGGAGTGAAACTTAATAGAAGATACGGCTCCAGGAGCATTGGGTCTCCGTCTACCCAGAGATCGAACTTGGACACTGCCCGAGTTGGGTGCATAGCCATTAGGCCGTCCGGAAATCTGTGATGGGGTACTAAAATGCATGTCTGGGCTGTAAGTCATCCTGTTTGCCATTCCTGGGGATCCGACGGTACCTTGAGACGCTGCCGAAGTACCCATGAAGGACGGGTTTCCTTTCAAGTCCAGCCACCACAGATCCGTTCCGCGTTCCATGTCAATCCCAAGGCCTCCGAAAACCCAAAGTCTGCCTCCCCAAACCCAAGCAGTGTGATCGAAGCGGGCAACGAAGCTCCAAGTACGGGACCAGGTCCAGGTTTTGAGGTCGAGATAGCACATTTCGTCGAGGATATAATTGGTTTCGCCAGTAACACCACCTACCACAAACAGTTTATCCTCGTAGATCACGGAGGCATGGCGAGCCCTCCCTCTCGGAATGGGTCCACGAACTTCGGGCGATGTCCAAGTATAGGTGTTAAGGTCCAATATGATGATGTCTGAAAGGTATTCACGGCGTTCATTCTCGCCTCCAAATACAATTAGCTTGTCATCTTGGTAGAGGGACGCAGTATGGCCTAGGACTTTCGTCAGCCTGAACAGGATAAATGAAGCACTAGAGTCAATTAACCCATTCGAACGCCCGGTATGTCTCCATAGTTATTTACCAGTGTCCATGTCAATGTGTTCAAGTCTAGTCGGCGAACGTGGTTGTAAACTATTCAGATGAAGGTAGGTAGTTAGTGGATAAAGTGCAGCAAAGAACAGAATAGGTTGCTCAGTTCACTAACCCTCATCTGTATATTGATCAAATCCACCAAACGCATATATCTGGTTATTTCCGCAGTATGTCACAGATGCATTTACAAGGCAAGCGGGGACTTGCCCGGCGGACTTCTTCACTGTTGGACGGTAGCCATCGCTCCCACGGCTGATCTTGGAAGGGCTGGTGGGCATAAGGTAGGTATTGGGCGTGGTGTTGGAAGTTGGGGAAGCCAGGGTGACAGGAGTTCTATGAAGAGCTGTTAATCCACTGTTCTCCTGTCTGCTGCCACCACCGGCCGGTGTTGATAGGGCGCCGAGGGACATTCTTAGCCGGATTCTTGGTATGTATGTAGAAGACGCAACTTGAATTGTGGTAAATGATTGGTTAGCCAAACAAGTAGGAGGCAACAACAATGCAAGCGAGAGAAGAGACTAAATTCTATCAGCCCAGAAAGCTCTGGACAAGCATCAAAAGATATATCAGGCAGGGTGTGTCAAGAGTTTTTAGGAAGATGCCTGCGGATAGTTTGGAGAGCGGCGAAGGTGAAGCGGCGGCGGCAAGCTACGACCGGAATAACTTTCCGAAAGCGGTTTCGGCGCTTTAAAAGCTTAATTGAGCACACTAGCCTCCTTAGGACTAGCGTATCCGAGCTCTGATTGTTGCTTGGGCGACGCAAAACGGTAAATATTCAGCTTTTAAGGCGCTCCTGGCCATCACCCATCGTCTCTTTTCACTTTCTCTCTTCATCTTCTTCTTTTCGTTGTATTCTATCTCAAGACATCCACTCCTTGCTATCCGAGTACCTCACGTTATCCTATCTCCATACCTCCTTCATCTCTTACTGTCCATAGCTTATCAGAACCAGGCGTATCTAGTCCATCTTAGCCTCAGAGCGTGGTATACTGCTGGGTTACATCCACGCCCATCCTCTCCTTGAACAGCCTTTGTGTTCTGTTCGTTTCCTTGGAAAGAGGTAACCGATCATTCTCAGCATAGTCTTTGGAAGTCACGCTAAAGTCATTAGAGCATCCCGAAATATCACAGCACGATGGCAGCTGTAGCGGTTACAACACCGGTCAAGAGCCACCATGGAATATTCTCCTCAAAAACGGCTGGCGGCCGTATGCCTCTGACGCCATCTCCCCGGCAAAGAACAACAAGCCTTACTAGCAACGTTTCAAACGACTCTTCGCCTTTCACTCCCCCTGAGGCACCAAAATCTTTCTACAACGGAAACCTCTCCACGCACTTTGCGAGAGCAAGAAGTTATCGCGATTCCCCCAAGTCAAACATTGCAAAGGGTCAAAACTCGCCTCGGCCGCTTGAACTTGGAACTTCAAAATGGACTTTGACAGGAACGGGACATTCTGGTCAAACCCCAAAGAAACGTACAAAGAAGGGCACAAACCTGCGTCCCAGAACGACCAAAACCACAATCCACCTCCCCCACAATGCGGCCGATAGATTTATCCCCAATCGCTCGAGTGAAGGACTTGTAACCACCGGCACTGCAAAGGCAGATGACCAACAACGCCCGAAACCTAGTGGCAGTGATGGCTCCAGTGTCCTTGCAAACGCTGCTAGTGCTTTTAATATGGGAAGCCATGAGGACGACCTTGCAGAAGCTTTGCAAGGGCTTGACCTAGAAGACAACGATACTAATAGCACCTACTCGAGGCCGGCCCCTGACGTGGTTGCATACAAGTCCTCTCTGGCAGATGCCTGTGATATCCCCCTTAATACTCGAATCCTTGCTTTTAAACCCCCAGCACCAGAGTCATCAAAACCAATCGACCTTCGGTCTCAATACAACCGCCCCCTCAAACCTGCTCATGCACAGTCGGCTCAATTTCGACGAAGAGTACAAACGGCACCAGAGCGGGTTTTGGATGCACCCGGTCTCGTTGACGACTATTACCTCAACTTGTTGGATTGGAGTTCAGGTAATCAGGTTGCTATTGGCCTCGAGCGCAATGTTTATGTGTGGTCTGCAGACAGTGGCTCCGTAAACTGTCTGTTGGAGACCTCCCCTGATACATACATTAGCAGTGTGAAATGGAGCAACGACGGTGCCTACGTCGGTGTTGGTCTTGGCACTGGTGAAGTCCAGATCTGGGACGTCGAAGAAGGTACAAAACTGCGAAGTATGCTTGGCCATGAAACACGGGTTGGTGTCATGGGTTGGTCCAAACATACCTTGTCCACTGGTGCTCGCAGCGGCCTTGTTTTCAATCATGATGTCCGTATTGCTCAGCACAAAACGGCTGAGCTCGTTTCTCATACATCGGAAGTCTGTGGTCTGGAATGGCGATCAGATGGCGCTCAGTTGGCCACCGGCGGAAACGACAACCTTGTTTCCATCTGGGATTCACGGTCTCTCAGCGCACCAAAGTTTACCAAGACCAACCACCGCGCAGCTGTCAAGGCTCTTAGCTGGTGCCCATGGCAATTGAACCTCTTAGCTACCGGTGGGGGATCGTACGACAGACACATCCATTTCTGGAACACCACAACTGGCGCGAGAACCAACAGCATTGACACCGGCTCTCAAGTCACAAGTCTCCGATGGAGCAACCACTACCGAGAGCTCGTTAGCTCCAGTGGATTCCCTGACAACTCTTTGAGCATTTGGAGCTATCCCACTCTCGTTCGCAACGTTGAGATTCCCGCACACGAGACTCGTGTTCTCCACAGCTGCCTGAGCCCGGATGGGCAGATGTTAGCAACTGCAGGTATGTAGCATGAAGTCTGCTGCTTTCTTTAAACAGTATCTGACGGGTAATTGATATAGCTGCCGATGAGAGTCTCAAATTCTGGAAGATCTTTGAACGAAAGCCAGGCACTGCCGCATCCGCTTCTCGTGAGGGTGGAGTCGGCAGCAAGGGTAAGCAGATGACAATCAGATAAATGTCTCTGCTTCCTTGGATCTATTTTAGTTTCTCTTTTTCTCGTCACACAGGCTGCAAGGTACGGTGTTAAAAGCGTTGTTTGGCTTTGGGAAAATTTTTTAATTGGTGGTGTTGGTGGTTTTGTAAAGTTCATTCAGTATAATTGCATTAATCAATTCAAAATTCCATGTCTTGTGCTTTTTTCTCTTTTCTCATATTGAAAGACATCAGAATTTCCTTCAAATGATATAGCTCAACGGGGGGGAGGCAAATAATAGAGGCCTTTTTGTGATCTGGCAGCGAGGATTGGCCTGCCAAATGCAATCTTGATAGTGACATTATTTAGAAATCCCATTCACGCTTGATATCCCCGTTCAACAATGAAAGTGCCTTTGCATGCTCCTCTGGGGGAACGTTCTCGACTGCGCTCAGAGAGGAATCTCTGGTTCCAATGGCTTGCTGACTAAGCCACTAGGCAGGTTGCTGATAGCTTCTTGAGTATAAAACCACTTTCTCCTCAACAACCATCCTGGCCGCACCAGAGCAGGCGCGTCAACAGCCCGGTTTTACAGTGCTTGCAGGCTACTTGGGTCTTTTGAACGGTGATATAAAGTACAGGGCGGTAGCCTACGGCAAAATTTACAGCTTAGTGCAGAGGTTTGGGGTGGCAAGCAGCGCTGGCTGACGACCTTGGCAGCGAGCCAACCACATGCTGTGCGCCGGCGACAGCGACCACAAGACAGCGCCATAAATACGTTTTCCTCTTGTGCCTCCTTCTCCTTTTCTTTCCTGCTTGCTGAATACGCATTTGCGAAAGATGTCGAACCAGTTGGTGGTGAGTAGCGAACACCCCTGAAATCCAATCTTCGGTCTTTGCTCTCCACGCTTTCGTCGCGGTTTCTGTTGCCATCTGATGGCTCACAAAGCCATTTCGCGCTTCATCAGGGTATCGTCTTCGACCGCGTCATCCAGGAAGTATGCGATTCGTCCCAGATCGACTTTGAAGAAGGTGGTGTTGACCAGCAGACGTTGGAAGACCTGAGGAAAGTAAGTCGCAGAAAACCTCCCTTGTACTGCGTTTCAAGCCTCGCCCGAGCGTTTGAGATGCCGAAAAGTCGAAAAAACATATCATCAGATTGTTATCCTGCTGTGGATGAGCTGATGTTTGATGCCGATGGGCTCTTTCGTGGGGTTTTGTGGTCGCGTGTGGTGTTGGACGGTCTCCATTTTTGGTGTGGCCAATTCGCGGGGGGTTCGGCCTGTTTAAAGGGAATCGGGCCCATTGTCGCCTGCTGTTACATTTTTATGTGGCGGTTGTCGGCTGGCCGCTTTAACGGCTCGCTGACTAAGCTTGACGCCGGGGCTTGTCCTCAACCATCCATGCACCTCTGAGCTGCCCTCTGGACTTTGGCATTTTACTTACCATGTAATCTGCTGCTAATCTGCCTTTTTATTGATCTAGGGATGGCAGAAGAAGCTCTCATCTCTTGGGGTTGCCCAGTTCCCCTGGGATCCTCCTCCTCAACCCCCTCCACCCCCTCCACAGCAAGCCCCAATTCCTCCGCCGCCCGTGACCGTGCCGTCCAATGCGCCTCGTACGTCACCACCACCTCCACAGGAGTTTCCAGAACAAATACCCCAGTCCCAGCCGCCTCTGGCTCCCGCAAATGGCTCTGGACAAGCTGCGGGTGAGGTTCGCGTCAAGACTGAACCTGGGTACCCCACGACGTCGACAGGCATTCCCACCACAGCTGCCCATATAGCGCAGCAGCGGGCGGCCGATGCCCTACATCAACGTTACGGCGCGGCTGCAGCTAGCCAGATCCACCAGTTACAAGCTCAATCTCAGGCAGCGTTGTCCCTTCCTGGCCAGCAGCGACTTCAGACCAGTCAGTTTAACGGTCCGCAAAGCCAAGACCCGAAGGTATCACAGCAGGGCTCGCAAAGTAACACCGTTGGAAACGGCCAAACCGATGGCGCGGGCGATTCCGAAATCGATGCACTGTCAGAATGGAAGGCGGAAGTTGCGAGGAGAAGAGAAGAGGCGACAAAGAATGGAGCGCAAGCCGACCGCGTTATGCGGAAGTATGTCGAGCTCAGAGGACTGCAGATGGAAGGTAACGGTCTCCTAGCCCCGCTTCATGAACGGTACCCCCGCGCGAATGGAAAGAAGCGTAAGGTCACCATCAAAGAAGAGTCTGCAATTCCTGGTCCTTCCATCGCATCGGAAGCAACTATCCCCTCTCAAGCTGGTGGATATGACGGTGTCGATGAGTTTGGGATTAAAAAAGACGAAGATGAAGACGCAATTAATTCCGACCTTGATGACCCCGATGACCTTCTTGACGACCCTGAAGGCGATGATGCAGTCGGCCAAGTCATGCTTTGCACATATGATAAAGTGCAGCGCGTGAAGAGCAAATGGAAGTGCACACTAAAGGATGGTATCTTAACTACTGGAGGGAAAGAGTAGGTTCCCAAGGGCCTCGTACAGTCTTGCTTGACCGACGCTAACCTAGCATAGATATGTTTTCCATAAAGGCACCGGGGAATTTGAATGGTATTAGCGAATATGCGATAATATGAGGTCCCTAAGGTATTACCCAGTTAAGACGATTGCTCGGGACAGATTTATTCCTTTCTTACACCTTTTTTTTTTTTCCTCCTTGGCTAAACCAAGATGTAACCAGTATCTGCCATCTTTCGTCGTCTTTCTTGATTGCAATCTTTCTTTTCTTTCGTTTTCCCTATGTCTTTCTTTGACAATGGCGTTCCTAGTGGAGTTCAGGCACGGAGGAACGATTCGTTTCATTGAAAACCCCGGACCGTGGATTGTTCTGATGATAAGCTATACCGTCCAATTTTCTTTTCGAGAAGGATTTCCGAATCGGGGCATTCAATCGTAAAATCTGTGATTATGTACTCCTGATGTGTAATTTTCTCAACAGCATACATGGACAAAGCAAGTGTCAAACTTGATATTCAGCTAGCAAGTACTTCGCATTGTAATAAACAAAATTTTCCATGACTTTTCTGTCTCTGAGCCCCTCTTTTTTTTTTTTTTTTTTTTTTTCTCTCTCTCCCTTCAACTTTGGATAAGCAGATGGGGAAACAATCCAAAGTACAGTACATACGGGCATGATCAGGATGGGAAGCATTCAGAACAAAAGTGACTTTGACAAACATAGGTAAATACTAAAAAACACATGAAACAAGAAAGAAGGAAATGAAAAGTGAGGATATTAAAAATGCAGTCTATTTCGCTAGCGAAATCATTACTCAAAAAAGGCGATTAGACAAGATAGTACGGGGGAAATAAAACAAGAGAAAGAGATATAAAATCAGTCACGATCCAAAAGACACCAACGGGAACAATTAGCGAAGATCAATCCAGTGCCAAAAATCGAGGAAAACTCAGAACAGCATGCGGCGAGGAGTAGAAGAGTGGTGTATGGGAGTCTAAAGCTTCCGTAACGGTATGTGCAAGAAAAGAAGATGTCAGATAAGAGTTAGTATCGGAAAGGTGGCCGTTGCGAATTGCTCGTGGAAGAAAATAGGACCAAGGCCGTCGGTGAAAAAGGGTCCTGCGACTCGAAGATCCGGACACTAGAAGGGAATCGGAGTGTATGTACATGCTTACCCCGTGCATGCAAAGACAGATCGGGGGATTAAAAAGAAGCCGGCCAAGAGGAGCAAAAAAGACAGACGGAACAAGCAAAAGGAAAAAAAAAAAAAAAAAAAGGCCAAGCGTACCCCCTTTTGTTAATGTATCCCAAAGCGCAAAGAAAATAAAATGGGAGCCGATCGTGAGAGAAGAAATCCACAAACCCAAAACATACGCCTCCAGGCTCTCTATCTATGTACCTTGTATTTGCGTGTCGACCCCATTTCACTCCGTTTTGTTCGCCCTGACTTTTGCATCCTGTGTTAACTTTTATAATTGGAGGGGAAGACTTAAGGGCAACACCCTTTTATTCTCCGATTCCTGGGAGACCGGCTCCAGCAACATTAACATTTTCGCCTTGCATAACTCCGCCGGTGTTCATATTCCTATTAGTCATGAATGATAGCTCGGGATTGCATGGCGGTGAATGGGCTTTGTGGTATTTGAGGCCGTTAAGGTTCTTGTATCGCTTTCCGCAAACTTCGCAGCGGTAAGGTTTCTCCTTCTCCATGCCAAGGGTGCCTGGGTATGGGATGGAAGTTTCAGGGTTGACGATAGAGAATGTTCCGTCAGCATTGTCATGGAGTTGTTGGTTGTTGTGGCCGTGCTAAGTAACGCTAGCGTTAGACGAAAGCCGAGAGAAGAGATGAAAAATAATAATAGTAATAAGCGGTGAGACTTACCGATTTATGGTACTTGAGACCATTTTGGTTTTTATAAGCCTTTTCGCACCCAATGACAGGACATCTATAAGGTTTAGGTTCCTCATCAGGCCTAAGGAATGATGGATCAGGAACACCAGCAAGCCTCTGCTGTTCTCGAATGCGTTGTGCGATTTCACTGTTGGGTCCGTATTGGGCCCCGCCCAACCGGAACTGGGCATTCGGCTGTGTATTCTTGAAACCTCCGCCCTGTCTAAACAATCTTTTGGCTGGTTCGTCAATGCACAAATCCAGCATATCATTCTGCCCGCCATATCCGGGGTATTGAGGCTGGTTCCCTGGAAGAGGGGCGCCTTGCATAGACATGTCATTCATTCCGCCAACGATCGACTCGTCGAGTTCTGCAGGAGTGCCAGGCGTAGAAGACTCGGGAGTATTGCGGAACTGAGAAGCTTGCTGCTGTTGTAGAGAGTGGGGTAAGAGGGTTGGCGTATTCACGGAAGATACGGTCGGATTATTTTGAAGGGGCCTTGCAGGAGAAACGGGTGTACCGGGCTGCGAGCTTCTAAATCCTTGGTTTTGAAGCATTCCCAGATTGAGCGGTGACACTCTGTTTCCTCTATTCTCCTGACTAAAGCGAGCCTGCAAAAATCCTTGTTGTTGGGGCTGCTGGAAACTAGTATCTGACAAGGGATCGTCCATCTCCATATCATCAACAGTATCAAGATCCGGTAAATCCATAACCCGGGAGGTGTTAAATCCACCCTGTGGTTGAATCCGTTGTTGAGATGCGCTCGTCATCTGGTTTGGCGGGCGCTGGTTGCCAACAGGATGAGGTGTGACGAATCCCTTCCCGGCACCGGGTTGTTGATTTTGCTGCATTTGATTTCCAGCCGTGCCGGATCTGTTATCTGATATGGTCTGACTTGACTGCGACCTTTGTGGCGGCGGAGGCGACTTTTGAGCGTGGGCTTCTTCATAGTGTTGAAGGAGATCATGAAGTGTGGGAAGCGTGATTCCACAACAAGAAAAGTCGCGCATGAAATTTGCTTCGAGTTTGGGCAGATACGAGGAGGAGTGGTAGGAGGGCGACTGTAGTGTGAAAGGTGAAGTTCCTGTCATGATAATACTACATCTTGGTCAGCATCAAGGCCCAACATCTCCCCATACACTCGTCCAAACTACAAATGTGACTTTGTAACAGGGGCACTATCACATACTCATCTCTAATCCAACTTCCAACCGATACACCACCCCAGCTCATCCCTCCGACTAGACTGCCTGCAAGACTCTCTCGACGTGGCTTGTCACGGTTAGAACCAGCGACAGTAATCGGCTTGGAACCATTCGAATATTGTGCCATTGTGGCGCTGAACGAGTCCTTTCGCGCCCCATTCGTCTTGAATGCGGTAGGGCTGGCCCCATTCCAGGCGGGGATCAGGTCAGGGCGGTCCACGGCCGCGGCTCTCTGCAGGGCGGACGTGAGGTTGGACGCTTGCTGGCCGGGTGGGGAAAGAGATGTCTGGCGAGACGCCGAAATGTTGATCGGAGACGTTGTATTCTCCATGGTCCGTTCAGGCGGTGAAGACTGAAACAGAGGGAATGTAGAGTCACCTAGGTCGCCTAAGAAGCTGGTATGACGGTCGCGTGCAGCCGGTTTGCCTTCCTCCCCGAGTTTGCGTTGCCAGGGAAAATAGGAATTTCGATCCCGATCGGGTCTGCGTGAACTCGCGAGGCCAGAGCCGACTGGAGTGCCAATTGGTGTGGATTCACGGGTTGAGGTACGGTCGTGGTCGCTTGATGGAGGCGAGAAATGGAGAGGAGGCGGAGTGTCCGACGATTCACGCATCAAGAACAGCGAACCGGATGGGAGACTCCGCGGTCTTGTGGGCGTTGCAGGGTTAGGATCTGGTTGCCAGGACACAGCAGTCACACCCGTTCCTCCAAGCGAAGAGAGACGTAGATGGAATGTAGAAATGTTAGGTGTGTTGGCTTCGAGGATTCGGTAGGACGGTGTTCGGCAGCGAGAAAGGCTCCACCAGGATCCAAAGCAGAATCACAAGAAAGACCAAAGGAAAAAAAATAATAAAATAAAAGTGAGGTGCGGTCGCTTGAAGAAGAGAGGAACAGACGAGTGAAACGGGATAAGTAAGTTAAATGTGGCGGCTAAGAGAAAACCATCGAGACGAGATTATTATCGATGAGAGAGACGACGGATGATGTCGATGTTGACCGCAGCGCTCCGTTGCCAGTACTTAGTTGCATGCTCGTTAGTGAGTTAAGTTCGTGCTGACCGTTGATTCATCGGCGGCATCAGGCGCTCGAGCGCACTAACTGCTAGTTAACGAGTCGACTCGACACGGCAGGATTTACGTTGCCTGGTGCCGAGCCTGCGCCGAACGCGAAGGATTAATATTATTATCGACGACGTTCTCTTGTTTAAACCCACCCCCCCCCCAGACAAGTCTTTTTTGCCCCCCTTGCTCTTAAAACCAGTCCTTCTAATAAACATTAATTACTATCCTGACGGGCACGGATACTCGACGATATCGAAATCAAGTGAGCCAGTCTAACCTCTAGTTAGTTAGTTACATCGTTTACATGGTTAACTAGTTACTTATATCGACCATCTCTTTGTTCCACAACTGCCCGGCTGCCAACCCCCCCATTGTATTGCAACACGACCGGACAGCCCCTGGGAAATGCTTGCTTTCGTGACCATTCTCTTCGTACATATTATGCCATGTCGCTTTCCGGCGACTCGCCTTGCTTTTGTCCTCCTTGCCTCCGCTGATCGGATTTCTATAGTTCCTCCCCAAATCCCGTCCCCCAGGCCCAATCGCACATGCAGCCTCTTCCGCAGCCTGCGAGATTATTTGATCAAGAGACGGCAAGCGTACCGACCCAGAGCTGGGGAGTGTGGTAGAGCTCTTTGTTTTCAAAGTGGGAAGATCTCCTCGGCATCTACCACCGACTTGACTCGGTGGCAACAACCATGGTCCCCGGAACACTGGCACGTTCCCAAGCAGTCTTTTGCCTTCGGGCTCCTGTTAGCTTAAACCACCCCTAATATGTAGCGTAGAGCGCGTGGCCAATTATCGTAAGTAGCTGGTTAGGGACCTCCAAGCTTTCCTCCATTCAAATCCCCGATGCCATGTTCGCCGCAACCAAGTCTGGGTCCTTGGGTTGGCCAGCCTCGCCCACCCAATATGGCCATGCCGTCCTGGACATTTGAGCACCTATCACAGGCTTGCTACTGTCAGCGTTTCAAGAAAATCCCCCCAAAGCCTGCGTCTGCCAACGTCCATTGGTTACCAGCGTTCAGGTAACCCTGGAAATCCTTCAAGATGGGGAGGAGAGCGCCCGTTTAGAACGATGTTCGTATGATACCGTGCGTTGCCGGTTGGCAAAGGTTAGCACCCAAGTACAAGAGGAATCCAAATCTGTCAAATCAGCTTCACGCTGATTTGACTCTTGCTTTCAAGGTGTTCATCCTTTTTTTGGATGGGATATTCTTACAGGACCTTCGTGGGAGCAGGTCTCCGGCAATTACAGAAAAGTGATAGTGTCATAGTCACAAACGTGCACGCTTGGCTTTGTGGACTGGATTCGCATTCCATCCATATCCAGTCAAGACATCGACTCCACTTCTAGGAGCAAACACGAAGCCCCAAGCAAGTAGCGTTCCGCTTGCCAGGTGACGAGCTGTGCAGGACACAGCGCCTTGCAAAATTTGGAATAGCACGTCGATCTCTGCCGGATTGTCTCTGGGCACAGACCAAGCGCCTTTCTTTGAGGTCGTGGCCTTGGGTTGCAGGTAATAAATTCCAAAGCCATCTACGGAGTACCTAGGGAGGACATCCTGCTTCTAAGCTAAGACCATCCGCAAATGTTTGTTGACCAATTGCCAAGGGACTGCCTTGGACATCAGCTCCATGGCGAATGTGACCATTATCTCTGGATGTCGCCAATTGTTGAAATTGGGGATCGGGATCCAGGAAACACAAGCTAGGCGTAAATGGCACAAAAGGTACCCCTAGAACACATGCGTGGACTGGTTTACGATGGCTATCTCGACCAGATTGGCGTCAGAATGCAACCCCCTATTGGGCAGAGAGCAGCGGTTCAGAATTCGTCGCCAGGGGAAGGGTTGAGAACCGAAATACTACCCAGCACAATGTTGACTGAGCTCCCTCGGGTGTCACAAAACCTGGGATTCCAAAGCATTCCGCAAGCTCAACGTTGACTCATGATGAAAACTCATCGGCCGTCACTGGGTACTCGTTACGGCCACCGTCCCCGTACAGAGGACACGGCGGCGAGAACCACCACGGCGGCCCAATAGCGCAAACCTCGCCAATAACTACTCCTCGCGCAACCACAAATACACACGGATGCACACAAACCCACTCTTGAGATTTCTGCTTCAACGAAGACAAAACGATCTGGCAATTCCTCGAATCTGGGTGGGTTAGGTCACTGCACCGTCTGACGGTCGTGCGCTCGGCAGCGTCAGTCAGAGCTCTCCAGAATAGCCTTGTTAACTACCTAGTTATCGTGTATGTCGTTACATATGCAACGAAAAGGTGCCAAAAGACATCATCTCTCTATCCCAGGCATAATGCTATCTGACAGGGTATTTGCAACGACTCGATATGTTGTAGCTCCCAATACCTGCTCTAGTGAACTCCTGTTAGGTGCCAATTTCGACACGCATTGGCTTCAAAAGCAGGCAGCACATTAGACTGCAGAGGTGATCCAGGGATTTCTAGCCAAGCGTGGAGTGTATATATTCAAGAAATAGCGAAAATGCTAACAACTTTTAGTAGAATCTTCTCATCTCTTCAGAAATTCATCTAGGGAAAATGCATCATATAATGGCTGGTGGCATTAATCGAGTCTTCCATTGGTGGGTATCTATATTAACTAATACGTCATAAATTCGTTAAAGATAAATATAAGCGACTGAATGGGAGTGTGCAGTCGAGGGTTGGATAGATTTGTCGATGCCGGGGACATCCGATTTGTTACAGCCAAGGACATTTAGTCGATCCATCTTTGATTTAACTTGTCGAAGCCAATCACTTTCAAATCGACGTTCAAGTTCTTGAGCATCATATCCATGGTAAACGTCTACGAAAGATATCAGCATCGGTTAAAGTAAACGGCACTATACCTCCATTGCTCTTTTTTTCAAATCTTGATTCTTTCGACGAAAGGATGACTGAACTAACCTCATCATCTTCACCACTATCATCTTCCTCCTGCTCCCTATCACTCTTCTCACCTGCTTCAATTTCTCCCTCGATCTCTTTCCTTCTCGCATCTTTATCCTTTTCTAAGTCACTTCCTTCATCCTCATCCCCGTCCTCATCTGTCCCACCGGTGTCGTTTTCCTCCGCATCCCATTTCATTCTTCTCAATTTACTCTGTCTCATCCTATCTTTCCACACTCCGACGCCGCCCATCCTATTTACTCTTTCTCTAGCACTCGCGAATAATTCTTCCGCCGCCTCACGTGCCACAATCTGCCATTTATATATCAACCCTTCAAGTTCGGGATCTTGATTCGACTGTTCAATTCTTATCGCTTGTGTAGCAGTGTCGAGATCCGTGCGCAATGTGGAGAGTTGGGCATGTAGAGACGAAACTTGCTTTTGAAGATTGGAGATATGCTGTCGGGCCTGAGACGTATTCGGGAAAGCAGATGAAGTAGTAGGGGCTCGCTTTATTTGATCGGAACCGGGTCTAGGAGTTTTCGGCGGAGTTGTGGTAGATTGATGATCGCAGGGCGAGGCGGACTTGGTAGAAGGTTCGTTGGATACCGCGACGGCTTCCGTTCGCGTCCCTCCGCAATTCACTGCTTGTGCATTGTGCCTCTCTAGTAGAGGGCTTCCGCTCTCTGGCTTATTGCCGAGATTCCCGTCCCCTCTAGAAACGTTTGGATCGCTTGTTGTCATGGGCCGACGAAGCGGGGACTTGAAGGGCTTTGAAAGCGTCGACTGGGCATCGTTTAGTCGTCGCCGTTTTGCATAAGGTGAAAGATAAGACGACATTATATCCGCATTGAGCAGTTTTTACTCGCTGTGGAATAAGCTGCACAGCGTTCCGGAAGGCCAGTCTCAACTCGACTGAGCTGTCGGAGCGAGGTGAACTTCGCTGCGCGTCGCGATGAGACTCGCCTGATTGATAAGATAAGCTCCCGTGCTGTCTGACATCATCTGCAAAACTCCCCACAATACAATACTCCGTACCGTACGAAGTACTAACGGTATTATTACCGGCTGGCCCAACAATACGGAATACCTTCCCGTACTGTGCTCCGTACTTCGTATTGTTGTCCACATAATGGCACATGTGAGTGAGTCGTAATCTAAATTTTTACGGAGGACAAACAAGTCCCACAAATTTGCTATCATAATCTCGTATTCAAAACTCCGGGGCGATGCTATTTGGTATATTGAAACAAAAGAGAAAAGGAGAACAAAGCGCAACAAGGAACAATCAACGCCCTATTGCCCCAGCTATCCAAGCCGGGTATTCCGGATCATCAGGAGCTGGGAAGAGCCCTCGATCTTCATCTCCACCTTGTCGGCCTTGCTGTTGGGTTTCGGGGGCACCGCCGGCAGCTGCCTGGCCGGTGGTGTCGCTCGGATTGTTGTTATTGTTACCATGGGCTGGATTATTGGCTCGTCGCATGGCTCTTTGCTGCCGGAAATGTAAAAGGACCACTAACGTAGCGGCAAGACCGAGAATCACCAGACTTTCAAGCATGCCATCTTCGATATCGAGGTCAAGCTCATCGTAATAGCTCTCCCTGTCTCCCGAGGTGCCACGAGAATCCGCTGTATCTTCGAGAGCATCCTCACCTTGTTCGCCCGCGGCAGCCTGCCTACTTTTCTCTTTTTGGACAGCTTCCCTTTCTTCATCATACGAAACGAAGGCCCTGATCCACTCTTTAAACGTTCTGGGGGAGTTCTGGTCTAATAAAGTTTCACAGTTAGCTGTTACTGCTAAAAAGATCAAAAATTGAAACTTACCTCGCTCTTCCTGAATTGAATTCACTTTACCATTCGTGATCCTGTTCCAAAAGCTTCTAAGGCGCAACCGTATTAAGCTAAGCTTGACCGGAAGGTAGGCTTCGTCATTTGTTTCCAGAGCCAGGTCGTAATATCGTTTAGCCATGTGAAAGTCTTGCTCGACGGCAATTCCATGCTCATGCATCCATCCAAGATTCCAGAAAGCTTGGGCACTATGATGTCCCTCCGCTGCGCTATGATAACAGCTGGAGGCTTTCCGGAAGTCCTGCGGGGCACCATTGCCATAGAAATAATAGTCACCCATTTTAACGAGCGAATCAATGTTGGCCTGCTTCGCAGACCGAGTCCAGTAAATCAATGCCAGAGCAGCGTTCCGAAGGATAGAGGGGCGTCGGTGTGTCGACCATGGAAGGATAGGATCGAGAGATAATACGGATCGTCGCTCATCGAGAAGCCAGGCTACGTTCGCTTGTGCGATTTCGTAGCCCTGTTCTGCTGCCATCATTGATAAAACCAGAGCTGTTTCTTTATCTCCACTCTTATAGGCTTCATTGGCCTCGGCAAAGGAGGAGTGTATCTCTTCCACTCTCTCCGCGACCATTTTATAATAACCTGTAGCCATGCCACAGTGACGTTCCTTTCCAATTCCACGCTCGGCTATTTCAGCGAGGAAATAAAACGCCTCTGTTGCACCGTACCTTGCAGCCAGCTCGAAATACCTCGTCGCTGTCGGAACATCTCCTTGATCAAGGAAGAGAGCTCCTAATCTAATTTCTGCATATGGGTAATCTGATTCAGACGCTGCTTTAAAGTACGATGCTGCTTTCAGCGCATCTTGCGGGATGCCGTAGCCATGTAGGTACATTAGCCCCATATAGTGCTGGCACATTGAATCTCCATTTGCCGTCCCACGTTTGAACCAGGTGAACGCCTTCTCGAAATTCTGTTCTGTGCCTTCACCCCGGAGGAACATGAGGCCTATATGGGCTGCAGACTTGGAAGCGATCTTCTCGAGGCCCACTGGACGGTTCGGATTGAGCTTTCCATCCTTCATCCAGTATCTCCGTGCAACGATCCCGAAGTACATCATCGATTTCCTCAAGTTCCTCGGCAAGTGTCGAGACCCATCATAATAAAGCTTACCCAAGTTGAATGTCGCTTTCAAATCTCCCTTCTTAGCGAGGAGGTCAAGGTATTCAAGTACATCGTCCAGGTTGGCATCGGAACCTGAATGTACACCATCTTTATGCGCATTCACTCCCGAACTGGACACGCTTGCTCCTTCACCATATACGCCTCCTTCGGCGTCAGCCCAACGGTAGGAGTCTTTTGACAAAGTCCGACCGCCTGGAGGGCCAGACCTGTAGTAAGCAATTGCCTTGTCCGCTACCTGCTTGTAGTAGAACGCAGCTTCATCGCAGTTTCTCGGTGTGCCGATACCAGAGTATCTTCTGAATGCCAATGTCATCTGCGACTTGGTGTTTCCTCCCATTGCAGCAAATGTGTGGTATAACAACGCCATGCCCTGATGTCTTTCAACTGCATCACCAATACCGGTGGCATACATGAAGCCTAGCATGTATTGTGCGGTACTGTTTCCCGTCAATTTAGCCAGCTTTTCGTAGTGTTGAAAGGCCTTTGAGTAATTCCGTGGATGTGTATAATTGCCATAAAAATTCATCTCTGCCAGGAGATATATCGCGTCGGAATTATCGTCCTTGGCGGCACTCTCCAGAAGACTAACGGCATCCTTGAGCTGCGAGCTCATCTTCCGCGGCTGTTTTTGAGTCTGGTTGTCTAGTGGTGGCCCGTTCATAAATAATAGATAGAAGGCTTCCCTGGCATAATGGCGGGCATACCAGAGGAATCCTGAAGGTTGATTGTATTTCCTCGTTGGGATCTTCAAGCGCTGGAGGAGGTTGATGGCGGCGTCAACGGCTGGTTGGCCTGCCAAGTGGTAAAGGAGGGTCAGCATATTTCTGTACATGTCACCTTCCTGGGGCATAAAGCTTACTAGAAGAATCTTCATGCCTGCCGTGGCTAAATTTCAGCCCCAATCCATTCTGCTCAGCGATTACACCACTCTCAGCTGGCTGGGTCGCCGTGGGCGGCGTAACCTTGTTCTCTGTCGTGACATGAGCTCCAGCGACCAACAACTGGAATAGAAACACTGTGAGGTTATCCCAAAAAGTCAGCAGGGACCTTAAACGGCAAGGAGTTGGCGGGGGGCATACGGAGAGCCAAAGGCAAAAGATTCCACTTCCATTGTCGCATCTTCATATCTGCGGAATCAAAATAAAATGTTTGGTTTTGTAGAGCATTGCGACACACTTCAGGTCAACACCATCAAAAGCAACTGGATGCTACACCCGAAGTCATCTTGAGTGTGATTGTCCTCTCCTTCTGACACGCCATGACGCGATTTGGCCACCTCAACATCAACTGGAGCGCCGGAGATACGATTTGCCGATCGCCAAACCCGACAAAAAGGCTCCATTGTCTTTCTGTCACCGTTGACAACAGCACTTACCACTAGCCTCAAAGGTCAAGGATACGACGCAGCAGGCTCTTCAGTAACACACCGGCTTGCTCTCTAGAAGGTCGGCTCTTGTCTCTCTGCCCTTTTCGATTGCGACCGACGGTTTGCCCGCCCGGATTAGCACTTTCGCCAACCACTCATTTGAAGCAACCACCCGCTCTACTGCGTCCTGGATTCTGTCCATTCCCAAAATTCTACGGAGAATATATCAGCTATGTGGGCGGACCAAAGACCTACGTAAGCGGAGGTTTATACACATACTATCCCGTCAGCAGAATGTACACCACAATCCTGATACCCAATCGCTCCAGTGGAAAGGCTCCCTGGTGTCGGCCTATTCCTCAAACAACGAACCTGTAAGCTTTCAGGTCTGGAAAAGAACACCGTTCTAGGTTGCCTCATCTCACCAGTATCTGATTTTGGAATACTCTTCAAACCAAACATGAGACAGCTGCTCTCAAGCGACATCCCATTTGGATGTTATCATCAACCAATTCCGGGGAGATTCATTGATGTCCCTGCAGGGATGCGGGATTGCTTGACCAGCTTTGCAGATGTCGTCGCATCTCCTCTGTAATCATCGTCACAAACGAAGACGAATTTCCTATTCGAGAGAAAGGTCCATGATGGCTCCGTGGTGTCCGTGATCTCCGCAGCCAATTAATAATTGGCTACACAATAGGAAGAGGGGATGTCCTCACCACCCGGGTTCTCCACGCAAGGGTTCACGTAGGCAGTTTAGAGAGAAGCTTTTCTCCAGCCCTCCAGTTTGGTCAAGGAGACAAACTAAACTTCCATTGTATATCCACACGACGACTACGTTCAGCCATACGAAGTTGTCCAGGCCGGAGCTACGTAGTTCTATCAGTAACTCGGCATCGGCTTCGATACTCGATCCGCGACCCGCGCCTCTCCCCCTCGTGAGCGTAGCCCCATGCATCCCACTCCTAGCACTATGGGTCCAGTCGATTGCGCCCGTATTGAACCCATCTCTTGGAGCTGAAACTTCACGGGGCGGGGAATTTTGCTTTGACTTGATACCCGCCACTTTTAAAGGAATGTTGCAGCGATTATTCATGTGGATGGATCCTCCGTGCGGTAGCCATGTCTTTGTTATTTAGGCTGCACATAATTAATTACGCGTACATTGCATTCTTCATTGATGTGTATTTAAAGGCCAATCGAATCATACATCGAACCTCTAGAACACCTGTTCACTAACCCCCCTCGGTCCGAGGAAGGCTTGTTAAATTGTTCAAACCATAAAAGCACATATTTTCCCCCGCCCGCACGCACACACTCAAGATCTAACACACCCTAGTTTCATTCGAAAATGAGTGCTGAAATCAACTTTACCACCTTCCGCAATGTTATCAACGGCAAGTTGACATCAACGGAGAAATCCCGTCACGGTATCAATCCTGCCACGGGGTCACCAAACCCAGAAGTCCCAGTCTCCACGCCAGCAGACGTTGATGCTGCCGTTGACGCCGCTCAGGTCTCTTTCAAGTCATGGTCGAAGACTCCTGTAGAGCAACGCGAGAAGGCATTGCTTGGCTTTGCAGACGCACTAGAGCAATATAAGGAGACATTCAGCAAGCTTCTCGTACAAGAGCAGGGAAAGCCTGTGGGTGATTTCGCCTGTCGTTCATGCATGAAAGCAAGCTAATAATTCCCCCTTATTTTTGGTGGTCTGAATAGCTGTTTCTCGCCATCGGTGAGATCAGTTCTGGCGTAGAGTTGCTTCGAACCAGCGTCAAAGCCAAACTTGAACAAGAGGTTGTTGAAGATACGGAAGAACGACAGGTGATTGTCCGCTATACGCCACTCGGCGTCGCTGTGGGCATCGTGCCATGGAACTTCCCGTTTATCCTCACACTCATGAAATTAGCCCCGGCCGTCTTAACCGGAAATGCCATCATCATAAAGCCTTCACCATTTACCCCTTACTGCGGCTTGAAGATTGTTGAAATCGCGCAGCAGTTCTTCCCACCTGGCGTTGTCCAAGCGCTTAGCGGCGATGACAGCCTAGGTCCTTGGTTGACGGCACACCCTGGGCCTGCTAAGATCAGTTTTACGGGATCATCCATCACTGGAAAGAAGGTTATGGAGAGCGCAAGCAAGACCTTGAAAAGAGTAACCCTCGAGCTGTATGTATCGCGTGTCTGTAACGCACAAGTGACAAGCTCTAATTGCATATAGTGGCGGAAATGACCCTGCTATAATCTGTCCCGATGTTGATGTCGACATCGTTGCACCTCAAGTATGCTGGCTTCCCTGGAACATATGTCCATAACTGCTAACATACTTCGCTAGATTGCCATGAGAGCTTTTGCAAATTCAGGACAAGTATACCTCCACCCGCCCCACTCGCGATAGATCTCCGCTTACAGGCTTTTGAAATCTGTAGATCTGTATCGCCATTAAGCGTATCTATGTTCATGAATCCATCTATGAGAAATTCCGAGAGGCAATTATTCGCGCCACTGCAGCCTTTAAAATGGGCGAAGGCAATGAGCCTGGTGTCTTCCTCGGCCCCTTGCAGAATTCCATGCAATTCGAAAAGGTGAAGACATTCTTCGCCGAAATCGAAAAACAGAACTGGAACGTGGCAGTTGGTGGGAAGAGCGACCTGGGAAAGCCCGGATACTTCATCGAACCCACGATCATTGATAGGCCTCCCGAAGATTCCAAGATCGTCGTGGAGGAACCGTTTGGTAAGTACCAAATCCCCTGCAGTGACACGGTGTATATTTCCGTCAATTAGTATGGAAACTGCTGACATGTCTTAGGACCCATTGTTCCCATGTTAACCTGGAATAACGAAGCTTCCGTTATTGAAGCTGCAAATAACACTAAGTGGGGTCTTGGAGCATCAGTATGGTCGAATGATCTCGAGCAAGCACGTCGAATCGGCGACCAGATCGAGTCCGGCACCGTCTGGATAAATACTCATCAGGACTCGTGTTTTCTGGCGCCATTCGGCGGACACAAGGAGAGTGGCATTGGCTTTGAGGGTGGTGTTGGTGGATTGAAGAGCTATTGCAATGCACAGACAATCATTGTCAAGAAGAAGTTGTAGAAGTTCAGGTGACAACATGGTTAGGATGGGTTGATGCACGCACATGTATGTTCCAGGAGTTATCTGCTCAGAAGTATATCAGTTAATGAATGCAACTCCCATAAGCAAGATTGGTCTCCAATATTGCCATGAAAGCATCCGCAATGTTAAACCCCTGGTGTACTGGGGGTGCTAGAATGTGACTAATATCACTTTGGGAACGGGCTGCTTCTACTAGCCAAGGAAGCCAAATGGTGCTTCAGGCTTCATCACATCAGTCATGAATTTTTGGATAAGCTGTCTGAAGAATTGAATTGGTCCTATCCAGTAAGAGAGAAAAAGAAAAAGAAGAAAAAAAAAAAAAAGAGGGGGGGGCGCACAGCAGCAGGAAAGTATAACACAAAAGTGTGAAGAGTTGGTGTGAAGAGTTGGAAGCTTGAAGATATGTAAACTCAATCTTCAGGGGGGTCGATCATCGGTTTGTGCATCTGCTGGCAGTCTTGCGTCTTGCCAAGTTTTCGACTTCTTACTCGACGAGCCGAGTCGAATTCTCCGCAGACTCAGGATTTCGCTTAGCTTTGTAAGTCTGCACGCTGGATAGCGTTGGGTAAGAAACAAACGACAATTAACTACCCAAGGCACCCATTGAGTGCTTCAAGCGGTATCTGGCAGCAAACGATTTCTTCCACGACGAATCCATCTTTTTCTTTTTTTTTTTTTTTTTTTTTCATCCGGCCTCTGGGAAGAAATCGAGGGGATTGATGGGTATCTACGGAGTACGGAGCACGAAGTACAATGTTGAATGAGTTCGCAGGACAAAAGTTTCAGCGACGAAGCGAAGTGCCGGCACCCGTTCTCGGCTCCGACAACTTTCTGGTGTGGGTGTCTGTCACTTTGATTGGCTGTACTCCGGGAGATGTGCACAGACGAACACGCCAGGCGGGATGAGCCGTCCGAGATTTGGGGCAATGCTTAATTTGACTCACTCGCTAGCTTCGTTGGCCAATTGAAAATTCCCAACGGCTGGGATGGTGATCCTTGGAGCGGAAAAGGGTCGTAGCACTGTTTCTTCGAGTTGACACGAAAGCTGGAGACTTAGATAACAGATATGTCAAATGATAAATATAAAATTATACGCGGCTGCGTCTTGTCACTAGTAGCATAGGAGATATGCATCGAAACCTACTGGACACGGTACATGTTGTTATCCAGGGTTTGAGACGAAGGCCTTGGGTACTAAGGTGGGAACCCGGACGGGCTAGCTAATTCCGCAAGTGACCTCAAAAAAATCGAAGCAAACAAAACGGTGCTGTCAGTAAGGTTTGTATCGTTTATCTTTATGCCGCTTTTCTTTCCGTGTTTCCTTATTCCTCGAGTGTTTCCCGTCCTGAGCTTGTGAATCCGGGCGGGTCTTGACTTTGGGCTCGTCTGCAGATTTTGTGTCACTCTGTATGATCATCTCGCTGTCTTCTCTCCATAATCGTACATGGCCATCTTCTCCACAGGTGAAGACAGTCTGAGACTGCGGCAAGTTAGAATGTATGCTTATCAGGCAGCAAATGAACTGCGTATTCGGAGGGATAATTATGATTTGCTCGGAACCTGACTAACCTGACTGTCCAATAACATGGAACGAACGATTTCTTCACCGTGTGCGCCTGGCAGTCGCCAAACCTTTGCCTGATCAAAGTGAAACTCTGGTGAGGCGACAATAGGTACCAAGTTAAGTGTTTGCTCCCTAGTTTACGCAAACGAGGTTAGACGAGCTGAGAACACAGGCCTGTAACTCAAAGGCCAAAGCATCCCAGAATGTGCTGTTTAATTACCTGGTGCTTCCCACAGCGGCATATACCCCTCCATCAACCAAAATGTCCACAGCATAATCACAATGTAATGCAGAGCGAAGATCACCGAACTGAATAGGAGCAGGCTCCACTATGTTTTCATCAGGATCGTTAAATGGGTGGATTGAGAAGACTTCATCATGGCTGAGGGCATAAATGGCCTTATCTCCAATGAACCCGGCATGATGAATCGATCCATGGTTGATGACCTGCAGCAGTGCGTCGTCTTCCTCTGCGATCGTGGTATTGTAGACACTAACAAGGCCATCAGTGCTTCCAGAGAGAAGCACATCGTTGCGGGTAGGATGGTAACACAGCTAACAAGGAAAAGGACCCCGACCGGAGAGTATTTAGTGACAATTTTCATTAGGGCCTGCAGGGGCCACGGCCTCCTGCCTTTGTAAACAGTGACGCAGGAATGGAGTTGACACACCTCGGTTATATCATCATTGTGGCTCTCTACATATTGCATGCGAGGTTGACCCGGTGATCTAAGGTCCCTGAGATTGGACGGTTAGCAGGTCCGCCGCTGCAGTGTTGCCGTGTGACAGAGCAAACATCCCACAACTTGGATGAGGTTCCTTCATCCACGGACGGAATGAAATCCTTGATAGGAAAGTCAGGGAGTGATCAGAAACTGAGTACTCTTACCAGAAAGAGAGTGCTGCTTGCGCAGATACCAATTCGCTACCTGCAACTATGCTGTATATTGCTGGGTTACATGCGAGTGAAAGAAGAGCGGGTCTCTTATCTATAAGATGCCGGGCTTGATCAGCACTTGGAAACAAACAAGAATTATCTCTATAACCACGGAAAAGATTCAGATGACCCGGACAAAAGCAATAAGTTTACGCTGCATCGATCAAGGATTGCTGGGGCTCAAGAGAACACAAAACAACCAACCCACCATTTCCGGTCAAAAAAACGGAAACAGCGCCGTGATTCATCGCCCTACTATCCCATAGCCTTACGGTTCCATCCCTCCCTGAAGTAGCCAGCAGGGGACCGGCTTCGGAAATGGCTCCATCAACCGCGCATAAACAAGTGACCCCGCCATTGCTTCCGGAGTGAACATCCGTGACCACTCCATCGGGTAGGAGTTTCAAAGTCTGCCGATCAAAACGCCGCAGCGAGTTATCTGATGAGATGGCAGCCAACGCATCACTGCCACTCCGGCATAGGGAATAGATATAGCTCCCTGCTGGCAAAGATAGAGAACCCTGGCCCTGTTGACGCAGCAAGTTGAAAGATGCTGAGGCTACCATGAGTGGAACCCAAGTATGTTGAGATTTGTTTGTGTACCAGGAGAATATGAATGGATTGCTTGGTATCAAGACCAAGCCGTCGTCAGTGAAGTCCCGTGCGAATCATCTCGCTGTCAGTGAAAAAAAAAAAAATACATGTTGTGATCTGGCACTAGTAAGTTTACCTGAAATCTGAATACAGAATGCAATACCTAGCCTGTACTCTGTACCACCATTCTATGTTACCTGGAGCATGTATGGAGTGTGTATGGATGGTACTCTATAACTGATGTTCATGTGTCTTAATAGACACACATGCAAAAAGTGTTCCACTTCCATCCTCAACTTGATGCATCATGTCTATCAAATGTACGTATTTTGATGATTGCTGGGGACAGATGATCGCTTGGCTTGGTGTAGGTGATAGAAGAGAATGGAGTTCTGCGGCCACTACTTCAAGTCCAGGGTTATTCCCAAGATTTAATGGACAGATGAAGCCCAAAAGTAAAAAATGAACGTGAGTGCTCCAGAAAGCCAAGATTCAACATTGGCCAACAGAAACCGATGTCAAAACTTGCCCTGTTACCGCAAGGCATGGGAACGCGCTAGTGAGTACATTACATTACGCAATACTAGTACTATATTACAAGGCTGTGTATGGAGTACAGAGTACTCCGTACAAAAGTACGTTCTCCATTTGGATGCGCAGAGGGGTGGCTCTGTGCTTTTCATGGCAAAAGGATCCTTTGGAAGGATCTTTACCTGGAGGGTCTACCCTGCGAAGGAGCTTTCACTTCTAATAAAGCAATATTCAATGCATTATTACATGCATGTAGAGAGTATGTGCGCAAAGGGACCCCTCCATCCGTCCTACATACACGCACCCCGTGCATGGCAGGCATTTTCCGCCACCCTTTGGAATGTTCTTGGAGGCTTCGATGACGAACCAACCTCCACACGCGCTTACCTAATCAACGCCAATGCCAAGAGCCGCCGGCGGCTCATGCAGCGCGCCCTCAACTATGATTGGTGACCGATCTCGCGGGACGCGTGAAGGAGGATGGATCAGCGGAGGATGAATCATGCCTGTCCGCTCGCTTGTGGCGGGATGCACAACGGATGAACGAACACATAACACCTGGAGCTAAGGTTCGCCTTGTCTCCCATGGAGTTTCAGCGTGGACCTCCTCCGCTTATTGCGAAGGGATACAGTGAACTCTCACTTGCTCTCGGGCCGGTGCCAGGTGGACAGGTTGTCGCGGTAACTCCAGATGGCTGGCTGAACGACGTGTCCCTCCGCTCATAATCTGCCAGAGACATGTACTACTCCATGGGGCCCAACAGGTTTTGTCGGTTCCTCGGCAGTTAGGTTTGTATGTACGGGGCACATACAATCTCGACACCATTCTGAAATCTGAAACCTCTCCGCTCAAGAAATTGATCATGCTGCATGCTTATTGAAGTGTCAACTCGACATCATTGAATCCACCGAGGCGACTTAAAGTGGGGATGTTAGGGAAATGGTTTAAAAACGACTGTGTTGTTCTCGTCCCAACCAGCTAACTCCCCTGTCACTGCAAAAAAGCTCACTTCACTGCGGCTGACGATCAACCACAAACTAATCACCGAGGCGCCGAATCAAAGCTCCTCACGTTTCATCCTTGCATACCCAACCATTAATATCATGTGCCCCGCAAGTCAAGAGGAACAGCATGGATGGCTCAAGCTTGCAACGCCACACCCAAAATTTCATGCGGAGTCGTTCCTTCTCGTATGGATGCAGAGAGCCAGCAACGAGCAGGTATCTCTCTGCTTCGTACATACATATATGTACGTACACTAACTCGAAACACAAGCCGGTTCGCATCATACTTGCATGAACAAGGTATTGAACGTCCCTATGTGCCGTTTCGCCCGTTTCTATAGCTAGTCTGAAGGTCGAGGGTACGAGGAGTTGGGCAGTCATCCGTGGAGCGCGAAAGTCCGCCTTGATCTACGTTGCACGGCACCCGATCCCCGATGCAAGGGCCAGAGTGTCAGGGTCCAATGCAGTATCGGCTCCAACCCTGGAAACGCTTCACTTCACGCTTTGGGCAAGACGTATGAACACACCTAACATACATCCAAATTTGAGTCATTGGCACAGTAGCAGGGATCCATATTGCAGATGCAAATCTACTGTTCGTATGTGCTCTGCGAGATGAAGCGCATATCCCCGCTTGCACCTCTGACATTGGAAATGCAATCACTACCAATAAGGAGGCGAACTGCGAATGGGTATGTAAGCTCATGCCACGATGAAGAAGTCATTGGCGCAGCTCAACAATCCACAAGCAAACATTGTGAAGCCAATTCGTCCCCTTTTTGGTGTCACCCACTGTGTCGTGGCCCTCCCCCAACCCTCGATAATTGAGCCGTACCAAAAGGCTCGTACCACAAGGAGAGCTGGGTAGTCTTATCGCAAACAAGACTTGTTGGACAGAGGCATCACCACGATTGTGACAGGAGACGAGAGAAGCCGACGAAGCAAAAAGTGAGAAAAGCAACGGACGTATGGAGGATGCACCGAGTCAACCTGTTCTTCCCCCCCCCCCCCCCCCCCCCCCCCCTTTTTTTTTTTTTTTTTTTTTTTTTTTTTGGTCCCTTTAACTCATCGCAAATGCTCACCGCTGGTTACCTGCGCCGTTAGAAATAGGAGAAAATTCCAGCTATAGCAAAGCCACTGCGAAAATATCGCCCCTGGAACCTTGTTGAGCATGGATGTTCCACTTGCAGGATGCAGGGATGGATCTGACCAAGTTAGCGAATGGGGATGATCCGTATGTATGTAAATCCAAACATACATACATACAATGAAGATGCCGTCCTTCAATGGTTGATGAAGTCTTCTTGTCTTCATGGCGATTCGGCGCTGCTCCTCGACCCCTTGGTGTGAGGTCCTCAAGAAAGCAACTCTCGCGAGCTGAACAGTCCTAAAATCAGAGAAGTAAATAACGAACTCAATAACTTACATACATCGTCAACACTTGGACGGCAGCAGAACCGTATCCCTGCTTTGCTTCAGGGTCTCACCCATGCCAAAACTGCTCCTTCGTCAGCTCTCGCTAGCTGCTTTGAGTTTGACATGATCGGATTTTATTTCGTGCTTCTCCTCTCACATACGCCACCAAGGCTGACACATCATCAATAAGCCCATTCGAATCAATGAGTTTGTGCGCTGGAGTTCTGCAGGCCATGAAGAACACACCCGACTTTCGTATGCGTTGCACGCCTGCCATACATACACAATACACATGCAAGTACATCGTACTGATGGCGTATTTGTCGGTAATTCTCTCTTGGCTCCGTAATTAATGACTCCCTTCCACTGTGGGCTATTATCATGCAGGCCGAAATGGTAATGCGCATTGATTGGACTTCACTCCGCAATACCGCCCATTCACCCATGGTACTGAAAGGACCAGTATTATCCTTTCCACGTCTCCGCCCGCAACCATTCCGTTGGGACCGTACATGGCGGGAGCTAGACGGTATTCGGCATGTGAACGCCTAGAAGCCTTGTGTTTCATTCAGCCTGTTTGCCTGTCCTCATACCTTGGATTTTAGTTGCCGCAATGCAGGCGAGTGGAACCGAAATGTTTGGTCATGCCGTTGGGGACAACATGTCGATTGACTCCATACGCCGTACTCCAAACGGACTCCTGCTCACTCGTCGAGCAGGCGAAGTACCTGATCTTCCCAGATTCCTACTTCTGGCTGCTGCATCAGTTCATGCATATCTCTTGGTGAAATCCTCTGAACGTCGTGCTATTGGCTCTTTGCAAAGAAGGTTCTCATTAGGGAAAAGCGAAGAGATCTTGCGACTCCGTATTGGCAGACTCGCTGGGTAAAGGTCTCGTCGCTTGAGCCGTCAACCCAGGATGTAAGGAACTTCCTGAATTTCGCATCGACGAAGGATTATCGGCTCGATCCCAAACAATAGTCACCAGGCATGTATCGGTACTTCCTACTTGGTTAGAGTTTGCCGCCCGATTTGCCAGCCGCTTTTCGCGATAATTTCAATGTACGAAATAAAGCCTAAGCTAAAAACCGACGCCAAACTAGCAAGTTAACCCACCACTAGCGAGCACCAGTCCTTTTTTTATGTTCAGTTCCTTGATTCATGCTTTTTATTTTTATTTTTATTTTTTTCCCCCCTTTACGGATTTAATTCCAACTAATCCACCGACTAGTGAAGGTTAGGGGTTGTCCCGAGGTTACCTCGTTCCACCGTGCTACTAGGCGTGAGTATCCGGGAATTACATTCGCATTTCTTTGGGTCTGAAGATCGGAATCAGGAGCCAGGAATAATAACTTATTGTTCCCCAGGTACCCTTTCGCGTTTGGAAACTTAACAGTGCAGGCGTGGAGTTATCCTAGTCGGTTTCCGTATAATAGGGCTTAACTCGCCGTAGTGTACCAGACATTGTAACGGAGAATCACCCGTCGTTCGGTTGACCCAAAACCGGTTGCTTTTCTATATATTAAACTTGCTGCGTTTGTTCTCGCCTCTTGAAAAAATTGGTCCATGGGGTGAAGCTATCAGATCTTGATTACACCTTGTACCTGATGTGTTGTAAGATGCTCGCTGCTGGCCCCTAAGAGACAGGCACAGCCCACTGGGCAAGAGTCAATGCCCTTTTTTTTATCGTCAGGCACTGCCGCCTTTTGCCCTAATGTCCCCATTCCCCCTTGTTCGTGTATCTTGATATATCCCTGCGCATCCGTCAGGTCCCTGCAACTCGGCACATCGTCACCAAAAACACCATCAGGCTGCCCTAGCGTGTATCTTATACCCACATAAATGCTCATCAGTTAAAAGGCATTCCTGTCCACAGCATGTTCTGTGCAATGCCCAGTGTTGATCGATGTGAAAAAGATTTAACTTACGACAAAAGAAAAACAGGGCTTGCATTCCTCTGCATAACATAACAGGCTGGCTGCATTTTGATGGTGGTCTCTCCTCCATCTTTTAACTCTACATATTTTCTTTGGGCTCCACCAGGTCACGTCCGCGTCCGCATCCGCATCCCTCTCCCACTTTTTTATATACCCTTCGCTTTGGCGGTCGAGATTAACATTTGGCAACCATCCTTCCGGTGTGCCCCTGTCCCTCTTCCTTTTCTCCCGAAAGCCATTGGGGACATTGAAATCACAACGCCTGGAAGGGGACCAGGGAGCAGGGAATCGGAAAGTAATTGTTTGTGTTTCTTGTTGGTAACCCGACCTTGCAGATGTCGTATTATTGTATTGTCAGCTGACTTTGCCTGCATATCTTTCTGGACCCTTTTTTTACCCTTTTCAAAAAATTCCCCCCGGCCTTTTGCCCGTTACGTTCTTTTTGAATTGCAGGGACTCCTCTGCCTCTCTTCCCAGTGCCGGTTGTTCTCCACTTACTCAGCCCAGCTGGCACGATTCAGAGGCGTCGAGAACATGGACATATCATTCTTGGCGGGTGTTCCTCGCCAAAATCAAACCGAGGAAAGACGCACATCTGACAATGGCATTCCGCCGGTGCCGCGGGGGACTCAATTGTGAGCTGACCCTCTCTCTCTGGCTTTTTCCCCCCGCCTCCTCCTCGGTCGCCAGCAAATGTGGCGACTCCAACCAAGACTTGCAAAGACATCTTGCAAATGCTAGTATGACGGTGCTAACCTGGGAATTATGGGTTTAGGTCGCGCGAACTTGAAGACTATCCAACTTACCTGGAGAATGGACGCTGGTATCATGGCTATCGACGAGGACAGTACATGTTTCCCTGTGATGAGCTGGAGCAAGACCGCCTGGACCTATTTCACAAGCTTCTCCGCGTAGCCAGACACGAGAAACTTCACTCTGCCCCGATAAGGATTCCGAACCGGGCATCTTCGGGCGATCCGGGGCCTCGAATTCTTGACCTTGGTTGCGGGACGGGGATCGTACGTAACTCCGCCCCGCATGCATGCTTTCCGTCATGATTGCTGACCAGTTTGCCTCGAGACAGTGGGCCATGGACATGGCAAGAGCGTATCCGCAAGCACAGGTGCTGGGAGTCGACCTGGCACCTATCCAACCGTCAAACCCACCGTCAAACTGCACCTTTTACTCACCGCGAGATTACGAGAGCCCATGGCTTCTGGGCGAAGACTCCTGGGACTTCATTCACCTGCAGATGGGATGCGGCAGCGTCACGGACTGGAAGAATGTGTATCAGAAGATCATAGCACACTTGAGACCCGGGACCGGATATTTTGAGCAGGTTGAGATCGATTTCGAAATGCGGACTGACGGATTCACTCTCGGGCCCAACCACCCACTTTCTGTCTGGTATCGACTCCTGAAAGAGGCCACTGAGGCTGGGAAGAGACCAATTGCCTTTGACCGCAGGACGATTTCGCGATTGGAAAGCGCCGGCTTTGTAGACATCACCCACGATGCGGTACCGTTGCCGCTCAGCATGTGGGGAACAGACCATGACTCAATGGAAATAGGGAAATGGTATAGCCTTGCATTTTCCGAGAGCGCGCTGCCACTCCTTTGGGCACCACTCAGTCGAATGAAAAACATGTCATTTGATGATATCATGCGTTTGGCTCAGCAAGCAAAAGTGGAGGCGTACAAGAAGGATATAAGGGCATACAATGTCCTTCATATCTTTACAGCAAGGAAACCAACGTAATTGCCAGGCCACGCTTAGCCTGTTCGGCAGACTAGAAGAAATCTAGTCCCAGAATGGCCACCGACCCCCTGCTCGGGAAATTGGTGGAATTGGCTCTCCGTCGCACCCGTCCCTTCTTCCGAATCAGTCCTAATCCAATGGTTCTCTTTTGCGTCGCCAGTTGACCGGTCACGCCCAGCCATAAAACGCAGATTTATGGTATATTCGGCTCGAGATGTTCTGGTAGCCTTTGCTTGACTTAGGCATGGGAACAGCTGGCCAAGTTTGCCGCAGAGTTCTCTTCCAGAATATAGAGTCAACCATCGTCAGTTCGATTAGACTGATTTTATGAAATGCCCCGTTGCGATTTGGCCGGTCGCTGTCGATATTCTCCGTGTATTCGTTTGCCGAGTCGCCCTTATACTCGAAGCTGCATGGATATCACTTGCTCTGGGTACGGATCTCGCCAGTTACTTCATGTCTCCGAGACTTTAGGAGCCCCAGTAATACATCGCCTGGAAAGACGATATTCTGGGCCAATAGGTATCAAAGAAACGGCCAATGGCGTCTTTTGGTAAGGCAGATCTAAAAGTCGGTTCAGCTGATCTCGTTTAATAGCTCACCTCTGCCAAAATCTTCCTAGTCCTTTCGTCCAACTTCTTAGACAAAGCATCTGTCCTGTTTTATCTACAGTACTTTTGACTTTTTAATCTTCTGTCATACCTACTAAACCTTTGTTTGTTGTGCAGATATGCCTCATTTTGCATGGTGCTTAGGAAAAGGTCAAAAGAGCATCTAAAAGAATAAAAAAATGTTGGGATTGATCTCTTTGTCTCTTTAAAGATTCGCTTTATTTGTGATCAACGTTTTTTCCTACTTTTAAACTCTTCATTATTATTACTTTGCATTTTTACTCCTATTGTCCGCCATGATATGATGTCGCTATTCTGGGCCTATTTTTCCTGACATGACTTCCGTTGCCATGACTAGCATTATACCCATTAGCAAATATTGTTGTGGATCCAAAGATCTTTGGCATAACCCGTGTGTGATTTCCATTTTGCATCTCTGGCTATATACATGATTGAATGCCCCAGTTTCTTGTCTCATTTTTGATATGTTTTGATATTTTGGGGTTTGGCTAGAGATACTCTGCTCTTGATGTCTGGTAAACTAGGAATTAATAGATAGTATCAGGTGTGATATGTTCCTTTTTGAAGATTTAAGTTCTCTGAGCCAAATATGCGTCTTTGGAGAAGTGAGGGATGGCATGACGTCGGGTTAAACTTGGAACAGTGATCTCGTTATCTTTTCCTGGAACCATCCAGTCGGGGAACAAGGAGCCCCCTTTCCGATAGGATTCGTCCCGACAGTCTGGCTCTTGCTCTCGGTCCCTTCCCTGATACGGACATCGATGAACTCAAAACAATGCCCGACCCATTCTCTCGGGACAGCTTATATTGCTCCAACCGAAGGAGGTACACGTGTATTGTGCTGGGTTACACAGGGATATGGTGGTATCGAGGGGTCGGCGAAAGCTGTGTGTTTCTTCGCTGGTCTGAGCCCGCGGCACTCGGGGAATTGGATATCGATCCTTCACCCTTTTTTTTTTCTTTTTTGTCACGTCTTCAACTCCTAGTTTGGACACGAGTTGGCGCAAATGCCCTGTCCTATCGGAAGTCCCCGACAAATTTATCATCCGGTAAACTGCGCACTTCCGTTTTAGCCTTAGCTAAGGAAGCTAAACATTGCTTTTGTGTTTTGCTGGGGATCCGAACTTTTCCAGGAATACGGAGTAGCCACTTATTTAATCCGTGGCTCTGATATTCTCCGCTTCCAATCATTCGTCTACCTCCGGCGACCCCGATTTGATCCCCTCGAGACGCCGTTGGCAACAGCACTACCCCGACGACTGTCGGTATCATCGAAATTCTCACTCGTGTTCCCACTATTCATCCACTCTCTTCCTGCCGCGGGGCTTTTCTTTCTCATTGTCCCCGGCCCGATAGCCACAACATCATTTTCGCTTTCGCTGTCCGAAATATCAAGTAAGACTGGCATTCGAAATGCTTCCACCCCATCCTCGTCTACCTCCCCTTTGACGGGTTCGATTGTTAACACATCTGGTTCCTCGTCTTCCAGATCTAATCGGCGCTGGTGAACTTCCTCAGCAGGGTGAATATCGTACTCGTCCTCGCGCTCAACGTATATCACGTTCTCTTCGACTTCCTGAAAGTCAGGGGCCAGTGCAGACCATTTCTGTGGCGTCACGATCGACCAGGTGTAGATACAACCGGATTCTAAGCCGCACGCCGCGACCATGGGCCTACTCGGATGCCATTCTACAACCCCAAGTTCCTCCTTCGGACCTTCGAGAATTTTGACAAGGGAGCCATGGCTACGCTCCCAAACGTAGATGTCATGGTTCATGAACGTTGAAGCGGTGACAAACTCTCCGGTTGCGGAAAATGCTACGTGATTCCAGCTTAATCTGTTCACCACATCTTGGAACTTGTGCTCGATCTCGAGTTTGATAGCTGACGGGTCCAGGCTGACGCCTAACTGGGAAAGATCTGGCATTAAGATCGTTCGGATTACTCTGTCCGAACTGTTTACGAGGAGATCACGTCCATTGCTAGCAAGGCGGAGGAGAATCACAACTCCGTTGCAGAGACGAGTCGAATGGATCGTTTTGCACGTTTGTGTTTCGATGATATTGATCCAGCCCTTGGAGCTTCCCGCCAATATATGGTTTCCTAGTGCAGTAAATATTGTAACGCACGTCGATTGCTTGGCGTCTTGGGCGGCTTGCTTTGCAGCTGTCGCAGGATCCACGTTCTCCACGTTCGGCCGTAAAGGTGCCGATGGAAGGATACGCTTCACGGGTTTAGGCGAACTAATATCCACCAGGACTGGGTGGTCTTCGAATAAGGATGCGACGAAAAGCCAGCTAAACTCGTCGTCAGCTTATATGTTCCAGGCTATCGAAATTTAGTCCACATACTGATTAAAAGGATGGAGCTCCGCGATGTAAACCGGCGCCTCGAATCTCACAGTTCTAACCCTTGAGCCGTCTTTCATATCCCAAAGCACACATTTCCAATCTTGGGAAGAGCTCAAGAGGTATCTCCCACATCGCGACCAACTAGTGTATAGGTATTAGCTTTTTTTCCGATACTCCTTGTAGCTATAACGTAGCAATACCTTAACGACTGGATCTGTTTACTGTGTCCTCGTAGCTTCCTAGCAACACCGTTTGTTTCCACGTCAAAGATCACTATCGTGCCATCCACCTGAATAAAAGACTGTTAATCGGAATTCGCACTAAGGTGAGGGACGAGCAATCCTCACCCGGCCGGACGCAAGAAAATCGCCTTTCCCGTTAAAGCGGAGACATGTCGCATGCCCACTACCTAGAATTCCTCCAGTTAGCTTCCTGGAGTGGAGATATGAAACAGCAAAACTGTAGAATCAGGCCGTACGGAGTGTTCCTGTCAAAGAATCGGGGTAATCCTGAGCTAAAGCGAAAGGATCAATGAGAGCGAGATTCATGGCGGTTTCCGGCAGTAGGATAAAGCATTTATATCCTGGATAACGATATATAAAATGGTTGCAAGGGGGATCAAAGAAATGAAATGAAAAGAAAAAGAAAAAAAAAGAAAAGAAAAAGGGAGGGCTATTTGACAGAATCCATCTTGGATTAGTTTGCTGGACGAGTTGCAGGTGAAGAGCTTCAAAGCACCCAGGACTACCATATTCGTGGGGAAGCGTCGATTTGACGCGCTAGTCCGAAAAGGTGAGTCCGACCGCAGGCTGACCAATCAGCGCCCACGAGGCTCCCCGCCAATGTGGCTGGTGGCCCGGAGTAAGGCACGCTTAATCAGCTTTCCAGTGAGGCTAGGCTCGAAAGCGAAAAACTCGAGCTAAAGCCCAGCGCAGGTCGCAAGTGAGGCAAGACTCAGACAAACCTCCTTTCATCAACATCCCCCGTCCTCTCACCAACCACAACGACACGGAGATATCGCGTTCTGTATCGTGATATATCTTTTGGCATTTGCGGAATCTGTTCCATCGGCGATTTTGCTCGTCCACGGCTCGACGTCGCGTCCTTGGCGAGTTCGAGAGGGTTTTCAGGCCGCCCTCGTGGCACGGTCTGCCAGAAGGCCGGCAGCAGGCCCAACATCGCGGTCATCGGCTTCATTATCGTGAAGCGCCTGTCCTTAACGTCCGTTTACACGCCTTAATTGGCTTGGTCTTGGAGAATCACTTTTGTTGGCGCCGCTTACCTTCGCTTGTGTTGTTTTGAGATCCTGACCTTCTCTATCTTTCTCTGCCATCCCGATAGCGCGACCTTCCTCACGCAACATCATGGCTTCCGTAAAATTTCCGTTCTCTAAGGCGCCTTTGCGCACCATCAAAGAGATCCAGTTTGGTCTTCTCTCCCCAGAAGAAATCAAACGGATGAGTGTGGTTCACGTTGAATATCCGGAGACGATGGTTAGCCTATCCTACCCCAAACAGACAAACCTCCAGTGGCGCAATGCTAACGTAATATGAACTCCAGGATGAAGCAAGACAGCGCCCTAGAGAGAAAGGTCTGAATGATCCGCGACTTGGTACTATCGATCGAAATTGGCGTTGCGCGACCTGTGAAGAGGGTATCAACGACTGCCCAGGTCATTTTGGTCATATTGAACTGTCCACACCGGTCTTCCATATTGGTAAGTGCTTCACATCGCCGGCATCCTAGATCTGGCGGATCACTGATGTTTCGTAAATAGGTTTCTTGACCAAGATCAAGAAGCTCTTGGAGACTGTTTGCCACAACTGTGGAAAGATCAAGGCCAACACGGTTAGTCATCCCTTCTGGGATGGCAAAATCTGAACTGGCGATCATTGCTGACATGTTTCTCTTCATTCAGAGTGACCAGAAATACTTAGATGCTCTCCGTTTCCGCGACCCCAAGAGGCGCTTTGATGCAATCTGGCGGCTCTCGAAAGACGTCCTTATCTGCGAAGCTGATCCTCCTCCCGATGACGACGACCCATTCGGCAAAGAAAGTTCAAAGATCGTCAAGGGCCACGGTGGATGCGGAAATGCGCAACCCCAGATCCGAAAGGAAGGTATCAGCCTTGTTGGAACTTGGAAGCCGAACAAAATGCGAGACATGATGGATGACACGGATATTCAGCAGCCTGAGAAGAAGCAAATCACTCCGCAGATGGCTCTAAATATATTCAGGAATGTCTCGGAGGAGGATGTTCGAATCTTGGGTCTAAGTAACGACTATGCGAGACCCGAGTGGATGGTCATCACTGTTCTTCCAGTACCTCCACCTCCAGTTCGCCCAAGCGTCCTTGTTGGTGGAAGCTCTGGAGGGCAGCGCGGCGAAGACGACCTGACCTACAAGCTGGCAGAAATAATTCGCGCTAACCAAAACGTCACTCGTTGCGAGCAAGAAGGATCTCCTGAGCATGTCGTTCGCGAATTTGAGTCGCTGCTACAGTACCACGTCGCAACATACATGGATAACGATATTGCTGGGCAACCGCAAGCTATGCAAAAATCAAACAGGCCAGTCAAGGCTATACGCGGTCGTCTAAAGGGGAAAGAAGGACGACTTCGTCAAAACTTAATGGGTAAACGTGTCGACTTTTCAGCACGTACCGTTATCACTGGTGACCCTAATCTGTCTTTGGATGAAGTCGGTGTTCCTGTCAGCATTGCACAGACTTTGACTTATCCGGAAGTTGTCACCCCCTACAATATTAATAAACTAGGCCAGCTAGTTGATAATGGGCCTGATGTTCATCCCGGAGCGCGTTATGTGATTCGCAGTTCCGGGGAGCGCATTGATCTACGGCACCACAAGGGCGGCGGTGGGCGGAATTTCTTGCAATGGGGCTGGAGAGTTGAGCGCCATCTCATGGACGGAGATGTCATCTTGTTCAATCGACAGCCCTCTCTACACAAGGAATCCATGATGGCTCACCGCGTTCGAGTTATGCCGTACTCGACGTTTCGCTTGAACTTATCCGTCACAACTCCATATAACGCCGATTTTGACGGTGATGAAATGAACTTGCACGTCCCACAAAGTGAAGAAGCGCGCGCAGAGCTTAACCAGCTATGTTTGGTTCCATTGAATATTGTTTCGCCGCAGCGAAACGGTCCGTTGATGGGTATCGTCCAGGATACACTCTGTGGTATTTACAAAATCTGCCGTCGTGATGTCTTCTTGACCAAAGAGCAAGTCATGAATATGATGCTCTGGGTTCCTGAGTGGGATGGTGTGCTGCCGCAACCTGCAATTCTTAAACCACGCCCGAGATGGACCGGTAAACAAATGATTAGTATGGTGCTACCATCTGGTCTTAATCTTTTACGCGTGGATCGGGATAAAGTGCCCTTAGCCGAAAAGTTTTCACCATTGACCGATACGGGCCTGCTGGTACATGGGGGTGAACTCATGTATGGAATGTTCTCCAAGAAAACAGTGGGCGCGACTGGCGGCGGTATTATCCATACGATCTACAACGAATATGGCCCTGAGGTTTGTATGAACTTCTTTAATGGCGCTCAAACCGTGGTAAACTATTGGCTTCTGCACAATGGATTCAGCATTGGTATTGGTGATACAATTCCCGATCTTGCTACCATCCAAAAAATCGAAGAAGCGGTGCGAATTAGAAAGGAAGAAGTGGATTCCATTACTCTCAGCGCGACAGAGAACACACTCGAACCTCTTCCTGGTATGAGCGTTCGAGAGACGTTTGAAAGCAAAGTTTCTCGTGCTCTCAACAATGCTCGTGATGAAGCAGGTACCGAAACCGAAAAGAGCCTGAAGGATTTGAACAACGCAGTGCAAATGGCACGTTCTGGTTCAAAGGGTTCGACGATCAATATATCCCAGATGACAGCCGTTGTGGGACAACAGTCCGTGGAAGGAAAACGTATCCCTTTCGGGTTCAAATATCGCACTTTGCCCCATTTCACGAAGGACGATTACTCACCAGAATCGCGTGGCTTTGTTGAAAACTCTTATCTTCGTGGTTTGACACCTACCGAGTTTTTCTTCCACGCCATGGCCGGTCGTGAAGGTCTTATCGATACCGCTGTCAAGACAGCCGAGACCGGTTACATCCAGCGAAAGCTTGTTAAGGCATTGGAAGAAGTTATGGTCAAGTATGATGGTACTGTCCGCAATTCACTAGGAGATGTCATCCAATTCCTCTACGGTGAAGATGGTCTCGATGGAGCATTCATTGAGAACCAACGTGTTGACGTTATCAGATGCTCTGATGAACAATTCCGCAATAGATTCCGTATTGACCTTATGGATCCGGAAAACTCTCTGTCCCCTGAACTTCTCGAGCAAGCTACAGAGATCACCGGTGATATGGAAGTGCAAAGATACCTTGATGAAGAATGGGAGCAATTGCAAAAGGACCGGGCCTTTTTGCGTTCTGTTGCAAAAGAGGATGAAGAGATGATGCAGTTGCCGATCAATGTTCAGCGAATTCTAGAGTCGGCGAAGACTACATTCAGGATTCGTGAAGGCACGATCAGTGACTTACACCCTGCAGACGTCATTCCTCAGGTACAAGGACTACTTGACCGCTTGGTTGTGGTCCGTGGCGACGACGTTATATCAAAGGAGGCACAAGAAAACGCTACATTGCTTTTCAAAGCTCAACTTCGTTCTCGATTAGCGTTCAAGCGTTTAGTTGTGGAATACTCGTTGAACAAGCTTGCCTTTCAGCATGTCCTTGGCGCCATTGAAAGTCGATTCGCGAAAGCAGCGGCAAACCCGGGCGAAATGGTCGGTGTCTTGGCGGCGCAATCTATTGGAGAGCCGGCAACGCAAATGACATTGAATACTTTCCATTTTGCTGGTGTTTCTTCGAAGAACGTTACTCTAGGTGTTCCTCGTCTGAAGGAAATTCTCAATGTCGCCACCCATATCAAAACCCCGTCGATGACCGTGTATCAAGATCCTGCACGTGCAATGGACAAAGAATCCGCCAAGCAACTCCGTAGTGTTGTCGAGCATACAAACCTAAGATCCGTGACAGAGGCAACCGAAATCTACTATGACCCTGACATTCAGTCAACAGTCATTGAAGCTGATCGTGATATGGTTGAATCATACTTCATTATCCCTGAGGATGTTATGGATGATTTATCTCGGCAATCCAAATGGCTGCTCCGTATCATTCTGAGCCGACCTAAACTCCTGGATAAGGGTCTCACTGTCCAAGATGTGGCTATGAAAATCAAGGAGTCCTACCCTCAAGATATTGCGGTCATTTTCAGTGACAACAACGCTGACGAACAAGTCATTCGGATTCGTCAAATCCAAGATCCCAAGCAGGATGAAGAGGATGATGATGACACTGAATATGATGTAACGCTAAAGAAACTTGAAGCTCATTTACTTGATACACTTACTCTACGTGGTGTGGCGGGAGTTGAGCGTGCGTTCATTAATGAGAAATCTCGAGTTCGTACCCTTGAGGATGGATCTCTTTACAAGAACAGTGAAGATCCACAATGTAAGGAATGGGTCCTTGAAACCAGCGGATCTGCCCTCGGCGATGTTCTAGCTATCCCAGGAGTCGATGCTACTCGAACATATTCCAACCAGTTCGTTGAGATTCTCGAGGTATTTGGAATCGAGGCAACCCGAACCGCCCTCCTGCGAGAATTGACCCAAGTGCTTGCGTTCGATGGTTCATATGTCAACCATCGTCACTTGGCTCTGCTCTGCGATGTCATGACTTCGAGAGGATTCCTCATGGCTGTCACAAGACATGGTATCAACCGTGCGGACACCGGAGCATTGATGAGGTGTTCTTTCGAAGAAACTGTTGAAATCCTGCTCGATGCAGCAGCATTCGCCGAGCTTGATGATTGTCGAGGTGTTTCGGAGAATCTTATCCTGGGTCAAATGGCACCTGCTGGTACTGGTGAATTTGACGTTTACCTCGACCAGAATATGCTTATGGGGGTTGTGTCCAACAATGCTGGATTAGTCACCATGGGTAACGTCGACAAAGGTTTGATTTCCGATGGAGCGGCAACGCAGTACGATAGTGGTTCGCCAATGCAAGAGAATATGTATATCAGCTCGCCTGATCCAGATTCTCAGTTCTCTCCAATCGGGCAAACCGGGTCTGAAACTCCAGCTGGATTTACTGAGTATCAACCGCCAGGATTCGGTGGCTTCAGCCCGGCTGGAGCGAGAAGTCCTGGTGGCTACTCGCCGACCAGCCCTTTCAATACCAGCCCAACATCCCCTGGATATTCTCCTTCCTCGGGTTACTCTCCAACCTCCCCCGGCATGAGCATTACCAGCCCACGGTACATGACATCTCCCGGGTTCTCTCCAGCGAGCCCTACCTTTGCGCCCACCTCCCCAGCGTATTCTCCGACTTCTCCTGGCTATGGACAGGCTCAGTCACCCACCTCCCCTTCATACTCGCCTACTTCTCCCGGGTTCTCTCCAACTTCTCCAAGCTACAGCCCAACGTCACCAAGTTTCAGTCCAGCTTCTCCCGCCTTCAGCCCTACTTCACCTAGCTACAGCCCTACGAGCCCTGCTCTTGGCGGTGCTACTGGCAGACACCTTTCCCCAACTTCACCCACCTCGCCGAAATATACCCCCACTTCACCTGGTTGGTCACCTACCAGCCCAGAAGCGTATTCACCAACTTCTCCCAATTTTGCTGGTTCCCCGACTTCTCCAGGTGGTCCTACTTCTCCAGGCTATAGCCCAACATCTCCCACCTTCAACCCGACGTAAGTTTAAGAGTCAACGAAATTTGAATATGACATACTTAATGAGTTCGCAGGTCTCCCCGCCAGTAGACTCGAAGCTCGAGCTATTTAGCTTTTGGTTCTCGATATGCTCCTATCCGCCTACGACCCCAAAGTATCGTTGTACCACCACTTGCTTTTGTTTAGTACTGGGCACATTGAAACGCATTTTATCGACCTATTTTTGCTGTTGGTTGGTTATATTTCTTTTCACTATCTGGCGCTTCTGTATAGGATATGTAACCCCCCCTTTTTTAATGGCTTCCCCAAAGAATGACCCGGAAATTGGTTTCAACATGTCTCTAACGTCTGTGTTCCGTTCTTTGCCCCCTTTAACTGATGCTTAAATAATGACGCGGCGGTGTTGGTTGCGGCGAAGCAAGTGAGCACAAAAGATCCTGCGCGCAGGGCTCCGAAAAAAAAAAAAAGGAAAAAAAATATAAAAGGAAAATTTTTTAACTCAGTATTATTTTAGATTGATGGAGGCCACGCGCTCAAGCACAGCAAGGCGTTGGAACTGCTTCAAAAATTTCCTTGGACGCGGTGCCTTTTTGCCTAGTTTTTGAACCGGCAGCTGATCTCGTCTTCTTCTGATGATGTACCTACACCTAACCTGTCCTCCGAGACGGAATCTTAGACATACAAGAATGGATATGCTCCGTATGTGTACTGCTATTGGTCCTAGGACATTTTTTGCGAGCCCGTTCTTCCACTATAGGGTCCAACTCAATACATCCAAAGTACTGCACCAACTAATCTGTACCCTAATGAGCTGAAGTCATTCCTTGCCATACACTATTGTCTGTCGCGCCTCTGGTTTTGCTCGAGCAAAATGATTGTGCACCTTAGCTTTGTGTACGGAGTATAAAGAGACCATTCTAATATTTTTTTCTGGCTCATTATCCTACTGGGCAATTCATGCTCATGATCTTACAGGCAATTGGGAGTTTCCCGGTATACGCAACCAGGAGGGGTATATTACGAAGGGAAGAGCCAGTTACTATTGTGGAATATCGAAAGCATCATAGAGGAATACTTGAAAATGCATCGTTATTATTGTACCGATTCAAACCAACCCCCGCGGGGGGGGATCAATCGATGTCAACGAGGCGATAGGCAATGCTTAAAAAGGGACTGAAAACCAATGAAAACTATCAACATACAGTGGTCGCCAACCATTTAAACCACCGATTCACCGCTGAAATGCTAATCAAAAAAGAAAAGTCTCCAAACACCACCAGCCTTAGAAAGGCTGAATGCCTCTTCTAGAATCTAAAAAGAAGGGGAGTTCTGAATCATGCAAATTGCTGCATACGAGTGGAAAGATCGTCCTTCCCATCTGTATATGCAGTAATATGCTATTAGTTCAACATGGGCATCAATGGCGCCGATTGTTAAGATTCAAATTCTGAATCGGGACCTCTGTGCTATCCGGATCACCTCCGGACTCAGAACCTGACTCCACAATCGACTCCGCCATGTCACCAGAAGCGAGAGAATCCCGTGAAATATAGCTCTCAGCCATTCCGTCAACTTGTTCCTCATCCTCGTACTCATATTGGTCGCTACCATCATCCTCACTCTCTAAATTATCGTCTTCGTCTCGCTCATCGCCATCTTCGTCGCTGTCCGTAACGGAAAAGTCATCGAGATCTCCAGGGCTATCCCTCCAATATCTGAAATCCGTAAAATCCTCGGCGCCTTCTTCGATAAGCAGGCTCACGGGCGGGAAAAAGTGATCTACCAGTTCTCTCATGGAGACATAGCTGCTCCTATATTTATTGAGGCTGAGAAGATCCAAATAAACCTCCGCATCGGAATTTATGGTAAAAATCCTGGTAGACGGGATGTTTACAGATCGATAGCTCAGCGCATCGGTAAGGCGGTTGCCAAACCCGGCGTAGAATGGATTTTGTCGCCCTTTAAAGAGACTTAAGATGTCACGAAGGCAGGCCATTTTGAAGACCTCCGGCTTTCGCAAATAGATTTCACGACGTAGGGCAGCAATAGTGCGATCAGGGCTCATAATAACCGGACCTTTGGGTAGCTTATAGCCCTCCTGAACGATCCCGTTAAGGTATGTTCTTGTGCTGTCTGCTTGGCCAGTTGAGCGGCTTGTTAGGTACATGATGTTGTATCCATTATTCACTATATCTGTATATAGTTTGGCTACGCCGATATGGGTCCAATCGCGACCGATCATGTTGAGGACGTGGCCTAAAGCATCCGACCTAAATCGACGTTAATATCCCAGTAACCATGGTTTGAGGGTGATAACTAACTTTGTAATGGTCCCGTCTATATCGGAAATGACGATAGGTGTCTTGTAATTCCATAAATACATCGTCGCTGGACATGTGGCCCGATTTACCGTAAATGACATTGGGTTAGCTCCGGGCTTAAGATTCAATGCTCTGAGCTGATCGCTTGTCAATCGGAGAGTCTTGGCATAATTGCGAGTTTGGTCGTCAGCTGCAGCGTCACCACCGGGTGTCTGTGGCGGCGTTGGATATCCTCCCTGTGCGTCAGACTGAGAACGGTGATGCCGTTGGTTTGGCATTGCCAAAGTTTGTTCACTATCGCTATGGTACCCGGGTTCTGACGCTGCGTCACCAGCTAAGGGATGGCTATTCGGAAGACTGTTGAATGTTGCGCGACGAGTAGCGGCCTCTTTTGCATCCTCACTACTGTATATCCAAAGATTTCCATGTTCATCAGCGCCTATCAACGCTCCAATATCATAATTTCCTTCCAGCTCCTCCGCGAGAAGCTTGCGAGCAACTAACTCTGCCCGCAAGGCATCCTCATCACTGCTCTTGTATCCTGTCATATCAAGCATCAAGTCCCCAGTTTCGGTCACTTTTGAAGGGATGTTCGAAACTTCAAGTTTCTTCGAGAGCGATATAGCTCTAGAATAAGCCTCTTGAGCCGAGACGGGAGGAGGACTTTGAGATCTTCGCGAATCGGGGGAATCTTTTTCTGGGCTGAACGCGGAAGGAGGTGGAGAAAGGCGCGCTGCGTCGAAATCCGCAGTGGTTCCCGCCCTGAGACGAGTCTGATGCACTTGAGTTTCTATCTCAGAGGATGGCGTTGGAGAGCCGTCCAACCATGGCTGGCATTCATCGAGAGACTTGGACATCGTAGCTAGGATAGCTATCCTCGTGTTAATAACTTGGGGGAAAAGAACCATCCGACCAGAAATGCGTACCTGGATCAGTTTCTGTTCTTAACACTGCGCCTGTAGGGTCAGGCTCAATCTTTCGCGGGCTACTCGGTCTGCTGGAGGAGAGGTCTAGGAATTCGGGCTCGGAGTCGGCTGACATATCTCCGTCGAAGGGAGCATGCTTTGGACTCGCTGCGGGTGACACAACAGGCGACGTTTGTAGCGATTCGGGGACATCGTTGGCAGTCTCGAATACGAAGAATGCCTCCCCTCCTTCCCCGAGCTTCATTGCATAGTCTTGTTTGACGCCGTTTACCCGGAACTCCACCTAACAAAACCATAAGTCTCCTTAATTCCCAGATATGAGGCCATGAGTTCATACCTTCTTCTCGTACGGCCGGAGGAGGGAGAATTTGCCGAATCGCACATGGAAAGGAGAGCACGCCAGCGTTCCTAATCAAGTACCTTAGCTCAACTCACACTTCAACCCGTCATGGAGAAGGTCTCACCATCCTCCTGTTCGATAACGATCACGTCAATAGCTCCACTGAGAGTGGCTGGGTTGATCGAGTTCCATGTCTTTGAGACCGAACCGCTGATACTTCTGACGTACTGCATTACCCCGATGCGCCCGGCTGGAGGGGAATAAGAAAATCACACAAAGCGTAGGGCCGCAACGAGAACTGTTAGGATATCTATGATGAAAACGGCGGTTAGAACGGAGCGATTCGAGAGCAAATTCGTCCAATAGGCCTAGACGCCTCCAAAACGAGGAACGTTTAAGCCCGAGATAGCATGTGACGCAGCTGTCTAGGACGAGAGGAGCATTCTTTAAACACAGCTAGCTAGTCCGGAATAATAAAGATGTTTGGACAAAGAATACAAAGCAAAAGCGCCAGAGGACTTTTAACGACAGGACTTCACGGCGGCGGCTAGACGGTAGATGTTCGCAGGCTGTTGGGGATTCAGAGCGGCGGCGTGATTGATCCACGGCCAGGCCCTTTCGCTGTCGGCCTTTCCGTTCACTGACTAAGCGCCCTGCGGGAGGCGTCATGGTTTCCTGTTCGGGCATAATTATCCGAATCCGGAGACACGATATTCCGTAACACGGGACGGTGTTCTTACGTAATCGTTCCATGGGCCGCAGCAAATCGAAGTTGAAAACCGCTAGGACGAACGAGCAAACATCAATCCAAACCAGCTTCGCGAGGCAGTTGGGGGGGGTTTGGATGCCGGGGATGTATGAACCATTGCGCCTTGTCTCCGACACCTATCCTGGTGTCGTTCCCGGGGTAAAAGCCCAGGGTGTCATGGCCCTGCTCATCGCTGTGTCTATCCTCTGGGCGTTAATATGGTAAGCTCTGAGACTTCAGCCAGCATGGGAGGCTGCTTCTTGTCGCTAATGGAATGTGGTTAGGCTGTCTTACCGCGCTTACCAGGTCTGTGTGACTCCGAATGATGTTCTTGTCGATAAGCTTGGATTAGACATCCCTCCAACCCCAGAGGTGACGCTGGAAGATATCGGTAGTCGAGAGATTCGTATTGCGTGGAAGTATCCAGATTTGCATAATTCGATTCATAAGCATGTCATTCAGGTGAATGGAGTTCGAGGTCCGTACCTTGTGCCTGATTATGGGCGTTCTTAACAGCTAACGGGCAACATTTTCAGTTGGCGAATCGAAACGTTCCGAAACCGCGGTTTCTATTTTAAACCTTCTCCCAGGACATATTTATCATCTTTGCGTTATTGCGATTAGTGCCGCTAATTTTCAGACCTCGAGTGCCGTGCTGCACGTCCGGACGAGTCTCGATCCCTCTCAGAATGAAGGCACCGGTGCCTGTGGTGGGCCGTACATTCAGGCCTATTCGCCTCGACCGTCGTCGCTCGTATCACCATCAGCTCCGATCATGTCGCGAGAACACAGTAGCGGGCCTGCCCAGGCGAAACGCGCCAGCGGTGGAAGAAAAGTCGCAGCTTCAACTTCAGTCCCTGAACATACGTCATCAAATACCCCATGTGATGATGGCAAAGGGACTATCATCGAAGACTCGGAGGAAACTGTTGAACAACTTGCTGGGCGTCTCAAAAACTTGCAGCAGGAAAATGATACTTTAGACAAACAAATATGTCAAGAAGAAAAGGAATATGAATCCTTACTACGGGAACTCGAAGACCAGCGAAATGAGTTACGGCAGCGAGTCAAGGAGAAGGATGAAGCCAGTGGCGATCTTCGGAAACATGTTAATAAACTAGAGAGTGTCAACCGCAGCGTTCAAAGTGAGCGAAGTAAACGGGAGAGGCTGCTTCAACAGAAAGAGGCTGAGAAGAAGAAGCGCTCCGACGATGTTGTACGATGGGACGAAGGAATCTCTGAAATGAGGAAAATGCTGGAAACATTGCAGAATGAAAAAGCACAAATTGAAGATGAGTCAGAGAAACGAATTGCCGAATATCGTACCAAAATCTCCCAAGAGCAAGTGGAAATGAAATCTCTCGAAGATGACATCAAAGTCAAAGGCAGTCGAATCAAGATGTTAGAGGAAGAAAGACGACTCCTCGAGGGTGGAGATAACGAGGAAACTCAGGAGTTAGATCGGCTGGAGAGGGAACGCGATCGACGCTGGGAGGTCAAAATGGCTAATCTACGGGCTCAGTATACTTCCTTGATCAATGTCCACACTCAGGTTTGTGATACAGCCCCTTAAGCTACAGATTTTGAGCTGACTTGGTTCCAGGCTCAGCAACAATACTATGAGGCGCAAGAACGCCTGAAATGGATTACAACCCAACGGTCTAATTCAGCTGTACCCTATGCACCAGTTCCAACCATGGAACTGGATTTGGCGAGGAGGGCAAACTCGTATCGGCGGAATCGTCATCGTAGTTCGCTTACGAGTAATGTCTCTTCCCCTCTTGGCTACCCTGTCGCGGATACGACGTTCCAAAACCCGAGCGGCTACAGGCAGCTCGGGACCGCTTCTCCAACAGTCCCGCCAACCTCTGCCTTCTTCAATATCAACAATGGAATGACCATCCCCGATCCCACCGATCAGATGAGCTCGGTCCGTACCGAACCAAGCAACCCTCCCATGAGCCCACGAGCAGATGCATTGCTCCCCTCCGATTTACTTGGGGATGAAGACCAATCACCTCGATCTCCTCAAGAATCCACTGAATTTCCCACCCTACCCGTTTCAGCTGCCCCTTTTCAGGGTCTTCTCCCTACGTCGCCATCTCCGGTTTCTGGCGGTAGCCATCCTCCTAGCCTCTTTGCAAGTCCCCGTGAAAGTCTGGTTAATCTTCCCGAAAGCGAACGCAAGCCCACTCAACCACCCGTGTCGCATGCGCCATCGGACGCTGCCCAAAGCGCATCACGAAAATTGTCAGGATTGTTCACATTCAATCGGCAGCGCGGTAAAACAATGGCAGATGGGCCCCTCCTGGGCTCCCTCAAGCCTGGACAAAGCCAATCGTTCCCGCGGAATATGGACCAAGATTTTGACCCGATAGGAACCCGTCGTCGACGTTTGAGCTACACAGGTAGCTGGGCAAATCCGATGGCAACACTTTTCCCTCGGAGCTCGACAGCTGTGACTGCCGATAGCTCTTCTGACCGTGTGCCTGCATCGCGAAAAGCCATGATTCCTAGTTTCTTTACAACAGGAAAGTTTTCGTCAACGTTGGGTAAATCCGAGTCCAGCTCCGGGTACAACCAATTCAGCCCCACGCATGATCCTATTGATCCATCAATTTTTGGGGCCGTCCGCCGTGATTCACTATCCCCTAGACCAGCTTCAACCTATTCCTTTGATAAATTTCTCCCTCGGCCTAATTCCGATGCTCAACCATTTGGGTGGCCTCCCTCTGAGATGCACAGGAACAGCCCCCTCAACGTGGATTGGTCTACCCCTGGAGGAGCGTGGTCACGTAGTCAGTCGCGACGTCCCTCGTTCCAACTCGGGTCGTCAAACCATCTTCCGCTAACCATGCCACCGTCGGATATGGATTTTTTGGAGGCACCTTATGAGCCACAGCGGCCAGTACAAGCCCCAATTGGAACCCGGCCTTCCTCATCGCATCGGCCAATGACTCCGAAGCTTAACCCCGCTGCACCCTCTTTCAAAACTCTTTTCAATAAGAAATCTGAGAAGTCAAAGGGTAAAGATCCAGATACTTCAAAAGGGCGTGATGAACCGCAGCTGGAGGACACGTCTCCCGTGGAATCCCGCCGATCAAAGGACGCAAGATCCATTCGCACATCCGCAGCTGAATCGCATGAGTCACTGGAACGTATCTCGTCCGGGGCCCCATCCGAGGCCATCAGTACGAAAGAGTCATTTATCCAAAAGATTACTCGTAAAGGTAGCTCTAGCAAATTTAACATGCCTTGGAAGGATCGAGCTAGTTTGTTTTCCAAAAGGGGCGACTCTGCCACTCAGGTAGACGTGGAGGACGACGGAACGAGTGAAATACAACTCGGAAAAAGCATCGACAGTGCGGTCTCGAGCACGCCATCGGTGGAAAAGTCAAGCAAGAGCGGATTCAACCTCAGTTTCAGACGGAAACTAAAGAAGTCTGAAAGGGCTACAGGCGAGAGCAGCGAGAGGGCCAGTGAGAACGGAGACGACGATGTCTTTGAAGATGTTTGAGGATGTAGCCTGTATAGCATCAAGACAATAGATGTATTTATACGAGGTACTGAGTCCTGAAGTTAATACAAGCATACATATTCTGAATGTCACACATTACTTCATATCTAGAAATATTTAGATACCCGGTTTGAGTACTCTGTAGATGTGAAATTTCTCGACAAAGGTTGTAGCTGCCACTGCTGGGCATCCCTACTCCATAGTGGTCACTGCTCTTAATCCCTTCGTGCATCAAGTTGATCGTTCTCTTATCGATTAGTATTATCGAATTTAATACTTTATGGAATCGCATGTTATTCTTTATAAAATAATTACTTGTGTTCTGCCCTTAAAGCCTGTGGTTCCCGAGTAGCTTGGTATATTCAGAGTTCTGTCTGCCCAAGCTGCTTTGCACCTCCAAACCCAATTTGAAAATCCAATTGTTGGAATGCAAGTCGTGATGTGTTTGGATAATAGTTATTCCGGTCCGAAACTCAACCTCCAGTCCCAGTGCCTGCCGATAAGAGATGTTATTGTGGGAGTTGGATTACCTAACACAACCCTCTCCTCTGTAACTAGTTACAGTCCGCGCCTAGTCGGCTCCTCCTCCTCCTCCTCTAACATAGACTAGATCACATACCTATTGACTACTATGCTGTTCTACTACTATGATCTCTAGAGCTGCCTGAACTTCCTGTGCATTATGGGCTTCATTAGTGTATTCACCCCTATATGCTTAGATGTCCATTTAGGGCACTAGTACGGAGTACTACTACTAACACCTCTACTAGTTACTTGGCCTACAAGTCCTACTGCACCCTCTCGAGTTAACCACAAGCCTAGGAGAATGGCAAATTCAAAGTATTGAATTTTTTGACCCCGTTAAGTATTAATCATGAAGCTAACACAACCATCAAAGGTATGAATATGTAAAGTCTTTCGAGCGTGATGACGTTCTGTTGCCCAATACGTGGGTTGTCGTCCGAATCGATGGACGAGGGTTTCATAAGTTAGACTCCCCATGTGAGCTGTTTTTGCATTATATTGTTATATACCTTACAGGTAGCTACTCGAGTTGCCTTTCAAATGGCTCCCAATGGCTCTGCTGGTCAGGCACCCTTTCCGGTGACCCAGAGCCTAGGAGTAAGGGAAGGACACCAGGAGCACCGTCCCAGAAGAATGGTGTCTTCTTATGCTTTGAACCTGTTTACCCTGATTTGAACGCCTTGGAATTTCTATTTCTCACTTTCTAATTAGGTTTTCTGCTCGATATCAATTTGGAAGGCCTAATGATGTACGAGCGCTGAACCTGATGAACGCTGCCGCGAAGGAGGTTATGAGAGATTTTTCCGATTTGATCGTCGCATATGGCGTGAGCGATGAGTTTAGGTATCTATTGGATTATCCCGCGCCGATGAGTTTCTTCACTAACCATGCTCCGCCGAAAAAGTTTCGTCTTCCATCGGAACTGCCAGCTCTTCGAGAGACGAAGTAGGTGAGTGTCTCCCATAGCTGTGGACGACCCCCTTAGAAGCATCGAGCCACGAGAGGGATAGCTGAACTTATTCGGATTCCTTGCTGATCCTGCTTCATCAGCAAGCTTGTTTCTACAATCGTTTCGACTTTTACAGCTTATTATGTTCATAAATGGCCAGAATTTTTCCCATCAATGCCTCTAGAACCGTGTTGTCTGCCTACATTCGATGGAAGGGCGGTACAGTATCCAAGCGTTCGAAATCTGCGAGACTATATGAGTTGGAGGCAAGTTGATTGTACGTGTGAATGAAACCAGCCACATGGTACCCAGCAGCTCGGCTGCGTGGACGAAATTTAACGAAACGCGCGTAGGTCACATAAATAACCTGTATAATACAACCTTTTGGAATATGGTGCTGAAGGGTGGGATGAGCAATACGGATGCAGAGCAAGAATTAAAAGTGGGTAACTTGCTTGATACTGGCTGAACCGCGTTGACACTTTGTACAGGGAACCGTCTCATCTGATAAAAACGAGATTTTATTTTCAAGGTTCGGTATTAATTATAACAATGAACCAGAGATGTTTAAAAAAGGTAGTGTCTTATATCGGGATGTAAGTTTCGAATTCCATTATCCAACGGATAGCCAAAATTGCTGAGTTGAGGGAAAATGCAGTTCGAACTACAGCCGATTGAAAGACATCAAGCCCACCAACAACTAAGTAAGCCGAGAGAGGACGAAGGGTATACCGAGGACGGTGAAGAGCCGTCGCAGGTGTCAAAAACCCAACGAGAGAAGCAGAAAAAGCTCCAACGGAAAGCCGACATCGCAATTGCTTATGTGGATATCATCAAGGACGAATTCTGGGAACAGCGTCCGTGGATACTGTCAAATAGGGCGGGAAAACTACGTGGGAGTTGAAGGCTTGACGCAAATTATTTTAACAGAAAGAAATAACCGATACCAAGGACAGCGATCTGATTGTTTGGCGAGGTCGTACTAATTCAACCAACACACAGGGAGAACCATTGTAGACAAGCAGTAAAGCAGCTCAATTCAAACCTGCAACTGTAATGGGGTATATGAAAAAATTGCAAAGCTCTTTTAAACCAAGGCTCATAGAGCATCAATATATATCAGCTGGGAGCCCATCCGTATCGCAAAAAGGAGGTTTTCATCTATATGAAGTTCGAATGATTGGTATATGCTTCATTTGTCGTCTGCTTCCATTTTCCTCCTCTTTTTCCGGCTCTTTGACTCCCTGTTGTCCTCTGATTGACGCTTGGATTCCTTCTTGGGCTTTTTCAGCTCCTTTCGTTTTTTCCGCGCATCTTTCTCCGATAATTGGCCGTTACTGACACTATCTTCCGCATCGGTAGTACCAGAGGTCGGTGATGCTTCAGCAGACTGATCTTCTTTCCGGCTTTTTTCCCGTTTCTTCTTCTTCGACTTGCTTCCTGAGGATTCTACTTCGTCGGCTGGATTCGAGACATCCTGCGATTTGTCCTTGGATTTCGACTTCTTATTCCGCTTCGCCTTGTTGATATTTTTGATGTTTGCGGACTCATCATCGGCCAGTGTCTCCTTTCTCTTCCTCTTTTTCTTCTTAACGTCCTCATCCTCGACATTTTCTAACCCTCCGACCTCGTCCCGCTTTCTTTTGATGCCATGATCACTAGTGGAATTGATAATACGCCCTCCGTCGACCCTCGTCCCAATCGTACCCTTTAGTCCCTCCCCCCTCACGAAAAACCTGTACAGTTCACTCCTCATGCCAGAACGATTTTCTTCGCTCGCACTTGTCGTGGGTGTCGCACTCCCATCGTCGCCTACCCCCTTGAGCGCCTCTTCAAACCCTCTCAACCACCATTGGTTGGTATGGTCATGTGTTGTCTTCTTTCCGATACCGTGGGTATTCTTCTTTCGGGCAACGAGGATAGGTTTAGTAAGACCCAGGCCAGCATGGGGACTGCCGGGATGGCGCGAAGACTGTAGTGGATTACCGGGCCCGGACCAACCCTGGCTCATGAGGTAGGCCTTCGCATCCATCGTGAACGCCTGTGGCCCTGCAAGTATTGCACTGCTCGACGGGGATGGAAGGCGGGATGGGTGGTTCTTTTGTTTGATTTAATTAATTTAAAGGGACTACCCTATCGACAAGAGGTGGACATCATTGGCCGTAGCATTCGGGGAGAGAAATGGGTCGACAGCGAACGACTCGGATTCATGTCTTTTTGCTCTCTCCGCCGACCCGCAGTGCATCCGACTCTTGCGGATTTTTTGATCGGTCTGGTTATCATCACGTGTTGATATGGTATCCTAGATGACTAATGAAACGCGTTTAATGGGCTTGGCGTGTCACGGGGATGGCGCGTGTTAGCGCGTCCCTGTGGCTTGATTGGCTGTTGGCCGTCCAACCACCGCCACCCAGCGAATACAAGGGGGCGGGACTCGCCCGACATTGACCTCAATATGATTTCCTTTCGTGAATTTATTGCAAGAGGCTTTTTTCCCTCTTATTCTCAGTTCTTGAGAGTGTCATCTGCATGTTTTGAAGAGACGAGCTAAACTGAACTTCTTGAAGACCCGAGCCCGCCATGGAGTCGACCGCTGGAAAAAGTCACCCGGGCTCAAAAAGACGCCGTTTTCAAATCCCAATCACTTCTTACTTCTCTGCATCTCACCCGGATCCTTCCACGCAGTCCGAATCTTTATCTCACTATAACTATGTTGCTCCAACGTCCTCCGCCAATCCTGCTCTTCCGGACAAAGTCCAATCGTCACTCCTGACCGTGGGAATGCGTGTCCGCAAGGCTGTTCCAGAGGGCTACCAGACCGCACTTAAAACATCTAGGTTAAATGCGTATATGACCAATCCTGCTTCCTACAACACGAACTCATACGCAGAGTTGACACCCTACTGTGGAGGTTTCAAAATCGGTAATCTAGCCGTGCAGACATTTCCTCCGCCTGCTATACGGGAAGATCACGAAGTCGCTTTTGGCCGAATAGACGAGGAATCTGTGCCATCGAGTAGCCAGGAGTCCACCGATTCTGTGATGCCATCGAATCCGCATAAACGTGCATTTGGTGAAGACGACGCTGAGGACGAGGATCAGGAAGAGGACATCACTTCGTTGTACAACCCAAAGGCCTCGAACCCAAACACCGCCGCCTACAGTACTTCTCGCTTGCCATTGAGAACAATTCTTCGTCCAAGGTCAGGACGGAAGACGCAGCGATTCGTTGCTAGTTCCAGGGCCACCATGGGCTCTTTGCAAAACAAGCTAGATCAGATGTGGGGGCTATCTGGACAAGAAAATCGACATCCGACGTTAAATATTCCCTTGTCAGCAGACTTCGAAGAAGCAACATTCTTAAGACGGAGAGAAGAAGTCGACGAGGACTACGAAATGGGTGGTGTTTAGAACCAAGATCCCTCTTGCTTTTCTTCCTTCGTCGATCCGTTTGCTCGTTGTATATTTTATTTGTCATCTTGGTCATGGGTTGGCTTGCGCATTTGGTTTGGAGTTTGATACCTTGTCAGCGAATTGGCAACTTTTCCTATCTGATTTGCATAATACTGCAGGGAGGTTGTTTTGGGCGCAACTCCGGAGTACTGGGGATCGTTTGCCGCGGCCAATAGATCATAATTGTGGAATAGATGCTGGCCACGGTATGAACATTGGCGAATGTGATACCATTGTTGATTGCCTTTCTTGCGACTTTGATATATTTATTCTGTATTCTGTCCAGAGGACGCAAGGCGGATCCCTTTATTAGATTGTTCGGGGTGTAGCTGCTGGGCTCTTGATTGAAGCCGACCAACCGACCCGGTTTCGCCGATCTCTGGAGTTAATTTGAGAGCTCCGCTTCTACACTTTTTTAACTTTCAAACATCCAACTCAATAACGCTAACCACTGTTTCGATTATTTACCCTTCAGAGCGTTCTTCAATGCATTTGGTTCTGGGGCAACAAACGTTCAGGGATGCTCAAATATTTGTTACAAGGGTTTCCCTGATTGGCCAGGGATAGGGCAGTAAGAAAAGTTGGGTCCCCGCATGGATTTAACTCGCCTTCTGAAACGTTGGAAGGAGAGACAACGACGTTCATCCCGGTCAAAGAACGCTGCCCCTCCGCGTCCAGGGTTCGAAGTGATGACCTGGACGAGGAGCTTAGTACTGGCTTCGCAAACACTTCCGCGGTCCCAAAGGCGGTTTGACGGAAATGCCCCTGGGAGGTCAGAACCCAGATCCCTGGGTCTTGGAGCTGAAATCCGAGTTAATAAGCTGAAGTTGTCCGGTGCTCTGGCTGTTGATGCGGCGCGAAAGCTTGTAGGCATAACGGCCTTTCCGCGTGGCTTTTCCCTAGTCATCCCGACCAGACACGGCCCCAGAGAAGGGACACAGACAGGACTTATTATCGTCTTGATCTCAATCCGTGATTACCTATCCTTTGGGCTACGGAGATCTGTGCATCGTGTCCCTTCTCTACCGTTTCGATCCGAGAGCTAGCTTGGAGCATGCGGCGTCAAACGACGAGAACATGGAGACACCTGTCCACTCGGTTCCAGCGAAGACCTCTGGGAGTGTCATTCGCTTGACTACAATTGTCCCTGATACTACAGTAGAATCCGAAGCTGCTCAACATGTCCAGGAACCGGAGGATGAACAGGTTGAAGACCGCAGCAGAAAGGAGGCTTTGTGGTATGAAATAGTCGGGATCCGTTAAAGTTGTCCTCACTAATGCACTTCAGGAGAGATTTGGGGGAGACCCAAATTAATGTAAGTGTGATGGACGCTTGTATATTTGGTTTTAGATCAAGCGACGCCTTCTTGTCCGCTGACTGCTCTTTTAGATGATCGCATTTTCTGGGTATGAATTCATTCCTTCTGGCTTCGAGATACAGTTCTAACATAGCTGCCGATGCATAGCACGACTGGAAATGGTGTGTTGTCTTAGCCTGTACTTGATCATCGCATTATTGACCAGTGTAGGATTGTTTCTTGGGAGCGGTGCAGCACTTGCTGTGGCCGGCCCCTTTGGCGGAGTGCTGGCTTACCTTCTCGTCGGCACTGTGATTTCTTCTGTTGTGTCTTGCTTGGGCGAAATGACTGCCCTGATGCCAGTTAACGCTCCCGTCGTGGAGTTTCCCCGGCGTTTCCTCGATCGAGGCGTTGGTTTTGCAGTGGGCTGGATGTACTGGTAGGCCATCCGCACCGATAGCCTGACCTAGGAAGGACCCTGATAATCGGTCATTTACTAGGTTCACTTTTGTTGTTGTCGCCGCCCAAAATTTGGTTATAGCAGCCAGGACGGCAAAATTGCACTACGATGACGACAAGACGTTTTTGGCGTGGGGACGCGGAGAAAACGTTGATGCCCATATTTGGTTTGCTCTCTTCATGTTTACTGTCCTAATAATTAACCTATTCCCTGTCAAAGTAAGTGGGTTTGGCATTTAACAGTGTCGGGGATGCGAGTTCAGTTCTAATACCTTGTCATAGTATTTGGGCATGTTTGACTACGCCATGGGAACCATGAAGCTGGTATTTATCGTGTTCTTGATTGTTATGTCGATTGTTCTCGATACTATACCACGTTGGTATTCCATCCTCCATTATCATATACTGTTCTAACAGCACATTCGGATACTAGCTCGTGCAAACTCATACCATGATGGGCCAGTTGGGACCAAGTGTAAGTGGCTTGTCTCTCCTCCTTATACCACCACTCGTTAAACATACTAAAATGGTATATATGAAGATTGGAACTTACCGTATGAATCCATCAAATCTGTTTATCAGGTCTGGAGTCGTAGCGGGAGTGTTCAACGGGAAATCGGCGGCTCAGCAGGAAAGCTACTTGGGATGTGGTAAGCGCAATTGTTCACATGTAATTCGAGGAAGGTCCTCTAATTGGCTTCCTATGGGCGTTTGAAGGTCGGCTTGCATCAACGTGATGTACGACTATGCGGGCTTGGAGATCTTCGCCGCACCCGCCGCGGAGAGCAAATCTCTCGCTGATTCGGAGAGTATGAAAATAGCCGCACGGAAGATATACATCCGGGTTATGGTCCTGTATACGCTTGCATTTCTCACTGGGTCATTTCTTGTCCCATCAGACCATCCTTTCATCAACGGCCATGCACAGTCGACTAGCTCTCGTTCCATATTCTTGATAGCCGTCGTGGAAGCGGGGATACCTACTTTGGCTCATTTTTATAACGTTATATTCCTCATTACCACGTTGATCTGCGCGATTAATTCTGTTTACGTTGCCTCGAGGGCTTTACATACCCTTGCGCTCAGGGAGCAGACAGGTCCGAATTTCATTACTCGCCGGTTGCAAAGATGCAATTCCGGGGTTCCCATGAGGACTGTGGTTGTGACAGTTATCATGATGTTTTTAGGCTTTATGAGCCATAATGATTCAGAAAAGGGCCCGGTAAGTACGTGCACTGCAATCTCGCTTTCCAACCGATTAATTGATAGCGACTTAGAGACCGGACGGGCTAGCTTCGAACGCAACGGTATCGTTTCTAGTCATTTATATTATCATTTGCGCAACATACCTCTGTTTCTACAAGGCGTTCGTATCCCTATGCTTCTACAGTGCAAGCAAATAGTTTATGCTCACCCACGAGTATCACAGACTTAAAGAAGCCCGAGCATCTGGAAATCCCTCCGAATGCTACGCCACATTTTACGACCGCAATAATCCTCGCTATCCTTACAAATCCCACGCACAATGGTTTAAAGCCCTCTGGGGCATGACGGCCTGCACGATTCTGTGCATCTTCAGTGGAGCAACAACTTTCCTCAGAACGCCATTCGACACTCATGGATTCATCGTTTCATATATTAGTGTATGGCTCGCTATTATCCCCTACCAATAAGAAAGATGATTATGGTGATGAAAATAAGCTGATACTTCTCCCACGCCTCCGGTATAGATTCCTGTATTCCTTGTTCTCCTTATCGGCTACAAAATTCGCCATCACGGTCTACGAATTTCACGCTGGGGCCCTGAGCGATCCTGTGACCTGCGGAATTGTGTACAGACGACGAGCGAAAAGCGGAAAGGCGTCCTCGAGTTTCCCGATCATGGATATACGTGGAACAACGCGAGATCGTTCTTTGGGTGGGTCTGGGTTTGGATGAAATAGAGTGGGAGTATTTCTTTGCTTTTGATCCAGGCGCATAGACAATATAGGCGGACTAGTACAGAGGCGTAAAGTTTCTTTGGGATAATAGAGATCTAAAGTACATGCCGACATATATGCATATAGGTTTCAGGAGAGGTGCACGACAGAGAAAAGAGACCATGCTTTGCTTTTGTCAATCAAAACAGTGTATCATGCGAGTATAGAGGGCCCGGCTATACGTTATAATTCATCCTTGTTGCTCGTTGTCGTTCCCTTCTTGCCATCGGTTTTCTTAGTCTCCTTCTCCTCCTTCTCTTCGCCCTTAGTCTTTGACTTCTCCTTTTCCTTCCCCTTGTTCTTTTTTCCGTTCTTTTTGCCTTGTTTTTTACTCCCTCCAGATCCTCCCCCGGTCTTGGCCTTTCGTGTCATCTTTTCCATGACTCTATTCAATGCCCTCTGCAATTCTGCAAGTTTAGCTTCCATATCGGCGATGGTGATTGCGGGGGTATCAGAGTCAGATAGCTTCTCTTGGAGCTTCATTTTCTCATCAAGCCACTTCTCAATCCTGTCGTGAGTCTCAGAAAGGATAGATAGATCGACGGGGGTGTAGGTAGAATAAGTTGGGGTAGGCTGTGAAGAAGACGTCGAGGTAGAGGTGGAAGTAGTAGAAGAAGACGAATCGTTGACGGAAGATTCCTCACTGCTGGAAATGATAGTACTTGAGGTTTCGCTTGGCGATGGCGATGACGTTTTTGACGTAGATGCAGAAAAAGCGCTTTCTTCCGCTTTAATCTGTTTGTCCATCACCTCCATAAACATCTTCGTGCTCTTGAGATTCTGCTTTAGGCTCTCAAGTTTCGCCGGACGCTGGGCATTCTCACTCTTTCGATCCAAAGCCGGGTCAACTAGCTGTTTCAAACTATCCAGCTTCGCCTTCAAGTCCGGGGTCGGAGCATCAGATCCATCTGCATATAGCCAGTCACTGATTTCATGGAGACTCTGCTTCAATTTCTCCAAGGCATCGTTGGTGATCGCCTTCACAAATTCTCCATCATCGAGTAAATCACGAGCGCGGTAAATAAAGGCTTCCAGACTGTTCAAAGTCTCTTCGCGTTGAATGCGAGCAAGGTCTGAAGCGTCAAAAGCCGCTAGTCGGCTTTGAATCCGGTTCATCTCCTCTTTTGATGGCCTGGGGATGCCCAGTGGGGCAAATTCGAAGCCAATGATTGAGGTTTCGACCCGGAAGTTCCGTGGTTGCTCCGGTCCTTCCACTATCACATTAGATTCGGCCGAGGGAGATTCTGTTGCGGTTTCAGAACTCGTACTTGAGGATGTGGTAGGGGATTCGACACTCTCGCTGGAAGCCGTGTTGGGGGAAGATGAGGCAGTGCTCGATTCGCTTGTCGGCTCTTTGTTCGAATCATCTTTGAGAGGCTGTTGGCTCTTCTTGGAGTCGAAGCCTAAGAATTCCTTGGCTTTTTCGACAACACTTTTTTTTACTTCTTCCTCAACCTCGCAGCTCGCTGAGCCGCGAGTAATCTCAGGAATCGCGTTAACAGGGTTGAGTTGCATTCCGAACCAGATGGTGATATTTTCGGCCGCGCACCCAAACTTGTCCTTCAGTTCAGCTAGTGCTAGTGTAAGGTTTGTTGTTCTCGCATGGAAGACCGGGTAGTCGATCGTTTCGTTATCGCGAAGGTGTTCTTGGGTAAAGTCCAATTCGAAATCGTTCAAATTTTTGATAATCGTGATTTTTTCCTGGCCGATCTGCGAAGTCGGAAGAAAGGCCTTCTGCTTCCTTTCCTTTCCCCCGGTTACAAACTTGATAGACGCTCCGTAGCCTGGGATGTCGTGCGTCTTAATCTCCTTTACTCTGAAGGAACGGCTCAGGGCAGCACCTTTAAATGCGGCTCCAAGAGCAGCGGCTTCATCGGCATTAACATTTGTTCTAAGCTTGCCTGCATCGTTGCAAACCTGCTCAAGTTGCTTCTGCACGAAGGGAGTTCGGATGGCACCTCCGTGAAGAATAATAGAGCCGATGTCATCCAATGTAAGTTTGGCCATAGCAAGAGCATCCATGAGAGGTTTAGAAATGCGGTCGGCATGATTCTTTGCCAACTCTTCAAAGGTGGATCGTGAAATGGAATACTTGAAGTTAACATCTTCCTCGTACAAGCCTTCAAAGGAGCCAGAGGTTTCTGTGTTGGCACTTAGAATTTGACGAAGTCTTTCCGCTTCTTTCCATAGCTTTGCCATGGTCTTTCCATGAGCTTTTACCTGCTCTGTAGTTGTTCCGTCTTTCAACTTCTTGGATTCAACTAGCTTGGAAACCATATCATCAACGATTAGTTCGTTCAAGGCGTCACCTCCAAGGGTTTTGTCCCATCCAACTCCGACAGCATGTATTTCTTGGAAGCTTTTGGACCATTTGCCAAAATCCTTGACAGTACGGCTCTGGAACTTGAGGACTGTGGCACTGGTCGAACCAGCTCCCATATCGAACACAACGTGATGCTCAGGCTTTTCACCATTCGTCGCGTTAGGGAACGTGCGGCTAGTAGCATAGTTGACGGCAACAGACGTTCCATCTGTGAGTAAGGAAAGGACATTTAAACCGGCCAATTCTGCGGCAAACTGTACGCTTCGCCTCTCTTCAGCAGAAAAGAATGGAGGGATGGTGATAACCGCATCCTCCAAGTCTGTCCGCTGGGCACCCATTTCTTCTGCATTTGCTCTAATCTGATTTAACTGCATCGCCAACAGTTCTTCCACGAGGAATGGCTCTTTGCCTTCTGCTTTGTTGAGTCTCTCACTCCTGATGCCAACCCGGTCATGGGAATCTGGTTCAAGCTTAACTCCTGGATATCGTTCTTTGAATAAGGAAACCATATTTTGTAGGCCACCATCAGAGCCCTGGACTCCGGTGTCAAACGGGACACCCAGGAGAGCCTTCAAGTTGAGGTACACGTCATTGGGGAATCTAGGCGCAAGAGCAACGGCGTCACTTCCATAAAATCTCTCTGGAAACGCAGCCCCGCTTTCCCGCGCAGGTTTAAATGCCACTGCCGAACGCTCTTTTCGCTTCGAATCTTTTGTTAAGACAATCTCGAGCGGTACGCCCGCTTTCACTACCGCGGCTTTGATATATTCGGTGCCAAGGTCGATTCCTATCACGCCTGTACCGACTGCAGAAGCTGTGCTTGGAAATGATGCTATAAGGACTGAGACGAAAATTGTTGGAAGTAGGTAGAGGAGGGAGAACCCCCTACTATTGCGTCGGCGGCCAGGCGGAGCCATCTGGAGCGACAAGGTATTGATCTAGGCATTGTAGATCATCAAGTCAGATATGCTAGGGAGGAGGTCTTTTAAGGAAAATTGTCAGCCCATACCTAATATGGATACATAAGCAATCGTAAAAAGTGACGTAGAAACCGGTTATTCGTTAGCAATTCATCAAGGTATACAAAGCTGCAAGCAATGTACTGGTGAGGCTCTTTGCACTTGAATTGCAGCACTGATGCGAGGGAGATGAAAAGGAAAATACGGCAAATTTAAAACAACGGTATAATATTCGAAAAGGCCACGTCTATGACTTTAAAAAGGTCATTTAGAACCGATATCCCCTTCGAAACCCAAGCATCCCAAGCTCCGCGATCGATTCGATTGAGGACACTTTGGCATTGGGCGGTCCCCAAGCTCGATGCAAACATACCGCCTTTGGTAATATTTGCATTCTTACATCATCGATTTGTAAGCAGGTCGGAGATAGTTAGTTTATGGCTAGTTAGCGGGGTGGCAGGTTGCGGCGGGTTACTACCCAGGCGCCCCATGTAACCTGGTTAGACAGGGGGTTAGTCAGCAAGACCGCAAAAATAACCGGGTTTTCTGGGAGGTTGGCGTCGTACGGTTATCTTGGCGGTTGCATACTAGCTGGTACAGAGGGTGGTGCTGAGTCAGCCATTTGGACCAGTGAGAGTTCTTTATTACAGAGGTCTTTCAGACAGCGCCGTACGGCTGGAACAGCAGTATCGGGGTGCACCCACCGGACGACCGACCGACCATCTGTGATAGCTCAGGTCAGCAGCTGGGGATCTCAGAGAAGGTCCTGTAGAGCAGCCAAATATAGGTTCTGTAGATAGCTAGATGCCTACATAGTATGATTATACTATTCTCTATCCCGTACGGGGCAGAGTGTGTGTGTAGCAGTGCTGCTCAGCACCAGCGCCTGATGCAGCTGTGATGCTGCCCCGATGCTCTGTTTGTTTATATACACCATACCGATACACCGTACGGCAGGTAGTATCAGAATCAGTAAACAGTAGATTAAGCATCGTCTTGACAACAGATTTTCTTTTCCTTTCTTCCTTCTCTCCTCTCCTCTCCTCTCCTCTTCTCTCTTTCTTTTACTCTAAGCCTGTTCATCAGAGCCTTCATTGCCACCATTGCTTTGCTTCTCTCGTGAGTCTTCCTGTAGATTATGCATCAGCCATCATCCATCAATCGTACGATAGCAAGCTGACTGACTCACAGAACAATTTCACAATTTCGTGTCGCTACAACGTCCTCCGCCGCTAAGACCTCCGCTCGCCCCTCCCCCCTCTCCCCCCCACAAATCTGAGAAAGAAAATGTCTGTACGGCCCTGTGTGTTGGTGGAATGCGAGAAGGAGGCGCTGACTCGTTGATATAGGGCGCTTGTTCGATGGACCCCCTCCCACCCTGACCAGATGGAGCAGGACCTTGCTGAAGCTGCTGCCCGGGCCCAAACTGATGGTCAACCACCCTGTCTCTTTGTTGGACAGAATCAGCTGGCCCCGTACGCCCACTCCCCTCAGTCACGGCGACTGCTTGCTCAACCAGGAAGGAATGTGGAGTTTGTTCTCGGACGAATCTTCCCCTACCAGATTAACATGCACCGCCAGTCGTACATCAATGCAATTCTGATCCAGTCACGCGGGAGAACTTTGCACTGGAGCAGTATCTGCAACAGATGCACAGAGATGGAGCCCATGGCCCCATTCCCATTGTGCCGCCGTGCGTACGGTCACTTTGGAGGCGCATGCGGGAACTGCAAATGGCCAGACTATGCATCCCGCTGCTCTCTGCATGGCAGGCCAGAATCTGCAGTGAGGTATGATGACAGAGGACCGAGTTCGTACAGAGCTGCTGGCCACCCACACACACCAGGCAGCAGGGCCAGCCTGGGACTGTCTCCTGCCCGCCCAATTCTTCTCCTTGAGAGTGGGACAGCAAATGATCCCATCCATGTTGAAACCAATTCCCCCCCGCCCCGCTCTGGAGATCCGCCGTCGGTCTTCCCGTACGAGATTGAGGAGCCTGAGGAGCCAGAGGATGGCTCTCAGAGCAATCCTATCACCTTAAACTAGGTATGCATGGACTTTCTTTTCTGGCTTGTCTGCTTTCTTTCTTTTCTTTGTGATTTTTCTCAACTGCTCTTGCCTAGTCGTACAGGCCCTGTGTACGGCACCTGGACATGGTTTGCACTTCTACGCAGTGTCCAGGACCAGTAGCCCTAAGGGGTGAAGCCAAGCAAACCACCATCATGTATTCAGCATCTCTTCTTCTTTATCTTCCTATCGTACGACGGGCCGTGCTGGGTATGATGGACAGGGTTTGCCATAATAAGAATCAGGGCAGTTTCTTTTTCACTCGCAGCATTCTGGATAGTCTGTTCAAACTGAGCTTCCCACGCTGCCGTACAAGCTCTAGTTCCTCTACAGCAGCACTGCCACTGGCACTCCCCTGTCTCTGTCTGTTAATATAATCAATGATCACCTTTCTTCTGCTGTAGAACATTCTCTCTGTGCCACCTGGCCGCCATTTTGCTCCGTACAAGGCATCTAGACTCTGTACTGAAGGGCCACCCCCCAGACCAACTGTCCATTCCTGCCACAGATCTGGGACTGTAGTGATTGTACGAGAAAGCTGGTATGTGGCTGGAACAGAGGCACTAGCAGAGGCTGGAGCTATCTCTAATGAACAGGCTGGGGCTTGTGCTTCTCTGGATGCTGTAGAACCACTGTCTCTCTCTTCATCTTTATCTTCAAAGGCAGCAGCTGCTGTCATCATTCTTTGACCAGCAGGAAATGCTTGTACAAGAAAAGAAACCTGCCCACTGGTCAGTGCTTCTAACTGGTTGTTAATTTTTTGCAGTCCTGTTTCCAGGGCAGTATGTAAATGACCACAGGCCACACCCAGATCCTGCTGTACAATGCACAGCTGATCTGCCACCATGGGCACTGTCTGCTGCAGCTGCATTTCGTACGGCTCCTCTTTGTGGGTGTTGGCCACCCGGACTGCCTCTGCAAACTGACGATAGTCCTCCCTCATGAACACAGGGCTGGTCCACAGGGGGTGGCCGGGGAAGAGAGGCTGAAGGATGACAGAGTCCTGCAGGAGGACCGTACGGAGATGATGGAGCAGGCGTAGAAACCCTTGAGCAGCCAGATCATCCCTATCCAGCCGCACAGCAGAAGGTCCCCTGGGCTGGTCCCAAGGACCACTCTGATCTGAAAATCTTCTCAGCTCTGGCCCCTGGAGGCAGGAGTTGGGGTCCTGGGCATCGTACGACTCAAACCACCGCATCCAGTCGTCAACCCAGGGCCAGACAGCGCGCTCCAGTGACTCAGGCACAGGCACCCTGGCCCGCGGCAGGTAGAAGTTCCCAGGTGTGCGGGAGTCAAAGCCAGCCATGGCCCGTACAAACTTCCTGGGGATGTTAGTCAGATAGCACTGGCTGAGGGCATCACTGTTCCATCTTCCAGCACGGCGGATCTGGCCCTCACTGACCCCAACCTGCTCTGCATGCCTGGCTCCAGCAGCTCGCCCAGCATGGGTCTTCTTCAGGCCAGAAAGCCCTGTCCCACTGTAGATACGTCGAATCCAGTCCAGCTGGGTCTCGTACGACAGGGGCTTCCTCACATCATCCCCCTTGATCAGGTGCAGCTGGTACCAGTCCTGGCGGTTGTGGAACTGGGGTGGTGGCTCTCGTACAATGTCCCATCGGTAGAAGAGGTAAAAGGCTGTCTGTGCCATGGTGCAGAGCAAGGGGTTGCGATGGCGCATCACTGTGGCATACTCAATCCGGCCCATCTGGTTAGTCTTGCCATTTCCCATGATCAAAACCATGGGGAAGCAAGGGGTTGGGCCTTCATTTGTCAGCTCCAGGGTGAAGAGATCAGCCAGCTGTGCCGTACGGCGGGATTCACCGCGGAGAAGCATGCTGTGGCCCATTAGGAAGTCCACTGCAGTGCGGAGATGTGGCTCCACTGACTGGCCTTTTTTGGACTCTGACCAGCCCTGCCAGCAGTACTCAACCAGCCGTACAATGTCCTTCTCATGATATCCATCCAGCAGGGTTCCTGCGCCGCGATCCACAAACTCTGCCTTCTTGCGTTCATGCTCCTGTCTTGAATGGGTTTCAAGCAGGGCCCGGACGGCCTGGCCAACTGAATGAGAGTAAGAGTTTGTACAACAGCTCTATTAATAGCTCCAGAGATTGACAATTGCAGTCTTGTAAACCTTGATAAATGATTGGTCCAGGGTTTGCACAACAGGCTCTCCATTCTCATTTGTACGGTCGCGGGAATGGCAGGATCTTTTGGCTGGACGGCCAACCACACATTCAGACAGGAACCAGAGCAGCTTCTGCTCTGTCACCAGCTCTCCATCCTGGAAGCCCTTCGTCCGGCAGAAATGCTAGCAAGTAGAAGCCAGAGGGTGTCAGCCAGGCCAATGCAGATGCGTCGTACGGCATGAGAACAGGGCAGAAGAGAGCAAGAATCAACAAGAGGATGCATATAATACAGATACCTACCCTCCACTCCTCCTGGCGCGACTCATACTGCATCCGGGTCTTCTTTGGCCGGGCATCCAGGGCGCTATCAAGTGCATGCCGTACGCGTGCCTCCATCTCCACCATCAGGGCAGACTGGCTGTTCAGAGTTGGAGTGGCCATGCTGTCTAGTGTTGCAGAGAGTATGTCAATTAATGTAGATTCATCAGAAGCAGAAGCTCCTGTACAATACAGAATGGATTGAGATGGAGCTGAAAAGGTTGGTGATCTTGATCACTCTGTACTGATTATATAATCCACCTCCCACCCTCCCTGGTCCAAACAGGTTATTTGGCGGCTTGGCAGTAACCAGGCAGCAACCTGGGTGATCACCCACACTAAACCCCCCCCATCTATCCGCTAGTTAGCGGGGTGGCAGGTTGCGGCGGGATTACTACCCAGGCACCTCATCCTGGTAACTTTCTGACCCCTGTCTCCTTTCCTTTCCTTCCAATCTCGCCTCAACTTCTACAAGCCTTCTTCGCTCCGTCACGATGTGGCAACCCGTTACTCTTCCCTTCAAGAATGGCTCGCTGCCTCGACCCACTCTGCCTACTCCAGATGAAATCCGGGCCTGCACCACTATTTTATGGGAGCGCTCATCCGTCAAGGTCGTTGCAGTGAATGATGAGATTGTTGTCAAATTTGGAACAAGCTTAAATGCATGGGAGGGACAGGCTCTAGTTTACCTCGAACGATACGTCCCAAGTGTTCCGGCTCCCCGACTGTACGCAATGTACCGTGATGCTAAGCAACTCTTCCTGGTTATGCAGCGCGCTCCAGGTGTGCCACTGAGCTCAATTTGGCGGTCATTGACTGAGCCCGAGAAAGATGACATTGTCACCAAACTCCGCAAAGCAGTTGATACTTTGCGACAGGCGAAGAGTCCGTGGCCCGACTTTTATGGAGGCTTGGATGGTGGCAGTGTGCACCATTATTTATTCTGGTGCCGGAAGGTTGGTGGCAAGTATTTGGGGCCCTTCCATGGCGAAGCTGCCTTTGTTGCAGGGCTCACAGGGAATTACCGAGCCGCCATTGAACGTGACGGCCTGCCAGACTTCAAAGCTCGCTTCTATGAAACCTCCCTCCTTCACGTACTCCAAGGTCACCGGCCAACATTGACTCACGGGGACATTCAGCCGAAGAACATTGTTGTCGCGGAGAAAGGCCGCAACTCTCGAGGACAGCGATCATTTGATGTCATGCTTGTCGATTGGGAAGAAGCTGGCTGGTATCCTGATTTCTGGGAATACTTCAGTGCGTTTTCCACACCCCCATTTCTCGACTGGAGGGATGACTGGTGCTGGCGAATTCATGAGTTTCTTCAAATATGACCCGCCGAAATGGCAATAATGCGTATGATTGATAAAGATTGGCTATAACTCAAGGGACTGGGAAGGGCCTTGGCTGCTAAATGCGAGTAATGAATGGTTAGGAACTGGTAGGAGACGAAGCAGCAGCAGTCAGAGCCACTCAAAAAAGTAATGCACAAATAGGGAGACAGCTTAGCTCCTGTGAACCATGAGGTCCCAAGTCCTCAGGGGCCTTCGATCAGGGGGTCTTTGGGCGTAATAGCGCCGTGGAGGAGTGACCAAAGTGCCCGGGGGCCCACAAGCCAGCCAGGCCAACAGTCGATGCTCCCAAGTCCTCACAGGTCTTAGGTTGGGGGCCTATGGACGCCGTAGGGCGCTAGAACCCTGTGAATTCAGGCGGAGGAGCGAGGTCCGATTTCTAAGGAATGGCGTCGGCGGAACGGGCGCATCGGGACCTGTACCTTGCTCCAATGACTCAGGCCACTTGTCCAGGCCACTTTGTCTAAGGGCCTTGCGGGTCCATGGAATGCGGCCTTAAGGCCTGTGTGGCCTCAAGGCCGCTTGCTGGAGGCTCCAATTGGCCCGTAGACCCCAGGGCTCTTTAGTCACCGCTCCGCGGCACTATTACGCCCAAAGTCCCGTGATTGAAGTTCCCCCGGGGCGGTCAAGTTTGAGATGATAAAAAAAAAGAGCGTCTGGGCCTCCGCTCTATATTGACGGCTCCGGGCACGGTTGACAGTTTTTACCCTGTTCTGTTCCTTGTTTTGCTTGAGCAACATGCGAAACTGTCGAGGTTAGTCATCATCCTGTTCAAGCAAGCTCAAGAACCATATCGGAATTTTGTAGGCCCGAAAAACCATGGAACCCCGATGAACCCACTGTAAACAGTGCCTGAAAGGTTCCCGGAGCAGGAATGACATGTTCACTGTTCTCAAATAGAAAACAGTTCTCATTTTTAAAGATTCTCCTGCCTGAGAAATGTTCCTGATTGCTGTAGAATGATTTTAGAATAATAGAAATGTTCTCAGAGTTACTAAGAATATCAGTAGAAACTCATCTAACCGCTAGTTAGAATACTGTTGGAAATTAACTAACTAGTCCCAAAACAGGATGGAACAATTGTAACTCAATTTGCTTCGAATCAACTTCATGCCTATGTATGAACTGCATTGACAACGGATATACAAGAACACAGCGTGTGAGCATGCGTGAACAGTCTAAGACACCAATGGATTTGCTTATTACCGCTTTAGCATTATTTGCTCGTTACATTCTGGATGCAGATATCTCCGAATCATGGACTCTTCCAGGCCTGCGGCATTGCTCTCAATGCTTCGGTGTAACCAGCGGATCGGAGTATGAATGGCTGAGACACCACATCTCTCTCGTATAAGGTTGTTCGCAGAAATCCTGGCCTTCACCTTTTAAACGACGCGATAAGTACTCCGTACTGACGATGTCATCACACACCTCTTTACCGACGTCCAAGTAACACCATGTTGCAGTCGACCCACGAACGAACCAGCAATCCGACGTACAGAGGCTAAGATAATATGAGTAATTTTTATTTCCTTTTGTTTCCTTTCTTTGCTTTTGGTCGCTTCAAATAGTACGCTCTACTATTCCACGGCGCATTCTACCAGGTAGCTCGGGATTCGGTATGTGCAAGCTGCTCCAACCGGAGAATATGCCGACAAGATAGTTACATGTCAGGATAGTTACACGTCCGAAGCACCATGGCACAAGGTATATTAATTGGCCGCTATTAGCACAAGTATCACTGGCTCGATCAAACGAGTAACATTAATTCCAAACAAGGATGAAGCAACAGCAACAGCAGTCCACGCTCCCGGGTTCCGCTTGCAGTTAAGACTACGCAGGGGCAAAAGTAACATCCTGAAATACTCGTATTATCTGAGAAATCCGAGTCATATGACAAGATTCGAGGAAAAATTGGTGTGAAGGAGAGTAAGTACAAGCAAGAGGGACTTATGTAGAAAGGTTGATTCATTCATTGACTCTCTCTCTATACAAAGAGCCATTCACAAAATAATAGGCATTAAATTATCCTGGCAAAATGCAACATTATCGGAGGAGAATCGCCGTTAAACATCGCTCGGCTTATGCTACCACCATAATGGCGGCCACAGCCAAGATAGCAGTCAATCCACCTTGAAGACGGGTAGCAGCGCCAGTGAACTCAGGTTCTTGAGGTGCAGTCGGGGTGCTTTGCTTGGGCGGTGGTTGCGGTACAGTAGTGAGCGTACGAGTGGGCGCAGGCGGTTGAGCAGTAGCCGGGGGCGTCTCGGGTTCAGGCGTGGTAGGAGGGACTTCTGGGACCGAATGGGCTGGAGAGCTCTGGGGAGGCTGTGGCACAGGTGTGTGCGGGGGTTTTGGCGGCTTTGGCGGCTGGGTACCAGGAGTCGAATGCACTGGAGGGCTCGTTGGTTCTGGTGGAATCACGCTAAGAGTTGTGGCAACTATGGTACTGGTAACTGTTTGCGTCAATGTTCGAGTCTGGGTTATCGTGATAGAACCACTTGTCATGGTTTCAGTGATAACTAAAATGGTTGTTAACGTTCATTCAAATGGCAAAACTAAGTGGTAGCATCTGATACTTACTTGGGCAAGTCGTAGTGCTAAAAGTTGTGGTTACGGTTAAAGTCTTAGTCGTGCCAGGGAGGGTAGTCGGCTCCTCGCGCTCTGTTGTGGTTGGGATAGGCACTTGAGTGGTATTCATGGTTGGAACGGGAGTAGTTGGAACAGGAGTAGTTGGAACGGGAGTAGTTGGAACGGGAGTAGTTGGAACAGGAGTGGTTGGAACATGAGTGGTTGGCTGCTCAGTAGTGGTCTCCTCGCACTCGGTTGTAGGGGCAGGAATAGATGGCTGCTCAGTAGTGGTCTCCTCACACTCGGTTGTAGGGGCAGGAATAGATGGCTGCTCAGTAGTCGTTTCCTCACACTCGGTCGTAGGCGCGGGAGCAGATGGCTGTTCAGTAGTGGTCTCCTCGCACTCAGTTGTGATCGGCACCGGAACTGATGTGGGCATGGATGGCAGCTCGGTCGTAATCTCCTCACAATCGGTGGTTGGAATATCGTCGAGACTGGTTTCCACCGGATGATACATTGGAGGGAAGCTCGGGACATCGTCGTAGTCATCGGGTTCCACTGGCGGATTGTACGAGCGCATCCCCAAGAGCTCGCTACGCTTCTCAATATCTAGTTCATTCTGATCGCGGTGGTTGATCGCCGCTCCGAGCGTGGAGCTGGCGAGCACCAGCACGACAAACAATGACCTCATTTCCTACTGCCCCAATTAAGAGTATTATATGTGTCGATATAGAACGAGCGAAAAGTCAGCAATTAGTATTAAATAAGAGTAGGAATGGAAACGAGAGGAACGAGGGACCAGACAAGTCCCTCTTCAGCCAGAAGCGGAGATAGTATTTAAAAGGGCTGATGTGAGGGCCATCAGTGGAAAGGGTGAGTGCGGGAGGCGGGCGGATTTTTGTATCCACGAGACGGCGCCCCTGGATGCGACATCACCACCTGTGCTCCTTCGAATCGAGACCCGCAAAAGAAAAGAGCAAAGTTGATTCTGGGGGATGCTGTGGGCACTCCTTGAAGCCGGCCAGATTCGCAGTGATCATGAATCATGCCAAGTTGAATTACCGATACAAGACAATACAGGCTCCACGCCAAAACGCGAATCCAGCAAATGGTCGAGCCACTAAAACAGGAAGTACAGCGAGATCTTGGCGGGTTGTGGCTAGCTTCGCTGGTGCCAGCAGGCACCGACAGGCATGGCTCACTCCTGGTGAGCGAAGCCAGCTAGCAACACACCATAATGAAAGTCATGATGCCTTGATCAGCTTCAACTGTTGAGCCAACAACCCTCCGGAGTCACAGTGGAGGCCCGGTCGGCAACAGCTTTTCCGGGGATGTGGCAATTGTCCACGGACGGAGCAGAGCCACGATCTTTTGTGATCGGAGGACCACCATCATAGCCGAAAATGTGAAAATACAGGAAACACCTTTCCTTCTTTGTGCGAAGGTGCGTCCAAGAGCCCGTTTTAGCGTGCTCGTGCATTGCTCTGGGGTTGGACAAATGTTGCAGTTCCAAGCAAACGGGTTCAAGAAAGTATGAAATTTTGAGTTGAGACTTGGCTCCTTCGTGCAATCCCATCCCGCATAGAATCGCCAGGTACTCCGTACTCCGTACGCTTGCCTGCAAAAAGCATCACTAGCTCTCGTTTAAAAGTGGATCTGGGCAGCGAAGCGCAGGATCGTGTCTTCACTGAACCAGGAATCAATCACATCGCGCATGTTTTGATGTCAACCGACCGTCCCTGCAATTCTGGAGCATTATCTCCGAGGGAAAGATATGTCGACACAAAACGGCGAATGTCAAAACAGTTCTTTCTGCCCTGGTGAGATTATTCTGTTCTGATGCGTATGGTCCAGCGACGAAACAAGGCCCTAGAAACCAAACCGTCGAAGAGGAGGGGGAGGGGGGGCGATGTCACGATGTGGAGACCCGCGACGGAGAAGGAGTTTTCGTCGAAAAGAAGAATTGAGTTTGCCATTATGTCAATGGCGCCCCTAGTGGTGGCCGTCTCGAGCGAAAGATTGATGCAAAAAGTAAATGGCATCGTCTGGCGCCTGAACTATTGGAACTGAAGCAAAATTTTCACAGTCCGGACGCTTTCAACCTTGACGGAATTAGGCTCACCTTGTGTGAGGAATTGATGGACAATGCGGAAGATTCACATTGGTCGCCGGTTAGCCCTTGTGGCACAGAAAATTGGGTCCGCTTGATGGTCAAGACGTTGAGATGCGAATCCATTGCAAGCTAACATGCGGAGGTGGCTGCACGACAGGTGGAAGAGAGTGTATGGACGTGTGTATGAATGTATTTTATTGTATGTACGTTACGGCCGTGTATGTATGTATGAACGTGCGTACGTCTGTACGGAGTGTGTATATGCGACCCCTTGTGCCAAGGACTTTTATGCCCTGTCATGATTGGTAACTCTAGATTCTCGCAGGCTGGATAGCGGACGAGCGACGCCCTTGTCGTGATTTGTTTTCCGCCGCTGCTCACTCCACTCTGCAGAGCTGCCCTGTTCATACTCACAGCATTTGTCGGGCCCTTACGGAGGACTCCGTAGGTTGGACGTGATTCGGTTGATTGCAACCCCGGAGAGAAGAGCATAACCATCGTGTTGCTCCGTAACTAGCCAACTAGTATTAAACCGGAAACCTCGCTAACTAGCCGGCAGCGGAGGTAATTATAGGTGTGATGGCGAAACAACGCGATCGGAAACGCACATGCCCTCCAGGATTCCTTTGATTTTCGTTTCCGAGGATCCTTGAAAGTTTGCTTGTGACACTCCGAAGTGAGACATGACCTTGTAGAGGAAGCTTTTGGGCCAAGGATACTAAACGACTAGCTCGTCACCATTATCAAACCATTCAAGGACAGGGTACGGAGTACCAACCATCGTGAGGGGTTGCAGGAGAGCACTTCGCAAAGTGGCCGGAAGAGTGCCTATTGCTCTTCAAGTGTTCTGTGCATCTGGATTGGGCTGTCACTTCACAATGAACTTATGGCTTGTTCTAAATCTAATCTTTGATGGTGAGCATTCCCGCAAACCAGTTTTTGTAAATATAAAAATATGTACGGAGTACAGTAACTACCCTCCCATATCTCCTCTGCTACCGCGATACGAGCTGGCTTGGGGTCCATCCAAACAAAAAAGTTGTAGAAACGACGGTAACATGCCCGGTTCAGTAGTCAACAGAAGCCCAAAGCCTGAAATGTCACTCTCCTGTTTCTTGGCTCCACGTTGAAGCATGTGCTACTTGGGCCCAACACTTGGATTTAATCATCTCCGGAATCTGAATCGTTTTCCCACCCGGCTTGATACGCGTGCGATAATTCATGCAGGCCGTTTATCAAATCTTCCCGCTCCTCAAGAGCAATCCGCCGCCCGATAGTCTGTTGCAGATTTTTGAGATCCCTGCCAATGCCACTTGTTGCGGATAATGCAGCATCGACCCTAAGTGTAGATCCTGCCGGGCCTTGCTCATGAATCAAATCGGATGGAAAGGAGTCGAGAATTGGGAATTCCAGCGTGGATCTAAAGTTGCTACAGAGTAGGTTGTTTAGCCTCGATTGAAAGAAATATACGTCGTTCCCCCCCCCCCCCCCCCCCCCAAAAAAAAAAAAAAAAAAAAAAAAAAAAAAAGAAAAGTGAGCTTCGGGGGGCCAAAGAGTGAAATGTGTGGCTTCGTTACCTTAAGGTACTGGGAACATACCCAGTCATTAATGAAAGACGGTGAGAAGTAAGACCCTGACCAACTTCTGCCCGCTCCGGTCGCTCGCTATTACATTTTGAATCGCGGACAACTTGTACTTGACTGAAAATATGCGTATTATTTGTCCTGGTAGCGGAGCCGATCGGAGAGAAACCTAAATCAAATCGTTGTTCGGACTGCTCTATTTCGTCATGATCCACCTCGTCTGTGTCCATCTGTGTTGAATCATTCGGCCTCAGGTGACTGGCAAATGGCAACTCCGAATTCTCGGATCTTATGGTGGCCCGCAAGGCGAATATGCGTTGTGGACCTGCATTGTCAAGAAACCAGGGCTCAATCCCTTCATACCAGCGGAGGCGGCCTGGCAGTGTGACACTCTCAACGGCCACTGACGTGAGGGCGGAGATATACCATTCCGATGCTATGTTCAAGTTCACATAATGTGGAAGCTTTGAAGGAGGCATCGAGATCGGAACGTATGCAGTGGATTGGCGGGATATCTCACTGATGGATTTGGCGGAATTTTTGGCTCTAAGAAACTGCTTTTCCTACGGGGATGCGGATGCGTTAGTCCAGCTTACGACACCGTGGAGCTGGATTGAGCGTACCCGTTCGGTTTTCAGCCCGCTTTCTAGAGCAAATGTCCAAATAATTTTCTTGCCAAACTCATCTCTCAAACGGTCAATATACCTTGCTGCAAAGCCGCCCCAGGCGTCATCTGTACCAGTGAACAGCTGGATTCCACGCAGTTGATCACATTCCTCGGCGAAGGGTCTAAAGTCACGGTCTAGGAGGTCGTGCTCCCGGTCTAGGCTATTGAAAAAGGCTTCGCCAACCGTCCAGTCCTCAAACGGCATCAGTTGGGAGTTCATTTCATACTCATTTAGCTGAACAATGGATTTCGGATGATAAAACAGTCGATTGAAGTCTGACCAATACCGGACTGTCTCCGGGGTGAGTCTGGGGAGAGGAAGGCCTAGCTCAAGGGCTTTCTGGTATTCACTCTGTGGAATATTTGGCTGCCGTTGGATGACTTCGTTCCCATCCCTGAGTCAAAATGCTACTTAATTTTGGGTCGCAATGAATAGCTAAGGGACAGATGTGTGCATATAAGCATACCATAAGCCTTTTGGCATTCCAACGTTCTCTTCAACTTCGTAGAGAGCATTGTACTGCCGAAGGGAGCCAAACCCGCCCTTCAGGTCATAAATGATAGTGCGCGGGGTAAACGTTTCTGACCCATCAGCCCCTATTCCAGGTCGGAAACTGATGTCGTGGTCAACAGGTGATGCCTCATTCTCAGAATACGTAAAGTATGATTCCTTGCCAATTATTAGCCTGGGATGTTCCAGATTAACATGGCGGCCGTACCTGAACGTTCCAAAAGTGGGTGGCTAGGTAGTTACTGCGCTGGCCCAGCTGCAAGGTGATGATCTCACGCATCTTCGGTCAAAAGGCCCTTCGGGCAATCAGAATATACGAAAGCACAATCACTCCGTACAAGCACAAAGTTTCCCAAAATTTATACCAATCTGCACAGAGTTTAGAGTTGTTCCCCCACCCCGGGCGCGGAGCAGAGATTTGAAGATTTGTTATGGTCTCTAACAGTACGAGTATCTTCTCCTTCCCGTATCACAAAAGAATTTCCAGGCTCCAGCCCCAGACAAACCAAGTAGATATCGACGTCTTACTCTCATTTCATTGTGCTGCCGGGTGTCTGTCCTTGCACACAACCCCGTCGTTCACCCCCTCGTCGTCTCTTCGAACGGGCAAATTTGATAATTACGTCAGAATCACGTGCCTAGTAATATTACATAAGACATTCTGGTTGCTACGGGCAACGCGGGCACCGCTGAGACCTGGGAAGATCGATAAACACGGCGAGTGCTAACCAAGTCTGGCGCCGCCGACAAGGATCTCGAAGTTCGCGATGATTATCCTCTGACCCGCGTCCACCTCAGCGATTTTCTCTTATCGTTAATGTGGCGGATCTGAGTCCTGCGTCCTCTTCTTGCTTCACACCCGAAGGCGTTCTCCAGCCCATGAATATGGTGGAATCGACCACTCCCGTTAAAATGCCCCAACAGACCGGTTCTCCCTTGTTCCCCATCACTCCAGATCGCATGAATCAGCAAAAGATGAACATCTCGCCAACAAAGTCATTGGACGCTATGCAGTCCCCGACCAGGTCTGGACGCGGGGCCTCAGATGTCCAAGCAAAAGTCGCGTTTCTCAATCGACTGTCTAGTGTTACTACGCCCGAGAGACCTGTTTCTCACGTCTCGACAACCACTGCCGCACTACAGAGAGCAATCCTTGGTCGAGAAGAAGCTGAGTCTGCGTTGCAGACTGCCCTTGCGCAGCTTTCTGAGGCCAATGCGCGGGAGCGGAGGGTTAGTGAACGATTGGAGTCGTTGGTAGAGGAGCTTCACTCGCTCAAAGAGAGACAAGTACATGAACGAACTGTGTTCGAAAAGGAAGTTAGGAAGGCAAGAAAGGAAGCGTTTCGTGCTGGATCCGCGTTGGTTAAGGCGCAGGAGGAATTGAAGTTCTCCAGGGGGGAGATAAAAAGTTTGAAGGAAGAGGTAAAACTGGAGAGAGACGCAAAAGAAAGGGCGAAGCAGGAAGCGTTTGAGCGTGCGTATGCATTGGCGGGCTTGACCGAAGAACTCGAAACTTTGAAAGGAAAACTCCGATCTGCGGAAACCGAGAATAACTTTGAAAATCTGGAAGCACAGGTGAAGGAAATTCGGGGACAGACTCCCGCCAAACATTTGGCCGCACCTGAGGCTGTTCTCATGTCCACGTCGCCAGGATCTAGAGGGATAAAAAGGGGCCAACCGGACTCTACTGACAATCGATCCCCCAGTCGCAAACGGAGTCTAAATACTCGGGATCGCCTAAGCTCCAAACTCGGATCTCCTGTCAAATTTTCACTTGATTCCACAACATCAGTGGGCGAAGACTCCATGGAAGTTGGGCTTGATGAAGATGATTCTTGTCTTATTGATAAACTTAACGACGATCTCCAGTGGGAGAAGCGGATGCGACAGAAAGCGGAGGACATGGTACATTTTCTAAAGATGGAATGCCAATTCAAGCGCTGCTCCTGCAGGCTGGCAGAGAACCGAGGAACCCGATATGTACATGATTCATCTTGGGATACACTTTGCCAGGGAACAGAGAAGGAGCCTGAGCTAAAAGAAGCTCGCACAAAGCCTCAGGACATTCCAGCTTTACAGGGACAACCATCCCCTTCCATTCCCACACCCCCATGTGAAGCCCATGAAGAGCCTGAGCAACAACCAGATGAACCCTTGGTTACGTTTTGTTCGGATACTGGTACTTTTCAAGTCATTCCGTCACCCAACCGGAATACCGATGTGAATGATGGCTCAATGAATGCGAGCCAAACCTCCTTTGGACGGTCTTCCCCTTCCCCTACATTTGCACCCCAGAATATGGATATTATGGGTCAAACAGAGGAAGCCCAGGATCTTGAGCTGGCTTCTCAATCCCCTGACACAGAAATATCGATCGAAATAGATCAGTACAGACCCTCCTCCAACTCTCCTCTTGGAACCGTCCCTGCGAACCGCACCAGCAGCCACTCCCTTGACCCCAAACTTTCATTCAAAACTCACCCATATCAGCCCAGCCACCTTGAATACCAAACCATCACAACAACCAGGACTATCCCCCTCTACGCAGAGACGCAAGCAGCCCGCAGTGAACCAGCATTTTGCCCTATCCCCGCTACTCCCATCAACCGAGAAGAAGCGCTAGCGCAAATACGTGCCCGGCGCGACCGCACGCAAGGTGCACTCAAAAGATCTGCCAGCGCCAACGACGCTAATACAAAATTAGGGATGATGGGCAATACGATTACCCCAATGACGGGGACGAAAAGAATCCCAAGAGTGGAAAATTCTGGAGCTCGAGAGGGTAATTCGATGTATTTAGGCTCGGGGATCAGGGGAAGAAGAGATATTAGTGCGCCAATCGCGAGTGTCAGAAGAAACTTTAGGTGATTTATGTCCATGTTTCGGTGTCTTCACTCACCCGTCATCGAGTTTGTGATTGGCTATGGTGAACGCATGTCAGCGATATTCTCGCTTTCTACTCGATTTAAAATGTTTAAAGCCTGGAGTCCAGGGGGGTTATGGTACATTTCATTTTATTTCTTTCGTCTTGTTTAGTCCTCATCCCACTCTATTGACAATTTCCTCTCACACTATCACTTTATTTCCTTTTTGCGCTATCCCGTCAGAGTGCGTCTTTCGCAATTGACTGTGTTCCATAACAAAACATAGCATGCTGTTGTTTCTCATTTCCGCTCTTTGAATATGATTTTCTGGGGGATTTATCTGATCCTATTGCATTATTTACCTTTCTTATACCCTCTGTTTAATTTCATCCATAAACAGCGATGCGTCTTTACTTCATTCGGGGCAGATTAGGCTCTTGGGCACTTCCATAGGCGTTGGTAAAAGTAGATTTAACTGGAAATTAATAAGATAATTGGGTTTTATTCGTCTCGAACATATTGGCTCCAAATCAAAACAATACGTAGATGTCCGATCCGTCTCATCAGCGCTATTATATTCGAGATATTAGCATCCATGAGAGCTTCCCGCCATAAACCTAGATATATCCCATTAAACCCCGCGCGCCAGCATACAACTACATATAATATGTACCATATTTCAAAGGATGCGCACCCCGCAACACTTAATTCTTCCTCCCTGAACTTGTGCTTTTCGATCCCACCACACCTGAACCAGCTCCTCGACGAATCTCCTATCTGCTTCGCTCCATGGGTCGAGACCCATTTGCGCCATGTCTGTAGTAGTTATGGGTGTGAATTCGTCTTCGCCATCGCCTAGCTTACCTCGTCCAGATGGGCGGTTGTTTAAGAGCGGCTGAGAGTCTTCTTGGTTGGCATGTATTATTAACGGCTCCTCTGGCTCGTCTCGGTATTCTTCTTCATCTCCGGATGGAATAGGCGAGCCAACTTCATCAAGCCCGCTGCTTTCTCCAGCGTTCTCACTGCGCTCCTCATCTTGACGGCTAACGATGTCGAAGAGGACGGTGAAAATTTGGGTGGTGAGACGTCGGAAATATGTTATTAGGGCTATTTCTTGGGTTCGGTCGTCGCGTTCTTGGTAGGAGATGCTACCGCGGCGGGTCCCCGGCGCGTAGATGCTGTCATCGTCTGGTAGCAGTAATTTAGCATCCTGCTCCTTCTCCTCGTCGGACTGGCCCGCTCCCTTTTCTCCAGCAGAGGCCCACCATATGAAGGATGTGTAGGCTAAAAGAGGCCATGAGAGTGGTTCAACAAGTGAATTCGTCGAGAATGTTGAGGAGTTGTCAAATTCTTCCTCCTCGTCTTCGTTTGCAGCATCATCGCGGGGAAGGACATTTAGACCCTCCCTGAGAGTTAGGTACCGCCGTACATCTCGCTGAGTAGCCTTCAAACGGATTTGTTTTGAGTCCTTGGGCGTGAGTGGATGTAATGGGGAAAGCATGAGTTTCGGGTATACTTTTTCGGGAGCATCTTTGGAATATGGTGGTGGCAGGTCGATTAGAACATCGTAGAGCTCTGGTTTGAGGCCCAACACACGATCGCTTGTACATGCGATCCAACAATTTTCTCCTTTTTTTTGTGGAGATGTTTTGCGTGACAGCGAGGTGAGGTATGGTAGGTCGTGAACACCAACGTTAAACAGTGCTCGGGGCCTGAAGGCGGGGAGGTCGGTGGGTGGAAGGAAAGGTGAGAGCGTCTGAGGAAGCGAAGAGAGAAGAGCTAGGTCGTATACTTGATTCTTGTTAACCTAAAAGTTCGTGCAGCGAATGTTGAAAGCGAGCGCCTACCGAAATTACAGGAGGTTTCAACAGGTGCGTCTCCAAGGAAAAGTATCCGCTTTCGTAACAGGGCCGCTCGATACAATGGGAATATCAAAGGGCCAAGCGTATCTTTAAAATCGGGAAGGCAAAGTGCAGGATGATAAGGGGCAAGAAGCTGCTTCGAGGTTAGCAGCGCTGTGGCGTCACTGAGCGTACGGCCTCGGTGAAAGGCGCCCTGGGGCGTAGACTGCTTCGGTTTCAAGCCTGAAATGGAAGCCAATGGGGAATCGGGAGGAGATTCATTGTGGTAGTTAGGAAGTTGAAAGGCTTCCCAGTAATCGGCCAGAGGTTTGGTATCGCCGTAATCATTAGCAAGCTTCCTACCCAGAGGTCAGCTAGAGCTATCAGGTACATCGCTTCAAACCCTACCGAGCCAGCTCTTTTAAGCTTGCAGCGTGTCTCCATGCCTTTCCTAGTCTTCCCTGACTCAGTGGAACCAAAACGCCGACGGCCAGCATCAGAGCGTTCCTCTCACTCTCGTCGGCGGGTTGGTTGACGAAGGCGCTAAGACCGGCATAGTCGTCTTGGACGAAGTATCTGTTGCGTTAGAGGGGCAGTGAGCAATATCGTTCCGGGAAATGATTGTTGCTTGGAAGGATCCTACGTACACAAGGTCCTCCTTCACGTTGTGTAGACCAGACGGCAGTGATTTGAACTCGACGACATCGTGCATTACGACTGTGAAACTGGCAATCAGCGAAGATCAGGCGCTGCGGTACCTGCGAACACAAACCATCGGGCAGGCTCTCTTTCCACACGATTGTATATCTATACAGAATGAGGGCAGTCAGCATGGGAGCGGACGTCGAAAGGACCAAGAGACCTTGCTAAGCGGCTAAATCGTAAGCACGTACCCGGCTTTAATGTCGAAATGGATCAGGAACAATGCTGCAATTCCAGGGGGCGCAGTCCGGACGCCCATGCCGCCTCTCAAGACGGCCGAACTTCTCCTGTCTGATGCCATAACTCGTGATGGTTGAAGTGGAGGCGCCGGCGTCCCGTGAAGCGGTCTTGAGATGCCCGTCAAAAGGTCCTTTTGTTTGGTTACGTTAATATCCGCTAGTGAACTGGTAAATTGGTGAGTGAGTTAGCTAGCGGGATCCCCAGCTCCCTCCCACCCCACTCTTAACCTTGGTGGACGGCTGAAGGTAACTTGAGGGTGATTCTCTCAGCGATAATGATGCCGTGTTGACTCCGAAGAGAGATCAACTGCCCAAATTGGCTGGATGCCTGTACGCAATACTCAGCGCTGCAATGAGAGGGAATTACAGGGGTGCTGGTCCTGCGAAGAAGCTTTCAACCAGCAATACAGCGCACATCCACAGCAAACGATAGAGGACCTGAAAAAAAGCCTTGGTATTTTAGATCTCACAATCGCCTCAAAAGCAGAATTTGAACCACGAAGCCTTTGACCTCAAAATCTGCTGGACCATCCAACGAGCAATTTCAACTTTTTGTAAGACCCAAGATTCCGTTCTCTGCCAGCCGAGCGAGAACGCGGACAGCCCAGCCTTGACAGTCCTCTTTCACCTACTTCCGACTCGGCGCTTGGGGAGGCGGCTCTTGTTCTGCTATCTGCTTCACAGTTGTAGCTTGCTCGTCGGTGAGCCATAACCGTTGTTCGACTTCAAATTCAGCCATACCATTCTCGACTACCACCCGCTCCATCTCGGATTACTGTACTCCACACAATGTTGTCGGCCAGAGCTGTGCAGATCTACCCACAGTCTTATTTCTTCCACCCTTGCATCCCCATGAGATAAGAGATTTTTTTTTTGTTTTGCAGACCTGGAACTTCCAATGGGGGCCAGACAGAATCCGTTGCGTTGAAGTCGGTTGCGCGACTTGACTTTCGTTGGGCGTAGGAAGGCTGCCATTTGGACAAGCTTCTTACCCTGAGCTACAATATAACGAGAATAAGAGAGCCTTGCTGTCGAGCGTCTCTTATGAGCCTGGGGTGGTTTGCAGCGTTGTAAGCCCATTGGCTACAGCCTACCTTTGCTGTTATTGATGCCGTGCAAGACAACCACGTTCTTGCCAACGTCTTGACGAGTCGGGTTCGTCACCTTTCTTTTCTATGGCTCGGTGGCATCGTTATGGACATTCAAAAGGATGTCATGCGGGATGGTCGATTTGGACTACTATCTACTGAGCTTCATCCTGCGATGTGGTCCGGGGCTGTGCAATCATTCCTTCAGGAGCCTATCCATCAGGACCCAACAGTGGACAGCGCCATTCTGCGCTCTCATGAATGCCGGCTTCTTTATCCCACTCAGGAGGAACATCACACTCGTTGGCGTTTTGGTGCCACAGCCATTGCATACACCGAAATTGGCGTTCGCGTACATGCAAAGTGTACTGGGCATGGTGTATAATAAGCGGGTTGGAAGTAGGCCCGTCGAAAATGGTAGGGTGTCGCACCAAATATGCCATCCCGCTCTTATACCGGCTTTCCTGCCTGGGACAGCAAGTGATGTCGAATGTCACCGTCATTTATGAAGATCTTGACCTCGAGAAGGAGTTGGCATCAGAAATTTAGACAAGAAGCATTTCCGGCTGGCTGCGGGCTCAGGGATATGCTCCGTAGGAACGAGAAATACACAAGCATGAATGGAATTGACATTCATGGTTCCGATGATGGAGTATTGTCGGACAAACGTTCCGCAGGGAACCACTCAGCTTCAAGAGCCGGCGTAGAAGCCCGGATAGACCATAATGCTTAAATCGATATTTCTTTGAGTAGCCTATGCCACACTATTAGTATTTATATCTCTTGTGGCCTGTTCTAGCTTCATGGGGTTGCCACTGTACGCGCCCAAGCCCCGGCTTTACCACCTGCAGCGCACGGTCATACCGCTGCTGCCGTCTATTTTTAGGGTGAATGATGCTCCAGTTTAGTTTTGGTGATGGCATCAAGTATTGATACATCCTCAGTAGCTTGAAGGATGTTGTCTGCTTTGATATCTGCCCAACATTGGTTAATAGATGGGTCCGCTTGCAAAATCAGCATGTTACACAGTGACGATGCTAGACCTTGGATTCTTGAGAAGCCCATCATCGTCTGTAGATAGGGATAATAGCCAGGCGAGTGTTGCTGACTCTGCCGACGGTACACTCAATACATCCTTTCCCCAACATCTATGACGGCCGAGAAAGCAGCAGAATACGTGTGTGGAGGAAACCCCGTAGACAGAACCAGCTTGATTTGAAGTAGTTTGCTGTCCCAATGACCCTTTCAAAGCGAGCAGATGGCGGATAGTCCAAGGAAAGCATAGGTAGCCGCCTGCCCCCATTATGGGGCTACCTTGACTGCGGGATTCCTGTGGAATTCCTGTTGAGTCTTCTGTAAGTCGGTCCCTCGAAAGGGAGAATTCCGCATCTCACTTTAGCTTAAGCAGGGCGAACCACGACCGTAGAAAGGTGAAAAGGCCCGAAATTCGTTGCTCGTCCCCGGCGGCACTTCGCTAGAATTAAGGTGTCCATTGACTCCCTGGAATCCGCTCCATCGGGGCGATAAGAGGACCGTTGTTTGAAGGTGGTCTCGGTAGGCCTGCAACATTGAACCTCCGGCTACTTCGAGTCAGTGCATTCTCCTGTGGCTGCGGGCTGTCCCTTGCACGGGGTGCAATGTAGCCGTTAGTCCATGCAGCCAGCCTGCTGGTATTTTCCGTGGGGATTCGGGCCTCGCGGCCTCCGCAAGGCCATTGTGGATTCTGGAAGTGGATGCGGCAAGGGGATTTTGTTTGGATTTTGGTACTCCCGGATTTTTATGCACACTGGAACTCTGCGGCTTCAGGCCACCGATTCTCGATTCGTCCATTGCATTTCTCTGGCTCTAGCTAGTTCCACGGAACTTGGCAATGATGGCCACGCACCGCACCGGCGCTCCCGACACGTACGATTCGCTGCCGCCGATCGCTCTGGCTTGGCGCCAATTTTGTTCCTGAACTAATAAGTCATTTGGCAGGCAAACGAATAACTAGGCCATTGTATAAATTTAATCGCAATCATCGCAACCCCCAGAAACCTCTGTCCCCAATCCCCGCCAGGATCGAGGTATGTTAAATCCTCTTTTCCCGGCACTGAAGAAGCGTTAAGGATCACTGACATGTTATATTTCTAGCCAACTCGCGCGCCCTTGATCAGACCGCAGCTTTCCCGCACGAGCAACAGAATATCTCTCAATGGCCAATCTAACGACACCATCGCATCCTTACTACCCCATCGAGGCTCAGCTCGTTGGATATCTGGCAAATGAATGGTCCGTGCCGGTCTTGGTCGGAGGATTTGCGGTATCATGGGGGTTGATCTTGCTGGTGACGCTCGGGATTGTCTCGTATGTGCGTCCGAGCTTGCCAAAGGCAGATAAGCTCGCAGTGCTGTGGTTTGTTCTGAGTACGTTTTTGTGGCGCAAAAATCAAGAAGGCAACGGATGGAGATATGCTGATATTCTTGACTAGGTGGAAGCATCCATCTTTTCTTCGAAGGATATTTCGTTCTCAACCACACTCGCATGGCCCCTGCGCAAGATCTCTTCGGCCAGCTGTGGAAGGAATACTCTCTTTCTGATTCTCGGTATTTGACCTCTGATCCGTTCGTGCTCTGCATGGAGACTATCACTGCCGTAAGTTTCACTGCTTTTCCAATACGGGCACAGCGACCCATTCTGACCGGCGTGTGAGCAGGTCTTATGGGGACCGTTGTGCTTCATCCTCGCCTACTTGATCACCACGGAATCGTCACTTCGCCATCCGTTGCAATTGATCGTCTCCGTCGGCCAAATCTACGGTGATATCTTGTACTACGCCACCAGCATGTTTGACCATTACCATAATGGATTGAGCTACTGCCGTCCTGAGGCCTATTATTTCTGGTGCTACTACTTTTTCATGAACTTCATCTGGATCGTGATCCCATCTCGTAAGTTATATTTCCTGTTCCAAGATGATTGAACGGCAAGAACTAACAAAATTCTAGATTACGTCAAGTCGAGCATCTGCGTTATGTCGAGAGCGGTCAAACAAATGCAAGAGACGGTCAAGGCCCGCAAGTTAAACTAGCGGTGGCGAATAGAATTGGAGTTCGCGGATCAGCATTGCCTTGTCATAGATATCTCTCCGTTTGTAGAGCTGTTTTTTCATCCAATTACCCGCTTTTTAATTGATAATTCGCACTCCAGGGGCATGGGGAAAAGTTCGATCAAGGCCGAATCGGAATCGCTTTAGGTTTAGACGACGAGTACACTTCTAGATTTTTATGGCTGATAGTCTATTTAATGTCTTTCTTTCCTTGATTCTCTCCCGCAATACGGAGTAGATTGGCAATGAATGCATTGACTGCTACGGAGTAGACAGCTTCATTCTGCAGCCACATTTGTGAAACAGACAAACGCGCCAAGACCCGTTTTAACCGTTCGAAAACAGTCAGCTTGGGATACGACATCATCAGCACTTTACTTGTAAATCATCCTGGATACCTCTTGTCTGTAACCGATGACTCCTTGTCATTGACTGCATGTCTTGTCCCGGGGTGTATGTGTGTTGAGTGAGACTGGGTTTGAACGACACCAGCAAACTGATCCTCGCGCAACGGTGCATGTGCTGATTTGTTTGTTAGGCGCTCGACCCCCATCGCACTGACGTCGACCATGCAGCAAGCCCAGATATAAATCTGACAGTTCACTATCTCCACATTTTCTTCCTTCTTCCTGATGCCTTATCTGGTACTCTGCATCTAACCTAAGCTTTTGAGCTTTACTGTGAAAATCTCGGCCTTAAGACAATGTGTATTGTGCTGTATCTTCCATAGTTGATGGTATGTAAACAAACAAATCCCGCTTGAACCAACCAGAACACCAATATTATCACTTCGCAACCAACACCAATAACAATAAAAAAAGCGAAGCTGTGCGGGCTGACTCTTATCTTGCTAGTGCTATAGCTCAATTTAGATGCCCTCACCCGGTATTCCGCATCGGCCTTCCAATCGAGGAAGTGCAAAGAACCCCGCTTCGAAGCCCAAACGCTTGGACTTGGGCGATCCCTTAGGGCCTTATGATACCAACACGGTCAGGGAAAAGGTTCGAAAATGGCAGCAGCAAGGCGGTGGTGTTGTGATTGCTCCCGATGTTGGGGCAAGCGACGACGGCGACGGCGACGGCGATGGCGAAGGGGACAGGAGCAGTAAGGAGAGCGGACTCGCGGCCAGACAGAAACGAAAGGACAGATCCGGTCAGGAAGGCGCTGGAAAACAGAGGATGCGTGAGCCCGAGGAGGGCGAGAAACAGAAGATATCAAATCGTACGATCGGTACTGCACCGAAGAAACGGGTGGTGAGTGACGGACATTGGAGAAAAGATAGGATCCCGGCAGAATCGCCTTCACCTACGAAAAGGACATCGCGAAAACACCCCGACGCGTGCAATAGATATGAAGAAACCAAGGAGAAGTTTGAAAAAAGAACGGAAAAATATGGCAAGCCAACATCTGGGGATGGAATAAAAGTCTACGCTGGACCTTTGAGAGAGCCGAAGTCGCCGGGCGCAAGGCGCTCTGATGGCTCAGAACGAAGCAACTCTTCGACAGACCACAAGAACAAGTACCATGGCCGCGATACGAAGAAGTCGCCCTCGAGGCACAGATCTACGAGAAGAGAAGTGAAGGCAAAATACATAGTTAACGATTTCCCATACAAAAGCGATCATTCGAAACCGAACGAGTCAAGTGAGGCTGCGAGCTTATCTGGTAAGGAAAACCGAGCTGCAACACCTAAAACAAAGACCCCCCCTCGATATATGAAATCCACAAAAGGCGGGTTCATCAACCAAGTCGTCGGCGAGCCAAAAAAGAAATTCTCTAAGAAGGATCTACCTCCCGTCCAGCAATCCCATGGATCCAAGGTGGAAGCATGGCTTTCGAGAACTAGTGATCCCTTCGTCAGCGACCATGAACCATACGTGGAGATACCAGCTCCTTTGAAGTCTTCACCCCGAAGAAGCGATTCCGGCAATGAAAAGGACAGTGATCCCAATCGGCACTCGAGGTTAGAAGGCCATCGCAGCTCTACGAAACGCAAGTCTAGAACTTTGCACAGACACCAGGAACGCTTCAGCGGCACCGACGAAGATGACCACCAGAAGGAGCCAAGCTCTACACGGAACGATCGTACAGAATCGTCTCCACCTAATTTGAAGAGATCAAAAGCTAGCAGACGACCAGAATCTATGGAAAACCGTCGAATGTCAATGCTGCACGAATCTATCGAGGAAGCTATTCAAGCGTCCGCCGTCTTCGACCGTCCTGTCTCTTCGGATGGCTCGGAAGGGTCATCGGCAGAACGACCTCCTCCTCTAACCTTACGAAGGCTATTCCCCGGTACCGGTATGCACAGATTATCTACAATTGCCTCAGTGGACACCCTAGATACGGCAACAGAGCCAAGTGGGGAGCCTACAAAGAATATGAACAAACTGCCGGCAGCCCTAGAACATGACGATGTATCCGAATCTGAAACTCGAGATCAATTCGACCCCAACTCCATTCCTGGCCCTGGTGCTAGATCTTTGAAACGCAAACTTACCACTCATTCCGATCTAATGTCTGTGTTGTCCCTTCCGGCGGGTGGCAGTCGCAGTATCAGGTCTGCGAGGAGCATTCGTACAAATAGAAGTCGCCTTGCCACTGCTACTGTGGGAGATATCATGCGAGAACTTGCGTCAGATGAAGGGAAGTACATGCGAGAGCTCAGGACTCTCGTAGGTGGCGTCATTCCCGTGCTATTGACATCTGTCCTATCGAAGGCCGATTCCGCAGTTGCTGCTGGCTTATTCCGTCCAAGTGCCAAACCTACTGATGAGGATAGCTTCACGAGGCCTATCGTGAATATGGGAGTCTCGCTCGAAAAATTGAAGTCAATCCATAAACGGATCCCCCTAGAGGATCCTGAAGCTCTTTTGGCCTGGGCTCAAGGAGCACAGAAGGTCTATGCTGATTACCTATCGGCATGGCGGCTTGGCTTTCAAGATGTCGTGGTTAATCTCGCTCCTCCAGATCCGGATGAGCTTTCCAAGGGCCCGAACTCGGATGCTCAAAGCCTTTACGCTGGCATGTCACAAGACGAAAACGGAGACGTAATTGACGGTGATGGGGAGCGAGTTGATGTCGCTTATTTGCTCAAGAGGCCCCTTGTTAGATTAAAGTATCTTGCAAAGACGTTTAAAGGACTGAATTACATACAGTCCTCTCCCAAGACCAAGGAGATCCAGGACAAGTATCAATCACTTGTCACTGATGCTCGACGCAGGGCGAATGAAGAACGAGCAAGACTTGAAGACGAAGCCGCGAATGCTATTGATACTAGCCGAGCTCGTGATATTCACACTTTAGCAGTCTTGAAGAATGTCGAGGCGAAATCAAGTCGGAGAGTCCGTGCCCGTGACTTTTTTGACCTTTCATTCCTCCATACGACTGGACAGCAAATTGATTGCCGGACTGAGCTATTGCTGCGAGATAATGCAACGGAAGATGGCCCTGGCGGAGATTTGTTCATATGTGAGGTCGATAGTGCCGGGCGTTGGCTCCTATTTCCGCCAGTCGACCACGGTCGAGTTTCGGCCAGGAACGGGGATAGCAAAGGCGAAATTGTCATAATGGTTCGGGGAGTACCCGAAGAGGGGGGCAATTGGTACGAACTTTTGGCTTTGAA